CTTGTATAACCTTAGGATCCTCACAGAGGGCTCTCTTGTAATCATACTTTCGATTGAACTTAATTGTAAGCTCTGGCTGACGTTTGACAAAGGTTGTAGCCCAGTTCTGGCCGACTGGATCTCGGTGCCGTGCAGCCAGCAAGGAATCAGCCATATCTTTGACAGCAGCAAGCTGGGGAGGAAATCCTCGCGCGTCAAGATCAAGGATATGCCGAACAATCACCTCTTCTTCCGTCTTTAGTAGCTTCATTGAGTTGGGCGTGCAGTCATGTCGAAAGATCGCTCCAGCGCGTTGGTCTCGTAGTGTTGTTCGAGAGACGTTGTAGATCTGTGCAGCGTGCCGTTCAGAGATATTCGTGTCTTGCTTAATAGCCTGGATCGCAAGCTGTACACGAGCTTCTTTTGAAGAAGGTAGATTATTGTGTTGTTGAGGCATCACGAATATACCGTAGTTGACAGTACAATTTGGTGGGATCTTGGCATAGTGGACGGCTCGCCCGTGTGGACGGCTCGCCCGTGAGGTACGTTACTGGAAAATCGCTTACTTAGATGTCTTCTGTGGCCTCGCTCGAGAAGGAAGAATAACGTATACGTTTACTTCCTTATAGCACGGCACGTAGGCTTGGGGTACCCTAGATATTGTTAAGAGCGGTGATATAGCACAGCGATAAAAGCCGTGACTTGTAGAGGCGGCACAAGTGAGTCGAGCAGACCGTGTCCCTCAGCTGTGAATCATACATTCATCGTGTTCAGAGGGATACTGAACTGTCTACCTGTGGAGCACTTCCAATATAGCAAGTTGACAGTGAAAACGCTCAGTCATAACCGTCTCCCTTTGGCAATACGCCCTCCCACATTCCGCATAAAGTGTGTCAAATGAGGAAATTTATGACTTAGCCGCACCAGCCTTGATGAGAAGGATATCACCGTCCTCCACGACGTAATCCTTGCCCTTGGTCATGACCTTGCCCTTGGCCCTCACGGCCGCTTCGTCACCCTCTTCCCTCAACACACTATAGTTATACACGATGGCCTGAATGAAAGTCTTCTCGAAATCGCCGTGAATGACACCCGCCGCCTGCGGCGCCTTGGTGCCGTTGCGGATCGTCCATTGCCTGACCTCATCGGCGCCAGTGGTGAAGAAGCTGCCAAGGTTGAGGGCCTTGCGCATAGTGGTAATCACCTTGGGGAGGGCGGATTTGGTACCGAGCTTCTTGCACTCCTCGGCAGCTTCCTCGTCGCTCATGGCGGCGAGGCGCTCCTCGAATGAAACGGAGATGGGGATGATGGGGTCACCCTCGGCGTGCTCCTTCACCCACTGTGCGACCTTGGGAAGGTGCTTGTTCTTCTGTCGGATATAGTCCTTCTCGCTAAGGTTGACGAGGTAGACAACGGGCTTAGCGGTGAGGAGGAAAAGAGGGTTGATCACCTCCACCTATATTGTACAGTCAGTCAACTGTTCTCGACTTCTGTGCAACCAAAAAGGAGGTGAAGCAGGGGAAGGGTCAGAGTTGGACGTCTTTTCATATGTTCCCGGCGTTACTCAGGATTTTCAAAGAGCTGGGATTATAGAGCAATCGCTCTTTGTCATCTTTCGGAGGAAGTAGAGCGGATGGTAAGAAAGGGTTAGGCACATACCTCCTTTGGTGACCAGTTGCCCTTGCGCACGTCCTTGCCAGATCTGAGCAGCTCGAGGATCTTCTCAACGGTTGCCAGATCCTCCTTCATCTTCTTCATTTCCAAGCTCTGCCCACCTCTCCTGGTGTCCTTGACGAGCTTCTCGTGCGACTTCTCGACGAACTCGATATCCTTGATACGCAGTTCCTCGGCAATGATATCGAGATCGCGCACCGGGTCGACATCACCTTCAACGTGGATGATCTCGGCATCGTCGAAACAACGCACGACCTGGAAGATTGCGTCGACAGCACGGATATGCGACAAGAAGGCGTTGCCCAAGCCGGCACCGGTTGAAGCACCTCTGGTCAACCCGGCGATATCGTAGACTGTAAGGTTGGCAGGGACAACTGATTTGGGCTTGTAGTGCTCGACCAGCCAGTCGAACCGCTCGTCAGGCACAATGACGCGTGCCTCTTCGGGGTCAATGGTGGCATAGGGAAAGTTCTGCGCTCGTCAGAGGATGCGGGCGTGACGATTCGTGCAATGCGACTTACGGCAGGGTTACCAAGGGAAGACTTTGTGATGGCCTGAAAGAGGGTCGATTTACCAACGTTCGCAAGCCCAACCTGGCCACTACTGTTAACGTGAGAACTTGACAATCGCGTCAGAGGGGCATGTCAACGTACGATGCCGCTCTTCAGGTTGTTTCCAGGCCTCCCCAGAAGAACCTTCTCCTCCTTGACAGCTTTCTTGGGAGGCATCTTCTTTGACTTTGCGTAGGTGCGGACGGTGGTGAGAGAGACGCGAAAAATAGGCGAGGGTGAAGCGCAGGGAGTTTTGATCGCAGTGCTTGCTGCTGGTCGAGAAAAACGGGGTATCACAGAAGAGAAAAGTAAGAGGAGGGGTCGTGTGGGGGGAATGGTGATGGCGGAGGGGGTGGGAGAGATGACTGCAGCAGTCCCCTCTCCTTAGGTGGCCTGGCGAAAATTGGTTGGGTTTGGTTTTGGCGGTCCTTGCAGGGCGGTGAATTTTTCGGTTTTCGACTTGCTGCCCCTCTTGGCATTTGTCCGTGCGCTCGATCCACAGGTCAGTCGGAAGCTGCCCTTGCCACCTCCACATGTCCCTGCCTGTGATTGTGAAGCTTGGGCTCTCTATCCACCATGCTTCGTCCTCTACCATATGCCTCTCACTCACACGCTTTACCGTCCTTGCACATGTCGCGGGGCAGAATTCGACTTATCTTTCCTTTGATGTACAATAAATATCTCGCTCTCATTGACTTTTAACCTCACAATGGCCCCGAACTCTGCCCCGAAGCCATCTCGGAAGAGCTCGAGCAATCACAGATCGACACTGTCTCTCCAGAGAACCGAGGTCAAGATTCACGTATATGACTTGCTTCCGCCCGGCAAGATCTCCACGTTACTATGGGCTATCGGCAGCTCCCTCCTGCACTCCGGCGTTGTGATAAACGGCAGAGAATACGCATACGGAGGACATGATCAGCCTGGTGTGAGTGGAGTATATTGGACACGGTATGAGAGGCCTATGATAGGCTAGGCCTCTTATTCTAACCTATAATACAGACCGGGAGAAGAACCCCCAGGCGGCACCTTCAGACAAGCCATTGTACATGGCTTCTCATTCCGGACCGCCGAGGAGATGGATAGTATAATTCAGGAAGTAAGCATTCGAGGCGCTGGAATTCCCTCCGTTGATAACATGCTGACAGAGCCAGGCCATGCAGAGATTCCAAGGGACATCATACAACCTCCTTACAATGAACTGCAACCATTTTACCTCGTACCTTTGCCAGCAACTCACTGGCCGTCCAGCTCCCAGCTGGATCAATCGCGCCGCTAGTATAGGCGTCGCTCTGCCATGCGTGGTACCACGGGAATGGATAGACCCACCGGACTACGTTACTGCGAATGGAGAGCTCCTTGACGAGGACGTTGAGGACGAGAGATCGTCTATGCTTCGAGGTGATCAGAGGCGGCAGCTTCGAATATCTCACGAGGTCGCCCATGATGAAATGGGCCCAACGGATGCGATACCTGGTAGTAGTTCTGGAAGTGGTCGACGAAGCAAGGAGGGGCATACGCGTCAGTCATCCCGAAATCATGCGCCCAGGCTGGCCAAGGTCAAGATTACGGATTCTAGTGGTAGGCCCCTTCCGCCGGCGGAGAGAGCTCCGCCGTCACGAGGAGCAAGATAACAGCGCGAGCACTTGCACTGTCTCAGAATTGCTGTGAGGAATCGTACTTTGTGACCTCTGCTATAATTGCCTTGGTATGTTACAAAAATCCGAACTGCAACATGAAGAAATCCCCCATTGCCTGCCTCTATCATACACGCCACCGCAGGGTATACCTTAACCCAATCTTCTCGGCTTTTTGCTCCTCGTACCACCGAACTTCAGTCTGGTTGAATCCGCGAGCTTGGTGACCAAAGGACGGATCTTGGAGCCCTCACTACCCAATATCGCCTTTGTGACGGCCTCCCTTCCAGGCCCAAATCCACGATAGACAAGCTCCAGCTGTTTGATTTGGGGCAAGAGACCCAGATCCCTTATTCTGTTCATCACAAAGGCCGCGAGTTGATATGCAGCGTCGTACGTTCCGCGTCCAGCCTTCCGGAACCCAATATTCCCGCAAGATACCGATATCAGAGGATCTCTGTTGGGCTTTGTGAGGGTGATGTGCGTGTTGTGTTTGTGCGCGTAGATGTGAAGATGATGTCGCTCTGGCTCCTCCCACTCCTGCTTGGCCAGCGTTCTGAAGAAATCCCCGTCCAATTCTCCTCCTCTTGGTATGATGGATTGGTATTGCGACGGCTTATTTAAGGAGTTTCCGATGCTGTCGAGCATGCTCGTCACGGAGCCTTTCGCGCGGGGAGTCTTTGCGAGGATGGGGGTAGACTGCGAGAAGGGACGCATCGATGAGAGGACGGGCGTCCGGGGTGAGGAGCGACATGTTGCGCAAAATGGCGATCTGAGCGTCCGGAAGACTTGCAGTGCTGTTGATTCGGTCATGGCGGGCAATAAGGAGAGGCCCTGTGCCAACTGATGTCGTCGAAGGTGCTGTTGAATGGTCGGCTCGGCGAAGAGAAAAAAGGGTGGTCCGTGCATTCATCTGCAACTTCCATCGCTCGCCTTCCACCACTTGAGCAGGAGATTTCCACCGCCCGCACCACTGCCCGTACCCGATCTAATCTTTCAATCCTCACTTATAATGCGACCTCCATCCACCGCAGCACTTACAGTGAGGGCGCAATGGGCCAACACGCCGCGGTTTGCCGCCTCACCCTCCAGCCTCCACTGCCGAACGGCGACATATAGACGGTTAACTACAGCTGCACTGAGCACGCGTTCGTCATCAATACGGCAGCCTCTCGCTGCACAGGATGCATCCTCTTCCGCTCCTGCCTTCCTCCGCAGCAATTTCCTTCCCCAAGACATCCTTTTCCGTACCGCTTCTTCCTTTTCCCGTCAGTTTCATTCCCGCTCCGCCCTATGGCAACAAGCACAGAAACAGACCGAGGAAACTGTGAGAGATGCACCTGAAGGCACAAAGCAGTCCACAGCTGAAGGAGCTGCGGGACAGCAGCAGGAGGGAGAAGAAGCCAAGGAGAAGAAAGCCGGGGAGGAAGAAGAGGGTGAAGAGGGCGAGCAGGGCAAAAAGAAGAAGGAGGATCTCCCACCTCCCCCGAAACATGGCGACAAGTCTCCCTGGCAGGTGTTCACGGAGACTCTGAAGCAGGAGTTCCAGGCCTCGAAGGAGTGGAATGAGTCGACCAAGCAGCTTTCTGCTGGTGTCAATGATTTCACGCAGAACCCGAAAGTTCAGAAGGCCAGAAGCACATACAACCAGGTCACGGAGGTAGCCTCTACAAAGACCGCTGCGGCTCTGAAGACCACCGCTGAAGCAGTAGGAAAAGGTGCGGCATGGACGTGGGAAACGGCTCCCGTCAAGGGCGTCCGGAAGGTTGCGAACGTCACTGGATCCGGCATTGAATATGTGACGCGACCTGTGCGGAAATCGAAAGCTTTCCAGGCAGTCAAGGAGACTGTCGACGACGGCAGCTCCTCGCGGTACGGAGGCTGGGTCGAGAAGGAAGAGCGCAGAAGAAGGCGTGAGCTGAGGGAGCTCAACGAGTTGCAAAGGACTGGAGGCAGGAAACCGACGGAACCAATGGAGGAAGATCCCAAGTACGTGTTTTACTATGCTCATGTTGACTTTCCTCTAACGTGGCATTCAGCGCTGGCACAAACGTTACTTTGCACAAAGACGCCAAATACAAGGAGATTTGGCGGGAATTCAAAGATAACAGCCGCTTGATGCAAGGCCTCTTCAATATGCAAGCAACCTACAAGGAGTCCGACAATCCGCTTATCTCGACTGCACGCAGCATTTCGGACCGCATCACCGGCTTCTTCGCTGAGAACGAGACTGCTATGGTCATTAAGAAGTTCCGGGAGATGGATCCTAACTTCCAGCTCGAACCCTTCCTTACCGAAATGCGCGAGTACATCCTCCCCGAAGTGCTTGACGCGTACGTCAAGGGCGACATCGAGGTGCTGAAGCTTTGGCTGAGCGCCGCTCAGTACTCGGTCTATGCCGCGCTGATGCAGCAGTACACGACAGCAGGTTTGAAATCGGACGGAAGAATCGTGGACATCAGAGGTGTCGACATCTTGAACGCACGTCTTCTTGAACCTGGAGAGATCCCTGTCTTCATCGTCACCTGCCGGACGCAGGAAGTGCACGTATACAGGAATGCCAAGACCGGGGAGCTCGCCGCCGGTATGGATGACAAGGTCCAGCAAGTCACCTATGCCATTGGCGTCACAAGAATCCCCGAGGACGTCAACAACCCCGAGACGAGAGGGTGGAGGTTCATCGAGCTGCAGAAGAGCGCTCGGGACTACTATTAAGCCTCGCGCCCTCGTTTCCTCTCCCGCATCGACTTCCCGACGCAAACCTCTTGTATTGTACTCATGTTTCCACCACCTATCCGTCGGCATTTCCTGGCTCTGCTGGCATCATCTGGCGTCATGAAAAGAAGGACTTCTTACGGCATCTCTGTTTTCGATCTGTCTTAGTATATCATACCCTTTCCATCTTTTCCGAGATGGACGGGTTGGCATGTAATCTTCTCCTCTTGTTCTTGGCGATGGGTAGAGGGAAGATTGTGACGCTATTCTAGCTATTTTGTTGATGATTGTTCCGCTTCCCCGCTCATGTGTGTATAGTATTTGGATGGCAGATGGGATCTGCTTTGTGTAGGCAATGGCCTGGAAAACGGGGAATGGTGGAGCGGTCGGGAGGGATAGTTTATATTACACTGCAAGAGTCCCGAATGTTATCAATGGAGATTGAGGTTGAGTGATTGAACAATCCGCACCTGTCGCATCTGCTATCTTGTACGGAAACTGTACTCTGCAAGTCCTCTGCGTTTACTACAACTTATATGAAGGCGTTTGCTTTCGTCTTGCGTTCCGCCTTGAGTGTGGAGGCATCTTTACGGGTATGGACAAGACTGGTTATATGCAGCGTCACGTAGGCGCCTCTTCCACTTCCATTGAAGCGAGGCATGCTCTTCTACATCGAACATCTTATAAATTTAATAAGGCTATGGAAGCCCTTTATCCAGCCTCCAAATATGCGATTCAACGAATATGTCCTCTACAGTTAGTAGGAGGAGATCGACGTTCTCTGTCCCCTGGATTGATGAGTAAGGGACAGTCGACTGGTGTGCATATGATACCTTGGGGGTACCGACCCTTTCGTATTATATTCACCGAATCCTCCAAACCTACTGTACTGTATAGACTGCATGAAGAACCTGGAACAAGCCGAGCATGGCACATCCTTCCTTCACTCTTGTCCAGAGTTTCGTCCACACCCGTCCGTGCCAAGCTCCGACGTCGTCTTCCATAAAAAGAGAAGCCGAGGCACTCGGAACTTCCGCCTGGTCCAAGCGTCTTACAAGTGACCGAGAGTGAATGAATGCACCTTCCACGGCAGGCCTTCCCCTATCAGCACAGCGCGCCGAGTGCCCTCTCCAGCAGGGGCAGCCTTTTCCTCACCGGTGATGACGTTCATCGCAAGGAGCACCGTATGGGGCATCGCGGGCGCGAGGCATCTTGCAGCAGTACGAGGACGTCCGGTGGGGGCAAGGGTGCCGTCGGTATACAGAAGCGTGCGAGGCCCACGTTGGCAGGGGACTAGCGCTGGTAAGTTGTGGTTCCCAGAAATTTTGGTCCGAGATACGATATCTGTTTTGTTGAGTTTCTTGTTGGGTTTTCTAATATTTGTAGTGCCTCCTACCTCGGTGACTTCTTCCCCTTCTTCCTCTCCATCACCACCACCACCCTTCCAGGCGCAATCCTCAGAAACCAACACAACCTCGAATACCACCTCCCCTCCACCACCACAACAACCCAAATCCAAACCCATCCTCCGAGCCCTCCTCTTCCTCCTAGCCACCACCGCCTGCTTCACCGCCGGCTTCACCATGGCCTCCGCCCCCGTCCTCGCCTCAGTCATAGAAACCGCAACGCAATCCCTCCAACCCCCCTCGGACGCCGAAACCCTCACCCTCTTCACCCCGCCCACCGCCGACCTCGCCGAAATCGAGCGCCAAATCTTCTCCCACCCGCTCACGCAATCCCTCCTCTCGGATCCAAAATACATCGCCTCGCGCCCGCACCTCCGCATCCCCGAGACGCTGCGCGCGCAAAACCTAACAGCGGGAACGCTCCTAGGCGCCAACAAGATCGCCGTTCCCCCCTTGCAGTTCCACACCGCGGACGGGTCCGAGTTCGCCTCGTTGCAGTACCTGGGTCCCGCGCTGTGCGGACACCCGGGCGTCGTGCATGGCGGGTTGCTCGCGACGTTGTTGGACGAGGGCCTCGCGCGGTGCTGTTTCCCCGCGCTGCCGAATAAGATTGCCGTGACGGCGAGTTTGAAGGTGGATTATAAGAGGCCGACCATGGCGGGGCAGATTGTGGTGCTGAGGGCGGAGACGACAAAGGTCGAGGGGAGGAAGGCATGGGTTAAGGGGCGGTTGGAGACGTTGGCGGATCCCGAGAGGGGTGTGGAGAGTGTGGTGTTGGCTGAGGCGGAGGCGCTGTTTATTGAGCCCAGGGGCGCGGAGAATATGAAGAAGGTGATTCCTACATAGAGAGTGGGGTTTTTGTGGGAGGACGGGTCCTGGGGGATTAATGTCTCAAGAAACATTCTACGGCTGAGCGAGCATTGAAGCATTGAGCGATGTTTCCTGCGATTGACGAGCGTAGTATTAGACTTTCAAGAATTCAAGACTTCTCTTTGTAATATCAAGAAAAGGTGCATTCACGCGTCTTCTACTTCAATCTCGCAACCCCTATGGAGTGCAACATATTACAAAGAAGCACCGACATGCAATAAAGAGCTAGAAATTACAGTTACGTAGGCTCCCTTCGTAAGCATGTACTGCTAGAATTAACCTCTAGTCTTGGAGCTACCTGTAAGGGAGATGCAATAGACGCATCCTATCTCTCTCACTTCCCAACGACAGCAGTCTTAGAAGGAAGTATCCTGTTACTCTAATGGATTTCACTCGGCAATAAAATAGAACAAAAGGAAAGAAAAAAGTATAAAAATAAAAATAAAGAGGCGGAACAAACCCCAAAAAGATATTCCCGAAACCCCTTCCAACGGAAGGGACGAATGTTGATGAGAGTGGGACTCGAACCCACGCCACTTTCGTGACCAGGAATTAGATGTTAAGAGAAGACCTTAACCTGGCGCCATAACCAACTCGGCCATCTCACCATGAAGGAATTTGTTAAGCAAAATTCATGAGATTAAACTTTATATATAAAAACAAACCTTTTTGAAAAATAATTAGGGGAGCGCTGCAAGTCATTCTCATCATGAACCAGACATCAATAGGCCGAGGAACATTTTCATTCACTAACGGAATCCAGTCGGAACTCCCGGTACAAACGTATATAAGAACACTGCAACGAGAACAATCTAGCTCGAACAAGTATGCACCTTACTCCCATTACCACCCTACCTCCCACCCTTAAATAGGTTCATCCCTAGGCTCAATCAACACCTCATTAACCGCGACATGCTCCGGCTGCTTCAACGCATAAACAATCGCATTGGCCACATCACTCGCATCCAGCACCTTCGCGCCACTCGGCTCGCCATACTTCTTCAACGCCTCCTCATCCGTCGACAAACCCAGCAACTCCGTCGCCACGTTCCCCGGCTGCACGCTCGTGACCCTCAACCCGGTCCCCGCCGTCTCGAGCCGGAGGCTTTGCAACGTGGCTTCGACGAAGAACTTGCTGGCGCTGTAGACGCCCAGGCCGGGGAACACTTTGCGCCCGGCGTCCGACGAGATGGCGACGATGTGGCCCTTGCCGCGGGACAGCATGCCGGGGACCGTGGCGGAGAGGCAGTGCAGGAGGCCCTTGCAGTTGACGTCGACGGTGCGATCCCACTCTTCGGTGTGGTTGTTCGCCATCAGGGTGAAGTACATGACGCCCGCGACCGAGACGAGGATATCCACGGGGCCTAGTTTCTCGCTGGCGACGCGGACCAGGTCGGCGACTTGCTGCGAGTCGGTTACGTCTGTTTTCTGGGTGATGACTTTGCCCTCGCGGACGACGAGGCTGCGTTTTACGTTTTCAAGCGCGTCAACCCGGCGGGCACCCAGGGCGAGATGGCAGCCTTCGCGGGCGAGAGCTGTAGCGACGGCGGCGCCGATACCCGAAGACGCACCGGTGATGACGGCAACTTTACCAAAAAGCGGACCCCGGCGAGGAAGACGTGCAGACCCCCCATACGCGTTGACCGTCGACGGCGGCTTCGAGAGCCAACCTCGCGCAAACCAATGACGGGTGTACGTCTCAAGGAGCTGCAGATCAACCTTGGGACGCTCAACGGTAGCGCGGAGAGGTCTTGTCGCCGCGTTGTCCAAGACAACGATGTCCCTCAGAAACTCAACACTGGGCATACCGCTTCGAAGTATATCGACAGTGAACGCTCCGTCGCCTCCCTTTGCGGAACCGCGCTTCTCGGTCCACATAGCAACCCAGTCGTCCCAGCCCAGCGGCTGCGTGGGGTAGCCCAACTGGGACAGGTTTTCGAACACTTCTTGCATTTGTACGGGTGTAGGGTCCCCAAGGTGGAAGACGAGCTGCTTGGCGTTGGTCTCGTTGCCCAGATGAACAATGGCTTTGCTGACAAAGTCCACAGGGGTCATTTCAGCACGCCAACCTTTTACATCGGGGTAGTAGCCAAGGTGGATGGATTCGACAATCAAGGCTGTGAGAAGGTCCCATGCATTAGCAGCGCCGGAGGCACTGTGGCCACTGATCGTGCCGGCACGCAGAATCCGGACGGGGAGGCCACGACGGGATGCCTCTAGCACAAGCTGCTCCGCTACCCATTTCGTCTGGCCGTAACCGTCGAGTAGCTTGGTAGGAACCTGATCCACATCCAGCATGGAATCCTCAGGCCAGCCCTTCTCACCCGGAGCAGGCGGAAGCACTCCGTTGGTGGAGATGTACTGGACTGTAGCGCCGCCAATGCTAGCAAGGCGGAGCACCTCTCTCGTTCCTCCAATATTAGGGCGTCGCATAGAAGCATATGGGTAGACCTAATCGTGTTAGAAGCCGCACGTCTCGTGCCAGGAACAGAACATACCAAGTTGACAGTTGCAGCAGCATGCACAATAACCTGCACGCGCGAAGCAAGCTGCTCAAAAGCATCAGGCGAAAGGCCAAAGCGCTTTCTCGACAAGTTACCGGGTAGGATCTCCACACGCTCCATGATCGAATCTGTCCATAGACCCAAATCGAGAAGATTTCTTCGGACTCTAGCAATACCGCCCGGCAAGTCATCCTGCGAAGGATCATTGAAGCGAACAAGACATATGATGTGGGCCGAAGTGCTTTCCAGAAGATCACTCAATAGGAAAGCACCCAAGAAACCGGTCACACCAGTGAGTAGCACCGTCTTTGCGTTCTTGAGGGCACACATCTTCACATCGGGCGAGCGGGGTTTGATTTCGTCTTCAAGCACCGAGTCTGCGCGCAAGATGGCGGGTAAATCAGCTTGGACAGCGGCAGTGTGTCCATCTCGAACCGCTCTCACGGTCTCCAGGTGACCATTGAGGGTCGCGGGATCAGCCAGGCGGGCAACTGGCACTCTGAACCCAAACGTATTCGACAGTCTAGAAGCCAGATCCGCCAGAGAGAGGGAATGCCCGCCGAGATCGAAGAAGTTATGTTCTGGGGCCACAGCACTCGCTGAAATATTCAGCGTGGACACCCAAGCCTCCTTGATGGCTTCGATCTGGATAGGGTCTCTTTCGACGATACCGTTCACGGGTGTCTGCGATCGTGCAGGAGCCGGAAGGCGCTTCAGGTCGACTTTGCCAGATACACCGTGGGTAGGCAGCTCCTCGAGTTCAACCCACAGTGCCGGAATCATATATGGTGCCAAGTGCTGCGACAAGATGCGTCTAGCAGCAGGACTATGCAGAGCCTCGTCAATCTCGACAGGAGGCCGTTCTTTCGAACTTTCCTTGTCTCGGACAATGTATGCCACGAGCTGCCTCTCGAGACCCTCTCCGTGGGCAACAACGGCGCAGTGACTGACGGCAAGGTTTGCCACGATGGCGTTTTCCACTTTTCCAGGAACAACCGAGTATCCCCGCAGCTTAATCATAGCACCGACTCTTCCAGTGATCTCGAGCAATCCAGACGGGAGGAGTCGTGCCCGGTCACCCGTCCGGTACATCCTGGCTCCCGATTTGGCGTCAAAGGGGTTAGGCGTGAACGCCTGGGCGGTGGTTTCTGGCCGGTTAAGATATCCACGAGCGAGAAGGGGGCCGCCAATGAAGAGTTCTCCACTAACTCCTTCTTCCACACGATTGCCGCTCTCATCAAGGATGTATACATATTTGGGGTTGATGAGGGGAGGGCCGACAGGACAGTAAACCGCATCTTTGTCGAGCTGCGTCAGCATCTCACCGATATCGCCACAGGCAATCTCGTGCGTCTCACACGCACTGTAGCAATTGAGGAGGCGGGTATTCGGCAATGCCTTGAGCGCTCGTCGGGCCAGGTCCGTAGTGACGACCTCGCCATTGAGCCAAAGCCGGCGTAGGTTTGGGAGACGCGATCCCAGTTCCTGGTGACGGGAGAGTACAGCAGCCAGCAATGTGGGCGTCATGAGCGTCTCCGTAATATTCTTCTTCGAGAGCAGATCCACCAGCAGGACCGGATCATAGGAAGCATCATCTGGCACTGCAACGACAGTGGCGCCCCTGAGCAAAGGCCGGATAATCTCCCAAACGAAGAATACATTGCAAGCGACACGATCCCCTGGCTGAACATCTGAGAATTGGAACCTCAGGTCATACGAAAGCACTGCCGCCCTGTGTGGGTTGGCAATACCCTTTGGTTTTCCAGTCGTACCGGAGGAGTAAGCCACGAAGCAGAGGCGCTCCAAGTCGGTCTCTTCCGGTGGCGGAGGAAGGTTCTGGTCTTGAAGATCGCCATCACTCTCAGATGCTCTCTTTTCGAGTTCATCTAAGACAAAAATCGGAGTTTGGGACTTGATCTTGCCAACCTCCGCCCGTACCGTGACAACAACCACTGGTGCGGCATCCTCAATCACGTCCGCCAAGAGATCGGGGGGATAGGCAAGCTCTAGGACCAAAAACGCACCACCGGCCCGCAAGGCTGCCAGGCAGGCAATGACGTAGTTTGCACTCCTGGGAAGAAGAACTCCAACGAGACTGTCGCGGCCTACCCCATGGCGCCGGAGTTGGTGGGCTAGGGTAGCGACTCGCTCCTCAAGTTCGGCATAGGTGTAGGTCACCGTGTCATCCTCTAGGGCAACGGCATCGGGAGTAGCGCGGACTTGCTGACTGAAGAGGGCGGAGAGGTCTTTGGAAGTGTCGATAATTGGCATTCTCAATCTTTGGGGAGAGGAAGGAGTCCGTACTGAGCGAGTGCTTTTATTAGTGTACTGTGTATCTGGGGCTCTCTCGGCTGCTACTCTTTTGTATGGCCGGTCCGCCAATTGAATACCCGGCTGGAAAAAGCAAGGAACGAGCGAAAGCGGTCTAGACGCACAAATTTGTTCAAGGAGCGGGTTGTGGAGAGCGGGCCAGTGGGACGTTCGGCTTTCGCTTATCGCATGTCATGAAGAGCGCCCGATTTGCTTGCAACGGCCCGCCTCGTGTCCCTCCTTTCCATGTCGAGCATGGTGTTCGAGCACGTCAGTGTTTAGATGCGGACGGCCGAAGCAGTGCAACGTCTCTGAGCGGCTGTAGCAAAGCCATTGAGGTCACAAACACTGTTGTGGCGGGCCAGTGGTTGGATGCGTTTCCAGGTACGGCGTGGAGCTAATCCAAGAACAGTTCCTAAGGTCTAGGCAAGGGACATCAGGAATATGGCGCGTGGGCAGAGCGGAGAGCAAAACGTAAGAGAGTTGTCGCATGGGGGTTTCGTTTGCGTAGGTATCGTTGGAGAGAGATGTTCAGCGGAATATCAGCTATTTTCGTTATGATGTCGTTCCCTGGTTGTATCCTTGTTCATCGCCTACCCAATTTTCTTCGGTGTCTCTTCGGGTGCGTAGTCCCCCGCCCTCAACTTGTCCGCCTCTTTGAACCCTTCGAAGAACTTCCTCCGGAACGCGTTCAACTCATCTGCCCTGACCCCTTTCTCATATTCTTTTCTTACCCGCGTGACTGCATCCGCAGGCGCCTCTGAATCGGGCAATCTCCGATACGTAAGCAAGCGCCGGGACCATCTGTTGAACGGTTGAACGCAAACAGAGACCAATTCAAGGAAGGGATTCGTGGGTATGATGAGCTCGACATCTTCGTCATTTGCTGTGGGCATCCACATACTCAGTCTGCCACCTTCCACAAGGGTGATGGCAGCAAAGGCAAGTATATCGTCCAGCAGAGCCATGAAAGAGTACGGTCGCTTTGGGGGAATGTATGTGGGGTCCTTGTGACGGGCCTGATGATTTGAGCGCTCGATATCGCCCAGTTCCTCACGTGCTCCAAGCACCTTCAAGCCTTCTCGTACGCCGTATGGAGGGTCACAAATGATACCATCGAGGTAACCGTGGCGGATGCCATTGTTGCTTGGGGCAGGTAGTCGCAAGGGCGTGTTTGTTAAGTCAGATACGAAGGCTCCAAGATAGTGTCCCTCCAGACCATACTGCTTGAAGTTGCCTGCAACGTCTCTCTTCCCCACCTGACCCTTCCTTGAGCTTCCACCTGTACCTCTGATACTCCGGCCGTCGATATCGCTCCCGCATACATAGGCACCAAAGTGCGCAGCAGCGAGCGGGAAGCCGCCGGTCCCCATGAAAGGGTCAAAGAATATTTTCCCGGGAGCAGCGAGAGCAATGTTCGCGGTCAATAGAGCCAGTTCAGCATCCATCGAGGTAGTGCTAATGTAGTGTCTCTTTTTCAGGTCATATGTCGACTTTGCATGCCTCCCAGATTCGGCTATGAACCTTCCCAGGTAGAAATATTTCGGATGGGGTGCTTTCTCATCGTAGTGCTCAAAGACTTGGAACGAGACTTCAGGATCCTTCATCCGAATGGGTCCTTCAAAGGCGAGGTATGAGAAGGACTCAATGATATCGCGTTGTTCTGCCGTTGTTCTGGTGCCCTGGAAACAGTCGACTGTAAACTTGAATGATACATCCTTGTATTTTGCCCACAGGTGAGAAGTATTGATTTTGACGGATTCGTGCAGGGCCTCGTAGCTTGGTCCACGTCCCCAGAGCTCATGTATTCCCAGGGACAGGATGCTGCGAGATATGACCTTCGCTGCTGCTGCATCCGAAGGAAGGCGGACGATGCAGAATGGAGACTTGAAAGGAGTTAGGGGAGATCGACCTCATTCAACGGATATACTAGCGAAATAGGGCATGAACTGTGACCCGCGCTGAAAGGAAGGCTTATATATATGAAGAGAAGCCACTTACATTTTCGTGATATTCAACAATCTCAAGCGTCACCCCTGCCAGCTCACCCAAAGCGAAAAGCTCGGCCTTCCGAAAGCTCTCGTGCACCTGTGCGAGCCTAACCAAGTACTCCGGCATGCTGGCTGTGTGTTGGCAGCAGTGTGAAGGGCGATCGAGTAGGCTGGGGTTTCTCAATCCGGCACAGGCATGATGGACGCACGTCTGATTTGACGCCGCGTGATATGTGGACTACAAAGTCAAAATCGTGTGGTGGGACGTTCACCTTGGAGATTTTTAGAGTGCGAGAGCTGTCTCTGATTGGCCGAGAGGAGCACTAGCGTCATTTCACCTGACTGCCAGTCTGATAGAAGAACAAAGTTGACATGTAAGAGGAAGGCTAGAAAATGAAATTGCATCTCTGCACGCATGAAATTGTGCATGCTCCAGAAGAGGATCATACCACTACCTCGGTTCGTTCTATGATTGTATACATAAACACCGGAGAAAAGAATCGCACACATGTGCAGACGTGAGAAGCAATGGAATTCAGAGATAGCAATCCAATAAGCCAAAGACGCACCGTCTACCCAAGTGTTTTTATGTCACCAAGCTCTATCAAACAAACAATGCTCCAGCGCCACTACCACCACCAACCCCGTCTTACAACTCTAATTCTTTGCCTTCGCAACAGCAGCAATCTCCTCTTGAACCTCCTTCAGTACGATCTTGCGAACGCCTTCCCAACCAGCTCCCTTCTCAACATACATGACTCTCTTGGGCAAATCAGCGAGCTCCTTGAATGCCTGAGGCTCGACCTTATCCCAGGAGTACTCCTTCTCATTCGCCAAAGCATCCTGCACCGCGTTGATGAACTTCGCCGGATGCGCCGTAGAAAGCGCGATATGGTGACCCATCGGAGGCTTGGCCTCCTTGTCCTCTGCGGACCACAGGGCGGCGCGGACTCCAATGGCAGAGTGGGGATCCAAAACGTAGCCGGGGCTTATCTTTGAGAATACCTCAGTGATAGTCGCAAGGGTCTCCTTATCGCTGACACGGTAGGACTTGAAGTCCCGTCTTGCGGCTTCCATGATCTTCTCATCCACACTGAATCCTCCTTGTGCCTTCAACGCATCGAGCCAGCGCTTAACGTGGTCGCCTGCCTGCGCCAGCCGTAGCGAAAGCGCGTCCGAATTGGTGCTATACACGTCGTATGCGAGGAACCACAACAGACGCTCGAAGTTGGAGGACACCAGGATGTCCATTGCCGGGCTAAGCGTCTCCTTCACTCCACTCTCGTGTGCGAGGACACCGTCGCCGGGTTCGCCGCCCTTGGCTTCCTGTCCGTAGACCTGGTGCTTCTCGTACCGTCCAGTTTCCCAGAACCGGTGAAGAATGTCGTTCTCGTTCGTGGCAATGACGAGTTTCTGTACGGGCAGGCCCATGCGCTTGGCAAAGTATCCGGCGAGAATGTCGCCAAAGTTCCCCGTAGGTACGACGAATCGGATAGTGGATCCGGGGAGGAACGAGTGTCTGCGGATGAGGGCGAAGTACGAGTGGAAGTAGTAGGTGATCTGGGCTAATATGCGAGCCCAATTGATGGAGTTGACGGCGGCGAGCTTGAGGTCCTTGTTGATTTCGGGATCGGCGAATAGAGCCTTGACAATGTCCTACCGCGCTGTTAATCAATGCAACTTCGGATCGACCTGGCAACATACCTGGCAGTCGTCGAAGGTCCCCTCCACGGCCAGATTGTGCACGTTCGCGTCCGTAACGCTCGTCATCTGTGCTTCCTGGATCGGGCTGATCTTGCCCTTGGGGTGCATGATGAAGACTGAGACATCTTTCTTTCCCCTCAACCCGTATATGGCTGCTGAACCCGTATCTCCACTTGTCGCTCCAATGACGGTCAAGTGCTCCCTGTCGGGACCCTCCTTGCCCTGGTTCCTTCTTACAAGGAAGTACTCAAAGAGGTTTCCCAGGAATTGTAACGCAACATCCTTAAACGCATAAGTCGGGCCATGGAACAGTTCCAGCAGGTGAATGTTCCGCTTCTCGTCCAAGGTCACGATCGGCGTGACGTCCTTTGTGCGAAAAGTGGAGTAGCTGCGCCGAATGATATCCTTCAGATCTTCGGAGGGTATTTCGGAGGGCGAGATGTAGAGCGAGAATAGCTCGAATGCGAGGTCTTCGAATGAGAGGTCTTGCCAGCTGGAAGCCCAGTCGCTGGGTAAAGTTGGAACATCTTCTGGAATAAAAAGGCCGCCGTCGGAGGCAAGCCCTTTGAGAACGACATCCTCGAAGGAGAGCTATGTTGTGTGTCAGTTCACGCAAGTCTGCGCGCTGAGTCAGGACCGGTTCAGGGTTGCACTCACATCGTAGGATCCTCCTCGGGTGCTCAAATAGCGCTGCGATGCGGTATGGGAAGGCATCTCACTTCTGGCAAGAATGCGACGGGTCAACGTTGGGATGTTGGTATGTTTAAAGGCGACTTATTGATTATACAGAGGAAATTCACGGTAGTCAACGTCGCCCCGCGGCTAGTCCGGATTCTGCCCCGCCATGCCCGATGTCCCTTGCATGCTTGGCCGCAATGACCTTTCCGATACTCTAGTTTGCCTGTGTGGTACCGATGGTGATCGAAGATTGGAAGTGAGGAGAGGATCGATCATCATCAAGCAGTATTGAGAACGTGGAAGGAGCTTGTTGGCCGCCTTTAGCCCCAAAAAGCACCATCTCGGTCTGCTCTGGAGATACGAACGAAGCATTTCTGGTTGTTTGCACTTCCAAACCATTCGGAGTCTCATCGGAGGCCAGAATTTCAGACGCTAGGCTGGATTTGTCAGTCCAAGCGTGAGGTGACTCTAGGGCTCTTTCACGATTGTTGACACCAACCGCCCATTCATGACAGAGAAGACGCAGCCATTCACTCCGAGCATTGGATTCCAGGCCGCGTTGTATCCCCCGTGGAAGAGTCATGTAATGCAAATCCGAGAAGGGGTTCTTGCATTACCCTGAACTGTACGCCAGCCTAAAAAAGTGTATGAGATTACGTCTGTCTATGCTGTAGACTGCCTAACAAAGTCCACATTGTGCACTCGTGGCAGTCTCATTCTATCACCGGTATGCTTACAGGTTCCAGAGTATGTCGCGCATGTGCCCCAGTGTGTTCGAACCACTACAAAAGTGGGGGAAAAGAGAAAACTCGAGAGATGGGAGAGCAAAGTTTGTGCACTGATTTCAGAATGCAAAGTGTAGCCTTCCTGTCTGATGCTTGATAGCAGGCTCTCCAAGAGGGCGGAAGCGGTAGCATACTTCCCTCCGCTCCTCTAGATCCTTTCAAGACCATAGCTCCCTAAAGAGCTGTTCCGTCCATGCATATTCCACCCGGAACGGCTCCAGAATCTGGTCAACCCAGTAGCTCCAGTCATCCTCCCAGAGCCCGCACCCCAAAATCGCTCGTGAATATTCCCAGTAGCTCGGATACCATCCAGCAAACTCCCAGTCGATGAGGACACCCTCCACATTGGCAGCGTTCCAGCACATTCCATCTTCCTCCATGGTCTCCGCCGTTGAGCGTTTGCGTATCATGATGTTCTTTTTCTGGAAGTCCGCATGCGAGAAGACGGGGCCGTGGTTTTGGAAGAGTTGTTCAAACGTTCGCGCGTAGTGGTCCGCCTTGTACCTACTATACCCGCTCTCAAGGTATTTCGCGATCACAGCGTTATTCAGATCCGACTCCGTATCGAATGGCCCGGCGAAGGGTTTAGTCGGATCGTTAGTCCAGAAGAGATCATCTGACAACTCGCGCCGACCAACACTGCAGTATCCTCCGGGGGACTCCAGCTTTCGCATCTCGCTGATAATGGCTCGAAGTTGAAAAGACACCGCTTCTTTCGCAGATTGGTCCAACCTTGTCCACTCGGACTTCAAAGTGGAGCCAATGATGCGCTCCATGACAATGTAGTTGACCTTCTTGTCGGCGCTTTGGTACATCGCGTATACACGTGGAACGGGAACGGTAGTCGAGCGTTCGAGAAGGAGCATGGTCTCTCCCTCGAGTAGGTCGACCCGCATTCCATACTTGACAACATAGTGATCGCCTACTCCGACGACTCTGCGCCCTCCGGTCTCACTGAGCAGGTCGGTTGAAGACGCGATTTCCTCGGCAGTGGGTAAGCTTGCGGGAAGGTTTGCTTCATCCGCGAAGTAGGGTATGCTGAATGGTGTCATGTGGAAGGAGACAAATGGGCTGCAGGAAGAGTGTTCGGTAGGTTAGTAGTAAGAGAACTGTTACCCTAGCCGGTTGCGCGCTTTTGGGGGTGTTATTGACCTGGCTGAAGCTGAATATGGCGATGCTGTAGGTTAGCTGTTATTAGGGCATTAGCTTTGAGATTGGAAAATGCATGAAGCCAACAACCAGTGTATCTTGACATAGTCGAAGCTGTCTTGGATGTGAGATACAGTCTGCGCATAGCCTTACGTCTGTAGGGATAGGATGTGTTGACGGGTATATGCGTCACAGGAGACTTTGAGACTGCTGGGTTGGGGCAGGGCTCAGGATGCAGCATCCGATGAAGCGCTATACTGGAGTACGTAGTCTACGTTGTTCCCTCTGTTGGAGAAGACTGCAGTTCGACGTCGTTCACAAGCCGAGTCCCGCTGTCCGGGCAACATCGCCATCAGCGGTGGGTCCGATCGCAGAGCCGCAAAAGTTTGCGTGGGCTATATGGCAACCCCTTGCCTGACGGGAAGCGCTCTCTCCTAGCGCCAAGCCAAATATTTTGCAGGCCTTTTCAATAGAACCCCTTGATTCCCGGAACGAGAGACTGCCGAATAGCGCTGCCCTGGCTGCCGCACCCTATTCGGCTCCTCGGCACCCCACTTCATCGCCGCTGCAAAAAAATCTGCGCTGACTAACCTCCTGGCCCAAGCGCCCACACCTTCCCTATATAAACCGCTCCTCCCTCGTGCTCCTTTCCTCTTCCTCATACGACACATACTCTTAGAATCAATTCTATAGTATAGCGTCTCTCTCTGAGCTTCTCACAAAAGCTACAGGCCCAAACCTGGTTGATGAGTCGTATCCTCGGCGTCCCGGAGTGAGGTTTCTCTTTATTTTGCGCTGGCGCTTCGGCGTGCGCAGGGACGATGATCTTCGGCTGAGCCGTTCTTGGTGACTTCGGTCCCGCGGCGAGGCAGGACGCTGAGTGAAATCTGACAGGCTTTTTTCATTTTTTCATTGATGGATCTGGCTGGGCTGGATCGTCGAGGAAGAAATTGTACTTGAAGGTTCAGGGTGAAGGAATTTTTGATGCCGCGTGTGGCATTTCTCGCTTGTGTGCGATGGTGTCTTCAGGATGATGTTGTTCATTCAACGCTTTCATTCTACGGCAAGGTGTCTTGATGTCTACAAGTAACACGCTGAAATGATGCAACCAGAGAATCCAGTTGTGTGTCCCATCGACACAATCCGACTCCTTTGCTATCTCAACACCAGCCGTGCTTCTCGTTAGCCACCCAGTCGATCGACTCTGCGATATTGCCCGTATGCGGAGGATACCACCGCAAGCTCGCTATGCTCTCTGTATCTCTATCCACCACCTCCGCTGAAGGATGAAGTATCCTCGCTGCTGCCACGGTCGCTGGTGACGGGTTCCACGCCTCGACCTCCTCCATCCTCCACTCCTGCGCCTCCCGTTGTGCCAGTGCCATAAGTGCTGCAATGGCGTCTACAGCATCCTCTTCCCGGCCGTCCTCAACCACCAACCGGAGGATGTGGAGAGTGTTCCCCTTCGCTTGAGTCGGGTCTGAGTTGTACCACATCCGCGTCCAGTAGCACCAAACACGCTTTCCCTCCTCGGTGCCTACCATGGCGCCTTTGACCTTGGGGGTTCTGCCATGAAGCTCCTGGCCGACAAAGTCCTCCCTAGCATGGTGCCAACGTATCGTTTCGATATCCGGAATCAGAGCCACGGCGATATTGCTCTCTCTCGTCCTCTCCTCCAACCTCTTCCGTATAATCCTCTCATCCGCCTTACACAACTCCTCCAGATCCTCCTCACACAGCGGCCGCGCTGTAATCCCCTTTGGTCCGCTACGAGACACCACCCCGGGTATAGAAATATGCGAAGACCGAAACGGCTCCCACCCATGACTCCTATAAAACTCCTTGCCGATATCCGAAAACAGCACCGACAAAAGACACTTCCTGCCCCCTTGAACCTGATGCGTCTCCAACACTTTCCCCACCTCCTGCATCATCCTAGCCGCATACCCCCTCTTCCGCAAATGCTCCGCGCAAAACACGCTCCCGACGCCGTGCGCAATCGTCTCCTCCACCTTCCCCTCGCGCCACACCAGCGCCCGTTTGCGATACGTCTCGCAGCTCGCGAGCGGCAGGCGGTGCGGGGAGGAAGGGTCCAGCGCGTTGTGCACGGCGGTGTCGATGAGGATCCAGTAGGTGATGCCGCCGTTGCGGGTGAGTTGCTGGTTGGAGAGGAGGGCTTCGCGGCGGAGGTAGGCGGGGAGGGTGAGGGCGCCGCGCCATTCGGAGCCGTTGAGGCGGAATTGGATTTGCTTCTCGGCTTCGGTGGGGTGGGCGAGGGCGAGGGTGGGTGAGGTGCCGGGAGGGAGGGTGGGCATGGTTGATGGGCTTGTGGAGGTGGTGTTGTATGTTGTTGGGTTGGTGGATCTGAGGGCGGAAAGACGGGCGGAGATGTAAGCGTGGAAGAGTGTTGTTGTCGTTGTTCTGATGTCTAGTGTAGTCGTAGATGGCCCCGTGTTTCAATTTGCATCGGAGGATCCGGAGAGGGTACAAGCTGCTCTCCGGACCCGCTTCTTATACGCCATTGTCGCCTTGTGTGGTGATTCAGTCAGGGCATCCCGAAGCTACCGCGCCTGTAGGTTCCGCTGATGGCCGAGGCAAAGCGCGGGGCGTCCTCACCGACGGCTTGTTGTTTGAAGGCATCACGCGGTGGATAGAACAAGAGACATCCCTGCTGAAGTGATGTTAGCTGGGAAAGACAGCTGGGAGGGGTTCTTACTATAGGGGCTACAAGTAAGAAAGTAGATCTGTCAAGTCATTTTTCTCCATAGAAAGAATCTGATGCTGGGGACCGAACGCAAGGAGGTGCAGACGTCATGTTGCAGCGCTAGCCAGGGGAAGCTATAGCTACCATCGAGGGCAACACGGGTTGCACAAATGCACAAATGCAAGTTAAAGGATGGTTATGGTTACTCCTTGGGGTTGCTTATTGTTGCAGCACGCTAAATACCTCCCTTTGGACCATCGATCATAGTTGGCCATAGATTATATAGGTAATGGAGATACACCCTCCGGCTTACAGGCCCGTTTCATGGGATGGTCTCCCTGTGAATTAACCTATATACTATGGTGTCACACTTCGCCGATGAAGCTACCCATCTCCGGTGGAGCCACTTGAAGGCATGGTATCGAGCTCAAACTTTGCTTTCCCTTCTTCGATCCATGTCTCAAATCTGAGCACACCCGCCTCCACTGTCCGTATTGGCGTGACTTTGGCCCCTCCAAGATCGTGCCCCTCGGTCTCCCTCCTAACTTTGGTCTGCTCATCCACCTCCGCACCCTTCCTTCCCGTCTTCTGCAAGCTACTCTGTGCCGGGATCCAAGGCTGGGGATGGCCTATTGGCGGATCAATCTCCGCTTCATCCTTTAGCTCCATGCAGACGTTGAAGGAGCAATTCTTGGGGAGCGGTTTGAGCCGCGAACAGCGACTGTTTAGCATAACCAATGCAGCGCGAAACTGTTCCGACATGTCCACGTCCGCCTCGAGCTCAGCCCGCGCGCCAGCGTCCGCGTTGGCTCCTGCGTTTGTCTCCCACTCTGCGTCCGAAGCCAACGCTTTTCTCTTCCCCTTGGACTCCGCCGTCCGGTTCCCTCCCTCCTCGTCAGAAAACCCCGGTGTCGCGCTCTTCGCCCAGTCAATCTGCATATTCCGCTCCTCTTTGTCGACTACGGGAAAGCGTGAGACGTCCAGCATGAATCTCTCGAGTATCTTCGCACTTCCGCCCTGCTCAACCCCTCCATACCAGTATATGACTATGCCTATGCGGGCCACGGTGCCGGCCAGCAGCTCGGTGTGGACCGCAGCAATCGCGTCGCGAACCCATTGGCAGACGGAGGGGTGACGCGACTGGAAGACCGGGGTGTTATGGAAGCGGGCGCGTACAAAGGACGTTCGAGGGTAAAGGCCGCGCAGGCAGAGCAGCGTGTGCGTGTATGCGAGCAGGAAGTCAGCAAAGTGATTGAGTTGGGCGAGGTAGGTCTGGGGCATGGTGGAGAATGGGAGAGATGTGGGCGGGTCGAGGGCAGCGGGGTCCCGCAACTGTGAGGCTTGCTTGGGTCAACAACGCGGAAAATAATTCTTCGAGCTTCCCCCTAACCTCAACACCCCTTCACGCAACACGAAAGCAGGCACGCCCACGCGACTCGGGGCTGCGATTCAACTACACATAGTTTCACAGCCTTTGCGACCGGCAGCACCGCACCTCCTTCTTCCGTCCGCAGTCAGAAAACCATCAGAACGGGACGAACGGGACATCACCCAACCCCGCGCTTTCCCGCCCAGCTTTCAACCCTCACCCTCACACGTCGGCTCGCGCTCACAAACCTCACCTCAACTGCAGTCAAATAACTTTCCTCTCTCATTGCGCACGCGTACTCCACCTCGCTCCCACTCCAACCATGGAGAAGCAAATCGTAGACCTTCTCGTCACCGTGCAGTCGGCGGCCGCCGAACCCCGCAAGGCCGCTGAGCAGCAATTGCACTCTCTCTGGAATCACCCGGACTACGCACCTGGTCTGGTTACGATCGCGTCACACGAGGATGTCCCAGTCGAGATTCGGCAGGCCGCACTGCTCACCCTCAAGCAATTCGTGACATCGTACTGGAGCTCTGCCTTCGACGAGTTCAAAGGCCAAAGCGGTGACACGCTCGTGCCGGACGAAGTGAAGTCGCGGATCCGAGAGCCTCTGCTCCAGCTTGCCATCTCTGATGGCGTCGACCGGAGGATTAAGGCTGCGGCGAGCTATGCGGCGAGCAAGATCGCCAGCGCCGATTATCCTGAGCAGTGGCCGGATTTGCTGGACAGACTTCTGCATATCATTCCGGGCGGCACTGAGGGACAGGTACACGGAGCTCTAAGAGTCCTGAATGATCTCGTCGAGGACGCGCTAGGCGAGCAGCAATTCTTTGGTGTCGCAAGAAGCCTCGTCAAGGTCCTGTACGATGTTGCAGTTGACGAAAGAAGAAATCCTAAACTACGAGCGCTGGCTGTCAGCGTCTTCCGCGAATGTCTCGACACTTTGGAGACTGTGATGGAGGAACACAAAGCCGAAGTCAAAGCGTTTGCCGAGGAAGTACTGCAGCAATGGTCGCCATTCTTCACGCAGGTTATGAGCTCGCGGCTACCACCTACACCGTCTGAGGAGGATGAGAATAACGAGACGCCCAACGCCGAGTTACACAAGAATATAGTAGCTCTCAAGCTTCAGGTCGTCAAGGTGGGTTCCGCCTTCATGCGGCTGGACGTTGTGGTACTGATGCCATGCAGGTCTTGATGCGGATACGGTCTGTCTTTCCCGCTCTACTCTCCCCGCAAACTCCAGCTCTGTTCCAAGCCACCTGGCACGAGCTTTCATCATTACAGGACGCATACTTTGAGATGTATATCCAGGATGAGCGGCAAAGCCGGTTAGAAGACTCGGATGGTCTCCCATATACCGTGGACTTCCTCGTCCTTGAGGAGCTCGATTTCATGCAGGCATGTCTGCGGGCACCCCCCGTGCGATCTCAACTGGAACAGGAACTTCACAACGCACCAGATACCCAACATTCATGGGTCACAGAAGTCATGAAGGTTGCTGTGGCTTATGCCCAGATCACCAACGAGGAGGAAGGCCTCTGGGACTATGACGTTAACACCTTCTTGTCTGAAGAGTCTAGCGTAACTGCGAACTACACACCTCGAACGGCATGCGGCGATTTGGTTATCAAGCTGGGCGAATGGTTGCCTCAGCCGACCGTCGACGGGTTGCTGGCATACACACAAACACTCCACCAGACAGACCAGATCTGGCGAGCAAAGGAGGCCGCGCTCTACGTGCTCAACCAGTTGCTCAACGATTTCCATGAAGTCGACAAAGAGGTCGATCCTAACGCTGCGAACGGTTTCCTGGAGTTCATACATTATGCCATGCAACAGCCTAATCCATTCTTCCGAGCACGGGGCTATCTTGTAGCTGGAAGTCTTATACGAATAGCAAAGGACGCTCTTCAGCACGTTGCGCCTTCGTTCCTTGAGCGGTGCCTTGCGGCGATCAGCAACGACGATGCCGATGTCGTGCGCGTGTCGTGCATTCGCGCATTGCAGTACTACACGCAAGCTCTTCCCCCTTCAATCATGAGCCCGTTGCAGGAGACGATCATCTCGGCTGTAACCACGTATTTGAGTAGTCAAAGCCTCGAAGATCTCGCCGAGAGCGACGACCTCATGGCAGAACTCGTGATGACGCTCCGGGATACCATTCTCCTTGATCCCCAGAGATGCCTATCGGGGACTGGGTTGGAACAGCTACTGAAGATCACTAGTCAGTTCGCGGACAACTTCCAGTTGACGGGTATAGTATATGACGCCTTCGAAGACCTCACCCCCAGGCTCACGGGCATTGGTCGGGACACCTACGAAGAGCTTTGCAGAAAGGTTCTCCCCATTCTGAATGAAGAGCTGGTCGTGGGGAACCTCACCGAACAGATCAACCGCAACACGTTTGCGGCCTCACTCACCTCGGTTCTGGCCGAGCACGGTGTGGATCCCCTCCCTGACTACTTCACAACTCACATTCTGCCCAATGTGAATCACATCCTCCTCTATGCCGCGGACGAAGAGCTATTGAAGATGGCAACGGACACGTCGAAGAATATCATTGCGCACGCGCCTAAGAACCTTTTCGACTGGGAGGCCGACCAAGGGAAGACGGCCCACGAGAACCTTGTCAAGATCCTTTCGACTGTGGATCGTCTACTGTCCAACCAGGTCAACGACATGGCCGCAGGTGAAGTGGGCGCACTTGCTGTGGCCATCGTCGAGAAGGCTACCCCTGACCGGCTGGGACCGTTTCTGTCACAACTGCTCGGTGCAGTTGCAGTGAGGCTGAATTCGGCGACCCATGTGCCCTTCATCCAGAGTCTAACGCTCGTCTTTGCAAGGTTCTGCCTCAATAATGCAAAGGATGTGGTCGACTTCCTTGCGGGGCTGGACGTTGCTGGGCAGAATGGACTGCAGGTTGTTTTGTCCAAGTGGCTCGAGAATATGGTCAGTTTCGCAGGTTATGAGCAAATCAGTCAGAAGTATGGAACTACTCCCCTACTTCCCGTTGCATGAGCTGACTAGTGTCATAGCTGCGTTGCCCTCACCAAGATCTACGAATTGAAAGATCCGCGCGTCGAGCAGACGGTGGTCAAGGGGGATCTGATAGTTCCCAAAGGTGACGGCCGCATCATGACCCGCAGCCGCGCCCGAGCGAGTATGTGTTGCACTACTATCATTCCCTCTGTGGAGACATGTGCTAACAATCTCTCCCCAGATCCAGACACGTACACTGTGATCCCCGCGCCGCTCAAGATCCTCAAGGTGCTCATCGCCGAGCTCACCCCGGGCGGGAACCGCGAGCTGTCCGCCGAAGAGGCGGCCGAGCTGGCCGAAGAAGGCTCGGGCGACGAAGACTGGGAAGACGAACCCAACGCGTTCCTCGATCTGACCAGCGGGCTCACCAAGGCGCAGATCATGGGCATGGTCAAGGACGAGCCCGCCGCTGGGCGCGGGGCCGATGACGACACGCAGCGGTTCCTGGTGGATTTCTTCACGAGGGCGGCGCAGAACGAGGGGTTCAAGGAGCAGTGGGGGTTGCTGAGTGAGGAGGAGAGGACGAAGTTGACGGAGAGTGCGAGCTAGTCTGGGAGACTGTTACTCTCGACTGAGTTTTCCTGAACATGTTTGCAGCTGTGTGCGTAGGCCCCATGGGGCTGGCTAGATGGATGGGTTTTTGGGTATAGGGGGTACGGGCTGTCGTGGAGGGGTTTACTCCCTATGGTGTATGGGGTTATCAAAGGCGGTGGGTGGCGCGGATTTTTGGTCTATGACAGGAACAGTGGCAAGCAGGAGGAAAACAGGTGTATACCGGTGTGTGTATGTATGTCTATGCGTGCGGTATTATCCATCCATCGATACGATGTTTCGATGAGCGAGGGGATAGCATCAATCGTGGAGCAGGCTCAGTGACAGCAACTAAGCGATTCAGAATCCAACTAGATGGTGTTATTCAGTTTACTAAGTTGAGTATTCCACCACTTTTCCTTGCTCTTCCTCTTGCCGGGCAAAACAAAGCAGTGCAGTCAACGCGAGATCACACTGTCAGACGCCTCGCTTGCAACTGAAGACAACAAGAGAAGGCATTGTGAGGCTGTGCTCGCCACACACACACACACTCGCACGCACGCAAGCGTCAGAGCCATCGGCCTCGCCATTCGCGATAGGAAGCACTTGTTGGAATGGAGAGCGTTTTGTAAAAGGGAGGACATGTGACGTTGATTCATGCCCGGTTCATGCGAGCGCCACGCCACCTAGCCACTGCACCGCCACACACGAAGCGCGCACATCGCGAGCCCCGATGAATATGACTAATAACACATTGAAACGAATTGTCATCGCCCAGAGCGCCAGCGTCTTCGAAAATGCCCCAGCCGGCTTTTGTAGACTAGCGTTTACCAGACTTGCAGGCGCATGCGTGGCATGGCAAAGGCGATGTTGACGAGTGAGGTGTCGGTGAAGAAAGGGCTTGTTGGTTCGGTCGAATTTGCTGGGTACGGGGACGTAGCATAGGGCTGGGGATGAACCTGTAAGGCGGGGATGCTGCGAAGCGCAGCGGTTTGCTCGGGCCGGTGGTATTACTAGTACAGCAGTATGGAGTAGTCTACCGGTACAAGAGACCGGTGATAGCGACGGCGGAAGCAAAGCAAGTACCTAGAAAACAGCGATAGCGGCACCGTAGCAAAGGTAGCTACGCATGAAGATGGATCCATCTGAGCTGTCGGATGCGTTGTTCTCTGATAAGGGAATCCTTTCTCTCTTCGCCCCGGAGACTGAATGATACTGATAGACCTCCCTGAACCAGCGGACAATTGCAACAACAACAACAACAACCCACGAACCAATAGGGGAACGCGGAACGACGTTTCCTCGCTAAACGAGGCATCAAAATTCGCCAAAGGTTTGTGGGCAGGGCCAAGATTTTCAATGTGGACTTGGTTGATAAGTGCAGGGGCCGCAGGGACGGCAAAAGCAAAGAGACACGGACGACTCATCAACGACTGGGATGAGGTTTCCATGCACAGAACAGAAGGCCGGGTGGTGGCGCTCCCGGTGAGCAGTGGTGATTGGATAGGGCTTGGTGTTGTGGTTCATGTCCACGTTACTCGGCCGCGCAGCAGAAGAAGGGCAAGGAGAGGGCTGCATGGACGAGGACCGCGACCATGGCACAAGGTGAAGGATTTGCTGCGCTGTTCGCTGTTTATCGCTGCTGCTCATCAACTTGGAAATGGGATTGGCGCGCATACGGAGGCGTGCAGCCGCTACTGTTGATAGCGGACTGAAAAGTTGGGACTGTCGCAGAGTTGCGGTAAAGGAAATGACAACTGGACAACTGGCAGACTTCTCCGTACTGAATGCGGCGAACGTTCGCAGGCAGCAGGCAGCAGGAATGTTTTGTGAGACATTATTATTCTTGTCGAGTGAAAATTTTTGCAGGGCGGAGATGAATGTTTGGTCGTTGCCGGACCGTGCTCTGTGTGTGTGGCAGAAAAGGAGGGAAAAGGAAAAAGGGATGGCTGGCGAGGTGCTCGAGGGGCAGAAGGGGCTCCGAGCGGGCGGCGGAAACGAGAAGGCCAGCCAGGAAGAGCCCAGCAGCGACGAGTGCGGCTCAGCGCACCACGCAACGGCTGACCAGGGCTTTCCAGTGCGCCGTTGGCTGGTGTCCTCTTGAATTTCCACACACAGTGGACTCGTTTCGGACCAGGCACCAACAACTCCACAAAGGAATCCACAAGCCGTGATCCCGTGGTGATGGGGCGGGCTAGAGAAGCGACCGAGGCGGTGGAGAAGAGGGGGCTGATCACACGAGAAGCGTTACTCGTGTACTCCGTACGGAGTACTCCGTATGGAGTAGAGATTCACTCTCGTGTGAAGAGTGAATTTTGAATGATGACGGGTTGCATGCGAGTGTGCGCAGAAGCCAGAAGGAATCCTCGGCGTCCGACCGGGCTGGCGATGCCCATGTGGATGGAGGGACCAGAGGGTGGCAGCATGGCAGGGCAGCAGGGTGCCAGTCCTACTCGGTGCCCAGTGCTTCCATGTCTTCTGCTCTCTGCACGCTGCATGGCTTGACGAATCTGGTTGCGAGTATCCGACCGTCATGACATAAAGATGAAAGGATAAAACTGGAAAAGTGGATCTGGAGGTGGGCGCAGCGACTCGAGCGAGAGCGAGAGAGCCACGCTGGCAACAAGTCGTCGAGACTCGTACTGTCGTACTCCTGTGTACTCTGTTCAGTGCAACGTATTTCCCTTAGCAGATGAAAAGAGGACACCTCTCAGGAGGCTAATAAACAGCAGAAACCCGTTGGAGTGTCGCACAGAGAAGAGAAGACGAGTGCTGACTGTGTGTACCACACACCTTTCGCTGGTGCCAGGGGCACGGCAATATAAAAATGAAAGACGGTCTCCAATCTTACCACAGTGAATATTACCCACCCGACCGGGAACGGCATAATGGATGACGCCGCCTTCAGGCAGCGACGGGTCATGCCCTCGACTGCAATTTTTGGCGGCAATCAAATCATCTTCTTCTCTGCGAAAAGGAGTCGATGGCCGCGTGAGTCTCTCAGCCGCGAGAGTATTCTATAGGGCTCAGAGGGAGTCAGAGTCACACCCTCAGCGGCGAGTGAAATCACGAGTCACGGCTTGGGCTGACGACCCGCGGGTGAGGAATGCCATCGGCCCACGGCTTGGCCGCGCTCGCATCTCCCAAAGCGGGCAAGTGCCAAAGGAGTCAAGACGGAGCAGGCGCAGCTGGCATGGCACGGATGCCCACAAGCGCTTGCAGGGGCCAATTCTTGGCACTCCTCCCCCCTGCCGTCTCGCCCACTGACAGGAAACTCAAAACCTTCGCCTGCCCGCCCTCCCGCGCCTCGCCCCCCTCCCTCTCTCCAAAGTACCTTCACCACCAAATATTCGCCCCATCCAACCGAGCACCCAAACGACCGCTCGCCGCCGCAACGCTCTCACGCTCGCGATTACGGATCCTCACGCTGGATCCTTCTGGTACCATCTGGTCTCCCACTCCGATCCATTCTCCATGTTCAGCGCACAGCAACAGCTTCCCTCCTCTCCTTCCGCTGTCGCTCCACCCTTCTCATCCGCCCTCGACCGCTCCCGTCGTCACACGCACGGTTTGCAGTCTCCACGGTGAATCCAGGCGCCGTGCCTGACTCTCCTTTGCTCTCCTGGTCCGTCTCGGGCTCATCGCCTGCTCTGAAACACTCAACAACACCAACAATCCATCATCCATCGACATCCCCCCCACGACCACAATGGCCTACGCACCTCACTATCCGACTCCTCCGCCCTACATGCCCTTCGACTTCCACCGCACTCCGCCCGTGTCGCCTGCTCCAGGCGCACACTACTACTCCCCGAGATACGGACCGCCGACCGCTACTCCATCCCCGCGCGTCTCTCCCAAGGTGTCCGCACATCATCACAGACGAGCGTCGCAGGCCTGCCCGCCACCGCCCTACCCTTCCTATCAGTCTCCTCGCGGAGGAGCGGCTCCTCAATACTATCCAGACTACGCGTCCCCGCGCTATCAAGCAACGCCGCAGCAGCAGCGCGTGCCCGACTATGTAAGTGGTGGTTTCGATTACAGCACACGGCCGAGCCGGCCTCGGCGCCAGTCTGATGCCCCGCCTCTCAAGCGCTCCCATCGCGAGAGGAAGCACAGCAAGTCGCACGCCCGCTGTGTACGGACCAAGATCTTCTACGATGACGGTGGTTACGGCTACGAGTACATCTACGACTATCCGCCGCCGCCTTACGAGCCGTACCCGCGGCACGACACGTACGGAGTTGCTGATGGCTATTACTCTGGTCAGGTCCCAATCTATGCCGATGCAGAGCCCAAGGCGAGCCGTCCCCGACGTGCGTCTCACGCCAGCCGACCCCAGCCCGCTCCCCCCAAGCGACCCACAACCAAGAAGTCGCCCCAGGCTACCGAAGAGGACGCGCGCCGCGCCGGCATCCCTGCTGGTTACTCGTACAAGAATTGGGACCCCACCGAGGAACCCATCCTGCTGCTAGGCAGCGTCTTCGATGCCAACTCGCTTGGCAAGTGGATCTACGACTGGACCGTCTTCTACCATGGCCCCGGAAGCCCCTTCGCCGAGATGGCGGGCGAGCTCTGGCTCCTCCTCATCCAGCTCGCCGGCAAGGTCAAGCGCGCCGAGGAGATCATGCCCAAGATCCGCAAGCAGGAAGGTCGCGAGCTCGTCGAGGACTTTCTTGAGAGCGGCGAACGTCTCTGGATCCGCTTCGCCAAGCTGCTCAAGGTGTGCGAGGAGTACATGTGGAAGGCGGCGAAGAAGGAGAACGGCGACAAGAAGCCCGTCTCCATGGGCAAGAACAGCGGCTGCGAATTTGTCGACTCCATCTTCGGACGCGACCGCGAACTCGAGAAGACGGAAAAACTCATGACGGGCATGCGTCTGTGGAGCATGCGTTTCGATGCAAACTGCGAGGAGTACCTGCGTCACCCCTCGGCCTAGATGGTTCCTCCGTTGGCGTTCTACGGATGACTTGCTTTAACGGTTCCGGTTCCTTTCCTCAGTCCCTCGGGATTCTTATTGCCGCTCTCTCGGCTACTGCACTGCTTGCTCCTACTGCGCGAGATACCCGTGCGAACTGATTTTGTCTCTGCTTTAATGTAATTGGACTTTTGTTCCTTTTTTCCTGGCGAATACCCCACTTGTACTACTACTGCACTAGATTTCGACTGCATTGGGCGGGTCATGGTCATGACAAAGGGAAAAGTTGGCTTTCCTTGCTATACCCCAGCCTTTTCCTCTCTCGTCCCTCTCCTATTCAGTCATCTCGCTATTGGGGTACTATTGGGTTTTTCACTTTTGTTTGGCCGGCTGGGCTGGCATCTTTTCTTTTCCATCTATCTACATCCTTGAGCCGTTCCTCATCTGTTTCTCTTGGGTTTCGGTCGAGAGACGTGTCTTAGAAATGGGTCCACCCGATTCCCACGTTCTCGGGCACCCTGGTACCTCGCGGTCAAAATCCTCTGCGAATATACCCCCTTGATTTTTTTGTCTTTTAGCGTAGTTTGGAATATTATTGTTATCTAAATCTTGCATATGATGGAGTCGCAACGTGAATCTACTGTTGGCTCGCCTACCTAGGATGATGAAGTCACAGTCTTGGTACGATGAGGCTCGCCTGCATGCAGCGACTTCAGCCCGCATCGCAGCGAACTGAAACGCGCCTGGGCGAACTGCTGCCTCGCTCGCATCATTGGTTTGTGGATGTCTCAGATGGTCGCGTATCTGTGTTTACGCTACTGCTGCCTAGGAGGATGCCTGCAGTGCGCTTATCCACAGAGTCATTGTCTCATGTCCAACAGGGTTCCCATTCCCCTCCCGGTAGAGTAGTTTACCACTTCTACGGAGGCACCTAGAATCTTGCCAGTAGCCTATAGAAATGACCTACCAACCTACGTACCGTACGGAGAAGACGGGAAGAGGTGGTTGGGCACTTCGGAAGAGTCACGGGGGCAACAGCTTTCTCAGCTCTCAAATCTTTCACCTCTCTCTCAGCTCAGCTTTTCCGTCATGCACAGCATGGACGGGAGGGAGGAAAGAGTCACACGCCCCCTCTCTCTGCGCAAAATGGGCGCTTATTTGATTGGTCTCGAGGCACTCTGAGTGGGTGGTGTAGGAGATGTGCCGCGTCTGTACAGGCAGGCTGGCGGTAGGCAGGCGGGCGGGTAGAAGGCAGACTTGACGATAGTCGTTGTTTGACGCCTAGGTGATGGGATGGGTTGGGTTGGGACGGGACGGGATAAGGTGCAGATGCAGGGGCGGACGAGATGCAGGCGTTGCTCAGCCTTATCGATCAGATTGAAGATACACAGTGAATAGCGCAGGATAAGCGCCGGTGGGCGTAGGCTGCAGCGTGCGTGTGTGTGTGCCCTCCCTCCCTTCCATCCTGTCTGGGAGATTTGCTGCGCCGAGAGACTGTGTGGGTGGATGGGTGAGAAGCGAAGAGGCGCAACTGGTTTGTGATGACTGGATTGTGATTGTGTGTGACCGTGTGCTGTGGTGTGCCTGTGAATGATTGCCTCTCTCATACTTTTCTTTCTTTTTCCCCTTTTTCCCCTCTATTTCTTGGCGTTTTGCGGCAAGAGGGTGTGGCTCGCGGCGCTTATAGGGAGATAGGGACCAGCTATGGAGGTACAGTAGGGTGTGAGTAGGCTCAGTATTGTAGTGTACTGTATTGCTACGTATGCAGCTCATCTCATCTCATCTTATTCCAGACCTGTCTGCGCAAAAGTACGGGCAGGTGGGGTGGAACGGGAATCATCGTATGCAGCGTACACAGTACAGTAGTAGTCTACACGGATACCGATATCAATCGAGCATTACACCTAGACGGAGACCGAGCGATGAGATGGCTTCCTCCGCGGGGAGCGGCGCCGCGGCTCGGTGCAAAAGAGATATGGGAAAAAGCAATGGACGGGTGCTTGTCTAGGCAACTGGATAGTGGGTATCTTTGATATCTACCTATATAGTTGATTCATAGTATTCTTTGATTTGCACACCTCTAATAGTGTACAGAATATATTCGTCGTTGAGACGGGTGATATCCCGTTTCTCTAGTTGGTTAGTCGAATTTTGGCTAGGGTACTCCGTACATGTATATATGTAGGGTACCGAGCACGTCTCCTTATCTAGCATCACTACGAGAAAATCTAGGCACCAGTGTCCGCGGCGACGGGATGGGGGACTGCAGTTATGTACATAGTTTAGCAGGTTGTCAACTTGGGAAGGATGCGTTCCTGCGTGTGGGCTGTCTCCGCTGGATCGGTGCGGCGGTCTTGCAGTACCCTAGGGTATGATGTGTGTGTTGCACGATATTTATTTTAGTAGTACGAAGTAGTGCTCTATAGATGTGGCCGAACGAAGTTGAAACGAGTACGTATTCGAAGGAGAGCAGGACTTCTCAAATGCGGTACATCGCTACCAAGGCTAGAAGGCGGGTAGACTATCTGCTGCTGCACAAATGAGGAGGAGGGGGGGTGGTTCCCGAGTACGAGGTACCACAGCGGGTTGTCGTACTTTGTTTGGATCGGTTCGCAGCGGGGGTTGAGGCGTTCAGCGGTCATCGGTCATGCATGTGTGGTTGTTCGGGCCGAGAATGCTGGGTTGCATGGTGATGCGCAGGTGTTGTGCCGTTGGAGTCACTCCGTACATAGTACACTGTATCTGGATGATTCGCTGGCCAATGAGAGGTTGAGGGGGTGAATCTACACAGTTGGAGGAAGTAGAGAGTGAAAAAGAAGTGGCTGGGTTGAATCAAACATGTTGACATTCGTTCATAGGAATTTATCACGAACGATCTATCGATCAGAACTTTTTCAAGCTTCCCTCCCAGCTCCTCCCAGCCTCCCATTTCCCAAAAATGACACCTTCCCTTCCACGATCCTGTACGGAGTATATGCACCGTCATCCCAATCCAGCCCCCTCCCCAGGTCCCTCTCCTCCACCCCGCCCAACGTCACCTCCCACCTCCCCACCATCAACCCGCAGCCCAATCAATCACCCTCCCTGCCGCCGGCCCTACAGGTCGCGTACACGGCCTCTCCACCATCCACCAACCTTCCAGAAGGCTTTGCTTACTGTGCAGTCTGCACCGCTCATGCCGCTTACCTACTACTAGCCAGTAAGCAAATACGTTAGCATCCACGCGATGCCATCCTACCAGTACCCTAGGGTAGTATTGTGTGTTGTACTGTGGTATGGTATGGTATGCATGTCGTCGGGTCAGCAGGACAACCACGAGGAGAGGCTAAATCTGCATGCGCGACGCACGATGCATGATGCACGATGCACGGTGAGCGAACCTGGAAACTGCAGGGCGGCTATTTCTAGAAGAGGGGCGGGGCTGGAATTTGTACGGTGAGTGATGGTGATGTCCGTTTCTTGGGAGGCTATTTTGAGTATTGGGGGCTTGGGTCGAGGTAATTTTATAGCCTTGTACTTGTATGAGTGTTAAGCGCCGTGGTGTTGTATTGATTGGGAGACCGTCGGGGTGTATTCAGGTTGAGGGGTAAGCCGGGGAGGTGTAAAGGGTGCATGGTATGATGGATACAGGAAAGTGTAAGGTGGTTTCGATATCTAGGTGTGTATGCGGCGCTTAGGGGTTTCAGACAGTGGAAACCGTTGAGGAGTCCGAATGTTGGACGGAGATGAAGGGGTGGGTAAATAAGGAACGACTCGTTGTTGGACTTGGGATAAGGATTGTACGCCCGTCCAAGTGTAGAGGCTAGAAAAGCCACGAAATATACTGTTCGGTACCTGAAGAGACAGTACAACTACGCTTTTTTACCTCTCAACAAGCTAAGTGGAAATGTACACCCATTTCTCTGCCCAAGAGGAAACCATGACTGAGATGAGCGCCTGACATTGACACCGTTATCCTACCGACCCTCCATACATGTCTATTGGTTCGTCTATCAATTATTTATCCATTATAATTACTAGTCCGAAACCCAGTATATCCCATTGTGGCCAGAGACTGAACGGAGTATGGCGCCTGCATACTCCCTCTTTGAGTTCAAAAACGTTACCAGATCCCACGCCGTCGCTCAAAAGCGTAATCCGTGAATGAATGTAGGTCATACCCTGTCGTCCAAGACAAGAATCCATAAAGAATGTAGCCATCAAACCGTCTCCCGTAACAGCTCCTCGTCCACGGGCTTCCATGTCTCATGTTCTAAAAAAGATGAAATATATACCGAATCCTGCGACGATCCAAGAGAGCATACAGCAGCAGTGGAAATCAGCCTGTTCCCTGAACTTCAGCATTCTAATCCCTCGTCATATGGTCGGAGCTGCGGGCCCTCATGGTAGTTCTAAACATACATGAGATTCCTCCCTTGCCGTCCCCATTGTTGCCCTCTGCGCTTCAACGTCAATGTCCCGCTCGGTGTAGGCAGTGATGGACTTGATGACGAGCGCGAAGTCGCCCGATTGTTCGCCGAAGAAGCTATGTTTATCGTGGTCAGGAAAGTTGAACCTCTATGACTCTGATCATCAAAGGGCGAACCTACCTTCTGACCATGATGCTGATCTGCCTGATGTGCTTCGTGTCCAGATCACTGGCATTGTGCTTCTTCCTGCCGCGGTAGGTGGGCTGGAAGAGGCCCCAGGGCATGTAAACCCTGACCATCTCCTTCCTGCCGGCGGGAGTGGCGGGCGCAGGCGGAACCGAGACGACTTCGTCTTCGGGATTGACGTAGAACTCCGCGTCGAGCAAAACTGCCTCCTCGGCGGCGTCATCTTCCCAAACGTCGATATGCTCAAACTCACTCTCGTCCTGCTCATCCTCCTCTCTCTTACCCTCCTTTACCCCAAGCTCTTTCCTCTTAGTCACTTCCTCCTCACTGTCATCCTCCAGCGCCTCGTGCCACACGGTGCTCCCCGTACTAACCCTGGGAACATCAAAGTCGAACTCCCAGTTGATGCTCGACCGCTCCCTGCCGTCAGGCCTCTTGGGGAGAATGGTGTCCTTTATGACGAACGTGAACTTCTTATCGTTCAATCTGCCGGCCTCGGCTTCTAGCTCCAGCACGATGCCGGAGTATGCAGAGAGGTCCCAGCCCTCCGGGGGAATGTTGGTGGTGCGCTGGGAAGCGAAGCCGGCAGAGCCGAGGGTGGCATAGTCGAGGTGGCCCCAGAAGAGGAGCGTCTCGGATGTGGGGAGGGAGACGTGGGACTGTAGGGTGTGCTTAGTGGTGTATCACAGGTGCATGAGACGTTGCGCGTGATGGTGGGAGAACAGCAAGGTCAGGGGCGAAATCAGAGCAGTTTGGTTGGAATATCGCATTGCGAAAGCACGGTGAATGTTATGATTGATGGAGCAAGAAGCAGCAATACAAAAACATCAAAAATGGCATCAAGGTTGCAAGTGCACAACTTACAACAGACTTCCCGCCCCTCACACGGTCATCACTCGCCGTCCAGTCCCTTGTGTCCCAGCCTCTACAACGGGTATCAGTACTCACTCATCCGTTTCATTCTCCCGCACTCTCCCATTCCAAGCGTCAGTGAGCAGTTAGATATCACATACCTTGAACCACCATAAAGCACACAGTTTTTGGACGCCGTCATCATCACCTAAACAGCCCCAACACAGATCCAACAACTCCAAACTGAACGCAGGTAATATGGGATGGGAGAGAGAGTGGAGTGAAGGTGGAAAGGTTTCTGCGAACCGAAGCTCCTCCACAACAAACATGTGGTGCGATGACTTCATTGGTCCGGCCCGATCAACGGTCCGTGCATCTATCATCACCATGTGCGAATCTCAACACCACACTTGGACAGGAAATCTCGATTGGATATAAACCGACATCTAACGTCGACAACATAGGGAGAGTCACTATCGCTACTCATTGTTTGTTGGAGAACGGGACGCTGCTTATGTCTCTTTCTCTTCGGTGGTGAAGATGGACTTCCGACCCCTCAGTCAAATGGGCGAGACAGATGACGATCTCTTGCAACATCCCTGGAGACCGTTCTATTACATCTTTGGTGGGAAACCGGCAATAGTGAAGCAGTACGTTATATCCTCTCTTTTCCCTCCTATCCATCATTTTAGAAATCGTTCTGACCGAGTTGCAGAAATAACGACTACGATCGCTGGGTCTTCACAGAACGGCCGCTATTCGGACCGCTGCTATTCGAGAATGCGCAGAGTGATGCCAGAGATCACGCGGCTAACGAGAGGAGTATGTTCTGCCGTCATTTACTCTCTTCCATCTTCTGAATCTGCGAAAGAAAGACGTCGGTTGCTGACATTGCATCAGCATTTCTGTCGTGGCTGCGGCTCTCAATCTTTATGGCTGTTGTATCCGTGGCTATAGTACTATCGTTTCACTTGAAGCACAAACCTAGTGACATTGGTGAGTTGATGTGTTTCTGTTTGGTCACGGTCACTTTTCGTCCCCAGTCAGACCAGCCTGCACATGTGATTTGGAGATATTCTCCTGATTCTCGAGTGCCGATTTTAGAGTCCCCATTCACATGCGCAGCTTCTAAATTTCACTTTTGGATATTCTCCCAGTTATCTGTCTTCGCTTGATCTACAGTCGCCCGTTCTCCTGCGCTCTCACCGACTCCCTCATCCCTTTTTCATCTCTTCGCCTATCCCTATCCAATCACATCCCTATCGCGCCATCTCCCCTTCCTCCTCCCCTAACTAATCCTCTCAGAGCTCAACATGGCCCTCCCCTTCGGCATCATCTTCTGGATCCTATCTCTCGCCTGCCTCCTCTCCGGTCTCGCAAACTACCTCCGCACCGTCTCGCGCTACAGCCGGCGCGCCGCCCTCGTGCAGGCAGGCTGGAAAACGCAGGTTTTATTTACGGTTGTGGCGACGGCGATCGTGGCCGCCTGTGTGCTGTTTTTGGCGACGAATGCAAAGAGTTCGAGGTGAGTGTGAGGGAGCTATGCTGGACTATTTACCTAGTTAGGGTTGTTTTGAGCTTGGGTAATGAGCTATGAGGATATGATATTTACGGCCTTTAGGGACGACGAGACAATGGCGAAGCATTATCATTTATCATATATCCATCTCCTTGATGTACGAAGATATCAGCATCTATCAATGAATGCCAGATAATCAAGAGCGTTCTCGGAGAGGTTGTATCGATCAAACATTTTCCTATAATAATGGTTCACATACCCTATCATCGAGCTACTATCCAAGCTGATATATACCGCCAACCCAGTATCCAAAAAGGAGCAACGCCAAACACCGGATCTTGTCACCGCTGTGGGTGGGATCGACTGGTGGGATGCATGCCGCTGGGAAATATGATGCTGCAACGCCCGCCATGTGCCCGCTTTTATCGCCTCGTGTCCTTCGCAGTCTTTTTGCTTCCTCTACATTGACGTCCTGTCGGGCGCCACTCAAGTCCTATTCCTAGGCCTTGGAGGTTTCGGCCCTTCCATGAAGAAATTTCCGTTCAACCACCGCTCTCAAAGCTTAACCGCAGGTAACCTCAAGACGCGGACGGGACAGGGACCCCCATCTGTGCCGCCAACCTCTCCTCCTCTTTCCGTAGCCTTGCAGCTTCCGTCTCCCTTCTGAGCGCCTCCAGATTCCACGCGCCACCAGCCTCGTCGTCGCTCTCGTCCTCGCTGTCCTTGTCCCATCCGCCCCTTTCGAACATGGCACGGCCTGTAGCATCCTTCATCTGCTTGGCCTGCTCCTCGGCAGCCTTCTTGTCCATACGCTCCTTCTTCCACTTGGCGAATGTCTCTTCCGTGACAGGTGTGAGTGTTCCGGTGAGCTTGTGTCTCTCCGACTCGAGGAAGTCTTCCAGCGTGAGAGTCGCCATCGGCGATTTGTCCATGAGGGCCTTCTCCGCAGCCCGCTGTTCCTTGGTCTTGATAACGAATCTGCGATTCATTAGCCACAATTCCAGGAATGAGGAACCTTCGCAGGGCCGACTCACCCAGGCGGCAAGCTGTGCTTATACATGCACTTATCCCCTCCATTCGGACACACCCAGAACCAGCCATACTTTTGATTCTCAATCGCCTCAATAAAGTACTTGCACACCTTATCCGTCGTCGTCCGCTGGTTCCCCTTCTTACTCAAAATCACCTTCTTCAACTTCTCCTCATCCCAATCCTCCATATTATCCTTCCTCTTCGCCTCCTCCTCCTCCTCCTTCGACTTGTCCCGACTATCCGTATACAAACTCTTCTTCTCGCTCTTCCGCTCCACCGCCAAGTCATGCGAGAACTTGCACTTCTTGCCCTTGTCGCATGCCCCCTTCTTGTAAAACTGGCACAACACCGTCTTGGGATCGACGCCAAAGGGTACTTTCTGTACTTGTACGGGTTTGAAGAGCTCTGCCGCTTCGCGTTTGGCCTCCTCGGCGGCTTTCTTCTCCTTCTCGCGTTGTAGCTTCTCGGCTTCTTTGCGCTTCTGGTCCGGGGTTTTGGCGCTGGCGGAGGCTTGTTGGATTTGTTTGATTTGTTTCTGGGCGGCGCCGCCTTTTTTCTATGGAAGAGGGTTAGTTGGATGGGAAGCCTGGAGGAGGACGAGTCGTGGAGCCGTGGCAGTGGTTCGGCTTGGGAGGGTAAAGAGGTCTATGAACGTACATTCTTCATACCAAAAGTCTAATGCGCATATTAGTATACTATTGCCATATTCCGGGGTTTGATACACACCTTGTCAACAGCCACCTTCTTCTCCTTCGGCTGGTCCTTGCCTTTGGGAGCCATGATGAATTTCTATATTCTTCTATACTTCCAAAAAGGGGGTGCTGCACAAGTCCGGTCTATCCAAAAACTGATACGGGTCGAGTCCTAGGTGTGGCGTGTGCCCGGCGGCAATGGTTATCCTAGGCGTGGAGTCAAATGCGAGTGACGAATGTGTGGTGGTGGGGTGGAGCGGGAGATTCGGGCGGCGGCGGGCGGCGGAACGGCCAAGGCGCCAAGCCTTTCTCCGCGCCGAAGCTCAGAGGTGGCTTTTGGATGCAAGGACAGCATCGGAGAGCTGTCAAAACAGCGGACAGGCCCCAAATAAATCGAACACCAGTCCGAGATTGCCTGGCAAGTCAAAGAGTAATATCAATGCTCTATATACGTATCCATCTGCTAACTGACCTTCAGAAACGCCGCACGCTTTCTATAACGATTCGACACCACCATGATTACCGACGGTCAGCTCTACACGCTCGCCATCTTCCTCGGAAGCGCGTCCATGATCCTCATCGTGCTATACCACTTCCTCGAGGTCAATTCGGATGACCATGTCGCACCGCAAAAGCAGAACCTTGTAGCAGGAAAAGCACGGAGTTAGACGGGTTCCCTCCGGCGATTCAAATGTCGACTATTATACCCCGGCGTAAAGGAGTAACTGGGACAATCTTCGATTGGATGGAGCGAAGGAGGCACATTCGGGTACTAGCTCACTTGTACGATGAGAGTGTCGAAGGGCCTAGGACCGCCTTATAGATCAGGAGCCCTGGGTATCATATTCTGGTGGTGATTCTGTTGGCCCATCACACTCATCCCATATGACTGAGAGGCGCCCCTCAAAACTGTGGTACAAAAACTCGATAGCATTAAGACACCCGCTATGCAATGTACTCCAGGCTATACCGCTACAGAGTAACGATCCCTCCGTTTCGGTGTCCCTTTATATCATTCCGCGTCCACAATTTCCGGCTCCGTAGTATCGTCATCGGAAAAACCCCTTCTTCGCTTGTCGTTCACTAACGTCGCTCCGCCGCGGTCAATGCCCGGCCCTCCCATCCGCCTTTTGTGAGCCACCAAACGTTCTTGTGTCGCAAGAGCCTCCTGCTCCTTTGTCGTCTTTGGTTTTGGCGGCCGCCCACGGCGAGGGGTGCCGGTTGTCGAGGTACCGCCTGTATATTGTGATACATCCACGGAGATCCGGGGCGTGACACGGCGGCCTTGCGCATCGCTGAGGTAGTCGTCTACTTCGTTCGCATCTGAATACTAGTCAGTGGAGGTCGGTCGATAAGGTCCAGATCACGTACCAGAGAGGCCACTTGCAGGTCCATCTCCAAGCTCCCATGATAGTGGACCGAAGTGCCTAAGCTCAAGATGTTCACGCCAGCTGGCTTCATCCACAAAGGACAAAGGTGCATGCCTTTCCATACGCATACCCGACATTGAATCTACGTTAGTGACTTCTCTCCCGCAATCGCCCCAAAAGCATTCCAGAGTGCCTCGGAGAGTCTTCTTGCAATGGACTCTGTGGACGTGTTTCTTCAAGGTCTCGAGGTTATGAAGGTCGGCCTTGCAGTTCTGCCACTGGCATTTGAATGATTGGTATCGTCCGGCCCTTGGTACCGCGCTGGGCGAACGGGAACGTATTTCTATAGGTCCATCAACGCCAGTTCTGACGTTTCTCAAACTACTTGGCTGGGACGGCACAAAACGGTTTGGCGTTGACGCGGAGTATGGTCCAGTGTGGCCATTCGCTGCAGGTCGCGCCAGTGCAGCCGCAGAATCGTGAATAGCCTTGCGCCAGCCTACCGGCCGGCCTTTCTTCTTGGGTAAGGGCTTGCCATCCGGACCAATTCCCGTGGCGGCTCGAAATGCGGAGTAACCAACACCGGCGGCGGTAGGTCGTGGCGCGCTCGCGCTCATGGTCACATGGACCTTGGAGCTGCCAGAGCGGACAGGCGTTTGTGCAAGTGGGTGAACGTCGCTTTCGGGGCCTGGGTAAGAGTGTCGCGGCGGTCGACCGCGTCGACCTTTGACTTTGAAGGGGTTGGTTGCTGGAAGAGCTTGGGCCGCAGGTCCGCCAAGCGCTAGTGAGGTAGCACGTGACCGTGGAGGGCTGCGTTGCTCCTCGTCGCTGTCGTCTTCATCGTCCGCGTCTTCAGCCAAAGCTTGCCCTGAGTCTTTATAGTATCCCTTGGGCGGCTCACCGGGGTCGATCAGGTCCCATCGCAAGGTGCTCAGGTCTGCATCATTAGTGATAGAAGGTAGACTCGACTTGAGGATCTCAAGATGTGCGTTCAGTGCTCTTTCAGTTGGATGCCTTCCACAGGCAAGCAAAACGTCTCGCGCAATAGTCTTGATGTTATACCCGTTACGTCGCAGCGCCTTTTTCTTTTCTAGAGGTTGGACAAGGACCCGGTGCCTTAGATCTTGTCTATGGTCATTGAGAGGTACCGGTGGGGGCGTTTCCAAGGCGGGAGCATGACTAGGCTGAGAAGGCACAGGTACTGCGACAGGGAAGTTGGTTGTCGGCGTGCGGCCTCCGTCGATGTCCATGCCGTCGTCGAACGCAGGGGCTGGTGAGCCATAGGAATACATGGATCCCAGGTTTGGCTGCTTTTTTGGAGGCAATCCCAAGTCTTCATCCTCGTCTGCCTCGGTCAGGTCGATAAGATCTTGGAAACTCCGTTTTCTTGCGGCTTCTTCTTTATTAGCAGGTAGTTTCAGCTCGGCCTTTAGTGGTATCATCTGAGCAACCGGCGCGGGCGACTGGGATTGATTGTCGGGGAACGGTGGATACGACGTTCTGTCCATGGGTGACTGAGCCTGGGCATATTGAGGGCTTGGAATCGCCGGACCACCAGTCCTATGCGCAATAACAGCGGGCGGAGCCTGAGGTCGCGCGGAAAGCGGTGCACGAACATGTTGTGCTGCTGTTCGAGGCTGTGCTTGAGCCCGTGAAGCCGAGTTCACATCGGGCACCGCCGTCAGCAGTGCTTTTGCAAATACGGCGCGATCCAGCTTCATAGACTTAGCCTCGAGGATTTCACACAATTCGATATACGAAGGGTTGCTATCAAGCATAGCCAGAATGGTTTCCACCGTGAGCGGGTTGTTGGGGTTTTGGCCGTTCAGGTATGCCATAGCCGCAGTCGCCAGCTGCTTTATTTTCTCTGCAGGCCATATAGTGCTCCCAGACGGTTTTGGGGGTCCAGCAACTGTTGCTGGCGGCTGTGAGGTTGACGCCGGCACAGACACTGAAGCAGGCAACGTAGCAGGCTGTGCAGCAGGCACTGCAGCAGGCGGTCGGGCTTGCGTCCTTGAAGTGCCTGCACTGTTTGCCGTTTCTTTCGGGACAGCTTTCTTCCGCTGGTTGCTAATAGCAGTTGGGGCGGACTGAGTCGATGGTTGGGCAGGTTTCGATGGCGCTGGTGGTGCAGTTGCCTTGGGCTGCGCTGTAGGTGACTTAGGGGCTTTTGCCCTCCTTTCCTCTTCCCATATACGAGCTAGAAGCGCCGGATCTTTGCTGTTGAGTTCTCTCATTTTCGCCATCATGGCCCTGATTTCAGCCTCGAGGTCTTCGCCAGCACCTGAAGACTCTTGAGCATCGTCTGTAGAAGCATTGGCAGTATTCGCAGCTGGTTGCTGTTTTTGCTTTCTTGGTTTAGCTTGGGCAGCTTGTCGAGCCCGCTCTTGCTCCTCCGCCCTTTTACGCTCCTCCTCTTTTTTGCGCTCTTCCTCTTTCTTGCGCTCCTCCTCTTGTATTTTGCGTTCTTCTTCTGCACGCGCCGCATCCTCAGCCGCTTTTTGCTGCCGGGCCTTTTCCTGTTGCCTTTGGTACTCTTGCCAGGGGTTATACACCGCCATAGGGTCGACGGTCGCCGTACCCTGATTGTATGCTTCAGTAGCAGTTGGGGGTGCGGGTGTCTGGGCAGGAGGAACCGTTGATTGGCTTTCTGCATAGCTGTAGGATGCAGATACAGGCGTGCCAGCCGTGCTTCGCGATGCAGCCACATCCGGGAGTTGCCTGCTGCCATAGCCTGAGTACTGAGTAGAAGAGGAGTTTAGGGTATTTGACGTGTTCGCTTCGGCGGTAGCAGTAGTTCGATTGTATTGGGGCTGTGCTGGACTTGCGGAGCGTTGAGGTTGCTGAGCGTAAGTGTTCTGAGATCGCTGTGCAGGATAGCCGGCCGCCATGGCTGGGGATGGCAGACCGCGAGCAGAGCTCGTCTGGCTTGGATTGGCGTTGACACTATGGGGACGACTGTGCGCTTGTGGCGGTTGCGTCTGAGTCTGCACCTGCGTCTGGGCCAGCGGGTAAGAGTGCGTAGAGGGCGTGGAGTGCATTTGTTGCGTCTGCGCCGGAGCCGGTGAAGCGTTCGAGTATCTAGCTGTCGCAAGATTGGCGGCAGTATATCCTGATTGACTGACTGCAGGCGTTGTGTTGGACACATACGAAGTGTTGCTCATATTTCTCAGCACCTCAGCGGCACCCCTCGTGGTCTCCCTGTTGGTGCCATAAGTACTACTGGCCCATGTGCTGCCCTGCCCGGAAGAATAGGCGTTGGGCTGGTTGTTATAAGTCTGACCCCCATATGACGAGAGGTAGTCGGCCGTTTTGGGGGGTGCCGCGGGCGCCGGTTGCTGGTACTGCTGTCGCGAGTTTTGCGCCAGTGTCGCAGCGGAAGGCGCGGTCTGGGAGGCGGAGTACTGAGGAGCGGCGCTTTGTTGATAATCCTGGTAGTTGTAATGGGGATAGTTATTGGCTGCCATTGCGCAGAGTGTTCATATCTCTTGTGGCCACTCCAAGGCCGACCGACTGTGTTGGCGCTGGAGCGAAAGCATAGAGAACAGGTCGAAGAAGCACAGTGGCGGCGCGGTTTCGAACTGCGCGCTGCGGCCAGAGGATCGCCGAATACCTCGAGCAAAGGGGTGAGAGTAGATGATGGTGAGAGAAAGCCGTCGTCGCGTTCGGGTTGGGCAATTGCGTTCACCATCAAGGACGCGTTCGCCAGTTCATCACGAGTGGTCCGCCCATCCTTGTCGCAAGCGACGGAGCGGAGAAACTTTCTTCCGGCGCCCAGCCCGCTACTCCGCAAGCGAATAGCCTCATTTTGCAAAGCACACAACTTACCCAATTTCGAGCCGAGGACAACGCCCACGACGCATCAAACACCACACGACCTCCGCCATGACGAAGATCAGCCAGTCCGTGTCTAGCTCGCGCCGCAAGTCGCGGAAGGCTCATTTCGATGCCCCGAGCAGCGTGCGCCGCGTCATTATGTCGGTCGGTTTATTCCATGGATTCCTTCAGGAACGGCTTCTCACACGAGTGTAGGCGCCGCTGAGCAAGGAGCTCCGCGAGAAGCACGGTGTGCGAAGGTACGAGACTTTTAGATCCTCAATCGCGACACAGCTAACAGTACTTAGCATCCCCGTTCGCAAGGACGTACGTAGTCGAAGACGGCACCATTAAACCCCGCCCGCTAATCATCGCTCAGGACGAGATCATGATCACCCGTGGAACGCACAAGGGTCGAGAGGGCAAGGTCACTTCCGTCTACCGCTTGAAATACGCCCTTCACATTAACGGAGGTATGGGACACCGGAGGACACATTGAAAAGCATTACTGACCATGAGAATCAGTTGTCCGGGAGAAGAGCAACGGTTAGACCACCGCCCGATTCGTCCATGTACTCGTACTCACGAATGTCTAGGCCAGTCCGTCCCCATCCCCATCGCTGCCTCGAAGGTCGTCATCACAAAGCTCAAGCTCGATAAGGTACTACACCCGACAGAAGATGGATACGAAGCGTGCTGATGGCATATAGGATCGTGAGAGCATTCTGGAGCGGATAAGCAAGGGTCGCGAAGCGGCGAAGGCGAGGCATTCCAAGGCATAGATGACTGATGGCGTGGGTTTCTCGGATTGACGACAATTTTATGGCTGGGTTGCCAAGGGAAAACGGCGCTGGCTGTACTCTTTCTCATCGAGCGAACGGAATGCATTACCTCTCCTTACCCATTTCGAACAGGCGGCTGGGGAACTGAAAGTTGGGGCGTTAAACCGACTTCTAGCTCGAAAAATGGACTGGCCGAATAGGCCTTCGTCAACGGCATACACATCTATACGAGTCGTCAAAGTGTCATCCGCCTTATTGCTCTTGGCTTTCCAAATGCTCGTCTCCACGCCCACGCTAGGATATCTACTCTTCAACCCCGTCCATGGTTGCATGAAGTTATACGACTAGCGAAGAAGAAAATGAATGACTCCGGTCATTCTTGCCTGCAGACCGTTCGCGAGTAGTACATGAAACGAACGGTTTGATGGTGAGAGACATTGTATCTATTTATTTGAGCATTTTATGGTAGAGTCCCTATCTTAGTGTTGGTGAATCGACGGGGACTAGGCATACCGGAACCTACTTGTAATGTTCTCTGACAGCTTAAATACCTCTATGCATAACGAACTCGTCCCTCGGTATCTAGAGGATATACATTATTAATCATTCTGTGCTTACCATTATGTTGCTCAGTAACCGCCCGCCTCCTCCATCATGCAATCCAGCGTATGGATTGCATCAGTTGACCGGACGACTACGTAGTACATATATATTCGGTCCGGCTCTGTCATTCCATCCTCTGTATATACCCCGCGCTCCCGATCGTGAATCGAACATCGACCACGTTCCCCACTCGCCGTCTCCATTTTTGCCATTATAACCATGTCTTCTAAACTCATTGCTATTGTTGCTGGCGTAGGACCTGGTACTGGAGCATCGGTCGCCCGTAAATTCGCACAGACGTATCCAGTCGTGCTGCTTGCACGGAAACCCGAGAACTACGAAGGCTTGGCCCAAGAAATCAATCAAAGCGGTGGAAAGGCACTTGGTATCAGCACGGATGTGGCCGACTCGAAGAGCGTGAAAAACGCGGTGCAGAAAATAAAGGAAGAATTCGGTAATGATGTTGGCGCTGCTGTAGGTTGTCATGTGTGCAAGTCACCATCACGTCTCCTCTGACCCTATAAACAGGCGGCTATCTTCAACGCAAGTGGAGGATTCCTGCGCACACCCTTTCTGGAACTTCCAGAGGATGTCTTCACCACGTCCCTGAAAGTCAGTGCGAATGGCGGGTTCAACTTCGCACAAGCGGCACTGCCGCTGCTCCTGAAGGGCGTGGAGCAGAAGTCCAAGTATCCCCCGTCTTTGATCTTCACCGGTGCAACAGCTTCGGTCAAGAGTAACGCTCAAATGGCCTCATTCGCAACTGGAAAGTGGGCTTTACGGGCTCTAAGCCAGTCTCTCGCCAGGGAGTTTGGTCCAAAGGGCGTGCATGTTTCTCATGCGATCATCGATGGTGTCATTGACATTCCGAGGACGAAGGAATGGTTGAAAGATCTGGGACCTGAGGCTAAGCTGTCTGCTGATGCGGTGAGTTGATTTCCCATCTTTCAATGCGCTTTCAAATTCCGATCCTGGGACGGGATGAGAGTTCGAGAAGTACGTACCATGCTGACGATTCCAGATTGCCAATGACTATTGGTGGCTTCATACGCAACCGGTGACGAATTTCACCTGGGAGATAGACCTCCGCCCCGCTATCGAGAAGTGGTAGACATACCTTCAAGTCTGGCAAGGGATGCACGTAGAATTCACCTATTGACATGATCACAAGCCTTCGCATTCCACATTGCCACACAAAGCTCCAAGTCTTCCTTGCATTCTTTCTTTCCTCTATAAGTCAACCTGTCCTTCCCTATCCACTCATCATTATCCTTCACTATGAGGTCCCTACTTGCTACGTCTCTCTTCACCCTCGCCCTCTCATTCCCCTTCAAACACTCCCATGAAGCCCATGGCACAATACAAAATATCAAAACCGATTGCAGCAGAAACGCAGACACCACTATATCCACAAGCTCCCTGACCCAACGAAACCCCCTCTTCACTGAAACCGCACCATCCGACCAATCTCACCCCAAACCTTGCGGCTACGAATTCAACGACTTCGAAACCAGCGGCATACCCCCCTGGTCCGATAGCGGCCGCTCCGAAGTGCTAGACTACCAAATCGAATGGGTTTACTGCCCACGGCGATGGGTCAGTTATCGCAAATGTCCGATGGATCCTCGATGTTCGAGTGGCCCAGAAGATGGCGGCAGATGGGATTGGAGGACGGATGATGGCAGTGGCCCGGAATAATTACCGGATCAGATCTGAGGGATCAATGTAACATTAGGTACTCCGTAGCCACCCTGCCTCCTGGAACCTTTCACCTCAAGACAACCACATCGTACGCAGACATTGCACTCTCTTCCTTACGCTCCATCACTATGCAGCGACTTCCCTTGGAGCTTTTGGTCCGCATTCTTGATTATTCCCAATCGCTACGGGATCTGGTGCTATTGCGAGGCATCTCACGCGCTTTTCGCTGCGTCGTGGACCAATGCTGCAGAGAGCTAGGCTTCAGGCTTGGCAAGACTGAATTCCATTGCTTCGATGACGCCTTGCTCGCTATCCGCCTTGCCCGCATCCCCTATAATAGGTGCTGCTACTACGATGTAGACCGCGGCGCATACTCCTTTGTACCCACCGCAGAGTTTCTTCGGGCGGTCCAGGAGGGCAACCCAACTCCGACGGGATGCCCAACAATTCCTCCCATGCCTTAGGTCCAAGAATGTGCGGCTGTTATAAATCTGTATCTCGCAGCCCTAGCGTGGACGTCAACTAAGATGGATACTGTTAATAAGGTTGAGTACTTTGCTTAAGGCTCTGGCGACAGTAGCAGTATGTCCTATCTTGGACCTTACTTTTTAGCGGCCTATCTGAGGTCATTCTATCGCGTTAATGTCTTCGAGGGATTATTTGGTCCTCGCGTCTTTGCAGAGCCCGCACTTACAGCCGTTGAACAATTTAGCATGAACATGTCCGATAATTAGTATGATATTGACTTTCAAGCCGAGATTAAAGAGGAGGTGCTCGACTACATGCGGCGTTTTCCCGTTTGGAGGGAACTTGCAGCTGTGCACACCATTTTCAACGGGTTTTTCGAATGGCTATACGCACAGAGCTACCCGGTCAACACCTGGTTCAAATTTCCAGGTGGTCACCGAACAGATAGGACTTGCTCAGAGACCGAACGGCGACAATTGGCCCTTCTTCAGTTCTACAAAGTATTCAACTAAATGGGAAGCCGCAGCGAAGGCAAAACACCTACGGACCTCAATGTCGATACAGGTCTCATCAGCTATATTGGGTGGCTGCCTTATCGCGTTTATCGACTGGCCCTAGGTCTCTCCCCTTAGTCCAACTCTCAAGATATTATTAACTCTTAGGCGTTAGCTGATATACACTCCATTGTTCTAGTGAGCAAACATCATGTATCCGTTGATACTGCGATATACCGTGTGTGCGGCGGGAGTGAGGGCAAGGACCCCTTGGAATCCCGTGTCGATGAGGAACTGATATCGCAATGCGGCAAGAGATATGACCCGGATCCTATGTCCTTCTATGGGAGGCCAGATTTCGGGCTGTTGGATCCTTTTTCTGATTTGCGACCTATCTGGAGGCTGGGCTAGATATCCTCAACTCTACATTACAACCGTCACGCCGAGCACCTTGCTACACACGAGTAACCTAAGCATGGTCCGCGTTAACCTATCTTCGACGCCCCTATATAAGCTGTAGTTTGCCTACCCATCTTAGGTGCACTTTCCAAATTCTCGCTGACTGCTCGTGGTTAGAAAAAGGGCGGGTGTGACATACTCAGGTTATCGTTTCATGCACTCTATAGGGTTGGAGGGATTCGGTAGAATCCTACGAAAGGGCCGGTACGGCGAAGTTATTTACTAATAAGTTATACGAACCCTCCATTACTCATCAGTCAAAGGCACAGAGAGTTCCGTGTATATCATATTCAGAGGCTAGGCAAAGGGTTTCTATCCGCTTAAGATGAGTAGAATCAGAAGAGTATGCTTTTGCCAGATAGAAGTGGGAGAGAAAGTTCGTAGTCGAAACTCTTGTGGCTGGGAAAGCTGGGCAATATTTATATCAAGGTAGTACACGCAGGACAAATTGACACGGAGAGAGATGAAGCATTGCAATCCCTTTCATTCATTGCTCCCGCCGTCAATATGTCATATGCTTCCAACTCTTCTTCCCTTTCACCAATCGAAGAATAAAAACCAAGAACCCCTGACGAAAAAATTCACCCCCGTAGCCCGCAATCACTGCACATACGAACCACTCACACTCCCTTCTTCCCCAAACCGACCCCTGAAGCAAAACTCCCCCATAAAAACGCGCGCAGGATTCTACCCAGCCCCGATACTACCGGTATCCATGGGACTTCCTCCCCCAATCCCCGACCCGTTTGTCCGCCTACTCCTTGCAACAGCCTTTTTCCGCTTGTCCACGGGATTCCCACCCCGCTGCACATCCACCATAGTCATATCATCGTCGTCAGGCTTCTTCTCGCCCTGTTCACGCTCTTCCCAGAACCGTCTCGTCTCGTCGAGCTCCGTAATATCTGCGGGCCGCATTCTCAGCCACTTCATCCGCGGACCCGTTCGTGCTCGTTCGCTAACTCGGAAGCCATATATCCGTGGCTCATAGATATTGCCAACTCCCAGTCCAGGGGCAAGGTTGTGCGGTGCGACGCCGTTTATGGAGGTGATGTTCGCGTTGGATGTAGAGCCCCGGCCTTTGGCTTCTGCATTTGCGGCTTGTATCGCCATAAGCGCATCGGCGGCGCCTGCGGCGGACCGACGACCGCCGCCGATGTCCAAGTCCGTGAATGTCATGAAGAAGAGGGAGCCGAAGGTGGTTCCGAAAAAGGCGCCATCCACGGCCTGGAAGCGGGAGTTGGGCGGCGTGTAGACATCCAAGCAAGAGGGACAAAACAGCTTGACTGTCTCGTGGCCAGGGCTGTCGTTCAATCCAACGGGTAGCACTTTGCAGGAGTTGCAATGGACGCGCGGACAGGTGCCAAAGTGCTGGAGTTCGTACTTTTCGGCCATGTGCTGGATTCCTTGCCTAGACGTTATGAAGCGCTGGTGTATCAGCCCGTAGAGCAGTTCAGCTGAACTCTCGACTACGCTGACATCTGATGCCATTCTAAGGTGTCTCCGGTCGCCGGCTCTTCTGTAGCCACCGCGTCTCTCTTCGCCCAGTACATCATCGTCTTCCTCGTCTTCTTCCTCCTCTTCTTCGTCCTCCTCATCTTCTTCGGGTTCCACGTCCAATATCATCTCCAGTGCCTCCTTGTACATGGGCACCTGCGATGCCAGTCCCGTGAGGTTGAAGTCATCCTCGATGAAATCTTCCGTCACCTCGGCGAAGTATTCGTGCCCTAAGAGGCCGCAAAAGGAGGATATCCAGGACTCCGTGACTTGTGATGATGAGGACATGTCGGGTGGTTGTGGGGTTGTTGAATCTCGCCGTAACAGGAGGCTACTTGATAGGGTATTTTCGGTGGGTTAGATGGCAGTTGATGGTCGACTCGGGGGAGAAAGTCAACTGGAGGATGGCGTAAGCTTCGACATGCGAATTCTGTTTTGGTGGGGGAGAAATGCTTGGTGGGTGTATGGCTGGAGCGATGCGAGAGGGTCGAATTGGAGTGGAAAGGTCCCGGCTCCGATCTAGTGGCAGGTGTAGCCCGTGATTACATCTAGTAGATAGCGACGGTCAGGCAAAGACACTCGCTAGTGTAAGGTCGCAAGGCCCACACAGGCACAAAGACGGCGGGGTGGGAGGGCGGAGTTCCGATTTGCGGTCAGATAGATCGGGAGGAAGAAGAAAAGCTGAGAGGTAAGGTAAAAGGCCTGGTTAGGCGCCAAAAGTGGATGACCGGGCGCCGTCCCTTCACCTCTTCACGTTTTGGTGTTGCGACTTCTCTGTGCTCGCCTCCAGGGCTGGCCGAGCCCCTCCATGATCACGTGACGAGCTTGGCATCTCCATTTCCTGGTCTCGTCCAGCTCCCTGCATAAAAAATACATTGATTTTCGATTACTCGAGTTTATATAAGATCGCCGGTTGCATATTAATATATTGCGCCCGCCTAAAATAGATCTCTCATGATCCGAGCCAGCTCGTCTTCCTGCCCAAGCGCCGTCACAAACTCGCCGCTAGCTGGTATCTCTCCTGAAGTGAGGCCGTAGCCATTCTGCAACATTGTGCTCGAGTAGCCACCAGCAGCTTCGAACAGGCTCGTCAAATCCGATGCCATCCCATGCGGGGTATCGGTATGCTGCCCATTCCTTACATGAGAGAAAATAGCGAGTTCATCCACCTGATGACCAGCAAGCCCAGCCATAGCAACGGCGGCGGACGAGTGAGCGTCAGCTGTATCGACATTCGACACATTCAATCCTAGGCTTGGGCCCACCTCTTTGAGCATCTTGATAGTTTTCCAGAGTCTCTTAGACACGTACGAGTTCGATGAAAGGCCCCGTACGATATCTAGCGCCATGTAGAACTCGTCCCGACATTGCGCACTGAACTGTGCGGGAGCATGGGCCACGGCCAGAAACAGCACCGCAAGAGCCGATATCAGGAAGTAATTGAACATGGTCTGCTGAGTCCGGTAGAGGTCGGAGGTCTGGTTGATGTGGGTAAGAACTCGAATAGTGTCTTTGGCGATTGTCACAACGGTCTCTGCAAAGTCGAGGTGCTTCATGATGCTTGTAGCTGAATGTAGAACAGGTCGGTAAATTAGTATCCGCATTTGGTTCGCTCGTAGGTAGAGCGCGACTTGGAGACGGCGGAGGCCGCGTGAAGCCGGCTCTGGCGTTCGACCACTCTCTGGATGGACAAATCTGAGGGACTCAGGGATGTTCCGGTGCCAATTCAGGACCTGAAAGTCGAGAAAACCGACATCTTCCTTCCTTATGTGATTCTGCGAGGCATCAGGGTTCGCTACAGATCTCCACACTTTTGACGCAATGCCACTATAGGCTATCATGGCGCTCAGGTAGGGGTTATCTTCATCCTGGGGATGACTATCAGTACGAATGGAATTCTAACCTATGATTCGGAACTTACGGGTTTCGGTAGATTGGGGTCAATATCGGCCTCTTGCATAGCAAATGGCATCCCAGTGCCAAAACTCCACCGTCGGTCCAGCACATAAACGGACCAAAAGGTTCGTACGGCTGCGGCACGCTCAGCTGCGTTCGTAAAAATAATATCGTATGTCTCTCGTCGGTGCAGTCCTAGCTCAAAACACTGTCGTACGGCCAGGCCGATTAGTCGCCAAGCGAGGGGTTCGTTGTCCTGATGGAAATGGTACATCCCCTGAAGATAAGTAAGCGACTGATTTTTGAAAGTGAGTGAGTGCTTACTGTAAGGATAAGCATATTGATGCCCTGAATATCAACAGGAGCTGACAGAGTCTTCTCAACCCTCTTGTGTACATTATCAAACAACCTCTCCCCAAGCGGATCCTTACCGCCACCCTCAAGAATGAGTGAAATAGCGAGCACCAGCTTCAAATTACTGGTCTGATCATCCATAATCTCGTCTGCTCCAGGCTTACCCAATTGTGCGAAGCCTGACCGGGCTGCTGCCTCCGTGAAAGAAAATAGCCTTTCGGCGTAGCGGACAACTTCTTCAATATCCAGGAACGGATACATCAATCCCATCTCTTCGTGCCATACCCGTATCAACCGGATCGCATCTTGCTTCGTCAGAGACCAAATGGGATCCTTGTCCATATGCAGTGCGGGTCTGCTGATTATACCGATTGCCTGCGGCGGAGAGCCCTGCGGCGTCACATCTTGTGTCAGGGCACCTTCATCTTCCCCTTCTTCTGGAGCTGTTATACCCATTGTCTGAAGACTCGATTTCGCGACGCCGAGATTGAATGCGCTGGATGTAGGACCGTGGAATCGATGCTGTTTCCCGTGAGGCCTGCTGCGCTCGCGGGCCGGGGAGGGAGGGATGAGCGGATTTTGCATCATGGAGGACATGGACCGAGGGTAGTCTGCTGTGAACGGGGTGCCGATCGAGCCCATGCTTTGCGCATCCGTCTGCGCTTTGAGCGAATTGAGGTTCGCGAACAGCTGCTCGACCTGTTCCTGTAGGGTGGTTATTTTCGCCGACATCTGCTTGAACTCGCTGCAATCCGTTAGTTATGATCCGCAGAAGGAATGCTGGGTCACCTTACTCTGAGTCCTTGAAGTTGTTGCAGCAGTTGGGCGCATATAGGCATTCTAGACCCAGATTGCCGCAACGCTGACATGGCGTCTCTCCATTACACTTGATCTTGCGCCTCTTACACTCATTGCTACAACCTCGTGTCAGTTATTTGTCCCGAAAGTACAGATAGGCCTACGGACCATGCCAGCGAGATATAGCGGTTGCGCTTCGCCCTTGGTTGCGGCATGTGATCATCGCTCTTGCGCTTGCTGGGCGTGTTTGTCTCGTTCGCCGGGCTCATCGTTGCTCCTCCATTTGCTCTTGATGTCGAAATCATACATACGTACGGATTATTGCCGCAACGTCATCCGATGGAGAATGCGATTCTCCTTGCGCCTCGTTCGAGTCCTTTTGGAAGTGACCGGAGTCTCGGCGCTCGGACTTCCGAGCGTTCTTTCTGCGGGGAAAGCTCCCCCCGGCTGCCGCTAAATACTACGGTGGACCATTATCACGTGTAGTGCCCAAAGTCAAATTGCCCGGATAGCATCGGCATACGCTGTTCACCAGCCGCGGCATACGACAACACTACCTGTTGGTGTTCTGGGAATTTCCAATGTCCCGCTCTCAAGTTTTCCAAACATCCACACATCCACCATGAAGAGTGTCGTATCTAGGGAGGCTGGAAAGCTTCTATGCCGCTACAACACCGCTCAAAGGGCTTCCATCTCACTGTGCCGTCGGACAACAGGTTACTTAACACCAGGACCGCATTCTCGCAAGAACTTCCACAGTACGCCAAGTTTGAAGGTTGTAAAGCCGTATCTTCTTGCAGATATTGGGGAAGGTTAGTACGCAATTGCAATAGCAACACCAGGCTCCTACTGACATGCTCGCAGGCATCACAGAATGTCAGGTCATTCAGTGGTTCGTCAAGCCAGGCGCACGAGTTGAGCAGTTCGACCCCATATGCGAAGTTCAGTCCGACAAGGCGTCAGTCGAGGTACATCACATAATTGTATCCATGTTGGAGCGTGGGCACTGACGTCTGAAAGATCACATCGCGGTTTGACGGCGTCATCAAGAAGTTGTATTATGAGCCAGATGATATGGCCAAGGTCGGAAAGGTAAGGCAGGGCTCATTCTGGCATGAAGAACTGTCTAAGAGTAAAAACAGCCTCTTGTGGATATCGACATTCAAGGCGAGATTTCGGAAGACGACGCTGCTCTTCTCAATGGAAAGACGGAGGATGTAGCGGAGCCGCCCACTTCGCCAGACGCCGAACAAATCGTTGAAGTTGGGAGCAATGACACAAAAGCTGTCCCGATACCCTCTCCTTCGTCCTTACCTTCGCAAACAACGATAGAACATCCGAGCGGACAACCCGAAGTACGAAAGCAACCCGGGAAGTTTGCAACATTAGCTGTACCGGCAGTCAGACATCTAGTCAAAGAGTTGAAGCTCAACATTGAAGATATTGAGGGTACCGGCAAAGACGGACGTGTCACGAAAGAGGATGTATACAACTTCGCGCAGAAGCTGAAGGAAAAGGCTGCGGCGACAACTCCAGCTACCGCTCCTGCGCCTGCTCCGGCACCTATACCCGTAGGCGAAGACTATGTCAAGCCGCTGACGCCCGTACAAAACGGCATGTTCAAGCAGATGACCCGTTCTTTGTCAATACCGCACTTCCTCTATAGCGATAGCGTCGACATCACCGCTCTGAACGCCCTTCGTAAGAAGTTCAACTACGGCAAGGAGAAGGGTCAGCGTCTCACACCACTCCCGTTCATCATCAAGGCGGTGTCCTTGTCGCTTCAACAGTTCCCCATGCTGAACGCGCATTTGGACACAACCACAAATCCGGACAAGCCTCAGATGGTTATCAAGGCCCAGCACAACATTGGCATCGCAGTGGACTCGCCCTCAGGGCTCCTAGTCCCTGTCATTAAGAACGTACACTCTCATTCAATCGAGTCTCTCGCCGCAGAGATCGCACGACTGAGCAGGCTCGGTCGTGAAGGAAAGCTCACCAACGCAGACCTGAGCGGAGCAACCTTCACTGTCAGCAACATTGGTAGCATTGGCGGTGCAGCGGTATCTCCCGTAATTGTCAGTCCCCAGGTCGGTATTCTCGGAGTGGGTAAGGCAAGAGTGGTACCAGCATTCGGGGAGCATGGAGAGCTGGTCAAGAAGGAGGAATGCGTATTCAGCTGGAGCGCGGATCACCGCGTTATTGATGGAGCGATGGCGGCAAGGTGTGCGGAGTCTGTGAGAGGGTTCCTGGAGAATATAGAGAACATGCTCGTTAGATTACGATAGGGTCTAGGTAGATGAAAGGAAGAATTTAACACTTGAACCATTGCTCCGGCTGAATGCGGGAATATTAGAAACCAATGATGATTTACGGTCGTCAATAGTGAATGGTTCCTGAATATCGTTTTGGGAGCTCCAGTTCAGCTTCTATATATCTATGAGATCATCCCGGGAGGTTCCTGGGGCTGGTGGTGAAGCTACCCCACATTTATTGTGCGCGGCGGGTGAGTAGGCCACGCCGGCCAAAGGGTGGCCAGCCATTTTTCGCGAGAACATGAAATGTGCGAACCTGCAGAATTTCTTAGATATCTACTCAACAACAAGGTAATTTTATAGGAAAACTTAGGAGTACTTTTTTACTATAGTTTTCTAGTAGTAGCCTCTTTTTTTTTAAGAAAATACCTTGTTGTTGCGTAGATATATAGGAAATTCTGCAGGTGCCTGCCCCTCCTTTTCTCTGCGCGAGGCAGGCCTGCGCAGGTTGCGTGGCCAGGTTCGTGCCGGTTCTTAAGCAAAAGCTCCCCCGCCTTAGGATGTAGAAAACTACACTTTTTCTTAGATATCTACGCAACGACAAGAGATTTCTTTTAGATTTTTTAAGGGCAGCTAGATCTATATAAGAAGAATTTATAGTTATATTTTAGTAGAAAATATCTTGTTGTTACGTAGATATCTAAGAAAGAGTATATCTTTATTCTAGAAAGGACGTAAAAAGGTATCTTCTTTCTTAAATATCTATACAACAATAATATATTTTATTACTAAAATTAAACTATAAATTCTTCTTATATAAATCTAGCTGCCCTTAAAAAATCTAAAAGAAATCTCTTGTCGTTGCGTAGATATCTAAGAAAAAGTGTAGTTTTTCGCTCTGTCCGCTCGCGCGAAAACTGAAAATCTGGCTGGCCACATTTATGGCCGGCCTGGCCTACACACCCGCCCCCTACAATATTTATTTGTTGGATCTCGGGCAACCAACCCTTCCATCTTTCACACACATCCATCGCTTCATAGCTCACAATCATTATGACCATGGCAACAGATTCTTCGACGCCGAATTCGGACTTCCAGTTCCCGCCGCTCTACAACTTCCCGCCCTTCTTCACCCTCCAACCCGTCCTCGCAACGCGCAAATCCCAGCTCCAATCATGGTCATCCCTCATCCAATCGTACTGCCGACACCACCGGCTCTGGACACTTACGCTCGTCGACGCACTCGAGACTCCCCTCTTCAACAACACAAAACTATCGCGCCGCCTCTCCCTCCGCGACGCCCGCGCAATAATAGACTGGATGACGACCCCAGAAGGCGACTCGCGCGCCGAATGGATCCCCACCACCGGCAAGAAGCCCTCCCGATCCGACGAATACAGCGAAGCAGGCAAATGCTGGATATACTGGAAGCGGCCGGAGGAGTGGGCGAGCGCGTTGGAAGAGTGGGTGGATCGGACCGGGCAGAAGGGCACGGTGTTGACGCTGTACGAGATTACGGAGGGCGATGCTACGAGGAGGGAGGAATTTTGGGGGATGGATTCGACGCTTCTGGCGAAGAGTTTGGCTGTCTGCGTTAAGAGGGGGAAGGCGCAGGTTTTTGGGGCTGAAGGAAGTGAGGGAGTCAAGTTCTTCTAGAGGGGCGTTGTGAGGATTCGTGTGTCCGATTTGCAACCACAAAACCGAGAGAGATCACATATGATATCGTGAGCCCGCGTTCAGGAAAAGGGACTGGAATGCGGTAAAAGCTACGAAGCAGGTGCGTCCAATTCGACATCGAATGATCACACCACTAATTCTGAGCCAGTTATCCTCAATCCTGCGGGTTGATCTTCCAATTGCAGACACACCCATTTCCCGCACATTCTGGCTCCATGTCCTTGCCCATGCACAAGGGTCCATATCTGTTTTCCACATTCCCTGGTTCCGTACAGTAGTATTCTCCCTTACCCCGTTCGTCAGGACACACCGTGCAAATCTCGCCGGGAAGCTTGGACAACTCGGAGGCAGATAGACCGTTGGGCGGGTATCGGCATTTGCAATCACCGGCCTAGAGTCATCAGTACCAACGTTTGATGCTTTCCCAGATCCCCACGCTGGATCTGTCGGATGGGTTCAAGAAAACTCCATGGCCGCCTTACAGGTGTAGGACACGGTTTCCTTTCGTGCACTTTTGGCTGCCATCCGCAATAACATTTTCCGGGCGTATTCAACCCGTCCATCCAACTGTATCCCTCCGGACAATTGGGATCTTCGCAAAGCGGTCCGTAACGAATGCCGTTGGTGTACCAGAGCACGCAGGCTAGTTCTTTCACTACGCGACAAACTCGACAGTCGGTACCTCCGAGAGTGTTGCCGTTGTAGGGATTGCTGTAGATGCAGTCGCAGCGGGTGGTGTCCTGGTAATTCTTAGGGAAACTAGACTATGTGGAGAGTATGTGAGGGGAAGAGGGAAGCTGTACACTCATGGAGCAGTCCACCTCGATTGCTGAGACATACTGGGAATGGAGGATGAAGGAACCCAACGCAATGATGAAGATGCTTCTCATCATGTTGATGCTTGGGTGGATTCAGGTTTCTCATGAAGAGGAGCTATTCTCCCTGTTTTTATCTAATATGTCGTATCTGCGATGCAACATCATTTTTGTCGTTATTGTCCGGATACGACAGCAAATATGAACGCGATCTACCCCTAGACCATGGTAGTCAATCTAGGTTATTGGCATTGTACAACATGTTCCTTAGAGGATAGGTTGACGAGAATGAAGCTCGTGATGACTTGGGATATCTATTCTTGACACGCTTTCTCCTTAGACTACTAGCCAGAAAAACTGAGGTACAAACTCTTCTACCACACTTCATTTATCCGTAAACCATGGTGTAACCGAGTCCCCATCCATACGGCAAGCTGTATATCACTGCATGCACCCCAATCTATCAAGTAAAGCACCGCCTCCACAGCCACGTTCCTCCATTCATCCCTCGGCTCAGCCACACCTCTTGCGGACATCGAGCTCCTGAGCTTTCGAACATCACGAACCAAGCCCCACCAGGCCCAATGTAGCCAGCATTCGGGATAGCCATGACGTATTGGCCTTTTGCGTCGCCTTCAGTATTCTCCGCGACGAAAAGTACATTTGGCGATCTTATTCAAGTTACGCATGACGGAGCGGAGCCGCAGAGCTCGGAGGCCCCAGATGGAAAGACCGCGGAGGAGAGGACAGGGAAGGAGGACGCGAGGAAGCATGAGGAATCGGTAGTTGGGGAGCGTAAACCAGAGAAGAGGAGTGCAGGCCAGCAATCGAAACCACAGCGGAGCCCCTCCTATGCTGCGGAAAACGATATCTCAGGAGAGATCATTGCGATTCGATTGACGCGGAGCGGACACATGTTCGCAACCGTCACGAGGACTACGTTGACGATTTGGCAGACCAAGGCGTGTTTTAATCCCTCCCTAGTAAAACTCTGCTAATACCCTATAGCCCACTGTCGTGCTCGCATGTGTCCTCCGTTCCGACCGTTCACTGAAGACATACGGACCGAATGTTAATGTATTACTTCGACCGGATTCCCAGATCTTTGTTCTCCAGACCTCACTCGGATTCCTCATCACATACTCGCTCGCAACCGATCCCACATCCCGAGTATACAAGACACAATTGGCGAACACGGGCCCCGGTCATTCGCGGAGACACAGTTCAGTGGCAGGATTCAAGATACAAAGACCTCATGATGTCAATGCTGGACCTGGCGAGGGCAGCGGCATCAAAGAGCTAAGCCTCCGCTTCCGAATGGTGATAAGAGTGGATGCAGGAATTGCGAAGGCGCTCGCTCTAGATGACGAGCTGATTGTTGCGACTGACACGCCCGCTGCTGTTCAATGTATAAGATGGGCTCCGGATAGCAGTGGCAGTCAGACGAGCACTGAGCTGCTGAGCCGAATGTCCTGGTTGGAGAACAAATCTACGATTCTGGACATGATTCATGACCGGCCGATGAACATCTCCGTCTGGATTACAGGAGAAGGGAAAGCGTTTGCCGTGCAGCGGTTGCCCCCAGGCAAAACAGTAGAGGAGGTGAGGTCACCCAATCTCTTCAAGGGCTATGGCTTCCATAACCGCGAGTCCGAAGCAGAGCATGGGATAAAAGCTGCCATCAATGCCAGATTCTCCTTGCTGGCTGTTGGATGTGCAAACGGCGAGATACATGTGTATACTGCGCGCGATTACACGGGCAACATACCATTATCTCACAAGCTGCGCCCTAGTAGTTCGAGCACCGGGAAACTGACAATACTAACATACTCGCCTGATGGCTATTGCCTGTTCGCTGGATATGAACACGGATGGGCGATGTGGAGCGTCTATGGTATGCCGGGCGCAACGAGCTTCACGACCGACCGATCCCTATCCGAGACCAAGAAAGAAGGCTGGCTGCTCGGTATACGCGACGCCTTTTGGATCGGCGGAGGCGCAGAACTTATGTTGCTCGGCAACAACGACAATCGAATCTTCTGTCTGGAGATGGCTCGCAGCGGCATCACGGGGTGCTTCTCCTCGGCCAATGTGTCGAGATCGCTCATGCAGACGAGTTCTGGGTTCATGATTTACCGCGGGTACGAACTTCCTGACCTTACGACGATATCGGCGGATGTTTCGCTTTGGCATCATGTCCAGGTTCCAGCTCATTATCTTGTGGATCAGTGGCCGATCAGGAGCGCTGTGATTTCGAGCGATGGGAGATATGTTGCTATTGCCGGAAGGCGGGGTCTTGCGCACTACAGTGTTAATAGCGGCAGGTGGAAGACTTTTGATGACCCGTCTATAGAGAATGAGTTCACAGTTCGTGGGGGCATGTGCTGGTTCCAGCATGTCCTCATCGCTGCGGTGGAGTGTCAGGATTCCCATCAGGTTGGTGTCGCTGTCCGCGCAAATCAATGAGATACTAATATGTCTGTCAGATTCGGATATACTCGAGAGAAGCGGCACTGGGCAACAACCATGTCATGCATATCCAAAATCTTCCGGCGCCAATTGTGCTGATTGCACCGTCGGGAGAAGATTCGCTCCTCGTCTACACCTACGATAACATCCTATATCATTACATCATCGATGTGACCAATGCCAGAGTGAGACTGGTCCAGGTGGGCCAGATTGCTCTGCATGGCATCATTCGAGCACCGCCTCGGGTGCGGGCGCTGAGCTGGATTCTGCCCGAGCATCAGATGCGTAAGTGTTCCTGTCATCTCAACCAGACAGATTTGAATTGTTGACTCTGGCAGACCATGGAGACCCCTCTCAAGACGTGGCTGTAGCAACCATACTCTTCCTGGTGGATGCTAAGCTTGTACTTCTGCAGCCCAGTACTACGGATGGAGGAGACCCAAAGTACGAGATGCGAATCATCGCCCAGAATGTGGAGACCTACGCTCTGATGCGCGACCAACCCGCTTTCGCACTTGAGCCGCACGACGACTCTCTGCCGCCTAGTCCGTCGGCAGGGCTGGCTATCAATGGCGTCCATGGCCACGATTTGAGGGATTCGTTGTGGTACTTTGACGGCCATGATATGCGATGCTGGATTGACATGCAAGATGTCCTTGCCTCAGCATCTGTTGAGCTTGGGAGAGAACTGCCGAGCCCTGTCAGGATACCTGTGGACTTTTATCCGCTTGCTGCCATCATCAACAAGGGGATTGTGTTTGGGGTGGAGTCTGAGCTGGTCCAGCGACGGGATACCGGCTTTGCTTATATGCGATTTGGGACCAGGGTGAGTTGTTTCGAGATTCGATCTTTCTTCGGAACATCGCTGACAGAGATATAGACTCATCTCTTCCTTCCTGCACTCTTGCGGCATCATCTCGGGCAGTTCAACTCGCCCGCCGCACGGCATCTCAGCCAGCATTATCAGCATCTCCAGTACTTCCCACACGCTCTCGAGATTCTGCTACACGAAGTGTTAGACGAAGAAGTGGACCACCCCCCTCCGCCAGAGCAAGCGCTCCTACCGAGCGTGCTCTCCTTCCTCAGTTCCTTCCCCCAGTACCTCGACATCGTGGTGCAATGCACACGCAAAACCGAGCTACGCTCCTGGCGAACCCTCTTCTCCAACCTACCGCCACCGGAAGAGCTGTTCGAGGAGTCGCTGCAGAAGGGCAACCTGAAGACGGCCGGAGGCTACCTCCTCGTGCTGCACACCTTTGAAGAACTGCGCCCCACGGGCGACCAAGTGGTGCGCCTATTCCAGCGCGCCAAGGAAGAGCAGGACTGGGACCTCTGCAAGGAATTGGCGCGCTTCCTCATGGCGCTGGACGAGAGCGGCGCCACGCTACGGCATACATTGCAGCTCGTGGAACTGAGGAGCCCGGACGAGGCGGAGGCGGAGGCGGAGGGGGGACTGCGACCGCATTTCTCGTTCGATTCTTCGCGGTTGGGGGTGCCGAGAAGGAGCCATGGGAGAAGAGGCTTGAATGGTGGTGGTGCGGGCGGGGATTTGGGGAGTGAGGGGGTGATGTCGAGGGGTGCGAGTAGGAGTGGGGGTAGGAGTAGGAGCGCGAGTCCGACGAGTGCAGCGTCGCTCGTTGAAGGAGATTACTTTGGTTCGGAGAATGGGGGGGCTAGTGCGGAGTAGGTGATACCAGCATAGACAAGTAGATATTGTTGTTGTACGATGGCGTGAAGACGCCGAATCGAATGAATCTCGGGACCGCGAAGGCCGTGCTGACAGGTGTGATGGCACCTCCCGAGTGTCTTGTCAAGAGTATGATATCGAGAATACAATTCCACAACGATGACATATGCATGCACTGTGTAGCTACACTGTCTGTGGGCTAGGGCTGCTCGTCATAACCGACAGGGCTGCAGCGCGGCTCAGGCAGACGCTCAAGAAGGAAGAACGACGGGTCAGGCTACCAACGGTAGATCTTCCAAAGCTTGGGTCAGCCGTTGTGAACGCCTCATCTCAGGCATTGATTTTGACGTCGATGGGGGATTCAGCGGTACCGTGTTGTCAGTACCCAGACATTAAGAGGCCCCCTATCTATTATTTATTGAGACAACTAGCATCTTTATTCAAAGGCAGATTATCATCTTAGAGCCTGAGGAAGACGTGTTAGGCAGCGTTAACGTTAGTAAGTTTGTGGAAATTTAACTGTGTTGGGTTTTGTGTAGGCGGGATTTTGGTGGTATCTGTGAACAGGGACCTCTCATCAGTGTTTGGGTACGATACGGTGGACTACGGAGTGTTTAAATAAGGCCCCCAGAACGGTCACGGTCTCTCCACCGACTGAGTGGTTTGGATGTGTCTGAGGTTGGGGCTGATGTTGCTTGGCCCCCTCCATCCATGCGGAAAGACAAACGAGTGGTGGGCGCGTCTGGCGGTGACGAGGGAGAGGGGGACACCAGGGTCAGCAACTCCGGGGTCGAACGATGCTGATTCTGATTGGACAAGGGGTTACTCTGTGGATCGAGTGTCGTGCTCGTAGGGCTGTGTGAATTTCGTTTTCCCGAAGACGGGCAAACATGCAGGGTAGCTCGCCCGCCAAATTAAGGAAGAAAAAGAAAGGCTGAGAAAGAGAGAGATAGAATACGGTCGGAGATTCAGAGGATTCAATCTCTGCGCATACGAGACGATGCACTGGCTCATGGCGAGAAAACTGACGGTGAGCATATCCGTCCTTTCTCGCTGGTTGTCATCATGAAGGAAACATAATAACCGTTTGGCCCCATGGTCCACGGAGAGCTCAGCACAGCCATCGCTAGCGGTAGCGGTAGATAGCGAACCCTACACCGTCACCCCCAGCACTTATCCGCTCGCCGGCCGCGCACTGCCACCTCTCTCTCCCACCGCATCTATCCACGGTGCACTGCTGCACCATCATCAGCAAGCACGGCGCCGCAGCGTCCCATGTGCTCGGCGCTGCATGCATGCTGCGCGATGGCACGAGTCCCGACCGCTACACTGCAGGGCGCAACGACCGCCTTTTAATGTTATATAGCATTTGCGCTCCGTGTACAGAGAGCTGCAGCCGTACCTCCCTACAACTTCATCTCCTTCCAAACTAGTTATTACGCGACCCAACATTTGAAGGCATGAGACACGCTCGATAGAAAGCAACAAGGCGATTCCTTCTTCATCCTCCTCCTCCTCCTCCTCCTCCTCATCCTCATCCTCATCCTCTAAGACATAACGCCCACGCGCGCCAATCTCTTCCCTCTTCCCTTCGATGACCGTTGTTTGTTGAATCGCATGAGCACACCTGCGTACAATGACCGCTCCCCCGACGCAACGCCCCATCTTCACTGCACCGTTCCTCTCGCCGGATGCGTCCGTGTCGCTGGATATTGATGCGACTAGTCCTTGGGCTACCATGGGGCCTTTCGCTGTGAATGGTGCGGATCATCATCTCTTGCCTGCTTGTGTTTCTTAACCTCGTACTTCATTCACATGTCCTCTGCAGTCCTTCGCTATTGTCATCGAGATACTAGTATTGTTTTTCTTGTGTTCTCGAATTTTGCAGTAGTTTGGGTTCGCATATTCTCTTGGGATCCCCCCTCTTGCGTGTGCATCTCTCTCCATTGCACCTGTCCCATAACCCTCTTAACTTCAACGCTGACATCCCCGTCCAGCCCAACTCTCCCCTCGAAAATCCCCCACACCACCATCAACAACCACCAATGAAAGAAAGAAGAAAGCCGACAATGGCGGCGCGCTCCTCTTCATCACGGGCACCAAACCCGCCGACTTCAAGGCCCGAGGCGTAATGACGCAGGTGCGGAAACAAGCGATGGATAGCTATCTGAAGAAGGAAAAGAGACCCAGGAAGAACAATCCTCGCTCCGGAAAACAGAGCGAGGACGATGACTCCCAGGGCTCAACGAGGGGGAGTGTGGGAAGCGAAGAGCCGGACGTCGTTGACGCAGTACTAGCATCCTCAGATGCATTAAGCGTGTATCAGGGAGACAGGAAGAGGAAACCGACGAGTTCGATACCGTCGCCTGCATCGAGTGGGCATGGACGCACTACGCCGGATTCCACACGGATCCCACGCATCCCGCCGGTCCTCGACATGGTGCTCTCTTCGGCGCCCATTGTGCAGCCCATGCGCGCGGGGATTCCGTTGCCGTACATGCAGACCTCCCCAAGGCCGTTCCAGTCGATTGGAAAGCCGTTTGATCCGTTCCGGACCATGTTTCAATCCCATCATCCGTTTGTCTCTGTCGAGGAGTTGAAGTGGCACTGTACGTACTCAGTCTGTGCTTTCTCGTTCCACAGTACAAGCTCACTGACAATACATCAGGCTCACGCTTCTTCGGCACCCGCGCCATGGGCCTCTACTGGATCCCCACACTCGTCAAATCCCCCCACGCCTTCCTCAGCACGCTCTGCATCGCCAGCACGCACTACGACGCCGTGCACAACGCGCAAATCGAGAGTCTGCAGACCACGGCCTTACGACAGGAAGTCATCCACCTGATCCACCAAAATATCCTGAACCCGGAGACCAAGGTCGACGATTACAACATCATCGCCCTGACGCAGCTCATCGCCAGCGAGATCATAGCTAGGGAAGACGCGACCCTGGGCTTCCACGAAGCAGGCATCGAAGCCATGGTCCGGACGCGAGGCGGTCTCAACAAACTCGGTGTAAACGGCCGACTCGCACACACGCTCTCGTGGGTCTCGATCGAATCCGCCATCCTGCGCGAGGCGAAACCTAAGACCATGTACACCGATTTCCTCACCTCGTATCACTCCTCATCGCAAACGAAATCGTACCCGCCGACGGCCACGCTGCCCGAGTCGCCGCTGTACGTGCCGAGAGGCGAGTTTACGACGCTGGAGCGCAGCACGCGGTGTAGTGCGCGGACGTTGGATCTGCTGAAGGATATACGTATGATGCTGGATTTGTTTCTGCATGAGACGAAGCGGAGTCGGCAGAATGCGCAGAGTCTGAGGAATATTTATAAGAGGATCACGATGCAGTATCCGACTGCGGCGATGCTGGCGAAGACGAATGTGATGACGGCTAGGGAGTGGACGTATGAGAGTTTGAGGGTTGCGGCTGTGGTTCTGGCGACGGCGATTGTGAGGAGGTGTCCTTTGAGCGAGGCGTTGGGGTTGGTGGCTGGGAGTGAAGGGACGATGGCTGAGGAGGGCGAAGCTTCGAAGTCGGGGCCTTCGACTTCGCCGACGACGACGATGAAGACGGCACTGAGACACGATTCCCCCGTGACGACCTTTTCGACACTTCCTTCCTACACCAGCACCGCCGCTCCTCCTTCATCTTTCGCCTCGCAGCCGCAACAAAATACCTACACCCACCCATCCATCGCATCAACCATCTCAACATCTTCCTCGCACACCTCGTCCTCCTCCCCATCAACCATCAACACTGCCACATCAACAACATCAACATCAATACCTCCTCCATTCCCCTCAACGTCGATACCAACTCCTTCCCACCCCTTCTTCCCCACCACCACCTCTCCAGCACCCCCACCACCCCCTTCGCAACCAACAACGCACCTCCTCGCCCTCCGCGCCGCCCTCGAAAACTCCAACCTCTCCGACTGCTGGGGCGACATGGCCGGCGTCCTCCTGTGGATCAGCCTCGTCATGGGTGCCGCCACGGCCGCTCCGTGTAGGAGGGGCACGTCTCTTTCTACAAGTCTGTCTACAAGTACTTCTACCAACGCCGCCGCCACAGCCTCTTCCTCTGCCTCATCATCCTCCTCGCACTCACATCCTACATCCTCAACCACCACAGCCCTCTTAGCACAAACCCCATCAATATCACCGCGCATCCCAACCGCGAGAGATACCAAAATCCCCAAGGACCTGCGGAAATGGTTCGCAGCGCTCGTCATGCGCTGCTCGATTACGCTGTGCTTCGAGCATCCGGTGGGCGTGGCCGGGACGGTGGGCAGGATGGGCGAGGTGGTGGAGATGTTGGGCGAGGGATGTGCGAGGGATGTGGAAGACGGGATTGCGAAGAGACGGAGGAGGGTGTGAGGGTGTGAGAATGGATGTTTATTTATTTATTTACCCGTTTGTTTATTTATGCCACGTTGCGGCATGTGGAGGTATCGAGGGATTGTGCTGGAGGAAGCTTGGAAGGACATGTTTCATTCCGCTCCCGTTACGGTCCTGGTTCGGGTCCTGATTGGGGTCCGACGTTTTATGTTTGGCGTCGCGATACCTCGAAATCTGTACTTTCTTGTTCCGTTTTGTCTTTACGATGGGCCTTCTCTGTCTAAGCATTTAGTGCTATGGTTTTCTGGATTGTTCTGCGGCTACCTATACCTAGGTATCAGTTTTGCACCCTAGCCTCGGGAAAGAAGATAAGATTTGGATGGACCTGAATCCAATCGCACATGTAATGACATGGGAATAACCTTATGCAATATACATCATATTCGTTATTCACCACTACACCCCATTCATCCACCCCTCACCTAGCAGGCTAGAAACTCCGCTATAATAACCCTCCACCCCCAGCCAGGCTTATAACCACCCATCTCTCCCCTCTTCCCGTCTCTGCCTCCCAACCCCCGCCTCTAAACACATAAAGTCCATGCCCTGACCCTCCCTCAACCAAATTTCACCCCCCTCACCGTCCCGTCCTCATCGACATGCACATTCAGCCTCTCGGGCACGAAATCCGTCGTCTGAAAGCTATTCGGGGGCACTATGCGGTGCCGTTGTGGTAGATCTTGCTTCGCGAACGTCTGTCCGCGGCAACAAAGAGAGAGTCAGTTTATGTTAAGCATTTCGACGAGCGGGTAGGTAGGTACGGCTGAAGCAAAGGAAGATATGGAGATGGAGAGGATATACGTACGACCTCATCATGCACATCCCCCAACTTCTTCCCCATGAGCTTGCTCATCCACTCTTCCTTATTATTCTCCCCTCCAGCGCTCTGCGCAGAGGACGCGGGGTCTTTGGTTTGTAGGCCGGGTACGACGAGTGGCATTTTCGAAGTCTTACCCCAACTCCAACTACCACTGGTTGCTGGAAAAGGTTTCCGAGGAATAGGAATAGTGATAGACGCTAGATAGGAAAGGCAATATATAGCGAGTGCGCCGAGGAGGACGAGTCGTAGTAGCGATGACGGTGATGGTCTTACTTGCATGCACGGTAGGCGTGGGGTGTGGGCAGTGATGTGCGTGGGACGAGGTAGGGAGGTTAAGTAGGTGGATTACCTGGGGTTTATATACGCGCAGAGGCTTGGAAGCCTGGAGGTGAGCAGGTAATCTACTGTGCAGATTGATGGAGGGGTGGATAGATGGAGGGGTGGATAGATGGAGGGGTGACGTCAGCGCGAGGGCTCAAGGCCGGGGAGTACTGTGATGGTGGGGAGACGGAGGGAAGGAGGGGCAGTTGTACAAGCATACTTGTGTACATTCAATGCATCCAGTCCAAAGTAATAGTCCGCATCAGTGGAGAGAGTAGAAAGGGGTTGTATGTGCAAGGCACAAGGCCAGGGTTACTGCTAGAGGGCGTTATTCCTGAGAAAGAGCGGATCTATATAGTAATACACTTCCAGCTACTCTACTTAGGTAAAACTTGGATTTCTGCTCTGCTCTGTAAATCGTCCAACGTGAAGTATATACATATAAAGAATACAACAGCTCCCAACATCTACACCGTAATATCCAGAGACAAGTAATACACCGGACCATCGAGCCAAAAGACATCATCCCTACGGCAACCCCCTCCCCTCATTCACCGCCCTCGCAACCTCGCTCGTCCCCGGCCGATTCTCCGCATACCTCTCATAACTATCCCAATACAACTCATCTGTGCTCGTCGTCCTCTTGACACTTGCCTCTTCCTCAATCGCCTCGACCCACCTCGCCCACCGACTCCCCGGCTCGGGCTCCGGCCAGCCCCGATAAGGCCGCAACACGCGCCGCAGCCGCAGCACCCACGGCGCCATCTGCGCGTCGACGAACCCGAACGTCTGGCCGAGGAAGAAGGGGCCCTGGGGGTCCGCCGCGTCGACGAGTTTCTGGATCGCGTCCCGCAGCTCCGTCGCGTGTTCCGTTTGCTTCTCCGCCTCCTGCGCCTGCAGCAGTCTGTAGAAAGCCGGGACTATGTACCGATTCACGTGATCCGTCCAGAGTCTACATGTGGCCTTCGTTTGCGGGTCCGAGGGAAGTAAGGGGGCGCCTTGGTTCAGGTCTTCGAGGTATTCCATCAGGACGGTGGATTCGTAGCAGGACCAGTGGGGGCCGTGGCGGAGCGCGGGGACGAGGCCGCGGGGGTTGATGGAGAGGAGGGATTGCGGCTTCTTGTACGGGTCCACTTCGATGTATTGGTAGGGGAGCGATTTGTGTTCGAGGGAGATCCAGACGCGTTGGACAAAGGGGCTGGGAGGGGTGAGTATACAGTAGGAGAGAGGTTGGAGATGCATATGTCAGGTCGATGGATATAGAGACTCACCAGAAACAGCTACCGTAGAGCTTGAGGTCGGCATCTTTGGAGTGCTCCTTGACCGTTGCAAGCGCCGCGCCGGTAGCTTTCTTGTGGTACGTCTTTTTCGACGGGTCGCCGCTCTGGTTTGTATCGGTCATTCTGGCTCTTGATATCACGGACGGGGGGAGATAGATTGCGGAAATGTGGTGTGTAGTGGATAGGTGCGGATTAAGGATACGGTTGTGGGTGATGTTGGGAAATGTCGAGAGAGAAGATAAGCGCGCTTGGTGTAGGCGAGAATTTCCGAAAGGAAATCGAGAAAGGAACATGATAAGGAAAGGTAGGTTTTATCAGAATGTAAAGATGGTTGCGCGATGCTCATGCCCGAGTAATGACGCAATAGCGAGCTGCTTTAAGGCCTTATGCAGCAGCTCGCTGATCGGTTCAGTCGACCTTAGAAACCCACAGATATAAATAAGTGTAGATGATGAAATCGTAAAGCAAGCAAATCACCAGAAAACAGAAACTCGAATGATGAAAGTATAAACACGAAATGAAGTCCAACTCACCATCTGTTTCTTCCTCTCCAGCTCATTCTTCAGCATCCACCTCACAACACTATTCTTCTTCACCGCATCGCTCTCCTCCAACGTATGCCTATGCGGTCCCGGGACCCCATCCCCCCTCCCATTCCCACCCTTCCCATTAACCCTCTCCAACGTGTAAATCTTTCGCGGCACGCTACCCGTCGACGCCTGCATCAACCCCATCGCCTGCATCCCCCACCCAACCTGCCCTTTCGCCACCATCGACGTCTGACCCATAACCACGGTCCCACTACCGCCAGCATTACTCCCCGCAACACTTTCCCCGGGAGGCGGTAACCGCGTCTGCTCCGTGTAGTCCGCCGCATCGGCGTACTCCGTAATCTTGATCTTGACATCGCACAGGTCGCGCGCGCGAGCCACCCGCTTCCTCTTGTGCTTATTCGGATCGGTGGATTTCTTGGAGCCGGGCGGGCGGCCTTTGAGGCGGCATTCCCAGTAGTGGACGATGATGCGTTTGCGTTTGTGCGGTTGGGTGGAGCGGTGCGAGTATACGTTGTCGACGTGGGGGAAGTAGGTTTGGAATCTGGGGTACTGTTAGAGGTGTATAGAAGTGGGTGTTTGAGATGCCTACTCGTCTTCTGTCAAGGTGATCATTTCGTTGACGTGGAAGAGGCGGTCTCGCCATTCTTTGAGGTTTGGAGGATTGGGGATGAGCTTCATGCCTTGGAATTGGGAATGGCTTTTCCTCTCCTGCTCTTGTACATTCTCTGTTTGTAGGCGAAATTCATGTTCGCCATGGGATACTGGAGGTGCTGCTGTGTGTATAGGTACTGGAGGCGGGGGCGCGCCATGGAGCTGGTGCGGAGAGGGTGTTGGTATCATGTAGTAGCCTTCTCCAGAAAGACCCGCCGGCGGGCCATGGTGGAACGGATGTTGCAGAGGAGGAGGTCCTGCATTGTGTAGAAACGGGTTGGGCAGGTTGGGCGGGTGTGGGGGATGGAGATAGACGCTGCTGTCGGCGACTGGCGGCAAAGGTCCGACGCTGTGCTGGCCATGGCTGCCGTCGGCCGCGAGGGGTTGGAGTTGAGGATGGTGGAGGGCCCCGCTCGGTGAGGCTTCCAGGTGCTGCAGACCCGACGGATGAAGCATGACGGCCGTCTCGCTGCTTTAATCGGACATTGGGATCTCAAGAACGGCACGCATGCGGTTGGCCGTTCCACAAGCCTGGCAAGGCAAGCTGTTCGGGTGAAGTACGATTATATTCGCCTTCTGCATCTTTCTTGGAAGATCACGGGTATCCCCATGAGGGGAGCAGTTAATTAGTTTCCTTTGTCAGACGCTGATTCATGGGACCTCGTGATTCTCTTCATATCTACTCCTCCGTGCGTTCCTCACTTGTCTGCTCGACGCGACAGGCCACAGCTACGAGGCCAGAACCCCTTCGAGCTAGCGGAGGTCTCTCTATGGATATCCCCGATGCATGTAGAGCCGGCCACCAGACCGGTCAGCCGCAGCCGTCTTCTTGATGAAGACATGGAAAGCAGCCCATATCACTTCCTGCCCCCCAACGCCATACCCATGCTATTCAGAACCAGCATAAGAACCGTGATTGTGAAGAGAAAGCGACATCCTTCCCCTTTCCTTTATAGCCATCGCTCACTCTCCACCAGGAAGGAGATTGCTCTTCACCGCAAACATCTTTGTGCTGACGCTCGCCGTGAATCCATCCACCTGTCTTGCGTATTGTTCCACTTGCCGTGAGTTAAGAAGCGTCTCTAGTCTGCTCGGCTCCTGGGGCAGCTTGAACAGCCTCTGCCATTCATCTTCCGGGAGGAGCGGCTGCTTGGAGGCCGCCCGCGCCGCATTTTCGGCCTTGCGTTTTTGTTGCCAGGCGGTGATCTTGGCCTGCTCGCGCGCAAGAGACCGCTGGTAGTATTGGTGATTGTTGAGTTCGGTGTGGTGGTTCTCTATGCTCTCCAAGAGGAGGTCGCACGTCTTTTCAAGGAAAGGATCAATGGAGAGGTCCAGCGAGTCGTAGTTCGGAAACAGCGGTGGCTGTGGAGTATTGGGGTCTTGCAGGAGGGCTGCGAGGTTGGGAGGGAAAGAAAGTGCCTCCTTGGGGGGTTCGGAGGGGAGTTGGTGAAGCAATGAGGTAGTAAGGTGGGAATTATGGATGGTCAACGGAAGCTCGACCAGAATGTCCTGATAGCGGAGTCCGCTCTTTTGGAGGCTGCGGGAGTTAGAATGAACGTGCAGACATGTTCCCAGTGTAACTCGTACCTCTCCGTTGTGAACTTGTTCTCCTTATACGCAATCATAAACGCAGGCGAAAGCCTGTACGCGCGTAGGCTGAGGCTGCCTTGGGAGCTTCTGCTCACATCGTGCACCAGAGCGACAGTCCTCTCGTTCATCTCCTTTTGGTAGAAGAACTGGTTCTCAATTGTGTTCAAGTTGACAAAGTTTCCCATGTTTGCGCTCGTGTACCAGCCAACGTTGTTGGCATCCACGTTAACCTCCCGCATAAACTTGATCATCTCGTTCTGGTATGCGACATTCGCCTTCGCGCGGGGTGCGGCCGCGGCAAGGTTCGCGGCGGTATCATGCTGATGGCTGTCTGCGGCAGGCACGTCGATCGTAGGGAAGGGGAAACAATTCGTAATTTCAAGCGTGCCGTTGTTGTCGAGGCCGACGAGGCTACCGGTTGCGACGGTGGGGAAAGTCTGCTGCGAGTGCTTGATGATTTTCATCACCACCTTTGGAAGTCAGTTTTGGTGCGCCAGAAATCGTCCATACGGCGTACCAGCGCTTCAACTTGTACCGCCTTAAGCGGCGTGTCTTTTGTGAAATCGGCCATGGCGCGGGTATTCTTCTGCGGTCTGCGAGTTTGAGGCTCGTTGCTGGTGGGGGAGGAATTTGATAACCACGAAGGACGCCAAGACTTTGTCTTTTTAGCGAGTTCACGTGATTACTCTATTATCGTGAAGGTCTTGGGGGTTGCGAGAGTTAAATAAGGGGCAGCTACTCGAGAGACGGGAACCTTGAGTATTGCTTATCTTGAGTATTGCTTCAGCTTGTATGAATTCAAGGAGCCTCGTATGATATGCTACCTGATGGCAAAGCCCAGGCTTCACTTCGAGATCGAGAAACCTTGTTATTCCAGGTGCTCCTCCATCGACCAAAGGATGAATTAAGAGATTACCTTCTTGAATAAACACCTTAGGGGAACTAAAACACCTTAGGAAAACTCAAATCCAAAACGTTCCATCATCCCCAACGCCACGCCCGACTATGCTGCGACCACCGGATATGGACAAAGCCAGTTCACAGACTCCGATAACGCTTCAAAATGATATCACAACATGTCCTCGTCCCCATCCGGGATACTCTCACTACTCCCTCCCTTCAGGTCTGATGTCTGCTCCTCCTCGTTAGACTTCGTAGCCACGTCCTCTACCTCCTCATTCGCGGCAAGCGACACTACACCCTCAACGTCAGTCTTCTTCTGCCGGGCATATGGATTGAATCGCCGGGTTTCAAAGTGTCGAACGGGTTTTCGATTTGCAGACTGATGATTCTTGACAATCTGACCATCGTCCATACGATGAAAGACTGTGTCTTTACCGTCAATATGGTCCGATATGTCGGCATCCTTCTCGTCCTCCCAGACCAGCAAGTTGGTGCCGTTGATCTCAATAGACTTGCCGCCCGTCCGTGGTACATGGAAGACACTCGAGCTGGTATCAGTGAAATCTTGTTCCCAAGTCTCTTTCTGTTGCATCTTGATGATATAGTCCATCGGGAGGGTGTATAGCACATTGTCTTCTTTGTCATACAGCTCCTTGAGGGGATAGCTCAGGGCGGCTAGTCCAAGTCCACAGTCCACTCTTGACGATATAGGATGCAATCGGCCGCCGAAGGTTTTCAACTCAAAGACAATTCCAGACTCAGTCCAAGTGTTATTGTTGAAGAACACCTCAGGTTGGCCCAAAGGACGCTCGTGGTGCGGCCCAGCAACCTCAATGAAATGCGCCATCTCATGTGCGATACAAACTGCCAGGAACAAGTTGAAGCGCAGAACCATGGCCGGGTCGGGATATTGCAGAAGACTCAACTTCTTTGCAGTGGTGTAGAAGTCGGAATGTAGGCAGATCCGACTCCTATGCCACCTGCGGTCCAGTCTCCGCATCAGCCCGTTCTTGTAGTCGGCGACCAAGCCCATCGACGCGTACGCCGGATCCGGAGGTAACGGGTTCCTGTGAAATATGAAATGCACGCTGTCCACCTGTTCGTCCACGAGAGCCCTGAAAGCGGCTGCATGTTCCGGGTTCCAAGGGACATCGTCGCTGATTCGAGAACACGCTTGCCCGTATTGCTCCGAGGTTGTCGGGCATGGTTTTCTTTCGCCAAACACCAGTGTATGCCAGAATCCGGATGTCGCCCGAGAGAAGAGAAATAACGTGCTGAGGCGTAGGGCTGGCTTGAGGACCTCGTAGACTGCGTCCGAGCACCCGTGGAAGTTTTCAATGCGGAATATGGGGTGAATGTCATTGGTAAGCGTGGATACTTGCGTCGGAGCGTTCTCTGGAAATGTGACCGCCTTCTTCTTGATCAGGTCGATTGGGTCGAATCCAAGCCTGAAGGATTTCCGTTTGTTTGGATCCTTGCGATGACCGAGCAAACGCCTATACTTTTCCAAAAGCTTCCTGTCCGCAACCTGCGCCAGATGATGATTGATAGAGATGCTTAACTGCAATCCAAAATCCTTTGGTACCTCGATGGTGGAAGGCGTGAAAGCGGATGAGTCGTCGTAGCTCACAACCTCAGGGAAATCACGGACAAGCTTGTCGATACACTCATCCATAATAGTTGCCTCCTGCAGCTTGTGCAGTAGCACGGAATTGTCGCCCTTGTCTTCAACCCGGTACTCCCCGTCACCCGCATCTGGCAGAAGACGGCGGATATTCTTCGAAGCCGAGGGTGGCGGACCACATGCAGCAGGCGGGGTTATTGCGCCGGTAGGAGTCCATTCCATAACATCATCGTCATCTCCGGCCGGTGGTTTGAACGCAATGTCATCGTTTGCGGAGTTCCCAGAGCCGTCGCCAACGCTGTGATTCAGGCGAGTTTCCATGAGCTGGCTGGCATGTATCATGGCCTCGTATGCCTTCCTATACCTAAAGGGGTCCATCCCTTACCGCCTATGATATGCTAGCGACATCAAGAGGCAAGGAAAACAGCCCAAGAAATAGGATAACTTGTCTCAGGTACGAGACAAGCTGCTCAAAGCGAGAACTTTGTAGGTCAACACCTCATCCGGCCTGGGTCAAAAATGCAAGCCGGAGCGCTCTGCGGGCGGCGCCGTTTTGCCAACTGGTTTCACAGACAAGACTCACAATACCGGCCATTGATATGGTCTTAGAGAGACTGTTTCGTCCTTTGTTGGAACGTGGTCGTGATTTCGCCAGTGGAACCGTCCTGGATTATTACGGAAAGGAGTAGTAATGAGACATGAGTCCAGATAGTGATTGCAAAGATCGTGTAAAAAACGTGTAAGGAGTGTGGGCGGAATTTATTCACAGTGATGGAGGATAGATATCGATGTTGAAAAGAAGAACTGGAGCAAGGACCCTTGGAGGCATCAAGCGTGAACTAGGAGACTGCGCTAGCCGACCTGGGACTAAAGGCCTTGGCGCGTGCCCATTGAACGGCACGTCGCTTCTTTACACCGTTACTCACCCTTCACCTTCACTCACACACACTTCGTGTCTTCCCAGCCCAATCAGCGCGTCTTGTGCCTATCACTACTGTCAATATGCTCTCCAAACTTTACCGATTTCCCTTCGATATCTCGATTTCGGGCGGATTGTGCATCCCACCAAAAAGGCCTTCTCCAACTGATATGGACACCTTCATCCAGAGCTTTTTAGGACAGCACGTTCAAGCTCGAACGCGTCCTATGTTCATCGCTGACTATGGATGATCTCGACCGTGCTGCCTTCCATGGCGGGTATGTGATGTTGCGCCAATTTCGGTCCATGTCCTTCGCCCTTCACTCACCTCCTCTGTCGGTGAAAGGCAATCATAAGAGCAGGTTTGAGCGCCCCAATTTCGCCTGCGCCTCACTTGCGTTTGCTCGCTCAAATTTTTCAGGCTTGGGGGGAGGAAAGTTTTCTTCCTACCTTTTGTCTTTCTGCTCTTTCCCACTTGCCTTCCTTCTTCTCCACCTTCTTGAAACCTACTACATCCGCTCTTTTCTCAACTTTCAGGCTTTCCCACTATGGCGGGACGCGATGGGAACACGCTGTCGTCTAAGGCAGTGTCATATTTGATTCATCACATCGTGCTTCCACCGGGACTGCCCCAGGCGGACGACTCTGATCCGGACCTCGAGCGATGCCTTCTTCGGACAACGATAAGTGCCCTGCAAGAATTTGGAAATCTTTGCCCGTCAGAAAGCCTCGCACAAGTCGAATATGTTGTCTCCACTATCAATAACCTGCTCGCGACCAAAGGTCCGCATGGGTTCATCAACGAGGAGCAACTCACCACGTCTATGCAACGCCTGGCGGACGGTGATGGCCTTGGAGCTGTTCCTCTGGAGATCAAAGCCCAGAATGCCGCTCTACTACTTTCCAGAAGCAATGGCGGCATAACATTTGAAGCCTTCGAATTGTCCCCTTCCAATGAATCCGTTATGGCTACCAGAGGGCGTCTCGTACGATCGTTTCCCGCCGTTGCAGTCGAGGTGGACGTTTCACAGTTCGCAGACAAGGAATTCCAAAGGGCCATCGCGCATGCAATCTCCAAGATGAGCTTTCAGCACGCAGAAGGCTTTCAGCCAGAGGTGACAAAGGCAGGAAGCCGTCACGAGGAGGAACGTGACACGACACATCCTGGCCTTGTGACAATTCATCTCATAAACATCATCAGAGCCGTTGGCATCGCGATAGACCCATCAAGGATTTGGAAGAACACCCGTGACGAGATCATGTGGTGTGATAGCAAGCTCCCCTGGCGCCGTGCTCCATTGTGGCTGTTGATCAGGGTTGTAATGCACCTCTGTTTCGTGCGAAATCCCGTCGCGGGCGAGCGTGGGAGCGACATATACAAGAAATTCATGGTATTCTTCCTGTCAAAGATTCTGGACCACGCTCGCGGACACATCAAATCACTGGGAGGTAATATCGTATTCACGATCTCCGCCAAGATCTCTCAGCGTCTTCTCAAACTGACGCAGTCTCTCGGACAAATGTCCGAAACTCCGAAATGGTTGGGAAGGGTTCATGAATCGATGCGCTTGGCCCACAATGGTCAAGAACGAGCGTGGGAAGACATCAGACGTGGGATTCAGTGTTCCCAACACTGGAAAGGGGCGACTCTGAGTTCACTACAACCGACCGCTGACGTGGATGTGGGGATACCTGGATTGGATCATCATATCGCGGTCTTAAAACGAAGAGGAAGAGCAACAGAGCGTAAGGTCTTCCAGCCATCGTCAAAGCTTGTATCTTTCCAGCCCGATCAACTTCCCAACTCTCTACGTGGGGGAGGTCCCGATTGTCATGTCACCCTAGCGGCCTTCGAAGCATGGGTCGAGTATCAACTCACACCATGGGTGAATTCTGTCATTGGTACTACTGTTGATCTCCTTCCGCTGCGTCGTTTGGTGGAAGAATATTACAGTATCGCAAGCCGAATTTACCACAACGATCCGAGGAGCATATCCATCATGTACCTCACGATTCTGGAACTTTGGGTAGCTTGTGATAGATTGGCTTGCCATATGCACTCTCTGCTGAATCAGTACGACCCGGAGATTCCGGTTGACCAGTTCCAGCTATTCCTGTTGCCGCTCAAAACCCAACTACAAAGGCTGGCCATTATCGAAGACCGTCTGCGAGCTCGGAAAGCACTTTGTCTTCGCAACGCTCCTTCTGTGTACAGGGATTTTGGCAAGCCGCACTCGTTTGCTGTCAAGTACTTTGACCAGTCACCTTCTCATCAGGCCCTCAAAGTCAGGATAGAAAACGAGGCCGCCGAACGGCGGCAGGCGAAGCAGAAACAATTGCTGGAGGAACAGGGACGATATCAGAGGCTTATGGAGCAGCACAGTAACATGGCATGTCAAACCTATAACTACCTCACGGAGGATGGCCACCAAGAAGTTCGCCATAAAGACAACTGTGAGAAATGCCGCGTCGCGAAGGAGGCACAGGGAATCGGAATCCAGATCTACGAATGGCCTCTGCCCACGGATGAGCACAGAGCTAAGGCGACAGTCTTTGAGCTGGCAGTTCCCGAGGCATTTAGCAATTGGCGCGACATGTCCCTCTTTCTGCTCAAAGATGTTCTGCGATGCGACTACTTCAATTCGAGCCGTCCCAGATGCTCTTACCAGCTCCCCAGCGATGGCGGCTTGTCCAAATTCCTATCCAACTCGTATTCCGTCCGGCGCTTGGTTTTATTATCCCAAGTGAAACCTCACAGCGTCACTCATCGCCGGGAAAGACATGTCCAATATCTGCGCGAAAGTGACGTGTGTCTGCGAAATGGGCTACAATATGAGTACTATGACGAGCGCACGGTGACGTTTGCCGGTCGTATGCACACTACGGAAGCGGTATCGAGTAGTTGCATGCATATTCTTCCGGGACGGTCTTCTGCTTTGCAGGCATTTCTCTGTCGGTCGCCTTCGATGCCAAATGGCTTACCACCCAACCAGGTGATCGCTAGTCAATGTGCCTGTCCCAGTCATATGTCACTGGGCGAGTATAAGTCCTTTTGCTCGATTCCATTGGGGATCAACATCCAATACCTCAACATACTAGCGCAACTGGCTATGCCAACCATCGACTTCGGCAAAGTGGAGACCCAGATCCTTATTGTTCAGACCATCTTTCAAGCCGGTTTGCCATCAGAGCAGGGAACCGTCGAACGCCAAGCACACAATATATTGGTCGATGATGCCTTCGGCTCATCCTTCATATCACAACTCGAAAAGGCATTGCTAGGGATCCAAGAGAACTGGGACCGCTGGAGAGCACTTGCGAACTTTATTCAATTGACGGTACGCCTCTTGACGTTCACAGGCTCCGCAGCAATTGCAGCCCGTTGCTCCGATCTTCTAGCGAAAGGTCGAAAAACATGTCTTCTCTGGCTTGATGCAATCGCGAGCAGGAGGGAGGAGATACGAGATCCTAAGCAAAGGGCTCTGTTGGACTCAAGAGCAGTCGAGATTGCACTTGTAGCTATTAGCAGCCTTGATCTGGAGCTGGAACAACTGCGTGCGACCCTGTCCGTCCCCGAAGCAGCAGTGACGTTGTTATGTTGCTCTATCACGGTGCAAGGAAAAAATCCATCCGCGTCGCCGGAGCATGTTCACCTGCACGCCTCGATGTTACAATGTTGGCGCAAGTTGATGTACCGTGCCTTGCCAATATTCCAGCGGTTGTGTTGTGAGACTGACGGCCTTACGGACGCCGTTCGGGCCTCTTGGCCAGGTTTTCAGCCAGAGGGATGGACAACTGTTGATGCCGAGAGAACGGACTGGCTTGTCACCAAAGCGAGAGGACCGGGCTCTTCCTGCAAGGTTGTTGTCCACTTCAATCTTCTCACAGGCCAACTCCTCGTCAACGGAGTCCCTCTGTCACGCCTGCCCGATGCGTATACATCTCATCCAGTGTATCATCGATTACTCGGCAAGGCATCTATCGAAGTGTTGCCTGTCAGCGAGTCTGCCTTCGTGTTCCAAGCAAGGCATCCCTATCGAGGCTGGAACCTCTTATTCGGAATGGAGAAGTCTAACTTGCTGGTGCGAATCTGCCGTGACGGCCATTCATTTGACCTTTTGCCAACGGCTTTGTTCGAGCACATCTTCCCTACAGTTTTCGCTCGAGACTTCGTACATTGGTATGATCAAGGGAAAGACGAGATTGAGTTCCGCCATATCGATGATCCATGGCTTTCTTCTACGCAGCCTTGGTGTCTACGAAGGTCACACAAACGCAGTTGGCGCCTTTCTAGAGGAAACGAGCTCCTTGTCCATTCGCTCAGCGCTACCGCTGCCAACCTTGCCAGAATACTCTCACCGCTTGAAAGCACTGAATTCATTCATGTGATCGCTAACAGCTCCTCCAAATCCGTGGCTGTTGAGTTACCACGCCTGCAGTTGAGCTTCTACTTCACGACCGGCAAGTCATGCATTTTTTCTCGGCAGTATCGCGGAATGATCATCGACAATAACCAAACCATGAATACTTTGATCGGATTTACAAGCAGACTGCTTTTGAAACCTGAGAATGGGAGCAAAGATCGTGTAGTACTCATCCCGGAGGGTGCTATCAAATACAGAGCCACTTCTGGATATACTTCTGTCTTTATCCCTCCTCGAACGGCCAAGAAAGTCAGCGCATATCACCTGGATGGTATTCTGGGCAGAATAATAGATAACGGTACTTTGCGCAGCAAGTTGGCGTTAGCGTACTTGCATGCTCTCACTTCTTACTGTCTTCCCGACCCGTTCACGGGCTATACTGGTGCGGAGGCAGCGCTGTCGATACTGAAATCCGGGGCCGTGATGTCGTTCGAAACCCTCACATTGGACGAAATCCGACTGCTTGAGTCAATCTCCAAGCTTACGCCCAGGAGAAGGTTTTACCCTCAGGACAAACGAGTGATGCAGAGTATCTCGTGGGACTCTCAACTAGCCTTCCTATCTCAGCACTCTCTCTTTTTGCCCTCCGTACGAACCATTGTTGAGAAATTGTCCAATGCCAGATTTTTGTGTCCTGATCAGGCGAATCTTGAACCTATGGACATACAGCTCTGTGAGGAAGAATTGTTGCATCGCGACCTCATACGATCCTCTACTTTCCGTATTGATGGCTTTGGCGCTGAATCGTTTACCACCGCCTTCGACAGACCATACGCCGGTAGGGATGCTGGTCAAGATAATGAGAGAGGTCGACGGTCTTTCTTAGCAGCACGCATGCTACTTCGGCCTGAAGCTGCGCTCCACAGTCGGGTCCCGCCTTCGTTAAGTAGTAAGATGTGGGACACTTATCTGGATAATCGCACTGTCGATACCCTTGCCGGGTTTGTCCCACCATTGGACCTGTCTTTTGACGCAAAGTGGTTGAGAAATCCTTCACTCTGGGTCAAAGAGCTCTGGTGCAAGCTTCACATGTCTTTGAGCGCGTCTCCAACTCTACACAATAGATTTGATATTGCTATGTGGCTTTCGACAGCTGCTTTTGCAAAGGAAGCCGACATGGGGTTGATCCAGTGTCTCATGGCCTTCTACAGGATTCGGAGTATCTCGGACTGTGCCTTACGCATTCCCGACGGGCCTTCATGCGACTTGACCAAGGGATGCCAACCAAAACAGTCTACCTTGAAAGATCAACTGTCATCAGCGGCTCGGACTTACGAATCTTGGCACGATGACAGTTATCCCAGGGGACCTAACGAATCCGTGAAACAGTACAACCAGCGTCGCAAAACTATTTTCCAGAGCAAGCAAAAGCAAGTCATTCAGTCCTTTGCGACTGCATTGGAGAAGCAGTGGCCTTGCGGAACGCCTCAAACCCCAGATGTGGCGTCAGCCTCGACATTTCTGCAGGTCAGCAAGGCCATGGATAAGGTTCAACCTTGGTTTAGGGCATGGTACGAGAATCGGCAATTATCCCTCTACATCAAGGATGTTTTCAAGGCTCTAGCGGCTCAAAAAGTCCTTCCCGTGATGCTGCCAAGTTGGCCGCCACCGAAACGCCCTGCAAATACACCCTCCAGTCGAGAGCCCGAGCGATACGTCACGATAAATCGTATGTTTGCCAGGGCGAAGCCGCCCACTCTGATTGAGTTCTGTCATCGCCCCGACGTCCAGCTGCAATCTCAATCAAGCATAGAAACGGCCTCTCCTTCAGGATCAGCGTTCTCGAAACTGTGCGCAGATCTAGGGAACCGCTGCAAAGCTAGATTTGAGAAGGACTACATCGTTGATCTGGAGAGAAGTTTTCGAGCCCTGAACGCGTCGACATCGCCTCAAAATAGCTATATCGGTACATCCGAGACATATCAGGTTCTCGAAAGCTACCGGGAAAACTGTCAGAGTCACTTGGCAACAGTATACCAGCGTATGATAGATGGACTTTTCGACGCGGTTGATGCCACATTTGCCGTACCTAATATCGCCTTCGGTTGCAAGGCTGGGGAGAGTTCCACCTCTAATCGCCTAATGTACAAATACCACATGCCCCGACTGTCGCCACAGGTACTTCTCCAGCAGCTTAATCACACACACTGGGCCAGTGTCCCTGGTGATTGGAGAGCGACGGTAATCAAGTATGGCCTGGCGGTTACCGAGCTCCAGCGTGCCCATAGGCTCCAATCGCTTGTCAACAGTCCTCTGGATCTTGCAGAGGAATTGCGCAATATTGGCCATGAGAACTGGGACCCAGCCGAGTTTCCCGACACATTATTGCTTGAGGTCGAGAGCGGCATCTTGGTACGTAAAGTTCAGGAAGAGATAGCCCAGCATATGAGGAAGCCTCCGAACAACGGGAACGCCGTAATGCAGCTTAACATGGGCGAGGGCAAGTCTTCAGTTATAGTACCGATCGTAGCTGCAGCACTTGCAGATGGGAAACGGTGAGTTGACTGTCTCAACTATATCACTTGAGATGTGCTAACTTTGCCTTGCAGGTTGTTAAGGGTCCTCGTCGCGAAACCGCAATTTAAGCAGATGCGACAAATGCTAGTCTCAAAACTGGGCGGGCTTCTGGGTCGACAGGCCTATTACCTGCCTTTTTCACGGGCGCTGCACATTTCTCAAGACGAAGCTCGATCTATCCGCCGACTGATTGAGGACTGTGTGATCAACAGAGGCGTATTGCTTCTACAGCCAGAGCAAACTCTCTCTTTCCAGCTCATGGGTATTGAATGTTTGCTTTCCGGCCGTGAGGAGACTGGTCGATTATTGATGGAGACGCAACATTTCTTGGATACCAACTCACGAGACATTGTTGACGAGAGCGATGAAAACTTCAGCGTCAAATTCGAACTCATTTACACGATGGGAACCCAGACGCCTATTGACTTCAGTCCTGATCGATGGGGTATCATCCATAGAGTCCTCGAGTTGGTCGCTCATTTCGCTGGTGACATCAAGAAACAATTGCCAAATTCGATAGAACATATCCAAGGAGGTCGAGTTCGGAGGTTTCCATTTGTCAGGATTCTCAAGCGAGATGCGGATGAGCTACTTCTTGACATGATTGCAAAAGAAATCTGCAAGTTCGGAATGGTCGGTTTACCAATCATGCACCAACCAGAATCGGTTCGCATGTCAGTATATCGCTACATCAGGGCACCTCAACTCACAAACGACGAAATTCTCGCGGTGCAGGAGGGGCCATTTTGGTCACAATCGACATCCAATCCGCTCTTCTTGGTTCGGGGTCTCATTGCGGGCGGAGTGCTGTCCTTTGTGCTGGGCACCAAGCGTTGGAGGGTTAACTTTGGTGTCGATGAAGGACGATGCCCACCTACCAAGCTTGCTGTACCTTTCCGCGCCAAGGACAGTCCAACACCTCGCTCCGAGTTCAGTCATCCCGATGTCGTGATTTTTCTGACCTCACTGAGCTACTACTACAGTGGACTTTGCGACGACGACATGTTCAACACTTTTACGCACTTGCTCAAATCTGACCAAGCGAGCAGGGAATACGCTGAATGGGCACGTGCTATACCGGACATCCCTGAAGCTATTCGTAACCTGAGCGGAGTCAACATCAAAGACCGTGTTCAGTGTACTGAACATGTTTTCCCAGCTCTACGCTACTCAACAGGAGTGATAAACTACTTCCTCTCGCATCTAGTCTTTCCTAAAGAGCTGAAGGAATTTCCGCATAAGCTGTCAGCATCGGGCTGGGATATTGGGAAAGTCAAACCCTACCCGACCACCGGATTTAGCGGGACAAATGATTCTCGGCATCTCCTTCCCTTAAGTGTCCAGCATCTTGATATCCCATCACAAACGCATACAAATGCGCTTGTCTTGTCCTATCTCCTGCAGAGTGAAAATTCTGTCGAACTGCTTCAACCGCAAACACAAGCTGGGATGTCGAGCGCCGAACAGCTGATTTCGAAGGTCAACCAAATACGACCGACGACGCGCGTTATCCTTGATGCTGGAGCTCAGATCGTGGAGTTGACTAATCAGGAGGTCGCAGAGAAGTGGCTTCACATGAGTGATCCAACGACGACTGAGGCAGTGGTATATGTCAATGACAATGATGATATCACTGTATTGGAGCGGAGTGGGATCTCTGAACCATTACAAACTTCTCCATATCTCGCCAAAATCGACCGGTGTATCATCTATCTCGATGATGCCCATACACGGGGGATTGATCTGAAGCTCCCTCGGGAGTACCGCGCAGCAGTCACATTGGGTACGAAAGTAACAAAAGATAAGTTGGTTCAAGGTACGAGAAGAGCCACCGTTTTGACGTCAAGTTCCTTAACTAATCTGTGCAGCGTGTATGAGAATGAGAAAGCTCGGAAAGGGACAGTCCGTCGTCTTTCTCGTACCTGAAGAGATTCAAATCAAGATTTTTGAACAGAGAGGGCCTAGTGTTGCGGGCCCTGCCAGTATCAGCGTCTCTGACGTCCTCTGCTGGGCCATTTCCGAAACACTGGATGATCTAAGGACGAGCATGCCCTTGTGGGCAGTCCAAGGTCGCAATTTTGAGAATCATAAGGACATCTTCAAGGATGAGAACTGGACCAAAGAGGAGGCCCAGAAGTTTCTGGAGCCCGAAGCACAATCCCTAGAAGCACGTTACCGCCCACAGGTGCAGAATGGGTCGCAAGAAGACCACCTCTCTGGATGGGACATGAACAACGAGAATATCACCCGCATTGTTCATCGCTGCAAGGACTTCGAAGCAATGGGCTTCCGCTCTGCAACTTTACAAGAAGAGCAGGAGCGCGAGCTCTCACCGGAAATCGAAGCCGAGAGGCAGCTAGAGCGACCTCCAAGGATGGAACCACATGTTCACGAGATTCACCGCGATGTGCTCCGCTTGGTGAAGGAAGACCATCTCGGTCAAAACTCTGGCGGCATTTTACCAGCCTTCCGATCGCTTTGCAAAGTCACAGCTGTCGCGTCATTGGGAGACATGCATCAGTTCCCAGTCAACCTGTTAGTCACCGCCGACTATGCACGAACAGTAAAGAGGAGGTCTTCCCTAGACAAGCTTGATTCCTTTCAGCGCCCGGTGCAGTGGGTCCTTTCTGTTTGGGACAAGACTGACTCCGCGCTCCTCCCGATACTGGTCATATTGAGCCCGTTCGAGGCCAACGGTCTGATTGACGTTATACGAAATTCCCCGAGGGCAACGCTACATTTGTACTCTCCACGTATGAATCTTGGCTATCAGCCTCTTGATGCGCTGGACTTGTACACTGTCGGTCGACCGCTTATACCAGGATCCTTGTCTCGAAACCTCGTTATGCAGCTCAATCTGTTTGCAGGGCAATTGTACCTGCGGTCTTACCGCGAGTATGTTGAGCTCTGCAATTTTCTGGGTCTTAATTGGCGTGAGGCGAAAGACGGACAGACTGTGAGCGGTATGTATTCCCCATTCTGCCCTTCATGCATCCTGTGCTGACTTTCTACTAGCGGACGGCTTCATCATGCCACCCTGCGGTATTTGGAAATTGCGAACGAGTCCGGTGCAGTTCCTGAAGACCTTCATCACGAATGTGAGGAGGGATTGCCAAAGTATTGAAAAGACACATGTGGGAAGGATACTGGAGGGGATGTTGTTGAAGGAGGGGGATTTCGCCACGGATTGAGAGGGTCGCGTCTTCTGCGACATGCTTCAAGGGATTAATAGTGAGGTGGCTGGGAAACTCGTGATGTCTCGAGAATGAAGCGGATATGACTGTGAGAGGTATCTCTGCGCCGGCGGAAATATCTAAAATGGAGATTGTACCAGAGCTTTCCCAAGCCGTGCAAATGGAGCCGTACAAACCCCCATCACGATGCGAACCCCCTGTGACATGCGCCAATCCCATATCAGTACGAAAACCTAGAATAATGCAGACAACAAGTAAACCCACAGGTACCGAAAGCGATGCAGAACTCCAGATACTGAACCTCTACAGTCCTCCTCACCCCAATCAATCTTGCTGACCTCACTCCTCCTTCTCCTCCCTCCCCCTCCCAGCAACCCACTTCCCCACCCACCCAACCGCCCTGCGACTCCAACTCCCACTCCCCACAATCCTCCCCTGGATCGTGCCCGTAAACCAGCTAAACAAAAACACCAGCACGCACGAGACCCCCAGCACGAGCGCAAACGCCCACCAATACGTCTTGACCTGGAACTCGACGCCGGCGAACTGGACGGAGAAGTAGCCCGTCATGAGGGTTACGGGCATGAAGAGGATGGTGATTTCCGCCAAGAGGAGCGTGATGCGGGTGAGGGATTCGACGCTGAGGGATTCCTTGATGGCGATGAGGTTGAAGTTCTAGGAATAAAAAATCAGGACGGGCTGTACTTTTAAGGTCCTGGGGGAAGGAAAAAGGCAAGGAATCAGAAAACCGATAAAGAACGCACGCACCATCATGACCAAACTCTCCTTCTGCTCAATACACTCCTGAATCTCGCTCAATGCATACAAACAGATGCGATCCCTTAGCCTCTCGAACCTCACCCTAGCCGCGCTACTCAAGCTGACGCCTAACAAACTATCCTCTTCGGGGATAACGATTCCCGCGTGCGGAGAGCTAACTCCCGTACTAGCAGCCATCATGACCGCGGATTCGTGTCCCTCATAGGCGTGAAGATCGAGAGCGGAGGGTATGATGTGCGAGTTCTTCAGGGAGGCGAGAGTAGCTTCCTGCTTCTTCAGCACGCGCTCGATGATCAGGTCGTAGGATTGGTACACGCGTTTGAGGAGCGAGAGTTGGCAGCCTATGTGGTGGAGCTGGTCGATGTGGGTGAGGGATGCGTGGTCGAGCATTTCTCTTCGCTATTCCAGCGAAAAGCGGCTATGGTAAGCAAATAGAGCGAGGCAGGGATGCACCTTAAGGAAACTGGGACTAAAGAGTTACTTACCAGTCTATCCAACTCGGCTGCGTACCCGTGCTCTCTTCTCGTGACTAGACTATACGTGGTCCACCAGTCTTCGAAGAGATAATAAAATAGCAGACCGGGACTATCTGTACTTCTATGTGCCGTCTCTTCCTCACTGTCTCCCACTCTATGTCGGATCGGCAACATGACCAACTCATTTTCTCTCAGCGGGGTCGGAGCTTTGGTCAACTGGCGGAACACGCTGACGAGATTACGGCGAACGGTGTAGAGGGTTTTGAGCTGGGAGGCAAGGAGGGGAAGGGGTTGGAAGGGGAAGGGGTCTTCGGAGATGGAGATGACGGTCTTGTCGCTGCATAGGAGGAGCCAGTTCCAGATGCGGGTGCTTTGGGGGTGGTCGAGGTGAGGTAAAGGGGAGGTGAGGGAGTGTGGGGGGACGGGGGCGGTGCGGACGTTGTGGAGGGTGTTGTACCCTAGGCAGACGACTAGGTATATGTCAGTATGGATTTAAGGGGCACCAGTGCTTGTTTGGAGCGTCGAATAGTGGAAAGCAACGCCTACATCGCCTACCCCAATCCACTGAGGACCAGTGCCACACGTCATTGACAATATGATAGTGGCTCAGATCCCTCACCACCTCCAACTGCGTCGAATGCATCATCTCCGTCATCCCAATCGACTCCTCGGAATCCAACGACGTCTCCTCCTTGGAGCCCCTTCCAGATCTCTGAGTCGCATGACTCCCATCCGTCTTATGCGACCTCTGTGAGCGCCTCGAAAGCAACGTCGCAGTGCTCCTATGCGAATTTGCTCGTGACGCTGCTGTTGGTTTCGGTGGCACTGGATCCGAGCACATGAGTCCCAGTAGTCGGGGCGAGAAGTCATAATGTTTGGCCAGTACATGCAACGTCTCTTTCTGCGCATATGGAACCCAGAGATTGATCCAGCGTGTATGCAAGTTTGGAGGACGCGGGCTGTGCAGAAGACTGGTGTACGAGTGGGCAGCTAGATCAAAAGCGCAGTAGGCTTCGTCGTCGCCGAAGTCTAGGCAGAAGTTGCGGACGCTGGGGTTACGCGTCTGGCGGTCGAAGAAGTCGAAGTTGGTCTCGTTATCAAAGTCGCGGAATGAGGCATCGACGTCTGGGTCGGCGAGGTCGGTGTAGTATTCTGGGAGGTCGCCTGGTGGTGATGTTGGACGGATAGGCTTCTCCATGGCGACTGCTACGAGTTTCACGACTTGAAAACATCACCCTAAGAGAGTAGAAAAGGAAGTTGAGTTGTTTTGTTAGGTATAGGACCTGGAGTCAGAAGCCCTCGAGCTCGTGTGATGCGGACTCGTGAGCCTCCTGAGACATCTTGTCGCTGCCTCAGATGGCTGATCACGAGATGCTGCTTTGGGCCCTACATCTTTGCACGAGGTATCGTAAACCATAGTAACTGTAACATCTCGAAGTCGATCTCTTCTATCTATGCAAAGGTGTTGAGGAAGCAGGTGGAGTTGAGGTTGAAGTTGGCTAGTTTCCGACGCTAACCGCTTTTGGTCAGCCGACAATGTTCAAATGTTGATGGCCAGGTGCACATACCAGTGAGACAGTCAAAATCACTCTCAATACTCCAACAGACACCGGCAGAGAGCATAAGCCAGTGAAACCGTTTTCAAATCCCTACAAATGCTCCGAAGGAGGCCAAAGTCTAGGTTGGAATCCTTCATCAGAGAAGTCCGCTGCGACCTACCACAAGCTCGGCCAGGAATTCAAACTCAGAGGCCAGCATGTCGATTAAGAAGGCTGACCCAGACTCTTATACAAATGAGTTCATACCATCTCAAATTGACTCAAGAGAAGATGTTTAAAGAGATGACGGGCGCATTATTGAAATCAGAGCTCTACCTCCATGGACGCCTCGCGAGCAGTTGAATGAGATCAGCTAACGCTCTCAATGAAGTGCGTACTATCAAAAGTAGCTGCACAAGTCAATCCAGGATAATCCCATATGTAAGAGCTTCTGACCATTCTCAAAATGGCGACGAGAAAGAGCGTTTCAACGCAGCTCTCTAGACCTCGATGAGGTACCATAACCGAGCAGTACGAAATCAATGACATCATAGCCGTACCACCGATGTATTGCTAGTGAATAGGTTCATACGGCGTACACAGTATTCGCAGCTTCAAGCTTTCCCTTTCAACGAGACAGGCACCAACAACCCACCATTTTTAACACTCGCCAACTCCATCTCCAACCACACATCCAGTTCACTCACCGATCTCCAACCCTAACCAATCCAACCCACCAACCACAACCATGCCCACCCTCCTCGACACCTACAACCCCTCCATCCTCGCCATCCCCGTCCTCCACATCCTCGCCATCCTCCCCCATGGCTATGCCCTCAGCGTCGCAACCGGCGGCCACCCCACGCGCTGGGACAACCGCAACCCTCGCTCCACTGATCTGAAGTCGAAACTCAGCGAGCGGCTCTCCGCCGACGACTTCGCCCTCTATGAACGCCTCGAGGCATGTTCGGCCAACGGCATGGAGAACCTGCCTCTCTTTGCGACGGCGGTGATACTGGGGAATATGGCCGGGTTGAAGAAGGATGGTATCTGGGGGATGACGGGGTTTGCAGCGAGCTTTTTGGCGGTTAGGGTGCTGTATACGGCTGCGTATGTGGGTGGCAAGACGCAGGGGTTGAGTTTTGTGAGAAGTGGGCTTTGGACTCTGGGCGTGGGATTGTGCTGGAGGGTTATCATTAAGTCGGCGAAGGCTCTTGGAGGGGCGAGGTTGTGAGGCTTGAGTGGGTCTCTGTTTGTAGGAGGTGGTTGTGCGTGAGACGAGATTGGACGCCGTTTGTCGAAGTATAGGTGATTGTGCGTAGGATGGAGTAGCCTCGAAAGAAGAGCGGTTGAAAATACGTGTCGGAATTGTTTGTTCAATCGTCTTGTCGCCGAGATTGTACAGCGCTGGCGACATGCCCTTCAAGTGTATCAGATCTCAGGTCGCTAGAAAATGTATACTGGACAGCACAGTGAATGTCTGAACTATGCATTGCATATAGTCACGATCGCATATATTCCTTCTTAAAAGCGGAGCCGCAATCCTGTCTCGATTCTCTTCACTCACACATTGCCCAGCTAGGGTGACCCAGAATGTACCACATCATAAACACCACACACAGGCCACCGTCCCCTTCTTCCACTATCACAACCAACAACACCAGCAAGATTTCAACTGCGGAAAGGACTGTTCATCCTATCTCCTGATGGTCACTTCATGGAATGTCCTGACGTTCCTGATGTGCAACATATTCGGCATGCCAATGCAGAAGCTCGGTGCGAGGAATGTGAAGAAAACGCTCAACGAGCGGGAGGCAACAGTGGAGACACCGAGCAAGGGTGGGGTGTGATTTGTAGTCTCTGGTGGGCCTTGGTTGGATGATGGGCAGAGGAGGATGAATGACTGTATGAAGAGGAGTAATGCGATAGTGCTATAGCCGGACACAGTGCAACTAGTGAACATTAACTTCAAGAATTTCAAAGGAGATGTTTGGCCGGCTCTGAGCAGAAGTACTATGTATGCTTTGGAGAGTGGATGAGCGGCAAGTTCTCGGATTAAAGACAATCCTATAAATGGAAGAACCGTCTAACCAGAAGCTTAGCGCAGAGGAAACGTATAGACAACGATTTAAGAGGAGTGTCCCTTCTTTCAAAGAATTCTCTCTTCAAGAGGGTTGCACGTAAGGTATGCTTCAGCTTTGGTAGGCTTTCGGGGGACCATACGCAAACGACCATTATCTGAATGCGTTAAAAAGGCGGCGCGTTGAGGTAGAGTGAACTCTTCAATTCTCTACAATTCGAGGAGAATAGGTCAAATCAAACTGAGGTATCGCAGAGGTGGTGAGACCTGACTTGGAGCGACGTACAGGCAGTGGTGGCAGAACCTCGGTGAATTGGTCAGCGCTAGGGGCCCGTGCACTCTCACGTGAACCTTCTTGGGACGACGGCCCCGGGGACTTCATCCTTCCCTCTCCACTTTCTCTCCGCCAATTCGGGACGATCAACCGACAAACCCTGGGGCACCATGTGTTCATGTGTCTCAGTGTCTGCCGGCCAGACTCGCAGCTCCAGCTCGCAGACCACCGATTTCTGTCCTTTGCCAAAAAAACAAGAGCTATCATTGATTGAAAGACGGTGGTCAAGTTTCAAAGCCCGTTAATACCACCGGCTCGATGCAAACCAGCCACATACGGGAGGGGAGCCCGCCACGATGCTTGACATGCAGTTCCCCAGATCTGACCCTATTAACCCACCAATAACCCGCACGTCGCTTCCGTTTAACCTGGTCCTAAACAATATAAGCAGCCCGGCCCGCAATTCTAGCCGACGAATGGACGATGCTACCGCGGTAGGGTTACCTTGCCGTCACCTTGCTCAGCAGCTTCATCCTTGCGGATCATCAGTGCGGGACGAATAACGTTTGCAGCTCTGCAACCATGACCGGCCGGAGCTCCTGCAAGATTTCCAGCCTGGGATCAACGGCAATACAGAACGGCTTTCCAGGGTCCTGTTGTTCAGAGCGGAGCTAGAAATATGAAGAGCTGCTGGTCATCATGTACCTACCCAACCAGCTGGAGTGTCTCCAACCTTTTGGCTCCGGTGCAGTAGTGTCAACTATTCCTGAGAGACCGGCACCATGGGCCTACCAAGCTTCCCTAAGCTGTACAATGTGTACTTTCTGGCTATCATTGCCACTATGGGCGGTATGCTCTTTGGCTTTGATATTAGTTCCATGAGTGCTATCATTGGAACGAAGCAGTACTTGTGAGTGCTTTTTTTTGTGTTTGGAAACAGAAAGAGATGCTATGTAGCATTGCTGTCAATACAGAGCTGTTGCTTGACATTGCGAACGTCTCTGCTCCACCATCTCCAGTCCACCATTCGGGAATGCTAACATAGTATCAGGGACTACTTCGACAACCCCTCCGGCGTCGCCCAAGGAGCCATCGGCTCCGCCCTCGCAGCCGGCTCGGTCGTAGGCTCCATTGTTGCAGGTCCTGTCTCTGACAAACTGGGTCGTCGAAAGGCCCTCTTTTTCGCCTGCATCTGGTGGCTTGTCGGAACTGCTCTCCAGGTCGCTTGCAATGGCCGCGGCATGCTCATTGCTGGCCGCGTGCTTAACGGTGTGACGGTGGGCATCACATCCTCCCAGGTCCCCGTTTACCTCGCCGAGATTTCGAGGCACGATCAGCGTGGTGCTATTATCATCATTCAGCAGCTGGCCATTGAGTGGGGCATCCTGTTCATGTAAGTCTTAACATCATGTATCACGGCTCACAGCTAAAAGGTCGCAGGTACTTCATTGGCTATGGCTGCTCGTTCATTCCTGGAGAGACTGCATCTTTCAGGACGGCATGGGGCATCCAATTCGTCCCTTGCGTGTTCTTCATGTTCGGTCTTCCCTTCCTTCCAGAGTCTCCTCGTTGGCTTGCCAAGGTCGACCGCACTGATGAAGCCATCCAGTGAGTGTTCAAGATACATCTTCGCGAATGTCGACTAACCTTACGCAGTGTTCTTGCCAACATCCAGGCTAACGGCAATCTTCAAGACCCCTATGTCATAGCCGAGTACGAGGAAATCGTTACGGTTCTCACTGCCGAGCGGCAAGCCCCCCCGGGTTGGAGGAAGTTTGTGTACAATGGCATGTGGAAGCGAACCATGGCCGGTTTCTCCGTACAAGCCTGGCAACAACTCTCTGGTAAGTAGCTCTCTGGGAACACGATTATGGAGGATTGAAGATACTGACCCACCTGCAGGAGCAAACATCATGACGTACGCACCCATCTGTATACCAAAATGTTTGAACAAGGACTAACAGCCGCAGATACTACGTCGTGTACATCTTCTACATGGCCAACCTCACGGGCAACGTCAACCTCATCTCTTCCGGCGTCCAATACGCCCTCTTCATCATCTTCTCGACCGTCATGTTCTTCTTCGTAGACAAGATTGGCCGCAGGACACTGCTCGTATGGGGTGCTATAGCTATGGGTTTCTGCCACTTTGTCGTCGGTGGCGTCCTCGGGGCGCACTACAGCTACGTGCCGGGTAAGCTTCCGAAATCTCCATTGTTATCTTCACAACGTGCAGTACTGATAAATCTACGACAGAGGGCGTAGAAGGCAACGCCAACGTCGTCATGCGTGTCACCGGCGCTCCAGCCCACGCCATCATTGCCTTCTCCTACCTCCTCATCATCATCTACGCCCTCACGCTCGCTCCAATCTGCTGGTACGTATCCTTCCGTCCATATCTTGCCCTACTGCAATGCAGCACACCGCAGCACAATAGGTAGAATCTGACGACTCGCAGGGTCTACGCCGCCGAAGTTTGGTCCCTCGAAACCCGTGCCACGGGCATGGGCATCGCCGCCATCGGAAACTGGCTCTTCAACTTCGCCATCGGCTTATTCATCCCGCCCGCCTTCCTGAACATCCGATGGAAGATCTTCATCGTGTTCGGGACCCTGTGTCTGGGCGGCGCTATTCAATTCTGGTTCACGTATCCAGAGGTACGACATTCCATTCCACTCCCTTTCTCTTCCGTCCTTTTATCGGTGCTCCCAGGCGCCCTAGAAGTGTATGCAGAATATACTAACATGTGGATGCTAGACGTGCGGCAAGACGATTGAGGAAATCGAAGTCATGTTCAGCAAGGATGGGCCCAAGCCGTGGAAGACGACGAAGGGACACTCGAGGTTGGATCGCGAGGTCGAGGTTGTGGCGAATGCGCAGGCAAAGGGCGAGGCGAGGGCGAGTATCGAGAAGGTGATTCAGGAGGAGAAGGCCGCCATGACGGCGACGGCGACGCATACGAACAAGACGGAGACGGTGTGAATGCGGGATGGAGCGAGGGATACTGCGAAGGGAACGGGACAGACTGGCGGGTGAGGAGACGGTGTTGGGTGGGAGGGATGTTGGTCAGTGAAGTGGAGATAGTGTGGGACGGAGGATTTCAGTTTGCGGAGCCTTTTGAATTTACAAGAGTTCTTGGATTCTTATCAACACGGTGCTGTCCTACGCTTACTTCACTAACTGAGCTTGAGAAGTATGTCCATCTCAACTGACCCCTTCCATGTCAACCGCGCGCCGTCTTCCAGCCTTTGAGGATTGTTGTCACTCTACCCTTGCTCTCTTTTCTTCTCAGTACCGCCAAACTAACTTCTAGTGAACCTTCCATCGCCCAAAGGCCGGAATGTGAGGCTACACTAACATTCCCTCCTCCGGCTTGCCATGATTCCGCAACGAGTTTATGCGGAGGTTCCATCCTATCCGATATCCGACGCGATGATATCGCTTCTCCTCCTGGCCTTGCCTGTCCCTTTTGCTTCGCAAACACAGACAAGTATGTGTCCATTCCAGTAGAATCTGGAATCCTTCATATATCCAAGCGCGACCTTGAGTCTTTTGCCCTCGTGAAACCTAAGCAGTCCAATGTGCGTTCAATGCGTTGGTATGTGGTACGCCAATACCGCGAGCAACCGCATCACTGCTTGAAACTATGCACAATCAAGCATTGAGGTCCTGCGATGTGCTGTTTCCAGCAAAGCAGGAGCGTTGGTAACTCTGGGAATTGCAGCTGAGCCGAGCAATACAACCGAACGGTGGAGGTACAAGCAGGTCGACCAATCCATCAATCGTCCTTCAATCGTCCTCGTCGGAATCCGCGTAGCCTAGCGAAAGACCTATCGGTGCCGTCGGCTGAGGTTTCGGTTTGGATTTCGTCGCAGACGTATCCGGGACCTTGTCTCCCGCCGACGGCGAAGCTTGTTTCCCTTCAGGAGCAGTTTTGCTCTCTTTTTGCGTCGGCGTCTCTGGCGATGTTGGGGTCGTAGCATTCGCAGCCGTCCGCGTCGCCGTCGAATCATTCTTGGCCTCATTGCTCTTCGCAAGCGCATCCACTTCCGCGTCCGCGTCCGCGTCCGCAGTCGCCGAGCTAGTCCTCCTAACCTTGACGCCCTTCAACAATTCCCCTCCGGCCCTCTTCCTCTTCTTGCCCGGCGCCACCCACACAACCTTCTCCCCCTCCCCTGCCTGTCCTGTACCCGAACCCGCACTCTCCATTTCCCTCGCCTTCTTCTCCGCCTCTTCCCTCTGCCTTCGAAATCGCTCCAGTTCTTCGGCCGTCTCGCGTTTCACGGCATCTTCCTGCTTGCGCTTCTCTTCGAGGATGGTAGAGAGGAACTCGGCTTCGTCGTCGTCGAGGGCGCGGTACTGGTTCTTGAGGCGGATGGATTCTTCGAAGGCTTCTTGCTTGGCGGCTATGCGTCACAATACACTCAGCAACACATTATAAGAAACCAAGACACCATGCTCTCAGACTCGAATTGAGAAATTGTGAAGAGGTAGGATAGACAGGAGCTCCGAAAAAAGAAGATATAGACGCACCTTTATTAGCCATCAAAACCTCATACAGACTCTTCCCCTCATTCCCCTCCCGCACGCTTTCCTCCTTGCGCGCCCTCGCCTCGGCCAGTTCCTGCTGCACCTTGCGCCATGCCTCGTCGTTGGCCGTGTCGTGTTTCGCGCTTAGGCTTGAGCTCGAGCTGCCCTCTTGCTTCGTTTCATCGTTGATTCTGCCGGCCGAGACGAAGCCTGAGGACATGTTCGTCGTCGGTGATTATGAGAGGATGATGGATGAGCTGGAGCTACTAGGCGGTAGCTAGACTGGATAGGGAATGCATTGGGGTGCGCACCCTGCAGGTGCCGACGATGGTAGGGTTGGGCTAACGGGAGTTGTGATGGAGGTGCTCGGCAGATATTCGGATGCAGTGGAAGCTCCGGACGGATTACCTTAACGGGAAGAGCCGCGCAGTGAGTGATGGAGCATAATGATTGGTGGGGTTTGGAAAGTCGTTGGATTTTCCGCTCCCACCAGTTGGAGCAGTCGACGACAAAGCCGGGGAAATGTGAGGGATCTACGTCATCGGTTGGGGATCCAGTCGAGGCGGTGGATAAAAAGTACAGTCCCATTTCTCCAGGGCTGGTTGCCGTGTAATAAAAGCGGGGAGGGGAAAAACCTACTGTGTCCTAGATAAAAGTGGGTAGCCAGTAGCTACGGCGTTTAATAGAAAAAGCTCGTGAAAGGAAGGATAAATAAGAAATATCCAAACACCCAAAAAACCCCCTCCCTTCCCTCCCTCCTCCCGTCGATCCATTCCCCCAACCCGAAAACCCCTCCCCCTCCTCCTCTGATACACCTTCACCACCAAAATGTCACGCATCTGGACCAAAACCACCTTCCCGCTCAACACGGGCGCCACCATCCCCGCCATCGGCCTCGGGACCTGGCAATCCAAGCCCAACCAGGTGCGCGAGGCCGTACGCGTCGCACTGCAGAAGGGCTACCGCCACATCGACACGGCGCTGGCATATGGCAACGAGGCCGAGGTGGGCCAGGGGATTCGCGACTCGGGCGTGCCCAGGGAGGAGATATGGATCACGACCAAGCTGGATAATACGTGGCATAAGCGGGTCGAGGAGGGGATTGAGAGTAGTTTGAAGAGCTTGGGGGTGGATTATGTGGATCTGTATTTGATGGTGGGTTATTTTCCTCACTTTACATCTATTTATTTGGTCGTCGGTGGACCACTTGATGCACAAACCTCAACAATTCGCCATGACGCTAAAACTACTACGAATTGACTCACTGACAAAACCCCCAGCACTGGCCCTCCTCAACCGACCCGGACGACCTCTCCAAACACCTCCCGGACTGGGACTTCATCGCCACCTGGGCCGAGATGCAGAAACTGCCCGCCTCGGGCCGCGTCAAGAACATCGGCGTCTCCAACTTTGGCATCCGCAACCTCGAGAAGCTGCTGTCGGACCCGCGCACCAAGACGGTGCCCGCCGTCAACCAGATCGAGCTGCACCCCAACTGCCCCTCGCCCAAACTCCTGCAGTACTGCAAGGAGAAAGGGATTCACTGTACCGCGTACTCGTGCCTGGGCAGCACGGATTCCCCGCTGGCGAAGGATCAGACGTTGAAGGCGTTGGCGGAGAAGAAGGGCTGGTCGGCGGCGCAGGTGTTGTTGCTTTGGGGCCTGCAGAGGGGCACGAGCGTCATTCCCAAGAGTGTGACGCCCGAGCGGATTGAGGCGAATTTCGAGCTGGATGGGAAGAGTCTGAGTGAGGAGGAGATGAAGCAGTTGGATAGTCTGCCGGATCGCTTCAAGGTCTGTGGCGATGCGTGGTTGCCCATCAAGGTCTTCTTCGGCGATGATGAGTAAAAGCTAGGGGAAGATAAAAGGGTTACAGGTGAATAGATAAAAAGAAGATTCCCATTCTGCTCCTTGTCTCCATCTTAGTGCACATCCAGAACGAAAGTCATCAAAGTTCATACAGGCTTCTAAATAACCACAATCTCACCATCGTACTTATCATCCTCCTAACGATCAAAAGCGGGAAACGGCATGGCAAGATAAACATGTGGAATCCAGAAAAGTTCAGGAGCCAAGTAAAATAGATTGCTGTTTGTCCACTAAGATGCTGCGTCAATACATGATGTAACCTCACTGGCGTTGGCCTGCCATAAAAACGCCGTTCGCCTCTAACGCTGTTCAGATGCCTCAACAAAACGGCCCTCCCGTAGCATCCAGTCCCTTAGCCTGATGCTCAATATCCGTCCCCTTTAGGCAGCCGCCGGAACGGTCTGTTGACTGCTTGCTGCCGGCGCCAGATTCTGATTCTGCGACTGCTGCGGCTGCTGCTGCGGAGGCGGCGGTAGTAGGCCCTTTGCCAGCCACAAATCGACCAGGGGCTGCATGGGCTCGATCTCCTTGTCACCGAGCAGCCCGAAGAGCTTACCGACATTGACAAAGTGGATGAAGCACGTGTTGAGCTCCTTGTACGCGTTGACGTTCCAGAAGGGATCTAGCCAGTGGCCGTGATAAATGTGGGCATAGCAGCGCATCATCTGACGGTAGATGCTCTTGATGTCGCTCTCAAACGTCTCCGGGAAGCCGGACGACTTGCCTAACCAGTCTCGGCCTGAAAGTTGAGAAAGCGAGGCATTCAGATTCGTCGGTCCCAAAGGTTGGGGCGTGGACGACCCTGGAGTTGCAGAGCCGGAGGCGTAACTCGAGCCATTGCCCGAGAATGATACAGACGAGGTGTCTGTGGGGAAGATGGAGGGATCATTGATTTTTCCAACGATCCATTTCTGCACCAGGTTGATATATTGGATGGCGGGTATCTTGATCGGGTTCTTCTTGTTGTCTAGCCAGGTGTATGTATGACTGAGACTGGTAAGTACAGTCAAAGTGGCAATAAACAGAGGCAAAACTTACACACTCGCGGACATGGTGGGACACACCTCTGGATTGCAAATCGGTCTCTGTGTCCTCTCATCTACAACTTTGATCATGTCGATCATCTGTTCCAGCAGACGATACTGCTCGACAACTGGTCACGTGCCTTAGAATTGTGTCCTCAGTCCAAAGGGAGGGAGGCGGGGCTGACATACCTTGATGGGCGAGCCATTCACCCTCTTCCACCAGTCTCGGCTTTGCGGCCAAGGTCATAAAATTACCCTTAACAATTAGGGAAGAGTACTCTTCCCGGAAGAAAAATGGCGGCCGGCGAGCGTTGGAGTTGGAGGTATTTTGACCGTCCGAACCGGGAGTTTCAAGCGACATGGCGGAAGACAATGCAGGGGAATGTGGCATGGGAGGGACACTCGGCGGCTGGGCCGTGGACGGCGAATATGATGGCGTAGTCGGTGAAGGCGTGTCCTGGCCGTTGTTCCCTTTGCCTTGGGCACCTTTATTGGAGCGACCACCGAAGCCTTGGCGTCTGATATTGAGGAGTTAGAAGGGATAACGGAGACGGGTCATGGAGCAGAGGTCAGGGAACGATGAAGAGGGTAGAAGGAGAATAGACGAAGAGACAGAAAGTGAGACATCGGGCAGGTTAGCCTTTGAAACAGACAGTGTTGGGAGGTGCGAGGGCAAACACCTGACCCCTATGCATATGGCACAGCTGGGGGTGGGGGAAAGAGAGGGCGCCAAGCACTTACACGCTCGAGAAGAAGGACGCCATGGTGCCCGCGAACTGGTATATGCCGTATGAAAGTGCGATCTTGGGGGGTGTAAAAAGGGAGTAACAGGAGACAGGTGCGCTGTGCGGTGGTGAATTGCCTCTGGACACTTTGCTGGCCGTGTTCGAGAAGGGGGACCCGTCGTCTGTCTGGCGCCCGACCCACCCGAGTTTGCGCTAGACCTAATTGGGCCCCACGGCTTTCCCTTGTCTGTCTTCGAACTTCAATCTCGCGCTTCGTCCATCGCAAAGCTGCAGCTTCAACGCGCCTGTGCTTTCACCTTCACCTTCACCACCTCCAGATCATTGCTTACAAAAGCCGGAACTCCTCCCAACCTCTTTCTTCCATCCGCAACTCTCCGCAACCTACCCAACTTTTGCAACAACTGGACTTCAAATCACCGCACGAACCATGGCCTCCGACGCGGGCCTCTCCGACAATGAAGAGTATAAAAGTACTCCCGCAGACGCAAACCCGGAAGGTGAAAACGATACCGGCGACGTGAAGGACACGCTAGAAGAGGAAGAAGAACTCGGCGACGATGATGACCTCTTTGGCGACGGAGGCGACGAAGAAGAGGATGAGGAACAACCGTAAGCTCCCATCCTTCATCAAAGTCCTATGTCCGCTCTCTAACACAACCCCTAGTTCAAGGCGCAAGCTCGACGACGAAGAGCTCGACTCCGGCGACGACGAAGGCCGCACCGATCGCGTCCCGGAAGAACCCGCCGAAGAAGCCGTCGAACAGACCCTCAGCTTCATGGACGCCGACATCGCCAGGCATGCCATCCCCGAGCCCAGCGACGGCGAGCTCTACCAACTCCGAGTCCCGCGCTTCCTCTCCTTCGAACCCACAGCCTGGAACCACAAAACCTTCCAACCCCCAACCACAGACCACCACTCCAAGACCGCCCCAACGGAACACTTCTCCGCCTACGACACGGCCCTCACAACCATCCGTTGGCGCCGCTCCCCCTCGGACCCTTCCAAACTCCAATCCAACGCCCGCATCCTCCGCTGGAGTGATGGCTCCCTAACTCTCCAACTCGCCTCCCTCCCCACGGAACAATACGAAATCACCGCCGCGACGCTGGCACCCCCGCAGACGCACCCCAAGAAGCCCACGCCCACCTCGACCCTGTCCAAGCACGCCCCAGGCAAGGAAAGCTACACGTACCTCGTCGCGCCCTACGAGGAAGCCCAAATCACGCGCGTCACCAACAAACTCACCGCCGCGCTCTCCGTCGTGCCCAACCTCAAATCAAACGACGGCGCCATCGAGAAGCTGCAGGCCGACCTGGCCAAGGCGGCGAGCCGCACCCTGGATAGCAAGGAGCAGGCCATTTCCATCATCCAGGTCGACGAGGACCCGGAGTTGGCGCGCGCGAGGAAGGAGGCCGAGTTCAAGCAGAAGCAGAAGATGCTAAGGGCGCGGGAGAAGAATGAGCAGCGGGAGAGGGAGAAGGCGACGCGCAGGATGGGCGGGCACAGGGCTGCGGGTTACGGCCTCAGTATCGGCGGGTTGGAGGACGAGGAAGGGGGTCGTGGGCGTGGTGGAGGTGCCGGGCAACGGAAACCGCGGGCCAAGGTTGGGTCGAGGAGGGATTGGAGCGATGAGGATGAGTATGCTGGTCGTGGGGGAAGGACGAGGGAGGATGAGTACGATGAGGAGGATGATTTTATCGCGGCGAGCGATGAGGAACCCGAGATTGTCGAGGATGATGAGGATGAGGATGATGGCATTGTCGAGAGTCCGCCGGCGAGGCGGAGACAGGCGACTGCGAGTCCGAAGCGCGGGAGGGGTGGCGACGAGGAGGAGGAGGAGGAGGTTGTGGTTAGTAGGACGAAGAGGAGGAGAGTGGTGGAGGATGATGATGATGAGGATGAGTAGGCCGGATATGGGAAGATGATTAGGTATGTGGTTGGCAGGCAACACCTCAAAGGTCTCTTTCCAATAACCTGTGGAGTCTAAAGTATTCCTTTCCGCGTCGATGTACTTGTATTACTTAGCTTCCACTCCTGCGCGTTCGAGGATTCAAACATCCGGTCGGACATGAATGAAGCATAACCTGGAGCCTGAGTAATTCCCTTCAAAACAAAAGAGTAGCATCGTTCACAACACCCGAAACAAGGCGTTCTGAATGCATATATGATGTGCATACCTACCCGCTCACTCCTCTACATAAACAGCTTGACCAAACCAGGAATAGGACCTTAGAAGCTGGAGAAAAGAATCTCAAATTGACTAACAAAGCAGCAGTTTAAAGTTATCTACCTTTCCCATCCTCACCATTCCAGCCCAACCACGAACGCTCGCAATCAATCGTTTTCAGGTTGAAGTTCGGTCATCCCATCGTCACCGCAAGCATCAAGATGTAAGGTTGATGTATGACGAAGACGGTCATTCGGGCATCAAAGCTAAAGGACACACAATAACTCCAATTGGTTGGGAAAGAGATAATTAGAAAGCAGTTGTGTTCTCCGCGCCACCATCCCGTTTGTGTAACACACAGGCTTGTAAGCACACGTATTCGTATAGAGGGGATTCGTATATGTGGGAGAAGAGAGAGGAGGTAGGGTCTGGGGTAGGGGCAGACATTGACATGGACCGCCAGGGTTGTGCTTAGTTGTGGCCAGCCTTGCGAAGCGAGTTGCTCAACCATTCCAGACCCTCGTACAAACCATCGCCGGACGTAGCGCAGGTGGATTGGATGTACTGTGAACTGTCAGCTACGGTTTTGTCGGAGTGAGTGCCTTTGTACATACCCAGGCACGTTGTCGAAGGCTGTGGAGACCGAGCTTGTCGGTGATTTCGGCAGCGTTCATGGCGTTCTAAGGAGTAAGTCAGTGCATGTACGAGAGATCAACGCACTCCAAGCATGCTTACAGGCAGATCCTGCTTGTTGGCGAAGACCAAAAGCAGAGCATCCCGCAGCTCGTCCTCGTTCAACATCCGCTGAAGCTCCTCGCGCGCCTCCACAATACGGTCGCGATCGTTGCTATCAACGACGAAGATGATACCCTGGGTGTTCTGGAAGTAATGCCTCCACAAGGGCCTGATCTTGTCCTGGCCTCCGACATCCCACACGGTGAACTGGATGTTCTTGTACTCGACAGTCTCGACGTTGAAGCCTGGTTTCCCACATATCAGCAATGTCGGGCTTTTGTCGGCAAGGGGCGCGTGAGTACACACCAATGGTCGGGATCGTGGTAACGATTTCACCGAGCTTGAGCTTATACAGAATCGTCGTCTTTCCTGCAGCGTCCAAGCCAACCATCAGGATGCGCATCTCCTTCTTGCCCCATAGCTTGTCGAACAACTTCGAGAATGTAAGACCCATGGTTGCGGTGGGTGCGGCGGGTGTGTGGCGGTAAGAGGCGGTGTGGGTGAACTCTCGAACCTGGCGTGAACGTGTGAGAGAGAGTGCTCATAAAAAAAAGGTATAGACGCCTAAAGCCCAGAAACGTCCACTCCTATCGCCAGAATCCTCTCCCCCCAACTTGACCCCCGAGGCCGAGGCCCTTGTGACAGTTGGGGGGCGGAGGGAGCGGCGACAGGGCGGCGACGGGCGAGGATTCAGAAATGTTGGAGCGCGTGTTCGACTTACCGTGTGCGTTCAAGAGTATGGGAGTTGGATGAGATGGAGGTTATGTGGGTGGCCGATGTAATCTAATTGATGTCCAGGACGTGCTGGCTTGATGAAGAGACGTCTTGGATTTGAAGGGTTTCGGCGCGCAGATCTTGGCGGGATCCCCCAACACGTGATTCCTGAAAGAATGTCTGAATACGTCCGAAAGTCTCTTTCTTGAATCGAAATTTGAATAAAATAACATCCTCAACGCCGTCCCAATCTCTTTATTAAGTGTGCAATTTCTGGACACGTTGCGCGTCCATAATTTCCAAGATTGGAGTCGTTCCAGCTCCTGAGGATAGGCAACCGCAAATCGATCGGTTCGCCTCCAATCTTACCAATCTTGAAGAGTCCTAACCAGAAGGCAACAACTATCATCTAGAAGGACATGTACACATTTACAGTATTTAACCAAATGGTCGAACAACCGGGGATTTCGCGTGTTCCCCACAGCTCTCTCGTCCCCCTTTCTCAACATCAGGTCTTGGCATACCCCCCGCAAGTTCATCAACATCATATCAGAAAAACGATCTAGTATGTTGAAAACTCCGGATCGCAGAAACATCTAGGACCATAGCTACCACTCTCAGAAGGCCCAGCTGTATTGCACATGTCGAATGATATGTCAGAAGAAAAAGGGAGATAACTTAGCAAGACTCAAATGTTAGCCGTGGTGTCTAGAAGCCATACGCGGAAGCCTGGAGAAGGGATCGGGTAGGCTTACGAGTGGAAGAACTGGTCTGGCCACGTTTCACAAGAGACTTGTGATGTTGGTGTCTCAGAGCGGTCCAGTGTAGGCAAAAGGAAGGTTGAGGCGGTAGTTGTCTGATCCACGTATAAGTTGCTGGGTGGACACAAATAGGTACCGTCAAAGTAAGGTGACGAGGGTGTCTCTGGGTATACAAGAGCATCATGGACGAAAGCTGTGTTTGGCGACAAGCAATGGGATGCAGTGTAAGCGGCCTTAGGTTGCCCTGACAGTCCCTGCCAGTCTTCAGAAGGTCTCTGTATATCCAACGCATTGTCACCGCTTAGCAAAGTCGTTGATGGTGCAGATATGGCTGCATGACCGTTGGGAGCCGACGGGGGGGGTTGTGGCGCCGACGCATCCGGACGATGACCTTGGTCTTTTCCATGGTTTCTTGTGAGCCAAAACGTCTCCACACATCTACGAAATACTCAGACGTACCTATCTGTGCGCTGAACGTTCTCAAGTGCCTTACCCAGTCGCGTTTTCCCTGTGGATATTGTTTCTTGCCACTGACGACGTATTGGCAGGAGTGTTTAACTCTCCGACATCTCACGCAGTCCGGCTTGCCACCATCGCACTTGACCTTTCTCTCTCGGCACCGGGTGCAAGCAACATGCTTAACCGCCTGTTTTGGTTGGAGCTCAGTTGGCATCCCTGGGTTGTATCTGCGTTTTCGGAAGAGGGGGATAAAAGAGAGAGATTCTCACGGTACAAATCCGAGATCAGGGGACTGAGCCCAGCGGAGGTAAGGCAGCTTATAACGGGTTTTCAGATGACAAAAACAGCATTGCATTTTTTAACACTTATGGAAATAGCCCGGCCTGTGTGGTCTGCCATTGGGCCATTGCAATCAACATTCCATACCCTAGGGCAGTGCCACCACAAGCTCGAGGGTGAGCATACGACATTGCCATTGGAAAGTTGTACTATGTGCACGTTCTGTCACCCTTTCCTGGGGAAACACGTTGGCTTGGTTTCTCTATGCGAATAATGATTCGATGGCTCAATGGAAGCGCGCACCATCTTGGGCGGCTTCCCTCGTCCCTGTAAGATCTGGACGCATACCGCCACGAGCAGCTACCGCCAGAACAGCAGAGAAGTTTCATTGTCTTCTAGCCACCCGTCTTTTCCAAGAGCAAGACTCACGCGCATCTTCTTCAGCTCACCGCCCCTTACTGAGGAATCCCCGTACAGCGTTCCACAAACCACACACGAGGAGTGGCACAAACATGCGCATTCCGAACCTTTTAAGCGAGAATGGGTGCGCGTTAACGACGTTCGTCCTTTCTGGAAGGTCACCCAGAATGTTCTTGTCAGACGAAAATAACTTTAGGAACGTCTCTGCTTGCTTCTTCAGCTACCGCGAGCATCTACATCTCTGGACTAGTCATGCGGTATCACACCCACTTGTTACCATGTGAGTGTCTTCGGGCACAGTGGCTCCGGGATGAGCGATTACGTCGCACCGACTGAGGGTCGCTGACCATGTGCCCGGGTCAAGGCACTTCGTCGTCCTACTGCTTATTAGTAGAGATCGGACTTATACGAGGGCATATGAACCTAGTATCTACGGATCCAATCATACCAGTGGAAGGTGTCGTCAAACGGGAAACGACAGCCGTGTCTAGAACCCCAAGCCCTTTGTCCAGTCGCCTGGTGGACATTTGCCCGTCTTTGTGTGTTTCCGACCAGTCAGAACTCAGAGTCCAGCAGAGAATGATCACATCAGACAAGCTCGTCAACATAGGAATTTTCGGTCAAATGCGATCCAATAACTATCGAGGATGTGTAGTCCGCTAGGAAGACTACGCCCATATTCAGACGGATTCTCTACTCCATCATGAGTACTTGTCGGCCCAGTGCTACATGAAGTAGGTTGTTTCTATCATGGCTGAGATTTGAAGTGCCTTTATCTCGCTGTCTTCCTGTATTCACTGATCTGGATATTCCGTGAGGATGCTAACCCAACCAAAAGATTCAGAACCCACTCAAGTTCATTTTCTGCCCGGGAAAACAATTGAGCCAGTTTATAGCGGCGTATAACAGAAAAGTCTTACAAGTTTTAGAACACATGTCAGCCTATGATAGCATCAAGGACACGATATACTTGTTTTTACCGGATCCCCTCACCAATGACCCGAAGTGGAAGTCGTCCAACGACGCACCTTCACCACGGTGTCACAGCACCTTCCGCGAAACGAGAAAGCGGGGTTCTGGCAAAGAACTCCTACTCCCAGCTTCAGCCCTCTAACCTCAACCTCACTTCAACCTTACCTCAACTTCAAGCACGGCAGTGGATCTCCTTCACCGCCGCCCAGTCTCACGCACCTCATCCAAAACGGATCAAAAGCAGAAGAAGCTTAAACGTACGGACAACCATCATGGCCTCTTCGACCCCCGGGTCCCTGCCCGGCAGCCTCATCGCAATCAGCGGCGCCGGTATGTATTCAGTTAAAATTCTTTGCTCATAGTTGTAAGTCAATCGGTCATCTCACACATGCAACAGGGTCTGGCATTGGACGCAGCCTTGCGCATCTCCTCGGTCGATCTGGTGCGTTGCTCTCCCTCGCGGATATCGACTCTGCTGCTTTGATTAAAGTGGCGAAGGAGTTGACGGACATGAACAATAATATCAATGAGAACACCCTCTTCCATATGCAGGTCGATGTGACGGATCAGAGGCAGGTGGATAAATGGGTCGAGACGACGGTGGAGAAGTTTGGAAGGAAGTTGGATGGTGAGTGCGTTTCTTGCTAACTTGAAGCTCGAGACTTGTATCAAAACGCTGCTTCTTCTGCTGTCACGGTCCCTTCCACTCACTTCGGTTTTCCCTGGGATATACGCCAGCAAATACCACAGACATGGCGCGTGATATGGAGCCACCACCTATGCTGCAGGCAAAAGCAATCTACCATTTTGCCACAGTTGCTAACTCAACGCCCTTCTTCGCAGGTGCTGCAAATTTTGCCGGCATATGCGGCACCCTTGGGTCTCTCCGTGCCTTCTCACAGCCCGACTACTCCTCGGTATTCAGCGTAAACGTCGAAGGCATCTTCAACTGCTTGTCCGCAGAGCTACGTAACATGCGCGAAGCCAATCCTCCTCTCAACATCAAGACAGAACCAGACCAACCGAGTCTCTCAGCTGCAGAAGAGTCCAACAAAGGCAATAGTGAGGCCACTTCCGGTCTTGGACACAAAACAACGGGAGGCTCCATCGTAAACGCTGCATCCGTTGCGGGACTTCTAGGCAAGCCAAACGCCAGCGTCTACTGTGCAAGCAAGTTCGCCGTCGTAGGCATCACCAAGTCGGCAGCGATTGAAGAAGGGAAGAGGGGAAGCGGCATCAGGGTTAATGCTGTTGCGCCGTAAGTTGTATCCCTCCCAGACTCAACGGTTATCTCTCCCTGCTCTGCATCAACGAGAATGTAGCAAGGAATACGGCATCATATGTTGGAACCATAGCTGACCGCGCGCTACTGCTGCAGTGGTTACGTTCAGACCCCAATGCTGGAACAACTCGACAAAATCACAGGTAACCCTCATGCTCACGGCTCGGTGCTCGGTCGTAGGGCCCACCCAGAGGAAGTGGCCAGAGTGATTGCCTTCTTGCTGAGTGAAGAGAGTAGCTATGTCACTGGGAGCATCTACCAAGTTGATGGAGGGCATACTTTGGGAGCTGCAGTAGAAGACGCCTAGTCTCCACAGAGTGGATGGTCTGGGGCTTTTCGGCATGGTTACCAGCGTTGGACTATCAATGGAGGGTTAAAGCTGAAGGGTAAATACGGGATGGAGCATTCCGAGAGTCGATCGTCCTGCGGTCGAGCTCACCCGGATAATAGATCCTTCAGCAGAATACAATGAATAACTGTGCTATATCTTAAAATCTAGAGCTCCAACAACTTTTCAGTTCGCACTGGCCATTCCTATCATTTCGTTCACGGACAGCGCAACCTGAGGAATTCTTTTGCTATGGGAATGACTCCGCATACCTACATATAATTTTAGCTTCTCCTTGACTATCCTACCCATCAGGATTCATGTCATTCCCATTTTGTCAGGTGTCTATATACTTGGAACGGCCTCTTACCGGTCGACCACTATGCCAAAATCTCCGGATCAGCCCTTGGGAACTTATGGGAATGCACGACCACCTCACTGAGCTCATGATCAGAAACCTGAGATCTAGACTCTGGGCTCCTGACGCGTCCGAACCGCGAATCCCCATCGCTGCGAATGGACTTTTCGTCTTCGCCCTCCTTGTTCCCAGCACCGTGACCCAGTCGCGCAGCCAAAGCGTGCGACGCCGTGATAAACCAGGGTAGCTTTGCGTGAGGTTTGACTACTCGCCGTTAACCATCCCCTCCCCAAACCACTAAGCACGTACGGGTAAACTTACTACTCCAATACTCCCTATTATCTTCATCATCCGGTACAAGGTACCCTCTCGTAACGATCTTGGTAACCCAAATGGACCCGTTGAGCGCCGTATACGTCATCAATCCTGCAATGAGGCCGTACGCCGCGCTGTATCCAAAGGGAATGAACATGATGGTGACGAAGGCGGGGACGGCGTCGCCGATGTATTTCCAGTTGATGGCGAAGACCTGGCGCATCATGAGACAGCCCACCTGCAATCACATATCTTGTTAGCCTTCTTCATATCACACTGAGGGCAAAAGGAGAAATATATGGGGGAATTGGCGTACCAGAATCAAAGTACATCCCGTAGCCCAAGGCGGGATAGACGCAAAAATAGGCGCGAAGAACATGGAAATCAAGAAACACGTGCCCGCCGTCATGGCCGTAAGCCCCGTCTTCCCACCCTCGGCGATCCCAGCGCCGGACTCGATGAATGCGGTGACGGGCGAACAGCCTAGCAGGGCCCCGATGGAAATACAGAGCGCATCCGTGCAATACGCCAGGGTTGAGCGGGGGAAGTCTCCCGTGTCGGGATCCACGACGCCGGAGAAACGCGCCATGCTGTAGAGCGTGGCGGTGCAGTCGATGATGTCTACGTAGAGGAAGGTGAAGAGGGCGAGGACGAATTGCGAGGGTGCGCGGGAGACGTTCCAGTCGAGGGTGTTGAGGGTGTGGTTGATGGGGTGGAAGGTTACGACTTTGCGGAAGTAGTCGAAGCGGTCATTGCCTTCGGAGGTGTTTGGAAAGTAGGTGAAGGAGGTGCTGCGGCTTTGGGGACATTAGCTTCGAATGTGGAAAGGGATGGGGAATTTGGACCTACGGCCAGGACAGGATGGAGACGAGGGCGATGCCGACGATCATGGCGCTTTTGACTTTGTAGGCCATTAGGTAGGCTGTGAATATGCCTCCGCACATGATGCCGATCCACATCTACCGCAACCAGTTAGCGAAACGTGAACTCGAACATAGCCTACAAACGAGGCACGAGTTTACCGTAGGCGAAGTCATCTTGTGACTTGTACAAACCCCATTCTCATCCTGATACTGAACCGGACAACCCGCAATCTGCAGTGGCGTATCCTTGGACCCAGTAATAGCGCCAATCCCCGCAGAATAGCTGAGCCCATTTTCCGCCAGGAAAAGCCCTATACCGCAGGCACTGGCAAGTTTCAACGACACGGGGATGACTTTTACAAGCCACTGACGCATCCCGATCAACGACAACGCGATAAACACGAAGCCCTCGATGAACACCGCTGTCAGTGCAAGATTGTACGTAATCGACCCCGTACCATTTGACCCAACGATTTGATACGCAAAGTAAGCGTTGAGGCCCATGCCAGGTCTGCTTGGAGTCAGCAACTTCTGCGGCGGAAGTAGGATAGAGGTGCGGTCAAGCGGCTTACGCTAGACAGACGGGCATGTTGGTTAGGAGACCGAAGAGGAAAGAACTGAAACCGGCGACCGCGGCGGTTGCGGTTATAAAGGAACGTTTCAGATCTGTGGATAGGTTAGTCAGTGCACTGAAATTCTGATGGGGGCGGACGTGGATATTTACCTTGTTTACAGATGGCATAATCGGCGGTGAGTTCGCACCTGGCCTTCGAAACGCTGTCACATACGCAGTTGCCGCCTGTATCTGACAGTATGGTTGCCTTTCCATGTCAGTGATTGTGCAAATGTATCCAAGTACACTGCGGTACTGACGTTGACGGCTATGATGTATGCCATGGTGAAGAAGGTGGTGAGTCCGGCGCGGAGCTCAGTAGTAAATTTTGTGTTCGCAATCTCCTTATCCTTGGATCATCAGTATGCGGCTTTCTATGCGGAGGTTTTGGAAAACGCACGTGTCCCGAGCCCTCAAGTCGAAATATTCGCCCTACGACTGAACCACTCATTCGGTCATTGACTTTGTCAACGACATTCCTCGCTGCCTCCATTTCGCTGTGAGAGAAGGCAGATCACGTCCAAGGTGTATCTTTAGAAGATGCCCCAGTGCCAGTATCATAGAATTGCAATGAAAAACGGTTATGATACTCTGACAATGTGGAAGTATCAATAGTCAATTAAGCAAAAGTTCCAGAGACAAGCTCTGAGGAGAAAAGTCCGCAGGAATGAGAAGAAGCAAAGCCAGAGAGGTATATCCTCAATCACAGAGCTCTTCAACATCACCGCATCGCCGTCACAACATCCCTCAAATTCACCCTGCAACCCATGCCTAACCAAAGATGTTACAACATCCTCCATACACCTGCAGGTGAAGATATTTCTGCCCGCAATACCCACATGGAATGTTCAAGGCTGCGCTGGGTGGATGAAGTACTGTCCAAAGCAAGTCTGTCAGGCGAAGATAATGACGGCAGGGGCCAGCCTGCGTTGACCTGTGAAGGAGGACGCGGAATCCCTGCTCGTGCGTCCCGGACAGGTGAGCATCCGCTCTAAGTTTGTTTGCTGCAACTTAAAAGACATCCTTGCAGCCTGTGAAGAAATGTATCAGGGACTGGTAGATAGGTGCGTGCACAGGATATTAACGTTCCCGGGAAACTGACCCTGCCAACTGTTATACTTGTCTCTGCGTCTGGGCAGCCCCCAAACAGTGGTTCAATTCTACGGGAATCATCCTTGTATATCACTTCAGTACGTTGTGAGTTGGACTCTCTGAATAGCGCAAGAAGAGAACGATTTCCCAAAAAAATATTGCCCATTTTTTAGAAAACGTGGAGCGCACACCCATTGGATCCACGCCATCAGTACGACACTGGCAATTCGCACTCTTTTGATGCTTCTTCCGTTTGCTCACCACAGGCTTCCACGTGAATTCCGAGACTCTCGCGGTCAGCAGAAGTCATTATAGTCTCTAGTCAAGCAATACCCGCAGCTTCCCGTACGATATCTGGGAAACCCCGTATTCCGCGTAGTGTATTTTTGAGCGACCGCGTGCAGCAACAACTAATGAACCAGATCAGCCCTGTATCTACCGCTGCAACAAAAGAAGAACCACTCCTAGCGCGGGCGAGCTGCGGGTCCGTCCTGGCGAAAGTAACGGTCAATTCCAGCGGCCTGGTTGACGGGTGACCACTGAAAAAGAGATATCCATTGAAGGATGTCGCTTTTTGTGTCCTTTTTCCGTGACAGATTATCCAGGGACTCCTCCCCTTTGACGCTGCACTGTACGTGCTATGGTAGCTCGTTGTCATAGCATCCATCACCACCGCATCGTCACCTTCCCATTCCATTCCCCCCACATTCCTTTGAGTACCCAACCACGATATCCACTGTCGTGCCCGGTGCCATAACAACTCCATGCACAACACCAAATCCCTTGTATCATTCCCCCTTTGTGACCTCACCTCCACTCCCCCCTCGCACCCTAGGGCAGTCAACATGTTCACAGCCGACCTCTCCTGGACAGACCCCAAGACCGAAAAAGTCGGCGAACGCAGAGAGCGAAAAGCGCGCGAGAAGGAGAAGGGGAAAGAGCGCTCGGTATCTTCCGCTACGCCGACAGCAACAACATCCAGAGCCACAGCTTCAATCAGCAGCGGGAAGAGTGCGGGGTCGAAAACACGCTGGAAGAATGGGGATGACCGCGAGGTGTTGCAATGGTGGCCGGCGAGTTTGAAGAAATTGAAGGCGTGCAAAGCACCTGGGGGCAGAGGCAAGCTGGAAGTGGAGATGGGTAGTGCAAAAGCGAAGGTATCTGCACGTCTGGCTACGATTTCGTCGCCTCAGACAGTGCGTCTCGAGACTTCGACGCTGGGAAATCGGAATCAGAATAAGGAAAGGGATACTGTAGCCCAACCACCATGGATATACTCATCTTCTCCATTCCAAACCCTCTCCTCCGGCACCTCAGTGCATCCACCGCTTCCCTACTACGAAGCCCCCGGCATAGAAGTCGATATCTCTTCACACGCGACCGCGAATTCCGCGAACCCTTCATCTCCCGGTAAGCCCAAACCATAACATCCCACCCATGACCCCTTCCACAATGAGCTAACACCAAGAACCCCCAGATCCACACCGCCGCCCACGCAAACCCCCTGCTAGCAACATGCAAACCCTCAACCAAGTCCAACAGATCCAGCAGCTCAGTCCCCACTCGTACGTCTCGCGCATCCCGCGAGTGAGTTCCGAGGACGCGGAGGAGTCGTCGCCGCCCAGTCCATCTTCGGGAGCGAATGTTCGGCGAAGGAAAAAGTAGGTCTTGATATGACTCATTCTCCTGTGAAACATATCTCTTTCATGATGCTAAGGAAATGATTAGGAAAGTAAATTCCGTCCGCGTGCAAGGGTGTCTCGACCTCGAAGCGCTCGGGCTGCAAGATAAGTTGTTGCGGGAGCAACTGCATACGGAAGAGCTTGGGTTACCGGAAAGGCAAGAGGCGCAGGTGCGGGTTCAGCAAGAGGACAAGGGAGCGCCGTATGCGAGCGGTTTGCGGCATGGGGATTTAGTGGCGTGGAGACCACCGTCGGAATGGGATATTGTGTTCCCTGGCTCGCCCTCAGCCGCGTTAGTTGTGGAGCAAGAAGTTCCAGAGAAACCGGCACCGTCAGTGGGAGATGATTCACAGAGCTCGTCCGTAGAAGGGAGTTCAGTCTCCGTCGATGTCGAGGAGGGAGTCTACAACGCCACCTCCTCGGAATCACAAGAAAGCGTTCTGGAAGAAGACCCGGGAGTCGAAGAAGAGGACAGTTCGAACGCCTATCCCCTCCCCCTAACCCGCCTCCAACGCCTCATCCGGCGCATGGCGACCGCTCACCCGACAACCATCCTCGACCGCCTCAAGCAAGACTGGAACCCACCATTCCTCGACACCGTAGCCAGAGAGGAAATGCAGCTGGAGAAACGGCTCTGGGTGATAGCGGGTTTCCAGCAGCAGAATCTGGGCCGATACGGTCGGTTCCCTTGGGCGGATACAGGGCGGATATTGCTGCTGGGCGGCGACTTGGGTGAGTTCCAAATTCCGATTTTTTCTTTTCTTCCATTACCATCATCATCATGGCGTGTCCAAACAACTTCCTTGCCAGCTCCCGTTCTCCTGGAAATACTCAACTAACGATGGAAACTCTTGCAGCAGAAGCACTCCACCTCTCAAGCACTTACCCACACCAGCACATCCAGCACCTCACAACCACCACCGCCCAACCATCCCTACCTCCCTCCCTCCCCCTCCCCCAAAACATTACCTCCACCACCTACCCCCTACACACTGCTATTACCCTCCTCCCCCTCCCCTACCCCCCCTCCCACTTCACCCACATCCATCTCCCCACCTTTCCCTCCCTCCTGCCCTCCACCCACCTCCCCACGCTCCTCAACCAATGCCACCGCCTCCTAGCGCCAGGCGGCATGCTCGAACTGCGCCTCATAAACGCAACCCCCATCCCCGGCACCGCAGGCCCGCTCCTCAGCGCGTGGCTCGAGCAGCGACTAGCACCGAACCTCGAACGCGGGGTTTGGTGCTCGAAGCCGTGTGCGGTTGTGCGTGGGTGGGTGAGGGATGCGGGGTTTGATTTACCAGTGCAGATAATGGAGGGGGAGGGGAGGAGGAGAGTTAGGGGGGCTGTAGGGGACGGGGATGTTTGGGCGGAGGTGGAGGTGGAGGTTGGAAGGGAGGTTTGGAGGGGGATTTGGGGGGGTTTTGTTAGGGAGGGTGATGAGGGAGAAGGAGAGGAAGAGGGGGTAGGGAGAGGAAAGGGGAAGGGGAAGGGGAGGGAGAAGTGGTGGTGGGAGGAAGAGGGGTTAGTGAGGGAGTGTAGGGAGTGGGGGACTGTGTGGGTGTGTGCGAGTATTTATGCTTTTAAGAAGTAGGTCGTTGGAGGTATTGAGGGGAAAACGGGGGGATGGCGTTTTGCAGGGAATTTGTTTCGATACCTGTTTGTTTTTTTGGCTTGTTTATGTGTTTAGCAATCGCGGAGCGAGTTTCCCTCTGGATGCAGTGGCACTGTAGCTGGGTATCAAATCTCAATGATTCGCGAATACTCCAATCCGAAGGTTCAATAATTGTACCATTTCTCTCCGACGTCCGTCAACCATGCCTACAAAAAGTTTAGGTCATGCAAATTGGATGAAAACGGGGTAATTCGCCCCTCTCCACCACTTCGACCGCGGACAATGAAGCCGCTCAAGCAGTCCCTCAAAACACCCCCGGCCTCCCCCCAACCCCCAACGCCTTGATCCCCTCTTCAAACTGAATCTGCTCATCCACACTCCCCATCGGCCCACCCCACTGAACAACGCCCCGCTCATCCACCGCATAGGCACCGCCAACCTGCCATCTACACCCGCCTTCACCCACGGCACTCCCCCAGACACCCTCCTTCTTCCCCAGCAAAATCTGATTGTACCCATTCCGCGGGTTGAGCAGGTGGCCCCAGTTGGAGATCCCAAGACCCCATAAGGCGTAGAGTTCGCGGGACTCGTCGACGATGACGGAGACATTCCAAGCGCCGCCCAGGCGCTTGACCCAGGCTTCCGTGGCGGCCGGTGTGCAGTGCGACACGGCGATGAAGGATATTTGCGGGTGGCGGTTGCTGAGGTGACGGAGAGTGAGGAAGAGCTTTTCCGTAACTAGAGGGAAGAAAATCAGTATTGGGTATTCTCCATGTCTGTCGCTGCAATTCCGTAGAACATACACGGACACCCGCAATATCTCAAAAACAGCAGCATCACAGGTCTCCCATCGCGTGTCGGAAATGGCAACTTCGGATTACTCTGCGCCTTTTCCCCCTTCACCGGCGGAGTCCGCACGCCATTCGGCGGGGGCGGTGGAGTCTGCCATGATGAGAACGCTTTGGGGACGGACAATTGGACGTTGGCAAAGGGATTCGGGACGCCGGATTGCTGTGCGGAATTTGAAGGGTCGGATTTCGACGTTGTTGTGGAGGGGAAAGAGGGAAGGGAGACGTTGCTGAGGCCCGCTTTTTGGAGCGCGAGCTTGGTTCCGATCTTTGTTCCGAGAGAGCTGAACATTGTGAGTGGGAGTTAAAGGGTTGCGGCGCCGTCAGAGGGTCAACAGCTGCAGAGAAATGAGCCCTGGGCAGTCGAGGCAGTTTACGAAAGGCTGACAGGTCGTGAGGAATAGGGTTTCGTTGAGAGTCGAAGCGTCTCGCGTGTTGGAGCTGAAACGGAATCGGAACTTAGCTCGGACCCTGCCAAGGAAGACGGAAGGTCGTGCACGGATACGAGGCTTGAAGTTGAGTGAATTCGATGTGGAACAGTGCCATCCGTAGTATATTGTAGAAACCCATCGCAATGCAAGAGCTGCAGCATTATTCAACCCATCATGTAGACTTGAAATCCCCCCAAGGGATTGAATATCGAAGACGACAGCCACAAGGCCATCGTCGCAGAGCCCCTGAGAACTCCATAGCCCCTTCAAAAGAACAACCATTGATATCATACATCAGGGTATCGCGTTCGCGGAGATTCTCAACGTTGGCCAATCCGGTTCTGAATTTTAATCGACCAGATCGTTGAGAAGTTCCTCTTCTTCCTCTTCATTCAGATAGCGGGCGCTCTTCTTGAACTTGCCCTTCGGATTGCTCTGCGCAGCTGTGACGACCAGCTTCCTTCCATCGAAGCTGCGACCGTTGCATGCCTTGATGAAGCTCTCCGCCGAGTCCGCATCTTCAAAACGGACGGTGAGGATGCCCTCGGGCTCCAGGTCGTAGATGACAACGTTGGTGACTTTGCCGTGCTTCTCGCCCTCCTCGCGCATGTCCGCCTGGATGTCGGCTCGAGCGTCCTTGTCCTTCTCGAGCTCCTCCAAAGTGAAGGCGTGCTTGACGATGGCGATCTTGGCCCACTGATTCTTGGGAGCAAACGTCTCTTTGGCGACTTCGTCTTCTTCATCGGACCATTCGGCGAGTTTGCTAATCACTTCGTCAGTCGAGTTCACGCGAATAACGTTTGACTGGCTGGTGCTGCAAAACCCAGGAACCGGATGTGGGAAGACTTACCGGCTCAGCTCGGCACGATTGACTCCCTGGGCCCTCCTTTGTTCACGGGTAAGAGTCTTCTTGGTTTCCTCGAGATCGTGGGTCTTCTTGTAGGACATGTCCGCCTCTTGGACGCGGATGTTAGGTCCTTGTCCGGGACGGAACCACGAATCGTCCATCATGTTGATTGCCATGCCTACGGAGTCCTTCTTGTAGTAGACGACAAGCGCCTCTCCCTTGAAGTTCCCGTCCTCATCCGTGTACATCTTGATCCGCTTCGAGCCGTCGTGCGAGAGGTCGATCAGGCCATACTTGGAGAACTCGGCGTCAATCTCGTCGACCGTCGTATCGAGGGGGAGATTGGTGATGTAGATGCCTCGGTTTTCTTGCACTTTCGGCTTTTTAGGCTCGGGCTGCGTATGCGCCATCAGTCAATGTGAATGTGCCTGTAGGAGGATGGTACTCACTTCTGCAGATGTGGCCGCCTTGCGCTTTTTCTGGGTTTTGGGAACCTCAACCTCGGCTTCGTCGTTCTCATTTTCTCCGCCACCATAGGCGCGTTGATACGCCGCGATTTGTTCGTCGGTGGCCTGTGTTTACGAGTAAGGCGCGTTCTCCACGAAATTCAGCGCAAGCACTCCAGTAAGGCAGCAGGACTGACACTCCGCCAAAGGAATCGTCGCGCTACAGGTAGATGGGGTTATGACTTACAGGTTGGAACCACTTGCCCGTAGCCTCGTTGAACTCCCATTCTTCGTTGTCGTCATCGACCAGAATGTACTTTTTGTCCACCGTGGAGTAGGAGATGCGCTCGTCCGCTTCGAAGTCGGCGATGTTGCGCGGGAAAGGCGCGCCCCGCGCCATAGTGAGTTCCTGAAAGCAGAGTGCTGAAGAGAGATACTGGAACTGGACTGGCTCGAGGGTGCGGTGGAGAGAATAGCTCGAGGCATAAGCTTCCTGGGGAAATGTCGCGCACGGGCCATAGTGGGGCGCAGAATGAGGCGCTGGGGGATTTCATATTGGACTTGTCGCAAAGGTTGCCTCGAATTCTGCGCTTGCAGCTGTGCTACTATTCGTAGCCGCAGATTAGTCTCTTAAAGCATTCTTCCTATACTCAATTATTTTGGGTAGGGAATCAACTGTATAATGTGTACAATATGTTTGCTAGGACGCGGTGCTAGTTTTCTGTAGTTTCAGGTGATAACATATAATAGAGGTTGATACAACAGTCTGAACTAGGATGGGACTATTAAATTCTCTTACGTTAGCTAAATGAAGGGCACCTGCAGGTGCTCAAAAGAATCCATTGCCTTGCTTTTGCACAGTGGCATACAACATCCCGGGAGCGACTGAGCTGTTCCATCAATACCATTACATCCTAATCCTACCTTCAACCAACACGTCTACTTCTTTTCCGGCCTCTGAAACCTCGGCTTCAACACTTCCCAACTCTCCTTATTGTACCCTTCCTGCACCTTCTTACACTTCTTCAGGCCCCAATCCGTCACACCAACCATCAAACAACTCTCAAACATGAACGCCATGCTACCCTCGCCAACCTTTGCTGGCTTCAACTCAGCATTGGAAGCTTTCTCATGGGTCGTAGCATCCGGTCCATGTCCGGACATGACGTTGTGCAACGAGGCACCTGCAGGCTGGAAGCCTCCTCCAGTTTTGGCATCGTACTGACCGTGGATGAGGCCCATGAATTCGGACATGGTGTTTCTATGGTACCACGGAGGTCGAAAGGTGTCTTCCGCGACGAGCCACCGAGGAGGGAAGATGACGAAGTCGGCTACTGCAGTTCCAGGGTGATCCGATTGCGCCGTAAGGACTGTAAAGATGGACGGGTCGGGATGGTCGTAGGAGATGCTTCCGATGGTGTTGAAGCGGCCCAGGTCGTACTTATAGGGGTAGTAGTTTCCATGCCAGGCAACGACATCAAAGGGTGTGTGCTGTTGGCGTGCGGAAAAAAGGTGTCCTGCAAATTTACAGAGTATGTGCCACTCAGAGGAGGTGTCTTCTTCGAACGAGGCGACAGGAGCCTGGAAGTCGCGAGCGTTGGCCAGGCCATTGGAGCCAATGGGCCCCAGCTCCGGGAGTTGGAAGTGGCCCTGGTAGAGTTCGAGTATGTAGCCACGGACTGGCCCATCGGGGAGTGTAACACGGTATTTGATGCCACGAGGGATGACGCAGATCTCGTTGGGACGGACGAGGATGTGGCCAAACTCGGTTTGAATATCGAGAACACCATGCTGGAGCACAATGAGGAAGTCGCCGTCTGCGGAATAGAACGCTTCATGCGCATCCATGTCTTTCCCTGCGGCGAAGATGTAGATGCCAAGTCCAGACTTCATTGTGGGATTCCCAGCACCAGCAACGAGGTGGAGCGAGTGTACCCAATCCACCGTTTCGTCGAGGTCGAAGGGATCCCATCTTAGTTGATTGGGAATATGGTGGATCTTCTCATAGGGTTTATTCTCCGGGTTTGTGTTGTACGTCGAAGACTCGCGAGGCTCGAAGTTGCTGTGCCCGCATGAGGGGAGGATGCGGTAGAGCCAAGTCTGCTGGTTCTCGTGTCGGGGAGCTGTGAAGGCAGTGCCTGAAAGCTTTTCTGCGTACAGGCCGTATGGAGGCTTCTGTGGACTGTTTGCTCCTAAGGGGAGAGCACCCTCAATGGCTTCTGACCTGCAAAGCATTTAGCAAACAGAGTCCCGTGCACAAGACCAACTCTACCTACTCATGGTAGCAGTTGAAGCCATTCAGGTACCGATACGCGTCCTCGCGGGCGAACTGGGTTGAAGGCATCGTGGTTCTCGGACCAGTCGGGATTCAAACCAGAGTATTGCTCGAGGTTCTTGGTGGTCAGTGGTATCGTGCTCTTTGGCACCTTTTTCTCGAAGTGGGCATGAAGAATCTTGGAGAGGAATGACGCCTGCTTTTTCTTATGCAGAGGCGTCTCTGGGTCGTCATAGCCCGTCTCCAGGTCGTCGGCCATGGCTGGGGGTTGTGCTTGCGGTAAGAAGCGGAGAATGCGGTGCGGGAGGGAGGCATGGGGCTGGAGAAAGATGGACAGCGGAATGGCCCCGCTTGGGACGGCAATCTAGCCGCATGTGGTAAGTTGTGATATCACTGTATGTCACCCGACGCCGTTACAATACTGAGACCTGTGGGAAAGCCGTAGAAGGAGCTTGTCATTCTACTATGAAGTTCTGTATTTGGGATTGTATGTTTCTCTACAATCTCTCTGACTTAATCCTCCGAGCAAGATATGATACTTCACCACCTCAATTACCTAAACGAGCTAGCGGGATAGAAACTACGGAGAGTAGGCCAACCACTCCGCAAGGGCTCCTTGCCGGCTCTGCCCGTGGACAGCCATCTGTTCTCTCCGCATTCCGCCCATAACCGCTTCGTCCTACCATCGTACAACACCATGGCCGACCTCTCCACTTTGTGTAGCCTCCAGCCTCCTTGAACGAGTTTCCGGAGTTTCCGTGGAGTTGGAGCTTATCACTCACACCCTATACAGCACGACAACCCACTCCATAGCCCATACAAGACCAAAAATGACTTCTCTGAGGTCGTGGTTCAGTATTCCTCGCGGATCGCACTTTTCTCTTCATAACATTCCATTTGGGATCATATCCACGCCGTCATCCCAGAGACCCCGAGTTGCAGTTGCAATTGGAGACCATGCTCTCGACCTTCAAGTCTTCGCTGCGAGCAACGGCTTCTCAGCATGTTCAATCATTCAACCCCACCAGTCCGTCTTCTCAGAGCCAACCCTCAACGCCTTCGCAGCGCTTGGCCGGCCTATGCACTCTGTTGTGCGCGAGTACATTCAGAGCGTTTTCTCCAAGGACACCCCCTTCCCCGATGTCCTCAGAAACAATACCAAGCTTCAGAAGGAAGCCCTCTTGTCACTGAGCCAAGTGAAAATGCACCTCCCCATGAAAATAGGAGACTACACCGACTTCTACGCTGGTCTGAACCATGCATACAACTGCGGCTGCTTGTTCAGGACTCCACAGACTGCCCTTCAGCCCAATTACAAGCACATGCCGGTAGGCTACCACGGCCGAGCGTCTTCGGTCGTGGTCTCAGGAACGCCTATCCGGAGACCACACGGGCAGATTCTGTTAGACCCGACCGCCGAGAAGAAAGTGCCTACGTTCTCTGCCTCCCGGAAGCTGGATTTTGAGCTGGAACTGGGTGCGTTCATATGCAAAACCAACAAACATGGAGAGCCGGTGCCGATACAGGAAGCGGAGCAGAGCTTGTTCGGTGTTGTATTGCTGAATGACTGGTCAGCGAGGGATATCCAGTCGTGGGAAGCGGTTCCCCTTGGGCCATTCAATTCGAAGAACTTTGCTAGCTCGATAAGTCCTTGGGTGGTGCTGGCGGATGCGTTGGAGCCGTTTAAGACGAAGGCGATGGAGAATGACGCTGAGGTGCTTCCGTATCTGAAAGAGACGAATCCTAAGTCCGTATACGATATTCAACTTCAAGTGGACTTGAAGAGTAACGCCTACCCTTCTTGGATTGCAAGCCGTAGCTAACAAGCCACAGCACCCGATGGCAAGTCATCAACCATTACGAAAACGAGCGGCAAACATCTCCTCTGGTCGTTCCCTCAGATGATGGCGCACCACACTGTCAACGGCTGTCCCATGCAAGTCGGAGACATGCTCGGCTCCGGAACCATCAGTGGAACAGAACCCTCGGAGTTTGGCAGCCTGCTTGAGCAGAGCCAGAACGGACGCGTTGCAGTAAAAATTGCAGACGGCGAGGAGAGGAACTTCCTCGAGGATGGTGATGAAATACGTATTACGGGCGTGTGTGGCAGTGATGAAGACGCGCTTGTTGGATTTGGTCAGTGTGTGGGGAGGATCGAGCCTGCAATCAGTCTCTCCATTGATGGTTAGGCAGTAGTGGGAGAGATTGCCATTGTCCATGCCTGGTGGAACACGTCCAGCAGGGCATGGGAAGCCAGGATCAGATATCTCCTTCATCCTGACACCAATCTCGAGCGGATAAAGTGACCAAGTCGCATCAACCTCCACACTCTTGCGCTTCGTTCATATCAATGAACTAGGCTCGGTGCTCCCGGTGAGAAGCCAGTTACGCAGGACGAAGTTCACTTTCTTTCTCCGCAGAGTCCTCAGAAATCCAGTTCCAGCCCTGGGCATTCCCAGGAGTCAGATTACGATTCCACAATATGCAACATATTGCCCCCTCCCGGATATCCTGTTTCGGCGATATTACGTAGTGCCACGGTTTCGTCTGCACGAACCAGATGGCGGCCATCATTTGGGGAATCCGTGTTTGGGATCGACCGAACAATGAAGACTGGTTCATGGGCGGCTTATGTGAGGCGCGTCCTACTGCTTTGGAAAATGCAAGCTATAAATTGCGACATTGACGCTTCGCGCGTCCTTCCTTTGTGTGATTGTCTGGACCTGGATGTGGGGGTTGGGGAAAAAAGTGGGCTTGGGCGGCTGGGGAAATAAAGATGGAAAGCGCTAAACCATGTCCGACATTAGCGGGGGACGCGGATCGCGCACTACCCGAAGCCTTTTCTGACCGCATCTGGTTGCCAGCTTGCGACAAGAGAAACCAACAAAGCGATCATCTATTGCTGGAGCAACATGCCACGAGAGTCTCACGGTTTGCATCTGGGTGACAGCACAGCAGAGCGTCAAGAGAGCGGGTGGTGATGAGAGAGCGCCCAGTGAAGGGAGGGGGTGAATGCACACACGCGAGAGACCACACCCGGTCGGCCTCCCAGTCGTGGGCGCGTACACTGCGGGTTCCTGAGACTCGACGGGCGGGCTGATTGGACGATGCGGGTTGTTTCTCTGCGGTGCCTGCATGTTTCAATCGCTTTGGCCAAAGCTTGTTTCTCGATATCTTTGTCCCGGACCTCAATTTGGGGCCTTGGGGCCACCACGGTGTGCGCACTGCGGATTGCGCAGCCGCAATCAAAAGTAGATTCGCGCCTAAAAGAGGTCCCAGAGTGCGATCAGCAGCCTTGTTTGTGCTGCTTTCACTGGGTGCGTGGCTCGTGGCGCAGGGGCGGGTGTTTCCCTCTGCGCCAGTGAGATTTGTGTGACTGAATCCCAGCCTCGCGCCCATGATTGATTATTATTATATTTGTCCTTTCCGCTGCTTGCGCTGAGGACTCTATCCTTGCTTTGCTGCTCTGGCCGTTCACATTTGACTACGTCCCTCTGCGTCCGGCTTTCACTGCTCCAAACTCCCAGCCATTACCCACCGAACAACCCACGTGGTGGAAAGATCGATTGAATCCAACCCTGCCCTTCCCCGTTTGCGTTCATCAAAGTTGCGACTGCCGTTTCCACAGCCTCCCTCGACCACTTCCCCTTTCACCAGCTCTTCGTCTTTGTTCCTTTGTTCTTCTTCTTCAACATCTTGTCGGCTCTTTTTAGCAACATACATCAATCCACCACAAAACCGCTCTTGAGCATACATTAATCCACCACAACACTTCCAATCTTTACAATGCGCTTCACCGTCTGCGCTGTCGTCGCCGCGGCTACTGCCGTCAGCGCCCAATCCTCGACAATCGTTCCCGCTCCCGTCGCCAGCAACAGTCCCGAGGGTGCTTCCTACGTTGCTACTCTACCGGAGAAGGGCACAGTTCGCGGCTCCATCACTGGTATCTCGGGTCCGAATGGCGAGGGCACCAAGTTCCAGATCTCTGTGTCGGGGCTTCCTGCAGAGGGCGGTCCTTTCAGTGAGTCAAGAATCAATTTTTTCTCCAACTCTGCTAATACAGTACTAGTGTACCACATCCACGAGAAGCCCGTGCCTGCCAACGGCAACTGCTCTGGCACAGGTGCGCACCTGGACCCCTACAAACGTGGCGAAGTTCCCCCTTGCGATCCGCAGAAGAAGGAGACGTGCCAGACGGGCGATCTCAGCGGCAAATTTAGGAACCTGACCGGTCCCGCCGACAGCGATTCGTATGTGAAGACCGCTTTCATCTGTGGGGATATCGCTGATAATGTTTAGCTACCTCGACCTCTACTCGTCCACTAACCCGTCCGATCCCTCCTTCTTCGGCGACAAGTCCATCGTCATCCATCTGTCCAACAAGACGCGCATCTCGTGCGCCAACTTCACGCTGCAGAACGGCGGCATTGCCCTTCCCTCGTCGGCTGTCCCGTCGAGCGGCTACGCCCTGCCTACCGGTATCAGCGGCAACCACTCTGCCCATCAGCCCTCCGGCACAGGCTCTAGCCATGCTTTCACTTCTGCGCCACCCACGCAGCCGCCCACTCCTCAGCCTTCCAGCGGCGCTGCTAGGTTGGTGGTCGCGGGTGCCGGTGCCCTCGCTGGAGCCGTTGCCATGATGTTGTGAGCAGCTCTGGCTTGCATAGTGCACGTGTTGGCGGCAGGTTTTGAAGGAACACATTTGGCGGTGGTAATGGCTGACGAATGGCATCAATTGCATAGAGTCGTGATGATGAATGCGGATACCGTAATGGGGTGGCCTTCCTTTCTGCTAGGCGCCTGGTATATGTTCTCTTCTTCCAGCTTTAATGATTCTTGGCTTACCGGGCAATGCGTTTGCGAAGGGGTAATGCAATGCAGTGTAGATACCAATAAAATTTCAGTAATTTTTTCAAACATTGGCGTGCAAATTCTCATTCTCTCGCTATTGCTGTGCGTGAATCTCAAGTTATCTTACAAGTACTATAAAAATGCATTGCCTAGCGCAGAGCAAAACGCATCATCGTGTTTCCATGTCTGAACCTTGGAACGTGCTCTGGCGAGACAACATGACGTCACGCCGCCTTCCTGCATAGCCTAACCCCATCAAGCTGGCTTCCCGCCTCTTAGGCAGCCCTTATACCTGCTCTCCTCCCCGCATCGTTAATCAACACTTCCCCTCCCATCACCGCTTACCCCGACTCCTGAAGAAAATTGACAGAATGTTGCTTCAGTCATTCCTCGCGCTGCTCCTGCAGCTCTGCCTCGTCTCCGCCGCTCCCGCCGCTCCCGTCTCCGCACAGGGTCACAATACGATCGGATACGGCGCTGGAGGCGGCGTCGTGGGGTTCATCGTGTTGGTGTTGGATATCATTGTCTTCAGTACGTCGTGATTTCTTACTGCCTTCCCCTTTTTTCTCTTTCGAAAACAACCTCTCAGAGAAGCGGGGGTTTGATGAACAAGGAGATGATGATGCTAATGCAGGTGCACAGTCGAGGTCCTCAATTCCAACCGCCCCGTGCCGAATAAAGTCCTCTGGTGCTTGCTCGTCTTCTTCTTCCCGATTGTGGGCATGTTGATTTACTACTTCTTTTCTAATCGGGCCGAGCATAGTCGGGGTGGGGGTTATGAGGCTATCACCAGTTAGGTGGAGCAGGACGATGGTATTGAGATATTGGAGAATGGAAGATTGTCGGGGATAGTAAGGGCTGGAAGGAGCGGGGAGGTGGGAGGTGTAGGGGGAGTTTGAGGTTACGGTTCTCCTTTGAGCGTTGGGGTTTCTGGTGCTAGGTTGGAGTACACGGGGGGCGGTTTAGCTGGGTCTGGGTAGCGTTATGAAGGATGGGTAATACATGCATGGGACTCTTTTCTATGTCTACTTTTTCATCCTCAGATAACTGCACTCTGCAAGCTCATATGGGATACTTCGCTAGGTATCCAGGCAATCTGACTCTGCAACGCTCAGCCTATGCACCACCAAACCACGGCCCACGACTCCCTTCAAATCTACCTACACATTGCTTCTCCCCTTTATATCCGCTCGGCGATACCTAGGTACTCGTGTCGTCCCCAAAAGATGACCCGCCAAGTCTGGCAACCGCTGAGTGTCGCCGCTAAACCGTTTTTGGAGCACGCGACACTATGACGTATGCGCCGGGCCAAAAGTCGAGTGGAACTGCGGGCACTTCCAGGTACCACGCAGCTCTGTCAAGCTCTTTAAGAGGATAGCTCCTCCTCAAGCTGTTTTTTCCTCCATTCACAACACCACCCCTCTTCAACCTTACCATTCCGACCTCTACACCCCAAGGAATACTCGATAACTCCTCACCTTTGAGGCGACAGCCGACATGGATGTATGTTGAGCTTCATCAAAAGCTGATATGGGAGAGGAGAAGCTGATGGAGGAATGGATAGGTGTACTACTTCTACAGCTACGGCACTGCAGGATGGCTGGGTATGCGACTCCCTTCCTCGTCTTGTCTAATTCCCACGATGCTAACTCAACTGCAGCTCTACAAGCAGCACCGCTCATCGCCTCGCCGACAATGATAGTCACGCTGCTGAGCCCAGAGGTGCGGGAAGCTACCCGTAAGTCGTCGCCATCTTCAGCCGACAATCTAAGTGAGGGTCGGAGGAGCTGATCATGCGTAGCGCTGGAAGTCTACTTCTCCCGCAGCCTGGGCTTCGCACTGCTAGCCATCGGAGTGCTGCAAGTCCTGCTGACAGGATCAATCCCGCTGACGAGTAGATTGACCGACGGTACGCCGCCCCCTCTCTCCCTATCCTAAATATCCAAAACCCTCCCCAACTCCCTCAACCAACCCTCTCAATATCTTTTCTAACACCCTCCCAGCCGGCCCAACAACCACCGACCCCGCGGACCCCAAAGCCCCCTACGCTCTCCCGACCCTCACCATCACGGCCATCTTCCACGGCCTCTGCGCCTTCTACGCCTACATGCTGTGGACCGAGACGGGCATCGTGTCCTTTAGCCTCGGCGTCGCGGGCAGCGGTTTCTTCTGCTCCGTGGCCGTTTGGTGTATCCTGTTTGCGAGCTCCGATGGGAGGATTAGCAGGAAGACGGGTATGGATAAGAGGGTTAGTGGGTGGCCGTTTGAGAATAAAGTCGAGAAGGAGTGGAGGGGGAAGAAGGGGGACTGAGGATGGAGGGGTGTCAAGAAACAGAGTCGGGGATGGGTTGAAGGATTAAGGATTGAAAGTGTGCATGCGGGAGTGGATTGGGTGTTTGGATGCTCTGGGTACAGCGAAGGTATATATGTGTATGCGTAAACGGAGCACTGGCGTGAATGGGAATGGATATACAATTATCGTATGCAAATCCAAACAGAATTATGAAGCATTCCCCGGGAACGCTTTGGGTCTCTGCTTCCCGCTTCTCAGCCTGTCTTCGAACAGAGTATGCTAAATAAAACAGAAACCAAAGAAACAGTCGTAATATCTATACCCTGCTTTCCCATAAATAAGCGAACCTTGCGTGCCCTGAAACCCAACCAATTCGACTCCTTTGTCCTTGTGCTGCCGAGCTTCTTTCTTCCTCTTCCAGCCGAAGCCTAACCCCGCGCCGTGGAAAGAAGAACAGAGAGTGACTTCGGGTTACATCTCTCATTGCGGAAATCGAACACATAGAACAATTCTCAAACCCCGTTTAACCTTCCAGTGTAGCATGTCCCGCCGCCGTCGCCGCCGCCGCAGTCCCACCCCCACCCCCCGTCCCTTTCACCTTTTCCAACCTCCTCAACCACTCCTCCTCCCTCCACCACGGAACCCCACCATCCCTCGACCTCTCAATCTCCAACACCCTCGAAACCTCGACATCCTCGTCCAAAAGCTCAAACACATCTGCCTCCTCTCCCTCTGCCTCTCCTTCTCCCTCCCCTTCCCTTACCCCTTCTCCCACTCCCACCCTTCCTTCCCCCCTCTCCCTCCTCTCCAACCGCCTCCTCCTCTCAACCGCGACCTCGCCCTCCATGAAATTCTCAAACACCAATTCCTTCCTCACCCACTCCTCCCTCCTTCTCCGCTCCAGCACCTCCGCCTCGGCGCGGAGCTGCTCGCCTTCCTCGGTCGCCCAGCGGACCTGCCTGCAGAGGAGGCGGAACAGTTCGGGCGCGGGGAGCGAGAGTTCGCGGTCGGTGAAGTGCATGTCTGGCGGGAATTGGAGTTGGGCTGGCGCTGGGGAGTGCATGGTTTGTTGGTGGAGGTAGACGACGTTGTTGTTTGCGTAGTCTGTGTCTGCGGGGGCGGATGGGAAAGAAGGGGATGCGGGGGTTTTGTTGGTGTTGGGGATGCTGGCTACATGATGGGGTTCGTCTTTTGAGGCCGCGGGCGCGAGGGGCCGGTCGGCGGCGCTGAGGACGAGGCGCAGGCGTTGGAAGCGGTTGGTCGGGTTCGACGAGTGGTGTTTGGGGACCGGGTCCGAGGGGCGGAGGGCCTCGGTTTCGTGGACGGTGCGCATGTGTTTGGCGAGGGCGTCGGAGCGGGTGAAGGAGCGGTCGCATTCTGGGGGTTTGTAATGTTAGTATTTGCGTCCGTGAATGAGAAGAGGAGAGAGAGAAAGGGTAGGATAAACATACCAGGTAGCGTGCAGTAAAAAGGCTTCTCCCTCGTATGACTCCTCATATGCGCCCTCAAAGCGTAGCCGCTCGCATGCGGTATCCCCTTGCGACTGCAATCGCCCCACTCGCAGCTGTACTTCTTCTGCCGCGTCCCAATATGGTCCTCATGGAGATGCTCGACGAGGTTATCCATGTTCTCCAGGTCCCCCGCCGTGCACCCTTCCCACTTGCACACCGTCACCTGCTCGTGCCCGTACTCGTCGTCGTTGGCGGACATGCCGCCCGCGTGGTGTGGAGACGCGGGTACGGAGCCGTCGGTGTCTTCGGAGATTTCGCCAAAGTCGTCGGCGGGAGGTAAGGTGAGGGATGTCGGTTCGGGGGATGCTACGGCTAGACGGGGCCGTTTGCTGGGGCGTGGGTGGGCGTCTTGATCGTTGTCGTGGTCGTCATGGTCGTGCGATGGGGTGCTCAGACGGCGGTGCTTAACGTCTTCAGGGAAGTCGTCGGAGGCGTAGTCGGACAGGTCGGAGGCTGGTGAGTCCATTGTTGAGGATGTGTGGGTGGTGCAATGGCTGGGAGGGATGGCGCGGTGAGAGAGAGGGTAAGATGGGAAGAGGAGAGTCGGGGGTGAGGCTTGAAGGGAGCTGCGGCGCGGAGATGGAGGTTCGCGTCGGGAACACGCACGGGCCAACACCCGTCTGGATGTTCGGAAACTTCAACATGGAGCCCTTTGCCTCCAACACCACAGTCGACCGAATGGCTGTGTGTGTGACAAGTGGGTAAGTCCTTGATTATTTTCACTGCAATCTCTTTCCTGATGAATCTAATAAGAGTTCTGCAATTCCAACGGGATCCCTCGGAGCTCGAATGCGGAATACTCATACACTACACTTGATCTGATCTCCTCTCCAACTTGGGTCTTCTATCTTGTCCCTCATAGCACATATGGTCCACTGGGCTGACAGTTCAAAGAGTATAGGTAAATCTATTGGATTGCCTTAGTCTGCATTGCCTCACGCATCTGTCAGGTCCATGTGCTCCGTAGGATAACGGTCGCCAATCGGCTTGAACTTCTTCAGAATCTCGTCCAAAGCAGCCATATCCTCCTCGTTGAGCTCGGCAGGCGTCGAATTCTCCTTGATACGCTCGACCGTTGTGGCACCAGGGATGGGGATGATGTCGCCCAAACCATTGCGCCTGCTATGAGCAACGACCCAACCCACCGCGATCTGCGCTGGAGTCACGCCTTTGCGAGCGGCGATAGCCTCGACCTCCTTGACGAGCTTGAGGTTCTCGCCGAATACCTCTGGCTGGAAGCGTGGTACATGTCTCAGGAACGAGTCGGCGGGCAGGTCGTCAAACGACTTCCATGCGCCGGTCTGCAGATGGTTAGCATGACTTCTGTCTTTCATGAAGCTGGGAACATACCAAGAAACCACGTCCCAACGGTGAGTAAGCGATGATAGGGATTCCCAACTCTGCGCACGTCTTCGCTACGTCATTCTCCAAAGGATTCGTCACCCACAGAGAGAACTCAATCTCCACTGCCGCGATGGGATGCACCTTGTGTGCTCTGCGAATCGTGTTCGCGCCGACTTCGGACAAGCTGATGCCGCCTATCTTGCCAGCCTTGACGTATTCCGCAATATAGCTTATCGTGTCTTCGATGGGCACGGCGGGGTCCACTCGAGCGCACTCAAATAGATCGAGGAACTTCTTCCCATCAAGCACTCTCAGACACTCGTCAATACTGCGCCGAACCCCCTCCCTGCTGCCATCGGGTCTCAATTTGCCGGGTATAATGGCTCCCTTGATGGATAGGACGACCTTGTCCGCATCCTGGGGGTACTTGGTGAAATATTCGTTCAGCAGGTGAAGGGAGTTGCGCTCTGGAGTGCCGTAAAGTTCTCCGCCGTTCCAGGCGTTGGCGCCAAGGGAGAGGGCGGTTTTCATGGCTTCGAAGGCCTGTTCCTTTGATGGTGGGTTGGCCCGCCATGTGAGGCCTGTGAGAGTCAGCGATGGTTCAGATATCGGGGAGCTTCATACGCACCCATGAGGCCATAGCCAACCTTTCCTACTTCCTTGCCCAGCAGTTGAACCATATCGCAGAGCTGGTGGTGTTGAATGAGGGAGTGCAACGGTTGATTTGGTAGTGAGTGAATGTGTTCTTGAAAGTCTATTTGATTCTGTGGTGTCTTCTCCTGGTCTATGTCCGGCCTTTATATACAGTCTCCCATCGTGGGGTATCTCCAACAAAATCCGCGACGTTGGGCTTTCTCCTCTGTAAACTCCGTTAGCGCCGCAAGGCTGGACGCCTCGATTACGCCTCGTCTATTTGCCAAAAGCAGCAACCAGAACCTCCCCAGGTTACTGTGGTACTGTGATAAATATGTGACATTCGCCACCTCAGAGTCCATGGTTGGGCACAGTCCATAGAATCACAGAGAAGCAACGAAGATGCTCCTGCATACGGCTTAGTACTGTTTAAAACAGATTTTTCCCCCTAGCTGCCTCCTTTGCAGCAATTAGAGGTTATACAAAATACGGCCTAGTATTTTACCTATCTGCGTAGATTTGCTCGGGCTTCCACGCAGCTCACGTCACTAGGTGGGGAATGTCAATATCTAACCCTGATACCACAACATACCACAGTAGTAAAATCCTCTTGTCCCCGACACTTTCCCCAGTATCGACGGAAGAGTCTTACGCCCGCGCCGAGTATACCACTATGATACAGGCGGTGTTCGGTCTAACTATCGTGGAGATATGTTTGTGGGGCGGCTACGTTCTCCCTGCTAGGTTAGCGTAACTTAAAAAGCAGCTAGACCCGATTGGGAGCGACCCATCTCACCCACCCTTGAACTTCTGACTCCAAGCTGCATCCCAGGCCATAGACAGCGCGTCAGAAGGAATTCGTCCGCTCGCTTTTCACCATGTCCGTCCTGGGATGGAAGTACAGGGAGGGTCCTGTGGAGGGGATTTGGGGGCCGCCCAATTCGAATCATAAGTGAGTTGGCATCAATTGCAACCCTATGTTTACTCTTGAGGCAATTGTTTGGTGTAAGCAAGTGCTGATATTTCCATCAAGTTTTTGCGAAGAGGTATGATGATTCAATGATGAGACCCCGGTGCTTAGGGTTGATGCAGAGTAGGATTACATTATTACGGAGTATATCGCGGAGTTTGTGAATACGTTGACGAACTTGACTTATGGTATGCTATCTACCTTGCTTTCTTGTGCATGTCAGAGGATGGGTTTTGATATGGTACAGTGATATATGGCATCCACGGCCTTCGAAGAGTGTCGCCGAAGAAAGATGGAGGAATCTTTTCGACGTTGGCGTTACCGTACTGGGGCCTTATTGGGGTCGGCGTGCTGAGTGGGTGGTTTCATTCGACGCTGAAGTATCATAGTCAGATGGGTAAGTTATTCTACATCCTCCCCTGGATGCCATTTCTAATCCTGTCGTGAACCTTCTGACTCAATTTCACTAATCCACCCAGGCGACGATCTCTCCATGTTCCTGGCCGTGGGAACACTCATGCACCAACTACTTACCTTCAACGCCCCACCCGCCAAACGTTGCAACATCACGCTTCTCATCCTCGGCACCGTCATCCCCATCTCCATCTACCATGTCTGGGCCGACGAGATCTACGCCCATCAACTTGCCTTCGTTACTATGGTGTTCATCACTGGCCGTAAGATCCGCCGGTTGATCCGTGAGAGGGTTAAGAATCCGGAGTCGAGGAAGAGATTGCGTGCCTTGGCGTCAATGGGGAGTGGTAAGTTTGGGTCCTCATCTTCTTCCTATTTGGGGCATCATTCTCGAGACTTTCCGTTGTTTGTGTTAGGGTTCAACGGCCTTGGCCGATTTATGCTTGTTCGATATACGCGCGCTGTATCTAACAATCCCACAGCATCAGGAGCCTTTGGCTACTTCCTCTGGTCTATCGACTTCCATCTCTGCAGCTACGTCACCGCCGTGAAGCGAGCCGTTGGGCTTCCTTTGGGCTTGTTTCTCGAGCTTCACGGTTGGTGGCACATTTTTACAGGTACAAGTCTTCTGCATTCTTCTAAGGGAAATTGTCAATCTAATCGTTTCAGGTATCGGCGCGTATGTCGGCATGGCCCTGTGTGAGTACCTTGTTACCATGGAAGAGGGTGAGAAGGGGAGGGTTGAGGAGGGCTTTGTTTGGCCGGTGAAGAGTGTGTTGATGGATGTTGAGGGGAAAGAGAGGAGTAAGTTGCAATAAGGGTTCACCCATAGAAGGTTAGGTCCTCTGTGCGACTTTGGGGGTTTGGGGTTCAAAACGCGATGTATTCTTGCTGTAAGATATCGATTGATGGAATCAGTGTTCCAGAGAATATGAAAGGTTTGAGGCTAAATATGAATCAACTTCGACTTGATAGGACATATTCGCCCCTTTAGAAGTTGCAAGAGGTGGTCCATGGCTACCCCTACTCTCCTTGAATCACATATTCCAAGCTGGCGCAATCCCCACTCTCCCGCCCGGGAATCTAGCCTCATACTCCAACCCAAGGTTACACCCCTTCCTCCCCTCCAACCTCACCATCCAGCTCACCTCCCACCCCTTCTTCAACCTCGCCGTCGCACTCCCCCATCCCTCCCCGCCCTCTTCACATCCCTCCGTCTCCGCTCCTTCGCCCTCATCATCCCCCGCTTCTCCCTCTCCTTCCTCGCTGCCTTCCCCGCCCTCTCTTTCTCCCTCCCCTTTTTCTCAATCTTCCTTTCCAAATCCTCCATCGTCCTCGCAGCCGCAGCCCGCGCCTCGAAAATCTTCGCCCTATCATCTTCATACTTGTCCAGTAACTCGCCCACCTGACTCGGCGTGAAGTGCCGCGGAGAGACGCTCTTCGCATACCGATCCCACGTAGCCAAGCGCTCACTCGCTGATTTCTGCGTCTCCAACGCCACATTCATCTGGGCTTGTAGATCGCGCAGCTCTTCTCCAAGCTTCTTGACGACTTCACCCTCCTCTTCGTCGATATCGTTTCCCTCACTATCACTTCCCTCCTCCTCCTCTTCCTCATCCACACCTCCTCAAACCCCTCCCTATTCGCCACCAACTGCACCGCTACATCCGCAATACTTGCCCCCGTACTACCAATCGCCTCGACCTGGATCGAGTGCTCGTCTACCGTAGGCGACAAACCTAGGATCTCGACTTCATGCGTGGTTGCCGCGGACGAGGCGGATGTGGGGGATGCGCCGCGTGATGTGCGCCTTGGTCGGTGTAGAGGGTTATGGAGTTTGTGGGGAGGGTGGAGATGTGGTGGTCATGTTGGGAGGGGTGGTAGGCGGATAAGGGGATAGGGGGGTAGCGGGATAGGGGGAAAGGGGTGTGATGGGAAGAATTTGGGGGTTATGTAGTGGGTATGACGAATGATGAGCAGATCGGGTTTTGGAGAGATAAAAGAGAGAGGTGTACTTAATAAGGAAGGCGGTGGTGAAGAGGAAAGTATATATACTCAAGGAAATTAGGCATAGTCGAAATGGTCCTCAGGTCCAAATTCGTCCTGCGTCGTGCAAAGCATAGATGTGGCATCGTGCACAGCCATTTTCCAAACCAAACCAACCCAGCAATGGGAAGCGAGAAAAATCAGACGACAGAAAAGAGGTAACAAAGGTAGGAGAAGAGAAAAAGAAAAAGTCCAAGTCATTACAAAAGATATACATGTAGGGAAATGCATATGCGAACAGCTCGAAGATATGCAACGGAATCTCACATGCAAAACAAGAACCTAACCCAACCATGCGATGAAGCTTCCCAACCAAGACTTTCCGACCCGCGTACATCAAACCGTCGCCTCCTGAGGTTTAGGAAACGTCGGGGCGTACGCGCTCTTCTCCCTAATCTTGGCTCCTCGAAGGTAGAACCATACAGGGACGGGGATGAGCACCGCGGCGACGCAGCCTAGAAGCGTGGCTGCCCACTGGATGCCCATGCCGTTGAACATTTGCTGCGCGAAGAGGGGGAATGCGGCGCCGCATAGACTGCGGAGGAAGGTGTTTGCTGCGATGGCCGAGGCGGCGAACTAATAAAAGGTTAGCGTCAATATATGGTAAACTTCAAGAGGGGCAAAGTGACGTACCATAAGATAGGCATCGACCAAGTAGTTCAGCGCTTGCAGGAAGATACTCAGCAAGCCGAACCCGATCAAGAGGCCTGACAGGGTGGGAACGATCCAGGGGATCGAGGCAGTATATCCCGTCCAGCCGAACCAGAATATCCCCGCTGCGAAGCAGATGCCTCCGGCGATAACTTCTGGAAGGCGCCATTCCGGTATTGGGATGTTGTTGTTTGCGGCGAGCTTTTTCTGGTACCCGGGTTGTCGGATGAAGATGAGTGTGCCGGCTAGTAGTTGACCCGTGACCATGCCGAAGAATGGCAGGCCGCCGACACCTAGATTCATATGGTGCACGCCCTGGAAGACGAGTGGGTATGCGGTAAGGAAGAGATATAAAAGACCGTAGATGAAAGCCATGTAAATTGAAAGTCTGTCTTGTGTCAGTGACGCATATTTCATAGGTAAAAGCCATACTTACAGCAGCACAATCGGCTCAGTAATTAACATCCTGATGGGTCTGCTGAAGTTCTTCTCCAGAAGCTCGCGGAAGTCGATTTCGATTTCCTCCTGCTTGGCATGGATGCCCCAGTTCTTGGTTCGGCGACGTAACTCAGCAGCTTTTGCGACGAGGATCTCAGGCGGATATGACTCGCTGAGGAAGAAGAAGTTGAGGCCGAACGCAGTGAAACCGAGGATCGCAACGAGGCTGCCGTAGTCAATATGAAAAAAGCCCGATCGTGGAGAGGATTATGACTTACTATTCGGTCCAGCGCCAGCCCAGATCAGACATCACGATGAATCCTCCGATAAAAGGTGCAAGCAGAGGGCCCGTAAAAACGGTCATAGAGAAGATGGTGATGGCCATGCCTCGCGTGCGGTTGTCAAACATGTCGGAGAAGACGGCAGCCACGCACTGCAAACCATTAGTCGCATGAATCGCATGAAGAGAAGCGCAATCCGTGCAGTACTCACAGTCAGAGGACATGCTCCAAAGAAGCCACCCCAGAACCGACATATCAGAATTGTCTGCAGGTCCTTGCCCACAGCAACGGCCACGCTGAATATGGAGAACCCAAAGGAAGCTATAACAAGGGGTAGTCGTCGCCCCTTCAGCTCTGAGAACGGCGCCCAGAAGATGGGACCCGTTGCGAAACCCAGGACGTAGAAGGACGTGCCTAGCACGCCGACTGTCAATCCCACATGATACTGGTGCGCCACCACTCGCGTCGCTGCGCTGAAGATTGAACTGCCAAACGCAGAGCAGAACGTCGTGAAGCCTAATATGGCCGCAGTGAAAAGCTTCTTCTTCAGCGTCCAGTTCTGCGCATGCAATGGGTCGTCCACTCCATCGAATTCGACTACATATTCCTCCCTCTCAGGCAATGGTGGCGGATACGGCTTCCCTGCTCCCATAGCCGGGAGCGGTCTCCTGGATGGCCTGGTCTTTATGCCCGCGCCCACTGTCGCGCTGTGTTGACTCCTCTGTGTCTGTATCCGGCTGATGGCGGTTCGGTGGCACTCGAGATCTGCGACTTCATCGATCTGGGTGGGGAGGCGCGACATGCCTCCGTCTGCTCTAGAGGACGAGGATGTGGAGGACGAAGACGAAGATGCAGAGGATGCAGTCGCGGTTCGCTCTATGGGCTCATGCTCTTCTTCTCTCGCATTTTGTGGTTGTTGGAAGCGCGAAGGGGTGGCATCTAACTCTGCCTTCTCGATGAAGGCGTCGGCTGGATTCATGATGGGCAAGGGGCTCCTGGTGATGGAACGTGTAGGTGAGGAATTTGTATCAATTGGCGCCCTTGAAAGGGCAGAATGGTCGCTTTAAGTATCGAATTCTCCTATCGAAGCATCCCAAACCCAAACGGTCCCCGGGTCATGATGAATTCACTTGGGCCGCTGACGTAGGGGCCCTAGAGACTTGCCGAGGCGAAAAAGCTTGTTCGTCGGCGGCGCACCTGGGCATTCAGCTTGACGAGCCAAGCCGATCTATCTATCGGGGTTCCTCTTTTTTCCAGAACAAAGTCTACTTTTTTTGGATCTTCACAGGTTAGAATCAAAGTGAAAAGAAACCAGAGCCGCTGTATGTTGTCCGGTGTATTCTAAAACCCTACAATCGCAAATCGCATCTCAATAATGTCCCGAGCCTAGAGTATGGGAATCCTGTCCCTCATCTCACCGACCCAACTTGCCGAGCGACTCAAGATTATCTGCACCCTAAACACTTTTCTGGAGTCCTAACTCCGTGATCCGTTCCATCTCGGCCAATCATATGCTTCAGGGAAAATCGAAGCCTGAGGAGAAAATGTGTATCGGGAGAACTTGCCGTGTGTAAGCGCTTACTCCTCCGGGTTCTGCTGCAGCCCTACTTGATAATCATCGATAAGCAGAGATTTTCTGCCGACAGAACAGGGGCAGGCATTGTCCAAGGCTGTGCAGCTCTTCCACCATCCCATCTAGCAACAGTCAAAAATAGGTACTAGGATCATGGATGTTAAACAACACTGGAAATTCTGGAAGATTCACAGGGAAACAACTTGGAAAAGCGAGATTCGGGTGGCCAAACTTGCATTTGGTACTCATAAGGCATTCCCAGTTAAGGGACTACCGGAATTTTTCATTCCATATTTTCGTTTCATGTAGACGGCATGACTTGTTCATAACACGTAAAATGCTGAGTCCGCACCCGCTGCACGCTCGAACGCAAGCAAGTCATTCTTGCAAGCAGCAATTCCAGATATCTCAAGCTTAGAGAAGGGTAGGAAGAGGATTGCTACCTCATCTACAACTTCTGCATGGCAACGATATCGGTAGATTGAACGTGGTCCTCGTCTTCTTCGATCTGCTGCTGCAGCTCGTCCAGAGAGACTTTCTCGTCCTCGACGACCAGGTTGATCTGCAGCTTCTTGATACCAAAACCGACGGCCACAAGCTTAGACGCACCCCACACGAGACCGTCCTTCTCGATGGCCAAAACATTGGCCTTGAGCTCGTCCATGTTGGTCTCGTCGTCTGCGAAAGGGTTAGCACTGTAACATGAGTAGAATCAAACGTGAGCTGCGTACCCCATGGCTTCACATCCAAAGTGACAATGGACTTGGCGGCAGGCTTTACCTTGCCGGCCTTCTTCTTGTTGTACTCGGCAAGGCGCTCAGCCTTGAGCCTCTCAGCCTCCTCATCCTCTTCCTCGTCACTGCCAAACAGATCGACCTCCTCCTCCTCCTCCTCGGCGGCAGGGGCCTTGGCAGGGTTGACGGTGAGCTCGGCGGATTCAGGGCCGTAGGCAGTGTGGTCCTTTGTGGGGTCACCAGGAAGAGTGCTGAACTCCGATTCCCAGGTCAGGATGTGGTTGTACCAGCGCCAAGCGTAAGGGAACTTCTCAGGGGCAGGGACGGTCTTGATCTGCTGGAAGACCTTGACATCGGCCTGGGAGGGGGTGTAGCTGTCCTTTTGTTAGAGAAGGTCGGCGCACAATGACAGTGCCGTCAGAGAAGGAAGAAACAGCAATCAGGAATGCGACAAGCGCTTGGGTTTGTATTCAGATAGCGGGGTCTTAAGCCGCCTCATTAACACGGACCAAAGGTTTTCATCAGGAGGTTGGGCAAATGTGGTATTGGAAGAAACATGGCGAAATTCTGAAGGGCGGGGTGATGCAACGTACCCAACAATGTAGCTACGGGTCTTGAGCCAGTTGTTCAAGATGGTGAGACCGGCGTCAGAGACGAGATCGGAGAAGCCCATGATTGCTGATGAGAAAAATGAACCTGGATGCGACGGGTCGCTGAGAGGAGGAATTGAGCAGAGTTGAGAGGGGTAGAATAGGAGATTGGGGAGAGAGAAAATCTCGAAACAGAGTGGTGCCAAGTTGGGCTCGGCACGCTAGCCATTTACAGCCCATAGATGTGGCTTGTAGCTTGTGTGGCGCCTGCTGGCCCCCTTCCTCCCAAAACTTCGAGCACCTTCATTCACACTTCTGTGCCGTTGAGGTGTCGGCTATGGAGGAGGTATTTCCTGGTGGAGGGTGACGCGCCCCCACGACAAGGAATAAACAGTATATCACAACCGCTATATTCGATTGAAACAAACTGTGTATCCCTGAACGACCCCCAGTGTTGCGCGAGTTCGTTATCGAAAAGTTCCTTGCACCGGGCTCATGGAAACAGCTCGAAAAGTCGACTAACTTCCTCAATCCATCACAAACGTGACAAGGGCCGCCACCAGTCCATCGCCATACTAATAAGCCTTAACTGCCAGTTTCCATTCTTGTCCAAATATTCACTCGCAATTTACGCCAGAGCAATGCTCAACAACAGCGCACGCGTCGCTGCAAGGCGCATTTCACCCAAGCAGCTACCTCGTCCCATCTCCCTTCGGCCGTTACCGCTCAACGCATCACGATGCCGACCCCACCTCTCATACAAGCCGCTGCTATCCACCACCGCCGTTCGAACCTATTCCAATGGCCGGCCACATCCGCCTGGCGGTACACATCGCATGAATTTGGGTGGCGAACCAGAGAAGCCGGCTTTGGAGCAGTACGGCATTGACCTGACAGCGCGGGCGCGGGAGGGGAAGCTAGACCCTGTAATTGGGCGAGACGGGGAGATACATCGCACAATCCAGATCCTATCGAGGAGAACGAAAAATAACCCCGTGTTGATCGGGGCAGCTGGAACCGGAAAGACTGCTATCCTGGAGGGTCTAGCACAGCGGATTGTTCAAGGAGACGTGCCAGAATCAATAAAAGAGAAGCGGGTGATAGCATTGGACTTGGGCCAACTTATTGCTGGTGCCAAGTTCCGAGGTGATTTTGAAGAACGATTGAAAAAGGTGCTTAAAGAGGTTGAAGATGCTAAGGGTGGAGTTATACTCTTTGTCGACGAGCTGCACACTTTGCTTGGGCTTGGAAAGGCTGAGGGTAGCATCGACGCGAGCAACCTGCTGAAGCCGGCCCTGTCAAGAGGAGAACTCCAGTGCTGCGGTGCGACAACTTTGAATGAATACAGGCAGATCGAGAAGGACGTAGCCCTTGCTAGGAGATTCCAGCCTATCTTGGTTGGTGAACCCAGCGTGGAGGACACCATTTCGATACTGCGAGGCATCAAGGAACGTTATGAGATACATCATGGTGTTCGAATCACGGATTCCGCCCTTGTCGCAGCCGCAGCGTATAGCAATCGCTACATCACGGATCGATTCCTACCAGACAAGGCAATCGACTTGGTTGATGAAGCCGCCAGCGCACTCCGTTTGCAGCAGGAAAGCAAACCGGATGCGATTCAGGAGCTCGATCGCCAAATCATGACAATTCAAATTGAGCTGGAATCCCTCAGGAAAGAAACAGACATCGCAAGCAAAGAAAGGAGGGAGAAGTTAGAGCAGACTTTGAAGACCAAGCAGGATGAAGTCAAAGTATTAATGGAGAAATGGGAGAAGGAGCGAGAAGATCTACAACAACTCAAGAACGTGAAAGAGGAGCTAGAGAAGGCGAGGCTGGAGCTCGAACAAGCGCAGAGAGAGGGCAACTTTGCGAGAGCAGGAGAACTGCGGTACTCAAAGATACCCCAGTTGGAGCAGCGTCTTCCCCAGGAGGAAGAGGCGATGACCACCAGGAATCCCGACTCCTTGATTCACGACGCCGTTACCGCCGACGATATTGCCGCAGTTGTCTCCCGGACCACCGGTATCCCCGTTTCGAAGCTGATGCGCGGAGAAAGTGAAAAGCTGATTCACATGGAGGACGCACTGCGGCAATACGTGCGTGGGCAGGATGAGGCGCTCACGGCTGTGGCGAATGCAATCAGGATGCAAAGAGCCGGACTGTCCGGTGAGAACCGCCCGATCGCTTCCTTTATGATGCTCGGACCTACCGGCGTTGGCAAGACAGAAGTGTGCAAGCGGCTTGCGGAATTCCTCTTCTCCACAGCCCAGGCTGTCATCAGATTCGACATGTCAGAATTCAGCGAGAAGCATACCGTCTCGCGTCTTATTGGCTCTCCCGCCGGCTACGTTGGCTATGAGGACGCAGGTCAACTGACCGAAGCGGTACGGCGGAAGCCGTACGCAGTGCTTCTGTTCGATGAGTGGGAGAAGGCGCACAAAGACATATCCACTCTCTTGCTTCAGGTCCTGGATGAAGGCTTTTTGACCGACGCTCAGGGCCATAAGGTCGACTTCCGCAACACCATCATTGTCCTGACTTCTAACCTTGGCGCGGAAATCATTGTTGGTGATGACATGTTGCACAGAGGCAAACAAGAGGAATCTGCTAGGATCTCCCCGGAGGTCCGCAACGCTGTCATGGACGTCGTTTCTGCCACCTATCCGCCTGAGTTTCTAAACCGGATTGACGAGTTCATCATCTTCAACCGTCTTTCTCGCGAAGCACTCAGGGATATCGTCGATATCCGGTTGAAGGAGCTACAACAGAGGCTGGATGATCGCCGCATCACGCTTGAGGTCCCGGATGAGGTCAAGCAGTGGCTCTGCGATCGGGGCTACGATCCGAAATTCGGTGCTCGTCCTCTTAACAGACTCATTTCAAAGGAGATCGGGAATGGGCTTGCTGACAGGATTATCAGGGGTGAGATCAAGGGCGGGGATGTGGCAAAGGTATCGATCAAGGATGACAAGAGTCATCTGGAGATTGTCAGCGCGAAAGCTTGAAGAAGTGTATCAAATGGTTTGTATCATATATGTGACGACTCGATGACTGTATAATAGGCCTACTTGTATGTATTACTGCTGATGGGTAGGGTTGGCCTGGCATGGACTTGAGCGGTACTGCGTTCTCTATTTCTCAACTCCCCTCTGAGATTCGACGGGGAGGCTGTATCCAATTACCACTCGAATAACTGGTGCTAGGAAATCTCCGATAATTTCTTGTCATCGTTCTTGTCCATGAATCGTTCGCTTCGTCTCAATCGTTTTCCTGTCGGCTTCCAGATCGGGTACGACTAACTGGCAGGCGCGACGGCACTACGCACCTGCTGCATCGCACCACGATATCTCGCCACGTACCTAGGCACACTTCAACCCATACACCTCCTTGAGCTTCACTACTGACACTTGCGAAAACGAACATGCCGCCCAAGAAAGCCAGGTTCCCTTTCCTGAAGACCAGCAGCCGGCGAGGGACGACGTCAAGCCCACGCAACAGTAGCAGTCGACGCTCGAACTCGTCTCGCCCTTCCCGGCATCATTCGTCACATCCCACTTCTTCCAATCGCCCATCAGCATCTGCATACGGCAGGAGAGGAGGTAATACTGGCATGGTCCACGGCAGAACAGAGGCTCTTCCCCAGACATCTTCCGATCCGCTCCCTGAGATACAAAGAGAGGTCGATGAGACGCTCCAAGACACCCTCAATGAAGTGATTATGGCTGTTGATCTGAGAGAAAGAGGTACTGTTGGTTGTTCGTACTACGTTGCCAGGGAGGAGAAGCTCTACTTCATGGAAGATGCCAAGCTAGGCGGCATTGAGTTGATCAATATTCGTAAGTGGGTGTTCCCCTAGCCTCTAGAAGATACTGACGTTGGGCACTCCAGTGAAAGCTTTCGTTGAACCCACGGTCATCCTTGTATCGACAAAGACTGATGATGCTGTTATCGACACTCTTGATCCTGAAGCCAGAGATGGGACTTCTGAGCGAGGAAGTTGTGAGTGTTCACGGGTGGTATTGAAGCTGCTTATACTCACCTCTGAAGACGACCAGTTTCGCTTGCCCTTTGTACTCGATATCCGCCCAGCAGCCGAATTCGGATATGACGCCGCCAAAAACAAACTTGCTGGTCTTCACCTTCAGCGGGAGGGCCAACCTAACTTTACCTTTGTAATACCAGGAGATGTCGTGGCCGCGGACGGATTGATAAATGGGGAGGATACCCCGGGTCGACAGGAGCAGTTACTTCGTCTTGCGGGATGGGTTGATCTTGAAAGTCGCCTTACGGTAAGCCTCGTCGGATACCCACACAAGCTCGCCCGCTGACGGGCTAAGATTGGTTGCGCGGGAGCGGTGCTTTCATTCTTGCAGCGGAGTCGTGCCAATGCCTACCTACCTGGGGATGAAGCTGCGCATAGTATGTTTCGCGTCTCAACTATTGAGATGTTCACTCTCCGGGATACTATGTGAGTCGCTATATTAACAACGACTTCCGCTATTTCCGCTGTTAATTATCACGAGGTTCGTCAACGCGGACACGTTGCACTCATTGCAGATACTGAGCTCGGAATCTCATCCAAATTCTCATAACCAGGGACCCAACAGAGCTACGTCTGGTTTTAAAGAAGGTTTGTCCGTGTACGGTCTATTCCACCACCTCGCAAAGACTCCGCAGGGTAAAATTCTGTTGCGTCAGTATTTCTTAAGACCGAGTCTAGCACCGGATATAATTGACGAACGGTTGGACACAATTTCAGCTTTTCTTCGACCCGAAAATTCCGGCACAATGGATAGTCTCGTGAAAGATCTACAATCAATACGGAATATGCGCACGGTGATGATCAATCTCAGAAAGGGAGTTTCCAGCGGCAACAGCAAGTCCGGCGGCTTCTCGAGGAGCGTGTGGACCAGTATACGCCAGGTACGTTCCCTCGCTGCGTCCACCGCAGTGAATCTCATATCACTCAATTTAGTTTGCATACCATGCCCTGCAAATCAGAGATGCAATAAGAGACATGGCTGGTGGCGAGTCTCTCTCCATCGGAAACAAGGTAAGACCAATCACTACGCTCGATTGACTATCAAACCTCACTATGTACAAGGTTGTTCAGAGATTTGAAGGGTACCACCTCGCACAAGTTGGAAAACGTATCAGCGATATAGTAAGGACCGGCAGCACATCGCTTTACCTGGGCCTTTGTCTCACAGTAGTAGGTCGATTTTGATCAGTCAGCAACAGAGTCTCGCACTGTGATACTGCCCGGTGTGGACGAAGAACTCGACCAAATGAAGAGAACATTTGCAGGATTGGATGACTTGCTCGGTCAAGTCGCCCGAAAATTATCGGAAGGGATTCCCTCGGATCTCCAACAGAGCCTGAACGTACTTTATTTCCCACAGATAGGGTTTCTGACAACGGTTCCCCTCGACCCAGCCACTGGTGATCCCGTATATGAGGGGACCTTTGATAGTCCATGGGAACGCATGTTCTCGACGGAGTTAGTTGTTTATGCACTATACATTGTGACGTAGCTAATTGTGAGCAGAGGTCAGATATACTTCAAGAACAGCGAGATGCGGGAAATGGACGAGCATTTTGGTGACCTCTACGGCATCATATCCGATCGCGAGATTGAGATTTGCCACGAGCTTGCACAGTTTGTTCTCGAGTATGAGACCCTCTTAACGAGCGTGTCGGACATATGTGGGGAACTAGACAGGTGCGATAATTCAATGCCTCTGCTTGCGTTTGCTGACATTGCTAGTCTACTTGCATTGACGCAAGGTGCTAGGCAGTACAACCTGAAGCGCCCTAGAGTGACACTGGACAACGATATTGAGATCAAAGGGGGACGGTATGTTTTGCATTCGTATCCACGTTGAGACACCGCTGACTCTATGGAAAGGCACATCCTTCAAGAGCTCACTGTTCCCTCATATGTTGCAAACGACACGAAAATAGTTGGAGGGTCTGGGGCTGCGAATTCATTTGAGAACATGGGCAGCAGCTCATCAGCATATTCCACGCAGCCCAGCGGAGGCGACTCTAACATGCTGATCATGACCGGACCAAATTATTCCGGGAAGAGCGTCTATCTCAAACAAGTGGCATTGATTGTCTTCATGGCGCATGTCGGCTGCTTTGTGCCAGCTGAGAGCGCAAGGATCGGACTTACAGACAAGATCCTCTCTAGGGTGGCTACCCGGGAAACGGTCTCACGGGCTCAGAGCGCGTTCATGATCGACTTGCAGCAAATATCCTTGGCCTTGAGTTTAGCGACAAGGAGAAGCTTGTTGATCATCGACGAATTTGGGAAAGGGACTGATTCGAGTGATGGCTCGGGATTGGCTTGTGCCGTGTTTGAGCACCTTCTTCGTCTCGGCACTGAATGTCCGAAGGTTGTAGCTGCTACCCATTTCCATGGTAAGTAACTGTTTTAGATCTGCGGCATGGCACTGAAGGCGGTAGAAATATTTGAAACCGGAGTGTTTAGGCCCCAGATCAATCCTACGTTTGGGCATATGGAGGTGCGAATTGACACTGAGGCCTCAGAGACAGAGGAGCAGATAACATATCTCTACAAGTCAGTACCATCGAAAGAAAATTTTGAAACTCACTAACGGTTCGGCAGCTTTTGCAACGGCCGGAGCACTTCAAGCTTTGGCACCTGGTAATGGCCCCTTGTATACCCTACACAGCAATGTCTCACTCGGTGTAGTTGCGCAGCCTTGAACGGCGTGCCTCCGGAGATAGTTCAGCGCGCCGAACAACTAATACTCTTGGCTGCCAGAGGAGAAGATCTTGTGGCAGCATGCTCGACAATGCCAGAATCAGAAGCCCTGGAACTTGAAGAGGCAGTGAGTACTCCTTTCACATTGCAAACACTTCATTGACCAGAGCCCTAGGAACAAATTGCGCGAGATTTCCTTGCAGCTGATGTCTACCGAGACCCCAAGCAGACCTTAAGTGATATTCTGACGGTATCTACGACGACAAATTCTCGAGCATGACTTTATTGCATCCCTCCCAGAGGCTGATGCTGGTGGCAGTCTATGACTTCCGGGAAATCATCCTTGTCTCAGTGGCAGCCCGCTGTCCGAAATGTAGATCTTATTCCAATTTAGTCTTTTGCTGTGGCCATTTTATAGCACTGATAGCCGGTCCACTCACCACGAGGCGAGTGCTTGGCCATAGACAGCAAATGGTTTGTTTGGCACAGGGCTTGACGTGAGCATGGTGACGGCAAGGTAAGGCCCACGGGGACCACCGTTATGTAGACCTCCCATGTCGTCGAGATACAATATATTCTGATCCATGCCCGTGCTTCGACTTCCAAGGTTTCATTGTCGTGTTGCCTTCCGAAGTTGTTCGGCTGAGTCACCGTCAAGCACGCTCCTTCCTCTGAAGGCGGTAGTGCCCATTAGGGCGGAACCTTAATTTGACCTCCATCGAACCTCTATACTAAGATTTCTCTCCATCAAAAAACGGAATCCCTCTGAGGCCTTTTCGGGTTCAGAACGTGCTTTTGCTAACTTCTGCGGGAGCAGAGGAAACTCTTCACTGCGCGGTAACTCACTTTCCATGCACCTCTCACAGACCGGCTGTCGTTTTTCTGCACTACGATCGACAAAGTTGAAATATGGGGCACTTGAGAAGGTGTGTTTGTCGTGTGCTGATTCCTTGTCACGGCCTTGACTGTCGACCTAGTAAGAGCTATGGGATTCGGATGGAGGGAAGTTACGGATTGAAGCTGCTGTGTTAGCATAGCTTGAAGATAAGTGCTTTTCCATGTCTTAGTAACATTGGTTTTTCAAACGTGCTGACGGTACCTTCAGGCGCCACTGCCGCTGCTAATGCACAATCGGCTTCCTGTCAGACGCCACATCTCCATCTGACGCTGCCAAACAGCCGACACTCATCGACAAAGACAAGCATGCACAGCATCGGCGTTGTAATCGCCTCTGGCGCAACGCGCTCCGTATCTGGTTTAGCAGGAGCGAATTGCCTCTCACTCCAGGTCTGTCCGTTTAGCCACAACATCCTCTATACGGCCGTTGCCACTTCTGTGGCAAGACCTCCTGAGCATGGGCGATTGCCCATACCTTTTCACGGCCTTGCAAGAGTGTCGATCAAGCCTGGACGAACGGGTACTTCTCCGGGTGGCGCCCATGGACTTCAGTAGTTGGACGTTGCTGAAAAGGATTGCATCCAGGGATTTGCCATAACCTCGTATTGTGCCATGTGCGACGTACATTTACCCATTACTTGAAAGGATCGCTGGCAACGCACTGGAAAGCGAACTGCGTCCACTCCATTGTGTCTCACTACTCGTTCACGCGTGTACGATCAACACGTTCACGATCAACACGTTCAGCAGCTTCAAATCCAACTCCAAATAGGCCGATCTTAACGCCCCTCTGCTAATCCATCAACACGGAAGGCGCCAAACGGTTTTACGCCACCTTCCTGTACGATCTCCCGAAGGAGCAGGTGGAAGAGGGTCAGGCAGATTGACCACTCTTCGACCGCTTCTCACGCCACGTTCCTCAACGATATCTGCAGGCGGGCCGCTCCGATGCAGGGCTTTGGAGTAGCTTCCAATTGTGTGCCCTCAACACAAGCAGTGGACACGAGAGGCCGCGCAATCGGCAGCTATCCGGCTGCTCTGAGGAACCTTCACTGTATCAGAAGACTGTGGGCGTTGTGCCCTTCTCATTCATCTTTAGGGCATTGAAGGCCATGGAAACCGTCTTCCAACTGGCCAAACTCATGCCAGCTGCACTTACCTGGCCATCAACAGGAGCGCATCTGTAACCGAGGGTCTCTCAAGTATCATGCTCTAATGAGCAGGTTACGTGCGGAATTGTATGCGAGGTGTGCCACCTCACCAAGCATCGACGTCGATCCCGCAAGACTATAGCAGAAACGTTATTCCAGCTGCATGCACCTAGGCAAGAGAACTGCTTGAGGATGGGTAAGTGGTTCGGATCCTGGCTTGAAGAGATTTTTCAGGTCCGCATTCAAATCCTATACGAAACACCCAATGCGATGAAGTGAGGATGTCGCCTTCGCTTCGGTTCCGAGAATCTTGCCCTGTCCACAACGCTAATAAATCTACGGACTTACCTCTGCACCCAAAAGGTATTGTCGACTGTTGGTGTCAGCAAACCCGGAAATGACATCTATCCATGTATTCTGCATAACAACAGGCTCAGATGACGGACGCCAATTAAAGTCGCACATGTCACGGAGCACGCTGCTGGCAGGCAGATAAACCGTTAAAATGAACCAATCAGTACATACATGGCGACAGTGACGGATTCGATGCACCAAGCTCTAGGTCTAAATGAATTTTCGACTGCAGAAAGATGGTCTTGTTTCAACCTTGGTCCCTGGGTTCGGTGCATGCCCGCCATGTGGTACTGTGTGGTACGACGTCGAACTAGGATTGGACAGCGACATAGAAAGCCCCATCGCAAGGGTCCTCACTGCATGAGCATGCGCGACGGGCAGAGAAAACGGTGGTGACTGTGGAAAAGAGATGGTGAAAGATGTTGTCCGAAAATGGTTTCTAAGGGGAGTTCATGACGAAGTGGCTGTGGAGGCGGATCGTGAACACCTGCACAGTTGCTCAAGCCCATGACCCTCCACGCAGATCTGCGATCAGCCGTGAAGAGAGCGAGCGGGGCGGCGTTTGGTTGTGGATGATCTCAAGAAGTCGCAAATCCAGGTCGCTGTGTGCAGTCATCGCCAAGCTTCACGATTGTCAAGGGTTCCGGTGAGGGGGCCACAATTGAGGACAAGATCGTCCGGCCAGTGGGCAGCCTCCCGTCTGACTAGAGGGAATCGGACCGCAAACCTCATGTGGTGAACACGACGACAAGTTCGGACCTTCCACTGCCGCGTCTCAAGAGTGCTGGAACGTAAATTGTCACTGAACGGTTTGCGTGACCGCCGGGCACTCAGTGTCGCAGGCCGAGCCTTGCCTCTGAGAGCGAGCAGAGAGCAAAGGCACTGCGGCGAACCGGGCGGAGCAGACCGTGGTAACCTACCGTTGCTATTTGCGACTCCGCACACCGGCAGTCGAGCTTCCCTACTTCATGAGCTGCTGCTGGAGGTGGGTGACACAAGTGCCAGCTTACACTCCACCAATAATGGTTTACTGATGCTCTTCTGCCCTTGCGAACAAAAGACATGTCCAATCAGTCAACTGAAATGGCCATCTCACCCCATACGATGCCACCAGGGCACCTTGTGTGACTGAGTTCCACAGAGGGATTACTCGGTATATGGCAGGGCAATTGGTTACCGACCCAGAGGCAGGTTGCGATGGTGTTGAAGGCTTTTGCGAGGTGACGATAGATCAGTTATAGTCAGCACTAGACTTACGGGCACAGTATCACGCCTGCTCAAAGAACGACTGGAAGAGGAGGTCCCGAGTCTGTGGACGACGCTCCCACTGCCTCGTGGAGGGGTAATCTACTTCACGCAACCGGCTATACTCCCTCGTGTGCCAGGACGCAGTGCTTCGCCAGCAGCCAGGCGCCGCTGCATTCCTTCATCCCCTCTGTCGGGCAGGACAACACCGGGCAGGATTCAGCTCATCATGGATCTACATCGTGTCCAAAGAAAGCTGCACCGAGAGTTGAGCTCTGTCGAGTCCTTCAGTGATAAGCTCGACACCTCCCACACTTGTACTGGCGCATACTGCATCATCCTGGAGGGGTGACGCTCAGAGCGTCTGCCCTGCAGCGCCGAGCGTTAACTCGTAAGACGCTGTGTCCTCAGCCCCAACCCAACATCGCTGCCGCTCAGATGCGCCTCCATCCGGGGTTCCATGACGAACCTCAAGGGTTTCCAGATCCCTTCTCCTTTGGACCTAGCGCTGCACACCCTGGACCTACACCCTGTTGCTGTGCTGCATCGAGGTCCATATATAACACAACTGGCCGAGTGCTTCTCAGCTCCCCTTCAGCACCCTCTCGCAGTTCTGCCTACTTGATCCAACATGTTTCAAGCTGTCCCTCCTCATTTCCCTCCCCAGCAATCATCACCACCTGTTGCAACAATGTCAACTCTTCCGGCGAGCACTTTGGTGACCACTAACGTCGGCGGCGAGCAGAAGCCTCGAAAGCTTCGAGCTTCCTGCGACGCCTGCTCCCGAGCAAAAGTTCGGTGCGACAAGGTGCGTCGTCCGTCGTCTCAAGTTTGAACAGTATTTTGACAGTAGCTCAGGTCAGACCTACATGCCAACGCTGCGGGAATATGGGCATCTGTTGCAACTACTCGCCATCCATGAGGTACGAATTTAAAGTATCCTGTTTCTGCCTGTGACTAACGCACATCCTAGACTGGGCAAACCACGAAAGAATCGTAATCCAGACGGCACTATCATGCGCGATGTGTCGCCGGCTACCTCGTGTGCACCTTTGCACATGGGACCACGACCCACAGTGATCCCAAGAACCACTTCTTACACTGCTGAGAGCTCACCAGAGCCAAATGACCCTTTATTCTTTGCTCCCCCAACGCCCGAGTACCCTTATGCGGATGCCTTCATGGCCAATGGCTTTGATGGAAGCCAGTCTCCATATTCGGACGAAGGGACCTTCGCCAGTGGCTGGTCCAGTGAGGACCGATTGGTGTTTCAAAGCCCCACTGACACGTTCACGAGCGTGCCACCGATCACAATACCGACTTCACCTTTTGCAGCACATTCCAGAACGATCAGTATGCACAGTCAACCGGACCTCCTTATGGATGGGTTGAGAGACCCAGCACCAATCCCGAGTCCTCAATTCTTCCCGTCACCAGATCGGCACTCTATTCCTACGTTTTCCCCGGATAAGATGGCTCTTACTTCACCAATGATCCCGGCACCTCTTCCCACTCCTCCTGCCTCTGCGTCAATGCCTAAACACGACTGCACACAGTTTGCTTTCCAAACCCTCAACAGCCTACACCCTCCGCCGTCAGAGCCCACACACGGCGATTTCAATGGAGCTACTGGCGCTCTCCCAACCTTGGACACCGTCCTATCCACCACCAAAGCCGCAGTAGACAAGCTCTTCGTACTACTGGGTTGCGCTTGCTCCACCAACCCTCACTTCTCCACCACCATCGCATTCACCATCATGAAGGTCCTCGCCTGGTATCAAGCCATCGCAGTGATGAACCACCCCGGCGCAGAATCCTCCATCAACACAACCATGGAGGCTTTCACGCATACGCCTACATCAGCGGGCGACTATTCCCGCGAAGGCGACGACGAGGACACGATCCGCACACATCATGTTCTCGGCGAGCTCCGCAAGATCGAGAAGCTCATCGACAGATTCCAAGACCGGTACTGCAAGGCGGCGAGCGCATCGGAAACCGGCATTGATGCTAGCGTCTATGCCTCGCTTGAGTCTCTGCTTCGGACGCGCGTGCGCGATACCTTCAAGATCACGATGAAGACTGCGCCTGAAGACGTCAGGAGGCAGGTTGCGTCGCGGACGCACCAGCAACAGCAGCAGCAGCAGATGAGGGCTCGGACTATGACGTTCTGATTCCGCGCCGTGCTGGTTCGGTGTGTTTTAGCACCAGTCGTTTTGGATGATGTTGCTGCAATCATTTCACGAAAAGCGCAGCATATGTTGATTTGGAGTTTCATGCTCTCTGTTGTATGCGAGTAACGATTCGCTGTTTTTAGACTTCCTCTTCGCTATTGTTTCGTTCATTCCGTCCCTATCATGGCCCGAGGAAGACATTCCGCTTGTACATATTTTGGTTGTTGAGGTGGGGGCAGCTACCCACCTTCCTTTTTGCTGTAGATGCAAGGACGGCAGCTCGCTTGGCTGAAAGAAAGGGGAAGGAGGATCTGTATATAGACTAGGTGCAGTTGGAATTATATTGAAGAACGCGTCTGCCACACCACAGTACTGCAACATCACGATCAAAGGCAAATGCTCTCAGAGGGAAAGCGCCACGCCAGCAGTGTCGTCATCCCCACGCTCGCTCCACGCTGTAGCGAGACACACAGGACAGCGGGTAAACGAAAGGAAATCGAGGGATCCAGGGATAAACTCTATCGATCCTGCGAGCACTGTGCCTCGCCGTTGTAGGCAGGTAGGTGCCTGATAGCCACGATTTTGTGCGCGTGCGCGCAACGGTATTGATCCTTTTAATATTTTATGGGTTGTGGGTGCGAATGAGAGGATCATTAAGGCTCAAATCGCTGTCTTTCGTTGGTTAGGTGATTAAGTAGGTGATGATGGTGTTGTTGGGTTTTTGATGGGGGTGTTCACATGTTGATGATGGGCCAACGTCATACCTCTTGAAGAGGGTGGTGAGGAAGATGTTGCGTTGATGTGAAGAAGTCGCTTTGGGATCCAAGAGATATGGGCGAATAATTTGGTATCACTCTTACCCAGGTATCCAGTCTGAATTGTCCTCACCATCCTCGGTACCTTTCGACCAGGTTCCCAACAACGGTGATCCAACAAGCGGAAACATTGAAACACATATTGCCAGAAGGTTCTTACAACACGAAAATATCATGTGAAAAAGGTACATGTACCTTGCAGGCCCTTCCCAGCCTAGGTCCTCTTTTCCCAACACCACAAGCCCCGCCTAGGGCTTCAACTGCAGAAATACCAACAACGCTACGTCAATTCCTCCATCGTCAACACCACCATTTCGCTTCCCCTCCCCCACGTGCTTCCCCCACGTTGTCATCCAACTCATGCTCCCCACCGTCCGTCCATCAGCACGAATAAGCAAGGCCTCTTTCGCTAGAACTTCCGCTCACCAGCTTAGGAAGTGCTCTAACCAACCTCATTCTCACTCTCACATTTCCCAAACCAAAAACCGCACAATGCCAGAACCGTTTGTGGGACTCCAGGCCCCTCCCCCATCCTTACGCAGGACACCCATGTCTAGAAACCATTAACTGCACGTTTTCCACGATGCCATGCAATCCAGTTTCCAAGAGCCAGGGTGAATCCCAGCATTCCCAATCCATAAGATAAGCTCCTTCCTTTTTTGCCTGTCTATTACTATTATGAGAGGTATGAGAGGAGCTCCCGGCCTCATTGGATCGCCCGAGGCTCGTGGCCCCCAAAACGCCATCAATCGTTTCTTACCAAAGGCACCTTCCTTTTATATTAGGTTAGAAAGGTTGTCCGTGATGTGAGCGTGAGCAGCTTAATTAAGCCCCCCTGGTCCCGGTACCGCGGCGTCCCGCACCATCCTGGTATACATAGTACGCTTCGTCTTATAATTACTACTTGTGCGAGTTCGTCTTGTGTGAGCGGCTGGGCTGAGGCAGTTTCCGCTCCTGGGAGGACGTCTTTTTTCTCTGTGTGTACTGTGTACATAGTATGTGTGTGGAGCCGGCCTGGTTCGGGGAGACGGCGAAGATAGATGGGGCCAGGGTGAAGGCGGCCGTGGACAAGGCTGAGCGAGCGAGGCAAGGCCACAGCCTCGCATTCGTCGTGGTTTGGTCCACTGACGGTTTGTCGCTTTTTCTGCTTTTGGGGTGAGGTCGCGCGTGTGTGTGATGGCGTTTGTGAGCTAATCATAGTGATCAAACGTTTCCATGTGCTGAAGTGGGACGTCGCTGATCTATGAATAGGGAAGGAGAACTGAATGTGGAGTGATGGATGATTGATTGACTGACCGTCTTGGATGGATCTTGGGACAATGCTGTTCGGCGCGAAACAACCGATGCAGCAGACGCGGAACGTGCGCGCCTCGCGGGCCGGCACGATCGTACGTTTCAGATCAAACGATTCGTACGCCGTTATCGAAGTTTAAACAGGCACTCGCACGGGCTGGAGTTTTTGAAGAAATCGCGCAGGGGGCGTTTCTTGGGGTAATGCCGTTGCGTCCATGTGCTAAATAAAATCACTCCCGTGAAAGTCTGGCAGACAGCGAGTTACCTTTGTGTTGTGCGACGTCGATACTCACGGCGTGGTAAGGCAGCAAAACAGCAGGTTTTCGGATAGTTATAATATTACTAAACCGACGACGTCGGCACAATGGGTACTGAATAGAAAAAGCCGGGTTAAGAGACGAAGTCACCTACTATGTACAAACCGGGGTTGTTCATACAACCTATGAAGCTTGAAGATCTGCAAGTTGAGAAATTTTTTCACTGGAATATGGGAGCAGAATACCTTCCGGACCACGAAAGGCAGTTATGGCGAGACTCCGAAACTCGATGAGCTTGATGAAGTTCAGATAGTCGCACTTACTCGCCAGAAACCCAACGATCCTTTAATAGCTGCGATGCGGTGGGTCTCTCCGCTGGATCCACCCTTAAAACGCGCTCTACAAACTGGCCGTCCTCTTAGAGGTCGAGCAACGGACAACGCCCTGGTTTTGGTCTACCCTAGGGTACCCTAAGGTAGGCGTTCGTGGACTGCTTTCTCATGCTTTATTGTTTCGCAAGAGACGGGACTCATTACTATACCGCTCGATATTCTCATCAGAGAGCCTGTTTTTCGACTATGTCAGCGACAATTTTAAGGGCCTTCAGGTCGAGCATTCCCAAGGTTTATACCACGCAGCTTCTACCCCAGCCGAGAATCGAATCATAAATAGGGCTGCCGTCATCACTGACTATATCAACGGAGTAGCCATTGGCGATAATAAGCAAACTGATTGAATTGTTACGAAGGGAAGGATCAAAGATCAGATTCGAAGCTGGGTGGGCATTCAGGTTTACTACAGTACAACATTCCTCCAGATTATGCCAAGGTGGGTTTTTGAGAGGATAGGCTCATCGAGCTTTGGCGCAGGGGTGAAGAGACTTTGCGCTCTAACGGATGTCTCGTTGCGGCATCCAGAACACTATCTCTCTCTGTTTCCCCGATTGAGGGCTCCTTCAATGCAGCCTTCGTCAGTACGAGGCAAAGCTGCGACGGCAATTTATGCGGCAGCGACGAAACTGTATCTAAGAACTCGTGAACGAGACGTACAGTCTGGTGACAACAGACGGAAAGGGGTAGCGCAAGACTGGTCGTCCTGATAAACCCTTGTCAGAGTCTTGTTGTCCACTCCGCTTCCATTCACAGTCTGGCGCCCAGAGTCCCAGACGGGTTAGCATGAACGGTAAGGTTATCGCAGGATGACGACCAGGGTCCCAGCCACCCGTCGCTCAAGCTTTTGGGCTCAGCGCCAGGCAAAACCCTTGCGACAGGGCACCCTAATGCGGAAGGTTGATCTCCATTCCAAAAAGAATCGGAGTTGGGGGCTGTGCGTCCCATGTCTTGCAATTGTCCTGTAGGATGGTGAGCCGTAAGCACGTAGATTGCAGCCGTGCTCGTATTGGCCATTAATTTTGTCCACGCATTGGCAGCAGGGCATATCAGAATGTGGTCTCGCCTTAACGGTCCAGTTGGGGGGTAGATCCATCACCAGGCGTGCTTGTGAGGAGAAGGCGACCACGACAATGATGTTGACAACTTGGGAAGCGCCTCTGCGAAGGTGTGTAAGGCATGACTGAGCGATGCTGAGACTCCCCCTCCAACAGGCTAAATTTGAGAGTCGCACAGCAGAGGCAGCCGTTTGCCTGCCGCACTTGCCTACCAGTGACCTGGAAAGGTCGCCGACCTCGCATACGTAGCTCCCTGCAGCAACCACTACTATGTATGGTATTTATGTTGAGTGATCTCCAGCGGATCCAGGAATATCTACTCCGTACTATGGTAGGTAGGTGAGGGCTACAACCCAGCTGGGACCCCTTGTACAGGTGTGCAAGCTAGATAGATTGATTCGTTGCCGACCACGAAGACCTGTCTCGTACTTGACATCATCAACCAACAGCAGTATTTCTCCAGGGCTGTACTACACAGTAGAACTCTAATAACTGGGTGCACACATCTCCGCAGCCGCAAACACGAGGAACGCGATGGCGGCTCCGGCAGTTTGGTTGCCTGTGGCTGAGGTGCGAGATATACGGAAACGGCGTTGTCGAGTTTGATGATGGGAATAGCCATTGGCTGTCGATGACGAAGCTTCATGGTTCCCATGTCTTGAACCAGTAGTGGGGAGCATTATTGGTATGTCCTTGAGCATACGAACTCTAGTCAGTTGCGGGTGGACCCTTCCCCGGTTCGAAGAGCTTCGAATGCTCGTATACCAATGGTGAGGGACAGTGCTCGACTCAAATCGGCTTGACCCTTCCTACGGTCAGTGTCACATCCACATGATACCATACTCCACTCTCCTACGCTCTTGATGATTGCTGCGTCTTTTAGACGCTGTTCACATTGTGCATACCGGTCCCAGTAAATCTGACGCAAACCCGCGGTTGTACGACTTCAATATAATAAAGGCCCGACTCCTCGCCGAACTTCATATATCCTGCATGTTGTCCGCAGTTGCGGAAAGGAAAGTTGTTCCAGAAACGTGATACCCACGTGGAATGTGGAACCGAGATGCGGTAATCTACCGAGCGTACCGTCGTCCTCTCGGGGAACAGCCGAAAAAGATCCCTTGATCGGTGAGTAACTTGTCCTGGGTAGAAAGGGCAAGATGTACCCTGCAGCATAAATCGTTCGACGGAGGTTCCACGGACTCTGTTTCTGTACTTTTACTGATGCACTTGATCATGATTGAGGATCGGCATTGCGGTAGAAATCATTTGAATATCGGTCGTGTTCAGATGCGAGACTGAGCTTCAAATGCAGTGAGCCAGCATGCGATCGTTCATGCTGTTGTGTACAGAACCAGGCAGCTCCTGGAAAATCGTGGATCTGGCCGTACTCTCGAGGTTGACTGATCGGAATCATATTAACAGATTTTCGAACCGCCTGCGGGATCACGGCAGAAAGTACAAGCATTTGTGGAGCTGCAAAATCGTCAACCGTTGACCACTTGAACTAATGTAATATCCAAATCTTAATTAACCGCAACGAGCCATTCGATTGATGCTCATCGCTTTTGCGCATCGTTACTGCCGAAGCTCAGTATCCGCAAACATCCTCCTCCGGAGAGCGACCTTCCCGTGCGGGTCGCTTATCAGATTTCAGATTAATGATACTCGCGTGGAGATATATCATGCCTCGTATATAACGCAGTGAGCCATATATTCTAGAAGTTTCGGTCAGCAAAACGTGCGGACGCGATGTTTCTCCTGCATCATGCAGTCAGCTGCGCATATACTATGCGGGCGTAGACTTGGGGCTTGCCATTCTGTCGGTAGATTCGGACTTCATGTAATCCTCGAAGGTGATGATGTTGAGAAAGGGCTCGTGAAGTTGTTGCACTATTGGCATTGGACTGTTTCAAGGAGTGCATCCGAGTGGAGGGAACGGGCGCTGTTATGCACTTGATCCGTATTGATAGTGCAATGGTGTAATTACATTGTTGTGATGGGTAGCAGATAGAAGTTCTGACGGTAGTGACAGTGTGAAAGTTCAGTTTTCGACGTTTACCAGCTAAGTTGAGCGAGCCGTTGCCAGTTAGGCGCATCGAAACAAGGTGGGAAGTTAGAATCTTCTTGAAGCCCTGCCTGTCATCAAATCTGGTTATTGAAAGGTGAATCGAGTTGATCATCATACGTTAAGACAATGGATGCAGAATTATGTCCAAACCTTCTCTACAACTCAAAACCCCACTGCCTGTCACAGCGAGACGGCTAATCTGGAGCCGGCTCCATTTTCAGACGTTGAGCGCCGTAGCAAGACACTTACCAGTGGTAGCAAGTCTTGCCGCCTAGATTGAAGCCAGTCCGCAAAGATTTGAAGAAGACATAAGCCAGTGCTTTAGTAACTGGAATACAAGCCTGCAAACCCATACACACTGCTCATATATTTGAATATCTCAGCACTGCATGTGCCCTATTGCGATTCGATCCACAATACTCTACGGACGAAAGTCATACCGCAACAGCCCAAGCTCCCCAAAGCCGGTATAAAACTCTCCTCCGCCCCCTCCATACACTTGACATACTTTCGCCTCTCACTATCCTCCTCATAGACGCTCCCATACTCCATAATATGATCCATCTCCCCAGTCACAAGGTTAAACCCCTGTTGCCCCAGCGGCGGCACACTCTCCAGCACCTCATTCACCGAATGAGAATCCTCGACTCCTGCCCCTTACAGGTACTCTTTTGCGTGATATCTCTCGCATGACTCCGGTGTCGTCGGCTCGTCGTTGACTTCCTCATACCCGCGACGACATCGCCGGTGACATAGAATCTGCGCCCTCGTCCGGAGGCAGTGTTTGGATGAAGATGATGGCGCGGAAGCGAAGGGACCAGTAGGCATGAACTCATCTTGCCCTCCTCGTTTCTACCGGATCCTTATAACATTGTAGCCTTGGGTCCGCATTGTGAGCGAAAATATTTACCAGGCAATAATCAAGACTGCGGATGCGGTTCAAGTGAGGGATGCTGAAAGGGAACGATATTACTACAACACAAACGGTGTGCGAGCGTGTCACCGCCTATATAGATAGCACCATACTGTGTCTGGCAAGGTCCTCACTCTCTAAAAGTTTATGCTGCGTTTCCCGGTCATAGCTTGAAGGTGCACAGCACGGCAATTCAGCGGAGCTGGCAAAGAGACAAAGAATAACGAAATCTGATCTCTGCATGGACACAGACACAAATCACACAAGGCACTTTGACACCTCAACAGTGTTCCCGCAAAACCAGCCAGACACTCAAGATCCCTACATGCTAGATGCACTCCCCAGAAATCTTGAAATGAATATGGATCACATTAAAACTGTAAGAGCGAAGCCGGTCAAAGAGATCGGAGCTCATCTAAAGCCTAGGGTATCCAGAAGTTGCCAGCAAACCAAACATAAATCATTGACAAGAAAGATCGAAGAAAGTCTGCGCCCGGCTTTCTACTACGGCTCTTGTGATGGCTCGGAGACTAAGGGTCCTTCTCCCGCTGCATCCGCATTCCCGCTCACCACCTGAACGTTACGGTCACTGCGTTCGACGGTCTTGCCGACGGTGCTCTGTTCAATAGTTGCGTTGAGAGCGCTTCCCCCATCCAATGGCCTTTCCACAGTTGATGGTCCTTCGGTCGCAACGGGTTTCCGAGGACGTGGAAGTCCTAGTTCACGAACAGCTCGTTTCATGCTCTCCAACCTGGCTCTTTCCGTTATCACCATCTTGTTCGCCAGATCCTTGAGGGCCTTCCGTTCCATCTTCACTCTCTGCTCTTGCCAGCTAGCGAGCTCGCTGGCCACAACTTGCTGTGTATATCTTAGCTCCCTCGCGAGACCATCAAGCTCCTCAATGGATTTTCCCATCTTCTCCAGGGCGTCTTTCTGGACGCGGTTGCGAGCGTCATCCAATAAACCAAGAGGCCAGCGATCCGAGCGTCGAACAGAAAGATTGTGGCGATCCACACTCTTCTGAGCGGCAGACATAGCACTTATCAATGTCGACGGTCGGCTGAGTGCCGCTAATATGGCGGTAATTGTTTCTGATATTCCTTGCATGCTGTAGTAGAAGCCTGCGAGCGGCGCGGCCTCACTCTGAGTCAAAGTTTTGCTGTAACGTTCCATTGCTTGGATGTGGGGTTCAGGAAGGAATTTCAGAGACTTGACCGCTATATCTGCAAGTCTGACTGCATCGACGAGATCAGAGTTGGTGTTACGCATTTTGTTACTCCGCCGCACAACCGCCCTGGATGCGTGGTGCAGAGACCGAACCGACTCTCTCGCGTGCTGTATGAACAGCTCCACTTCCCGAACGTCATACAAGGGTACGTACTCCTCACGCACTCGTTCCGCGCGCAATTCGGCTTTCCGCGCCGAACGTTCTGCAAGCATTGAGGGGTCGATGTCCGGCACGAGGAAGAACTCCCATACCATCTCATGAGTGGAGAAAGTCGGATGCGACAGAAGGATCTTTAGAAACGCATCTAAACGAAGTTGTATATCGCGCAATATCGAACGTGACGGTCGAGGCGGTATGAGGAAAGGTGAAGCAAGGTTGTTTATGGAAGGAAGCCATGAAGCCGGATGCTCCTGGGCAAGCCATCTCGCCAGACTTTCAAAGTCTTCCACCGACCGGCGACAGGTTGTGATCGTGATGGATGACTTTCCATTTGGGGCTCCAGACTTTACCACCAGCCGGACGGTGCCGTCTTCGACAAAGAAGGACCTGACGACAGAGGTAATTCTGCCATCAGGACCAGGCTCGTTGGTCAAAAGAACAAGGTCGTCTATGCGGTTACGAACCTCATCATCCTTTGCAAGCTCTACAGCGGTCAATCCTCGATGGTCTCTCACGGAGAGGTCAACTCTTGCATCTTGGAAGAACACCTTGACAAGCTCCAAGCGGCCATACTTGCTCGCTACCATCAGAGGCGTAAACTGTTTGTCGTTCGCCGCATTGGCATCTGAGTCGCACCGGTATAGTAGCTTCATGGCAATGTACGGGTCGTTGATGATATGTAGTAGACTGTTCCCTTTGTTGTCTACATGCTCGTCAAGGTGTAAGGGCAGTCCATCATTTTGTGCCTGCGTTGCAGCGACCAGCGCTTTGTCAACCATAGTGCGATATTCATCGTGATCGTAAGATCTACATAGCGCGAAGAGGGGAGTCTGTCCATTCTTATCCTTCAACCGCCACGGTACCAGCTGTCCGACGAGATCGATAAGGTTGGGCTGGTGAAAGAGGTAATGACCCATGCATCGCCCTTTACTATCCGTCTTTTCGAAGTAAGTCCGGATCTTTGCCTCGTCAGGAAACTTGTCGAGGATGTAGGATAAGAGAGTGTCAGTGGTCTTGATATCCCCCAGTTGGACTGCAGCGCTCATTAAAGTCGTACCCTCATTGTTGGAATCGTCGAACACGGATTCCCAGGAATAATACGCGGAGAGGTTGAGCAAGTAAGCCAGTGCTGAATCTTGCCTATGCTCGATGGCCATCATAAGCAGAGATTCTCCTTCAGATCCCCGAGTCTTAGAGAGGGTTTCGATGGAAGTGTCGCCTTCGTATCCACTGCCATGGGAATCGAGAGTGGTCCGCGACCTGAATGAATAAGCTGATGAGCCTGACAGACTCCTTATATCCATAGAAACCTTCTTCTTGGCCTTGAAATCCTTCTGTGGAGGGGGGCTAGGTGCCCGCTGAAAAGGGAAGATGTGGGCCAACGGACCGTCTACTTTCCTGTGACGTGGAAGCGATGGTTCGAAATCATCCTGGGCCGCCTCTCCGTTCCCAGAGTCGGCACCATTCACAGAAGAATGGTCGTCCTCCGAACTAGTCGCAAATCTCGTCCTTCTGAACCGAGGCTCCGGATCAGTACCGTCTTCTGAATCTGTCTCGTCGGAAAGTGATCCATCAGGCTCTAAGACAGATTTCATCGTTGCAATATCACCGCCCTTAATAGCCTGCCATAACCTGTTGTTTTTTCGGCTACATCGCCTGAGACTGTTGGAGTCCCTCATCAAATAGGAAAGGACGGCTTCAAAGGTGCTAAGTGCATACCCCATTTCGCCACTCTCCACATCGTCAATGAAGATGAAATGTCGCATGTATGATAGCCGCGCCTGGAGGTGGCGCACAGAAGATCGGATAACAACGATGAGAAGCAAGGATACCAGAGTGTCTGCATTGATCGCAAGAAACTGGTCTTGCTTCTCCGAGGAAGGGTCTCCATCGGCTTTGACGGTCGATACCCCTCCTTCGGTTTCTGCTGATAGGTCCCGCATTGTGATATGCTTCTGTACGGCTAGCAGGATCTCCAACATCTCTTGGGGACTGTCGGCGACGCCCATCTTCTTGAATATGTCCACTCCCTTAGACAAGCGTATAGCCAATTCCCGCTTGCCTTTGCCACCGCCTTCAACGTCAACACCGACCTGGGAGATGTCGACATCTACCATATCCCGCATGCGCCTTTCAAGGTCAACATCGTCGGCGTGTCGAATCGAGCACAAGCGTGGGAACAAGATGGTATGGTGAAGCTGCTCGGTAACATATCGCTCTATCATGCGTTCCACAATTGGACCTGTCAAGTCTGTAGTCGCCCCGAGTAGCGATAGTTGCTGCTTGTCAACCATCTGGAAGAGATCTATCGCGGCGGTCACTGCGGTCTCAAGGGACGTCCTCATGATCTCCTCTTCCCGGCTCATCTCCAGACTCGAGACGAATGAAGTCGGTCCATGCGACACACTGCTATGCGTTGAAAATGCCAGGCTCTCGGTTGATGAGAGTGAGCTACGTCTTCGAGATCTTCGCGACGCGCGTTCCGACCCTTCCGATGGTGTAGGCGGCAGTGGCTTCTCCAATTCTTTTCCGAACTCTTTGAACAGTCGTTCCAGCCCCGGCTGCATCTGACGTGCAATCATAGGAAAGTGGTTCAGAAGCTCCCCAAACGACTTCACTTCCTTCTTTTTCGGCGACGCAGAGCTTGCGCCATTGGTGAGACTGCTCCGGTCTTCGTTGGAAGGCTTGGAATTTTTTTTTGTCGGTAATATGGCAGGGACGATGGCGGTCACTTCGTACACGCCGATGAGGGGTCTTGAAATAAAATAGATGAGCCATGATTGTGCGTCGAATGTGTCCGGGTAGAAAATGATATCGTTCAACAACTGTGCTTGGTTCAATGCTTTGAATCCTGGTTTTTGTCAGCCAGCTGCCCATGTAGGGTATAGCCTCCACAAACCTTTGTTGCTGTACACAAAAGCGTCCTTGACGATCACTGTCCGGCCATTGGCAGTGGAGTATTGCTTCGCCTTCCCTCGATTTTCCCTGAAACTCGCGCCGTCCTTGACATGGTTGTTCGGTCCGACGCCTCCAGGTACTCGAAGTACATGGCTCGCGAGGAATTCTTCGGAGCTGCAAAGGTCTGAATACGCTGCGTTCGTGTCGCGATCGCGCCCGTTAAGAAGGACTTCAGTTGTGGGTACTAGGAGGATCTGCGATGAGCGCAGTCAGCTACATATAAGACTGAGACTTCAATGTGAACATACATGGTGATGAACTGGCGAGCACTGGCTGGGGAGGGTGCTACGGAAGAAGGCCCGTAGGAAAGGATTGAGAATGGGAGGCATTCAAACGACATGAATGGGATCTGCCTAAACAGATCGAAGTAGAGGTGTCATATGCCACAAGGCGAACGCCGGAACGCCCGGGAGAGCTCGCGACTCCCCCAAATTACAGAGCGACCGCTGTGTAACGTGCAAATTCGAGAGATGGGAAGCTTGGGGTTTGGAATCACGCCGTTGTCGATGCGTCAATGGCGCGACGCTTGACATCAAGACGACATATGATCGGCAGAATGGCCGCGAAGTGAAAGGTGATAGCAGCAAATATGTCCCCAACCAAATTCTGAGAGCAAGAGAGCGATGGCTGTGGCAGGAAGAACGATGACGAGAGGTTATCGATTGTTTCATGGAGTCCAAACGTGATGGACCCTGATAAAACTGGCTAGCCTTGTTGGGGACTAGCGCGACAAGAAACAAATCCTATGTCATGGCCACACTCTCGCAATGTTAAATCCAACTACCATCTCATCAACAACACTGCCAATGTTCAATACGCCAAAATGTTGTCAATGACTTTATTATCTTGCACAATTGTATGTCCTAACTAGTGAAGTATATGCATGCTAATCCTCCACCCCAGAAACGCCGCCATAAGAAGATCTCATCCATCTATGCCTTTTTGCAGAGTTTCTTACCATAGTCCAGGATAGACCAGTTTTCAGTGCCCGGTGTGGTTTGAGTGTAGAAGACACCATTAGGATCCCACTTCTGACGTATCTGAAGAAGCTTGGCATAGTTGGAACCCCAGTACGCCTCCTGCCAGTTGGGTTCGTAAAGATCGCCCTGTCCATTTGATTAGCATCGACGGGAGAGACATTAGCAGAGTGCGGTCAACTCACCTCGTTCACATAGGCGGCACCGTTGGGACCGGCTTGACGCAACCGAGCGCCAACAACATTGGTCTGAATGTTCTCGAACTCCTTCTTCTGATCCCAGGTCTCCTGACCGGTCACAATGACATTGGTAATAACGAAACTGCTGGCCTCGCGCCACTTGGGGTGGATTGCATTATCGGCCGTCGGGACTCCGTTGCCAGGGTTGACAATGTGACCAACAGAGATACCAAAGACACCAGGCTGGGGCTGGCTAGCAAAGGTCAGGGCGTCAGCGATCGCATCGGCGTTCTCCGCGATATCCTTCTTAGTGAAGATACGTCCACCCACAATGGAGTTCTGGTTGGGAGCCTCGTCCTCGAACATGTCAATGTACATCTCGAAGAAGGTGGGGAACTCCTTGGTAACAGTCGAGTAGGGAATGTTAGCGGCATCGAGTCCGTCGAAGAGAGGCTTCAGAACCTCCTGGATCTTTGCGGCGTTCATCCTGGGCCCAACGAACGGCTGGATGTGGAGACCATTGAAAGCACTCAGCTCAAAGTAGACGAACATGCCGTTGTCAACATAGTGGTTGGAGAGGCTGTGGAAAATGCGGAAACCTTCGTCAATCACAGCCTGGTCAGAGGTATGCGTGGAATTGATGTTCAGGATAGTGGCAGCAGTGGGAACCTCGGGGAATGTCTTGACAGTAACCTCAGTTACAACGGCGAACGTGGAAGGGCCGCCTCCCTTAAGGGCCCAGAAGAGATCCGGGTTCTCCTTGGCATTGGCGGTGACATAGTTTCCGTCGGCAGTAATGGCCTTGAACTGCAGCACGTTGTCGGCACCCATTCCGTAGATGCCGGACAGAGGTCCATGGCCACCTCCCTGGACGTAACCGCCAGCCCAGCCAACGGTCTGTTTTACTTGTCAGCGAAAATTACCTCTGAAAAGCATGGCTTACTTACCGGGCACTCTCCGCCAACGATAACGACCTTCGGACTCTGGGCAAAAGCCTTACGGTACAGCTCACGACCTTGAACGCCAGCGCCGACAACGGCAGCACTGCCAGTCCAGTCGCCGGGACCGCTGTATTTCGTGATGAACTGGGTCTTCTTGAAGCTGTGAGTATTTATGATCAAGGAACCGTAGCCGGTCGAGCGGCCCATGAAGTCATGTCCAGTGTTACGGCTGATTCAATATCAGTAACAGACATCACGAGCTCGGCGACGCAACGTACATGATCAGTCGCAAATTGTAGTTCCTCGCAAAGTCCACACCGGCTTTGATGTGAGCCTCCTTCGTTGCCAAGATGACATAGTCACCATAGTAACCTCGCGTGCAGGTGGCATCCGGATTCGACGTGGGTAAGCAGGTGTTGTTGGTGTACAACGGCCATAGTTCGGCCACGGGGTGGTCAGTCCTTCGCAAGTTAATTTCGCTCGACGGTTTTCTCAGTGATCAGACACTTACAGCCACTGCTCGCTGTTGAAATTCGCCTGGACATTGGCACATTCGGCAGCATCATACGTCGATCCAGCAGCCGGCACACCACTAACGGAGCGGTAGCACGGCGCACCCGGAGGCAGAGCAAGTCTCAGAGCTCCGCCGACCGTGGTGTTCAGTTTGCTCCAAGCATTGGCAATCGGCCAACAGGCGTTGTCCGAGTAGCACTTGCACTGGTAGGTGACACCATTCTCCTTCCTGGTCTCTCCAATCCATCGAGCAGCAGCGGCAACATCCTGACCTAAGATAACATTTGCCACGGAAAGCAGCGCAACCAAAGAAGAAGCTCGACCCATCCTGAGAGACGTGTGTAGGAAGCAATTGACAAACTCGCCGAAGGTCCCATCAACATGGAGCTCAGAGCTCTCTTTATGAAGGTTTGCCTGCCTCGCCCCATCTTCCTGGACCCCTGCTTCACCGCGGCGAGCTGTACCTGAGATGGACAGGCTCCAATAAATTCGAATTGCAATACAGCTCCACCTTCTGGAATGCTGGCCGGAGCGAAGTTCGCAGACGCCCAGACCAGTTCCTGGCGTTGACGTCCACTCATGACTCTCCTCTCCAGCCACAACCACCAAACAAGGACGAAACTCGGTGTGATGGGTGGTCGACCTACGCTCTCACACGTTCCGCCTCCGTCGCTGGAGGCGTCTTTTATTATTAGTCTTGTGAGGTCGACCTCGTGCGGTTAAATTGACGGGGTTAAGTGCGCTCCAAACTCAGCAGCATGGCCGCACCGAGGTACTGGGTAACCCATGATAAAGTCGAGCGCGAACATCAACAAGAGTTCAGAAAGGCCGCATCTCTCTTTGCTCAAAATATTGCGCCTCACCATTATTATTATTCGCAGGTGAAACCTCATTCAACCGCGCAATGCATCCAGGGCGTCCGACCCATTCGATCTGTGTGTTCTGTGCACAGGTAATCTGTGGATCTCGGTACCGATATTTCTCGATATAAGACGACAACCACGGGCAATCTAGCGATCAGTTCTACACTACTCTGCTCATAGTACTAATAAGTAGCGCTCACTCCCCTTCGCCCATTGTTTTGCTATCGAGATGAATTGACGTCCTTTGCCGGAATGCATGCAGTATTTCTCCGACCTTAACCCCGTTTCACTGCACTATGTGGGACGGCCTCTAGTCTATCTCGATTTTGGAAACGGCAGAGAATGCCCCACAAGAACTTGTGCAACTTGGCTCTGGCGGCACCGCCTCCGCGGCAGAGAAGCTGCACAAGATAGTCATGGAACAATATTCGAAGTGTTTGGTTCATTTCAGCCCTGCAGGACCCTGGGAATCTATGCAGGTCAGAATTTGCCCTGGCAGCCTTTACCCACTTCTATGCATGATACCATAGTACGCGAGGCGTTCTATGACCTTCGAAAACGCAGATTCAATATTGTGCTGTCAGCACAACCAAGCCGGATGGACAGACCCCGAGGCTCGATGTGGGCAAGTCAGAGAGATATTCCGTATGCTGCCATCGACGACTGGCTCCTCGCTCTTCAAGGCCGGGTAGACACATCTTGGCCTGCCTGAGCACCTTATCGACGGTCGACCATCCGGCACGGATTTGGGTCCCACATTCGGATAACTTTTCGCCTGCTCAACGGACTTAGCGGGGCCGTTCAGCCACGTGCGTCCCACGAGGCCTTCATCGAATTTCCGATTGTGAGGTCCGATGGGACAGGATCGTCAGATGCGCCGGTAATCAACGCTATTCCAAAAGATCGACGTCTTCAACTCAAGATACCTTTTTGCATACGGTGTTGTATACTACAGTACACTCAATACAAGTGCATTATTATGTAAAGAGTGGGAAATCGTAAAAACTCTATCCGCGACGGATTCGCGAGGGATTCATCTCGCCCCGTACCGGGCTGTGGCGGTAAGCCTTCCGTGAACCTTCCAACCTTAAGCTTAAATCGACGTATGATACAAATATTTTTAGAGTCAAAGACGCATGGTTGTCCTTCTCTTCACCCATCTGGACCCTTCAACGAGAGCAGCGGCTACCGAGGTCGCTGTCTTCTAGAAAGAAATAGTTCGCGGTCGACAGGCAATCGCCTCTTCCTCGGCCTTGCGCTTTTCCACAAACATGCATCGGAGTTATGGGCCCGAGCTAGAAGGTGAAGATCTTGCCTGAGCTGGGATTTTATGACTACAGTATACCTTACACGGTACGATCTCGGTATCTGGATACCTCGACATCCTATTGATAAGCGGCTAGAGTAGAACGTACATAGTACTTGCGCTCAGCAGACCCTCGGTCTATTGGGACATTCCTTTTTTCAACTTCTCTTTTTTCCTTTTCGCTTCCGCCTCTGGCAGTGGAAGAAACGTCCAGGCTTGGTTGTCCTCTCACTTGCCATTCCACTATCTCATCCGCCGGTCTTTGGCTCAACTTCACTACAAGCAGTGCTCCCGCCATACGGTTACTAGCCAATGCATGAATCCGGAGAAGAGCCTGGTCGTTAGCCCCGAAGCCAGATGAGACTAATGGACAGTAGGACGTGGGTTTTACAATTATTCTCTCATTAACATTACTTAGATTTCCAATACTGCATGACCAGCAACGACATGAGGCTTATCGTTAAGTCCGCAACGATATCTGTACTGAGGTTTAGAGGAAAATGGAAATGGCGCGCATGCTGCTCCCGCAGACAGGCGAAGTCTCGAAGTATAATATTTTCGTGGGATGAAAGGAGTAAAGATGTCCCATCTACCAGCAGGTCGGTGGTCGACAGGCAGGATTAGCTCTCGATATCTCGCACATGAGCATTCTTTCTCTGTCAGTCCGTGGTTGAGTCGCGAAGAGAGCCATATCCCGAGAGATGAGCGGAAGAAGAGAAGATGGGGACGTGACTGGACCTAGGGATAAGGATCCAATTACATAAGCTGGTGAATGTACTGTCACGTGCAGACTCCTTACCTCAGCAAACCAGTAACAGTAGAGAAGTTGTACGCTCTTTAATGTTAGAGTCCGGACGAACTACCTCGCCTTCGTTATTATTTCAGCAGACTTTTCTTGGTGAAGTTGGTGGCTTGCTTCTCTCTGAAATACGAAAACGGCCAACAGCCTTATCTCTCTTATCGTCAACCCCTCACAGAGCAAGAAGTTCATCTCTATGCATTCCCAAAAAGTCTAGGTATTTGAGAAAACCACCTTGAAATACCATCACCAGCTAAAAGCAACAAGAAAAAGTCCTTCTAAAGAAACTACAAATATCACCCATACAAGATGCCGCCCCTCAACATCTCCCCACCCCTCCTCAACTCCGCCAACCCCTGGTGCACGACGCTCGACCAACTGCGCGAGCTCTACGCATGCCCGTACACGGGAGCCGTCACAACGCGCACGTCGACCCTGGAAGGATTCCCACACGACGACTCGATTCACCAATTCACCTTCTTCGACCCCTCAACGCACGCCTCCCTCGGCATCAACCCCTCCCCATCCACCAACGCCCAACTCGACAACTCAACCGGTAGTCTCAACACCCTAGGCTACAGTCCATTCCCGCTGTCCAAATACCTCTCATTCATAAAAACGATATCAGACGAACTTCCTCCCTCCGCGGATGGCTCCCCCAAACCAGGAAAACCCATCATCATCTCCATCACCGGCTCCGAGCAAGCCATCGCACAATGCTACCGGCAAATCCTCGCTCTCCAACAGCAGATCCGCATCCCGCTAGCCATAGAAATCAACCTCTCGTGCCCCAACATCCCGGGCAAACCACCGCCAGCATATGACGCGCAGGCACTGCTATCCTACCTCTCGGCTCTGAAGACAGCAATCGCGTCGTCACTCCCAACGTCGAAAGACAGGGAACCTAATGCCGCCCCGACCATCCCTATCGGCATTAAAACACCGCCTTACACCCACCACGCCCAATTCGAGTCCCTCATCACGACTCTCCTGAAATCTGCAGTGGACATCGAACCCACGACATCCCCCTGCCCAATCGACTTCATCACCGCTACAAACACGCTTGGATCCTGCCTCCTCCTCTCTTCCTCTCCCTCCACCTCCTCTGGATCCCCAGCGCTGCACTCCGCGTCCGGCGACGGTATAGGCGGCCTAGCCGGCGCACCGTTGCATCCACTGGCACTAGGCAATGTAGCTACGATTGCGAAGATGCTGAGACAGCACGCGGAGGAGCTCGGGTATATCAGGATCATCGGGGTGGGAGGCGTGCAGGATGCGCAGGGGGCGAGGAGGATGGAGAGCGTGGGTGCGTATGCGGTTGGTGTGGGGACGGCGTTTGGGAGGAAGGGGGTCGGGGTGTTTGAGGAGATTGGGGTGGGAAGGAGGGTGGAGGGGATGGTTGAGGAGTGGGAGAGGGGGTGGGCGGGGAGGGGGATGCTGTGATTTTTTAGTATTTTGATTGCGGTGGTTGGGGATGTGAGGGGACGGGTGAGGAGGATGGACTTGTAGAGATTGGATTGGTGCTGTTGTGCGTGTGGTTTGGAGGGAAGTGAGGTTTGAATGGGTAGGTAGCGATAACTGTACGGATCATAGCGATGATGGGAAGGTGTGAAGTGAGCAGTCACTGTTCATGCTGATTCTTTCCACGCAACCCCTTCTAACGCAATCCAACACCACCCTCCTTCACTCATCTAAACCCACTACACCAAACCCAACTCCGTGGTCGAATCAATCCACTCAATCCCATCCTCCCAACGAAACCAATCCTCAGTCCGCCACTCATCCCTCATCCCACAACCACTCCAATACATCTATCCTCCCACCAACCCCAACCCCTTCCCAGAGATCACCACTCCACCGCATGACACTCTCTAGTAAAACCGGTGACAAATACCTTCCCTACAGTACTGACTGATTCTCTTAACTCCCAATGTATAACTCACCTTTAATTCGTTACTTACAATGACAACCTCGCTTGCCACATTCTCCTTCCTCCTTTCCTCAACACAACAACAACAACCACACCCTCACGAAGACTCATGCCATTACCATCACGATCGTATCCACCGCGCTAGGCACTCCACCGCTTCACAGCCCCATATCCCCCATCCTACCCAGCGAACCCGCCTCCGTTCCGCCGTCTCCTCACACCAGCCCACATGCATGCTATCCTACCCTACCCTACCCTACCACCACGACACAGACCCTCTGGGACTTAGCAAAACCGGCACCAATCTACCTCTCTCGCCACGCTGTAGATCCTACAACCTCATTATTCTCCTCCCTATCTACACCCTCCCTACCCTAGGGTACTTCCTCGTACCTCTTGAAAAAAGGAAAGCCATTGATCTCAACCTTTACATGTTCCCGTTCCACGTTCGCCCTAGATGCAAAATGCTTCCCCTCCCCTCTGTCTGCTATACCCTACATGACGTTTTTAATAACCCGAAGGGGAACAAGGATTCGAAAAAGGGGAAGAAGGAAGGAATGAGGGCTGAAAACATCCAATTGCCTTACTTAGCTACCCCTCGGGTTACTATCTCGTGCAAACAAACATCTTCTATCCCCTTACCTATATTCCTTCCCCCCTAAACCGACCTCCTTGCTATACTTTAGAATCTAAGGAGATAGGCCTACTAAACGATGAATGAACATCAAGCAAGCCTTCCATCTCCATCTCCCATCCTGTCCCATCATCTCCCATCTACCTTTCCACCAAACCGCCGAATTCCAACAGTCCACTCCCGTGCCCCAACCTCTCTCTTCCCCCCACTCCGGCCCAAACGACTTCTTGAAGAAACCACAACCTCTTCTGCCCTCGTTCAGAATGGAGAGCGAGCACCACCTCACTACGAACTCCTACACAGAGAAAAGAGATTGATTGCATCATAATATCATGAACCGTATGCTACGCATCCATACCATAGATTATACTACAAGGCCCCCTAAAAAGAAAAGAATGTATGTAAGAAGAAATGCCCGAACCACACCATACCAAAAGCCTCGGTGGAATACGTTCATCCAATCAGACCAACGGGCCCAAGTCCGTCTCATTCGCTCGTTATACAAGCATGTTCCAATGCGACAAATATTCATGCCGTCATGTCAATGTCAATGTCTCTCCCAACAGCAGCAACAACAACAACAAACCTCAGACCCATTGACAATACTCCAGACGCCGTGTACAGCCTCCGTGGCGCACAACCCAAAATCATGTTATCCCAACCCAAATCCGTGCAATCCCCACATGCATCCTCATCAGTCATACCACGTCATCATACACCACTCTCTCCGCGCCATTTTTTCACACTCACACCCCCTCCACCTGCGTCCGCGCCTCCCCCTGCGCCGACTCCGCCGCCCGACTCATACTCTTCAACTCCGCCCCCTGCCCACTCTGCGCCCTCTTCCTGCCCGGGAACCCAAAATGCAGATGCGACGACACCCCGGATCCAGAGGACTTTTCCTCACTCCCAGCAGCGCCATTCTCATGGCTGCTCTCTCCGCCAAACCTCGCAAACAAGCCTTTCTTCTTGGGCGCAGGCTTCGGCTCGTCGTCTAGTCCTACGTCTTCGAATTCCTGCTCCGCATCGGCATCTGCGTGCGGAGACTCGTCTGCGGTGCTGCTACTGGGTCGCTGTTCCTGTAACGACGAGCGGGGCCGTGCCCTCGAGCGGCGCACGTCGAGGGAGCGGCGTGCGTCTAGTGAGTGTCTCGCATCGAGGGAGAGGCGGGGGCGGTTGTCGAAGTACTCGGGAATCGGGGAGCGGGCGGAGATGTCCTGTTGCGTGTGAGTTCTGCTGTCCTAATTTTGCCGTTCCCATTGACTTAGGTATGATGACGTAGGAGGAACTGTGCATGCGGGAGGACGTACAAAGGATCTTCTGTAGGACTCGAAACTCTCGCGGGAGATGTTGAAGGGTTCATTTTCGCTGAGCAGGCTCCTGTGGTTTGAGGAGGTGGTCGAGGTGTTGGATCTGGAATGCCAGAAGGTAGGCTTCTCTATCGGTGAGGGCTGAGTGAATGTCAGCTAGGCGTCGCATGCCGGATGATGATTCCCATTGCGCCTTTCTTGAACAAAGTGCACGCTGGCAAGCGCCGGGAAGAGACTTTGGAGACATACCGGAAGAAACACGCCTCCATCATTAATCTCTAGCTCACACCGTCAGCATTGCTCACAGTTGCAAACCCCACCCTGCCGTCGCAAACCTCCTCGACGCTTTCACACGACATTCCCAGGGCTGTAATAAAATATCCGAACAGCCTTACCGCTCAACTTGTACTCAACAGGCTCCTTGATATCCTTCGGTCTGCTCCCCGTGACAGGCGTCTTCTCAAACCCGCGCTCCACAGCACCCTGTTGGTCTCCAAGAACAGGGTCTGTGGCACCGGCCCGGCGGAAGGGGAAGCGGAGGGGCATGGTGGTGGCTGCTCGTGGCGTTCGAGCTTTGCGGAATTGGCTGGTGCTGACGAGACTCGAGAGAGAGCAGAGGGAAGAGAGCTGTGCTGTGTTTCAGGGACGTTGGGCGTCTGTCGTTCGGTGGGGCTGACGGAGGGTGTGGTTCAGGAACCAGAGACGGTCGGCCTTGCCCGGGTGGCCGAATTGCATCTCACCCCCGGGCGTCATTGATCGCGTCTGCCAAGGAGGGTGTTGCCAGATGGGGAAAGGAGGGGAGCTTCGTCGGGCGGATGAACAGCCGAAGCCGACGGCCGATCGGGTTCATCACCAACTGGCTTTGGGTAGTCTAAGAGATCTGAACGAGTGCTCCTGTGGATGACAGTACGACATCTGCATGCCGACAGGAGAAGTTCCAATAAACCACTGTTTCCGCTTCAAAACTGCAGAACCAGACAACGCCCTGCGTCCTGCAGACTCCCACTCAGCGCACAACGTCAGTCCTCAACGCACCCACTACAGTCCCTGCATGAGAGATGACACTGCACCGGATCTAGGCGGCTCCGTAGTATCTATAGAACTTAGTGGTAGACTTTATTCTCTTGCTTTTCACATCCAAGAACTTTCATGGGACGAGAGCTTTCCGTGCGGACTGGCCGCTGTGTCAAACGACACCTGCTCTCAACGCAGAGAACCGGCTGTCTATGCGCCCTCAATAACAAAGAGCATGCATCGCATCTTGTCGAATTCTCCGTGCTCCCGTGATTGCGTTGGAGACTTCTATGATCGCTGGAGATTTCCCGCACGAGGGTTCTCAGTGCTCACACATGGCGACGCTTTCGCTTTGTTACAGAATGGGCACCGCAGTGAAACAAACAAAGTCCGTTTTGCGTTCTAAATATGGCAAGGCGAGGATGACGACTTCGTCGTTGTTTGAGAGATGTGAGGCAGGCATTGTGACCATCTGCCAGCACGTGCAGGGGTTGGGTTTCCGTTGCAATGGTTGCTTCAGATTGAGGATGGGGCGGATTTGTTGACTGCTTGAGCGCTCAGCTTCCGGGTCACCGGTGACACTTGAAGCTTCTGAGGCCTAGAGGATTATTGAGGCACACAAAACGCCGGTACTCGTCAGAGTACGGACTAATATGGACTCAGGGGTAATCACGACTGTAACTGTAATGTGTACCGAGTAGACGGCATGGTGTGTGTGATACCCGTGGACTGCGTATGGTGTCTGTCGACTGGGCATCGCCATCCTTCGAATATCTTGTACGCCGATGGTGCGTACATCGTCCCACACGTAGCCTAGTCCTTTCTTGAGTGGTAGACCATTGAGTTGTACTCCCTGGGTGCAAATATGGCGTGCATGTGCCCGACGTCGCACCGCCATTGGTGCTGACAGCTGGGCATTGGCGATGAAAAAAGGGGTTCTCGTGGCGAAGACAAGCGAGCGAAGCAGGTCACCAATTGTCCCAAGTAGCAGATACGCGCTCGGGTGTAGGTATTATTGTAGAAGTATTGGAAAAAAGCAAAAGGGCGTTCCTTTCGGGAGCTTCATTATTAACTCTTTTTGGAGGAGGCTTGAATGGAGAGTATTGAACTGCGAATACTGGGGGTTGAAGAAATGCTTACCAGGTGCTTTCTGCAGTCGTTATGGTGGTGGCATACTCCATTGGCATGTACTGGTAGGTAGAGTATTAGCTTGGCTCGTCCAGTTGGTCCGGGGCTGCCACTCTGTAGACTCGTCCTTGGTGAGCAGCGAAGTGAAAAATTGATCGCTTCCAAGACCAAAATACGAGCAAAGAAACGTGGGGGATGGTTCTGGCCCATAGGCCATGGCACCCGCTTCCCTTCCCTCCGTGGACCAACCGGGAGAGGAGATTGCAACAATCGCCTGTTCATACCAACCTGAGAAGCGGCGTCTTACTCATTAGACATAATCCGTATGTACCAATGTAGCCTTAAAGTAGTCAGCATATGTATACCTAGTAGGCACATTGCGGTTGCACAATCGGAGTACCCTTCATATCCAGGCGTTGTTGTATCCGTGGCCCAAGGCCATGGCCAGAGAGTTGAAAAGCTTGCGGCTCCGCGCAGCAAGCGGCGAATGCTGGGTTGCTGCAGTTCCACGAGATGCTGTGCATGGTGGCATCAATAGTAGTCTAATCATACCGGTAGACTCGTTTCTGGCAGCTTCTCGATGGTGGGGTTGCGTTACCTGGCGGCAGGCGTGTTTTTGCAGGGGAATTGGGCACGGGATGCCGGCGCCGGGAATAGCCTGATCTGGTTAGACGCTCTTGGCACTGGCCAACAACAAAACGGAACCTTGGAAGACGGGCAGTCAGCGAAAGGCATCGAGAGAATCAAAACGTGTCAGCGAGACGCCCGGGGATGAGGGTTGACAGGCGTGAAAATAGTTGGTGGGGTTTCCGCTGAGAGGGGTTCTGGCAACTCTGGCAGGTCCGGCGTTGTTGAACCTCAGCCTCATGGTATGGCGTCGGCAACACAGTTTACTGAAACTGTATCTCGAGCCAGGTCAAGAATACTGTTGTGCACCTTCATTCTGTGCTCGGATGAACGTGGATTGAGGTCGATTAGATGCTGCAGGAGAGCGTGAGGGAGTGGTGTCCATGTTGTACCCCGCGCCGTACCTGAGCCCTCGAGCAAGACAAAACAGTACAAGAAGAAACTCCAGAAGGCGATGGGAAGTGCGTCATGGCTGCTGCGTCGTATTTCGGACAAGGCCCCGCTTTGCCGCAATTCAAAGGTTTGGCACAGTCAGGCAGGTACCCAGCAGTATCCAGTCCACGGATGCCCAACAAGTGTCAAGCTTGAGGATTCCAAACCCGGGTCATGAAATAACATGTGCGGTCTCGGGCGAGAGGCAGGCTCTCGTGCACATGGAATTCTCGCCCAGTCTGCAACACACCTCGCAAGGCGACTATTCGTGCTCGGCCATGGCCATGATGGGAGAGGTGGAAGAAGGTGACGACAGAAACGCTCTGTCCTGACGAGCAACAGCGGTGAATCGTGTTCGATTGGCGATCCGATGGAATCTTGGAAGGTACCGGAGAGCTACTCCTTTCGGGGTTAGCGGTAAAACAACTCTCCGTCTTTTTTCCAATCTTTCCCAATGCGGCGCCTTAGGCGGTCTTGGCGGTCTTGGCTGCTAACAGCCCTGGAGTGCTTTGTAGAAATCACGGACCGTCGGCGAAAGAGCAAGGAAATTGGACGACACTTGCAGACCCCTCCGAAAGGTCCCCAATAATAATTCCTCGCCAGCGTCACACAGCATCGTATTGTTGCTCTCCTGCAATATCACTCCTCGCAGACGTTGTCCAGCTCTCTCCCTTCTAAGGTTTGCCCGCCCACTCGCCGGAACGCGGCACCCAAGGTACGGGGGTTGTGCCATCGTGTCCCATGGCACACCCACAGCAAGGCGGCCGATCTGCGCTAGAATCCCACAGAGTGACAGAATGATGGCCCTGGTCGCGCTGCTATTTCGAGCGCTAGCCCCGTCTTTTTGTCGTGCACCAACGCCGCTCCGGCGGTTTGAGGATTTGAGGATTTGCTCTGACCCCTGCCTTGCCGATTCGTGGCTGGACGCCAGACGACGGCATGGCAACCCCTCCTGCGCCAACGTCACGCCTTTCTTCCGCCCGTCACACACCCCCCGTGTCTCTCAACTGCTGCTCTGATCAAATGAGAGAATCCCGAGCCCTGAGACCCACACAGGATGGCTGGGCATTTCGTCGTCTCTGGTGAAAGGCCCGCTGCTGACCACTCCTCTGCGCTCAATATTAATTCCTCAACTCCCCCCATGTCCCGCCTCGAGCCGTGACCATTCATCTGCTGCCCATCCCCCCGTCTGCATCTTCCGTTGCAACGGATAGCCACAGACATGCCCCAGGGCTGCCTCACATCCCTTCCTATTCTTGGCTAACCCACTCTTTCTTACCCTTACCTTGCCTGCCCTTCACTGTACTTCACGGGTGACACTCTCCAAGGCTCCTTCCCCCTTCGATCGCTACTATCAACAACCTCGCTCGCTACCATCAACGTCACCGACTTCCGTACCACTGTCGCTACCGCTCCACCTACTCGATTGTCGGAGCCCTCAGACCCTTCTCGCCCACCTTCGCTGCTTCGGAGAAAGAAGAAAAAGAATCAACTCCGCTCTCAACCATCGCTCACCAAACCTACTTCTCGTTTTCTTCTCCGCCTGGCCGCTACTCTCTTCGATCCCAATCACTCGTACTACCTACGTCACGGGTTTGCTCGTTGGGAATCCCCAGCATCGCACCTTCCCAACCAAGACACCCAGCAGACCCACGAAAAGAGGCCGTCGCCGTGGTGCATGTGAACTGAATTTAATATCCGCCGCCCAACCCCCATCACCCCAATAGCATCGCCGCATTTTGCCGACAACACTTCTCACTCGACATCTCAAACCTCTTCGCCAGATCCGTGACTGTTGCTTTCACTTCTCTTCGCCGACCCTTTGGTCGCAAACATCAACTTCCCAGCTGCGCGGTTCCACTCTCGCCTCGAGAGCCCGCTCAGCGATCCCTCGCGGCGACCCATCCGCGCTGCGGCCTCTCCTTATACTTTATTCTTATTCGTCGACCTTGTGGCCTTGATATCCGACCCCCAGTTTCATCATGGCCAAAGAATTCTTCATGTCGTGGGCGCTATGGCAGAAGATGACCTTTGTAAGAATGCCTGCTCACCCTTGAAGCTACACCTGTGCTAACATGGATCTTCAGGTGCTTGCCTGCGCCATTGTAAGCCGTTATACTGACCCATAGCTAACTGTCGCTGACTGATCAAGGTCGTCACCATATTTATCGGACTTGCGAAGCTGCAGTATGACAAGATCAAGCTCCGGAAGTACACCAAGGTCGAGAAGGGCAAGCAAACCCAGACACCCGAAATGCTCGAGGCGCAACCCATCTCCGAAGAGCCAAAGGACGAGGTGCCTTTCGGTATCAGGGCTATTGAGAGCGGCATCGAAGTGGACGGTGTTTGGATATCGCGATCAAACACCCCGGTGGCGAGCAGCCGCTCCTCGATGACAGAAGTCAAACTCCCACGCAGCCACACCAGCTCACAACTCGAGCTTCCCAAAGCGATACATGCCTCGTCGAGCCGTAGCAGCCTCGCATCATCCTTCGACCGCGCCGTCTCTGCCGAACGCCTCGCCACCAACGCCTCACGATCCTCATCACCCGGCCGCGATACCTCCAGCGCAGCCCGTGCGCGACCGCCTGCGGCGCCGAGTTCTCGATACAGTGGCTCCAACTTCCAGAGAAATTCGGCCACTCTGCAGGTGCTAGAAGGAGCGGTAGAACCTCCATCATCATCGGGTAAGCTGGTGCCTTCGACCTTGGCGGGAGCTAATCTGCTAACGGTTCATGCAGCTCCGAGAAGCGGGAAGACTAGCCCCCAGCACTCTGGAAAGTCCAGCGCAAGGACGAGTGACGAGTCGGATTATATGGCGCTTCCAGAAGGCACGCCGTACGAACCGGCGTACATCTACCCAAAACAAGCCTCCCTAACTCCTGTTGACCCTCGAACCGACCTCAATCTTCTCCAGAGCCACCGGCTTTCCCATGTCGCTGAGACTGGACAGCTTACCCCTCGTGTGCGCCGACCTGCTCACAGTGGAGAATGGGCAAATGCAGGCGACAACGTCAGGTCCACTCAGGAGATTGCCACTTCGAATGGCGTCGACTATTTCGTTCCCCGGCAGAAGACACCCTCTCCACCACTGAATTCTATCACAGAACCGGCACTAAGTCCCTCCGTTCCTTCCTCATCTAGCTATTCTCAGGACGGCCATCCATCCAACCAGGGCAAGCAGGCAGTCCCACTCCTCGAGACATACGCATCGCAAGCGTACCAATACCAACAGCCGCAAACCTACCAGCCTCGAGGGCCCCAGTATGAGCACGACGAAGAAGTTCCGCGACATGAGGTGCAAACAGCGCAGAACAGTCAGCGCCAATCTCAATCTCAGGTGCTGCGCAAAGTCAACTCTGGATTCGAAATCTTGCGACCAGGCACGCTAGGAGAGCCACCGAGCCCGGAGAACGAGGTCCAATCCCCAGCAGGCGAGAAGCGCAAGCCGAAGCGCCTCCAGAAGCGACGAACCTCGTCTGGCACCGACAGGACTTCGCACTTTGTCGAGCAAGTCTAGTTGAGGTACAGACCCTTGCATTCTCGTTCGGAAGGGTACACCCGTCCAGACACATGGGATCGGTCGACGCGTAAACGCGTGCGAGGCGCGTTTCTCCTTCCTGCTGTGCGACATAAACTACCATGGATCGGCGTTCTGCGGTTTTGCACTTCACGCAAGGGCATAGTAGGGATTGCCTGCTGGCAGACACGCTATGCATTTAATTGAGCCCGTCTTTTTGCTGCGTCATACATACATTGTGGCATTCATGGCAGCGCGAGGGGTCGCATATGTGTATATTTGGGACAGGACTGTGCGACGTTGGGATGGATATGCTGTGCATTTTCTTTTCTTTGCTTTGAGAACCCTTCTTCCCCTTGATTTTTGGCATCCCCTGGCACGGGCATTATGGACGTCGTTAATCCCTTATTGGCTCATTTGCATAAAAGTGGCATCATCGCACTCACGTCGGGTACAGTACTTTTTTGTTTTGCAGCAAAAGGAGGAGGGGGTACTTGGCGCATGAGCATATACAAATGGAGGCGTTTTTTCGATGTCTAGGAAGCGAGATGAGCTGAATACATGACTTTTTTGTTAGGCTGAGGTCTTGTGCTTTTCCCCTGAGGACTATTGGCATCGTGAGTTCTGGAACTTCTTCTTGGCCCTTTTAAGGGTTCGTTACGATGTGCCCTTTTTGGCGTCGTGGCGTTCCATGGGATGGGAAGGTGTTTTCTTGATGGCAGGTGCCCGACGTCCCGTCTTGTTGATTTGCGTACGGCTTGGCGTTCTCTTCTTTGAGGTATCAATGGTATTTATTGATGCTGGTCGTCCCATTGTTCCGTTGTTGACACCTGGCTATTGTTGTCACCATTGTGTCCGGAGTACGGAGTAGTTATGAAATGGTTGGCCAGGTGGAATACTCCGTACTGGAGTGGAGATTGCGCCGAGGTGCTTTTTGTCCCCCTTTCGTTTTTCTCCATCCACCTCTCCTTTTTGTAGGCCCTCGTTTACTCGTTTATCGGGTGCGGCTGCTTATGGGCTTGATGGGCTCGATAGCTGATGGTCTGGATGGCTGGATGGGCCGGACGCGGATGCACCCGTGGCGGACGCGCGATCTTTCGAGGCGAACGGGGCGCGTGGGACGCCACATTGAGCCACGTTGAGCTACCGTCAGCCACATTGAGCTACATTTGAGCTATAGTCAGGTACCAGGAAGCTAGAAGCAGCCACAGGAAGCCACGGGAATGTCTCCTCCCCGTCGGCTAGCGGTAGCGTAGCATAGCGTAGCCTAACATGACCTAACATGACCTACTTGGAGCTTCCACTATGGGCTTCAAGGCCTGCGAGGTCGAGGCGCTCAGCATTGAGGAAAAGTCACGGACGATGGGAGGGATAGAGGGATAGAGGGATAGAGGGGAAGGGAGTGGGAGGGTGGAGGGTGGGAGGGATGTGAGGTAAGGCGTGAGGCATAGGGGCAGGAATAAGGGACATAAGGGCACGGGGGCAACGGCGAACCGTTCAAGCGGTTTTTCTTTTGGATAGGTGTGGATGATAGGTGTGGATGATAGGTGTGGATGATAGGTGTGGATGATAGGTGTGGATGATAGGTGTGGATGATAGGTGTGGATGGTAGGTGTGGATGTTTAGATGGGAATGTTGCGTGGAAGTACCCTAGCCAGGTGTAGATGTAGCTAGGTGTAGATGTCGCCAGATGTGCCTGTAGCTGGCTTTGGATAGAAGGAGGGAGATAAAGCGATAGAGGTGTTGTCGTGGATTTGAGAGGTACATAGGTAGAGTAGGTACGTTGTATATCTAATTCAAGTCCTAGTGAGTCTAATTTAAGTGGATAGGGAGTGGGAACAGGGACAAGCGATGCCAGCTATAAGTACGTCTAAGCAGAGTGATGAGTGTGCTTGAAGAGAGGAGTAATCAAAAGCGAAAGCAAGTCGCTGTATGCATGCGGGAGCAGGTATATAAATAGTATATACCTATGTAGGGACTTAGGTACATGTTGCCCTCTGTGCAGAGTGTCGTGTTCGTAGCAGCCGTGATGAACACATTCGTGCATTCCTGTAGAGAAGAAGAAGAGCGTCCCGACGGGGGCCTGGTGGGTGCTATGGTTCCACATTTAGAAAGGGAAAGAATATAATTTTAGAAGGGAGGACGACGGCGATGATTGAGAGACTCATTGGGAGTGCGCGCCAATGAGGAGAGAAAAGATGGGAAGGGAGAGGAGAGGAGTGACATTTATGGCTGATGGGCCCTCTGCAGTTGTTCCTAGAACGGGGGTTAGCTTATGTGTGATTGCGTTGCAGAGTCCAAGAGTTGATAATTTCTATTAAATAGGAGGAGGAAAAGGAAAAAGAAGAGGAGGAAAAGGAAAAAGAAGAGGAGGAAAAGGAAAAAGAAGAGGAGGAAAAGGAAAAAGAAGAGGAGGAAAAGGAAAAAGAAGAGGAGGAAGAAGAGGAGGAAGAAGAGGAGACGCAGGAGTAAAAAAAAGTAATTCCTTTCCTAGCAGGAATGACTACAGTGGACACTAAATTACTAAGGGGGACAAGTATCTAGCCATAGAAGTAGCGTACAAGCCTCGCAGTTAAGCAGAGTTAGATGCAGGCGTTTAGTTATCGACAAACAGTTAGCAAAGAGAAGAAAGGTAGGAACAATCGAAGGGTTACCCCTGGGTGTCTGGTAGATGGACGAAAGCAGCTCCCTTGCAGGTAACTAAACTTCAGAGGCTGGCGTATTAGAACGGAATTGAGGCACATATCTAGGAAATTGCACAAAGTACATCGAAGGAGAATACTACAATCTTCGCATACATCAAGCTCGTAACTAGACACTGCAGTCAAAGAAGTAAATAGCACTAAAAAGATTCACTTCATTTGCATAAAACCAGAAGAGACAAAATTCGGGTCAAGTTTATATTCACACAAAGCTATATACTCAGGCAAGATCGGAGCGACTAGCCCGCACCCAATCCGCCCATCATCAAATAGAGAAAAGATGACTCCGCTAAAAGTAGCCAGCGGAGAGATGTCCACCCTCGCCTTGACAATTCGGCAGACATCCAGAAAATAAAAGAAGAAGCAGCATCCTGTGCGCTCGAATCCGGTCACTCAGCGAGAAGCCGACCACCCAACGGGCAATCGAATCTACTGAGCAGCGTCCCAGTCCCACCAGTCATCACCATCGTCATCCTCATCATCGTCGTCTGGAGTCCCCGTAGGGCGAGGAGGAACGGGAACGCTGCGCGTGGGTCGTCCACTGGGGGTAGGAAGGACCGGGGGCGTCGGGCGCTTGGTCGGCGTGGGGAGGACCGAGAGCGTGAAGCTGGGTCGCCCGGGACGGCCGCTGGGCGTGGGACGGCCGCTGGGAATAGGGGGTCCGCTGGGGCGACCGCTAGGGGTAGGGCGGCCTGAGGGGATCGGGGGAGTTGGACGGCCAGAAGGGACTGGGGGAGTAGGACGGCCAGAGGGGACTGGGGGAGTAGGACGGCCAGAGGGAACGCCCGGGCGGCTGATGCTTGGAACGGGTGGACGGGCGGTGGGACGACCGCTGGGCAGGCCTCCAGGGCGAGAGAAGGAAGGCCTGACGGGGCCCACGGGGTCCTCGACGGGGTCCTCAACGAATTGAGGAGCGGCGGAGACAAGGCTGGAAGGGTATCAGTAAGACATCGATGTGGAGGGTGTGATGTGGTTTACCTGGTAGCGCCGATGGCGAGGATGAGGGTGCTGAGCTTCATGATGATGTTCTGGTCTTGACCCTAGGAACTGGCGGTTGAGGATCGAACTGCTTGCTTGATGGTAGTAGAAGTGGTGCAACTTGCGCTCCTTATATAGCAGAGGGTCGACATCTTAGACTACGCAAGAAAGGAGACATCGACAACTCCTTGGACAAAGATAAATTAAAAAGCGGCCTGAACAACCGGCCATCCGTTGCATCTGCGTGCCTTGACTGCAGTTTGGACAACAGAGGTGTGGAGGCGCAACCTTTTGCTGAGATTAGGTGATTCACAATACCCCGATTCTCCAGGCTCGGGGAAGCGCACCCACGAGGAGGAGGGATGGGTTTGGGGAAGCCTGCTAGCCCAACGGTAAACCAATTTGAGCTTATTGTAAACGGCCAATAGCAATCGGATAAACATATAGTTGGGTACGTCAGCGTAGAAGGGAGATATCGGCCCATCATACATGGTGGTCAAGGTCCAGATCACTTCCCTGAGAATCCAGGAGAAATATCCAGAAAATACCAGGAACCAGTCCAGGTTTCAAGGTGCTGGTGATTGAGTTTGCAGAACTCCATCTTGACTGGCCGGATGAATTCAACTGTGATGATTTCCAGCTCTTAACCTGGTCCTACTGCAGGGCCCGAAACATGGTATCACATATTGTCTCTCAAACATCCCTACATTGTTTACACCGTGATGATGTGCCAAACTGTCCATGAAGCCGACATTCACGCTCTACAATAGTGTGCGTAATCTGCTAACTGAATTCCTTTCAGAAAATGTTCCAGGCAAAGAGGCGAATTGGACGTCGACAAGATTGATCTGTATCAAAGGAAATTGAATGCAGCTTCAGAAATGATAACAATTAAGCAGATGAGAACATGTAGGCTGAAGATGCAATGAACCAGGAAAGTGCAACCAATGGTGACACTCGACCCATGCTGTGCGGGTGTTCAAGCTTCATGAACGTTCGAAAGAAATTGACACTGACAGCGATAGAGGCTCCGGCCTCCTGTAGCGGTGCCCGGCGGTCTAAATCGCGAATGCAAAAGCTGATGATGCCATTCGTGGTGCCTGGATAGGTAGATTTAAGCATCCATACAAGCTATTAACCGAACAATCTAGGACCCGTGGCGGAAAAATTGGGGCGAACGTAGAATTACCCCGATATGAATGAAGCGGGGGAGGGGGCAACGAGTGGCCGGCGACAGGCGATCTATGGGGTACCTTGGGGATGCGGCACACGGATTCGCTTCCAAGCCGTAGAGATACTTCGATGGGGGCTCCCGTCTCTTGCAGCCGGATCCCCAGTGCCAAAGGAGCTCTAGCCGGTGGTCTTTCTGAACAAAGTGACAGCTATCGCCACACATGTATTGTGATGGACAAATGGAGAAGAGATGCCGTAGGTCGAAGGGAACTGGAGTCCTGGAAATTGGCCCTCGTCGCAATCTCTGTGACCTGTAGTGCGCTCACTCGGAGTCAATCTTGGAACGTGCCATATTGACCTCGTGTTGCGTGCGTCAATGGATTGTCCACAAAATGGCGAATCTCATTGTCGCCATGGTGTGATATTGATAGACTGACGCAACATAGCGACAAAACGAGAAGGCACTGATGGGTTTAGCATAACAGAGAGAATGAGGAAAGCTCAGGTCATGGCCAGGGAGAGAAGACTCGTCCTTGCTTGGGTGGGATTAAGCAGACAGAACATGTCAAATGCGCAAATGAGCACAACCGCGAAGAATGAAGGCAGAGACGACGGCTGTCATGGAATTCCCAGGAGTGTAGGAAGCTTATGAGTAAGCAGCCGAGGTGGGTGGAACAACAATGATCCGTTTGCCCAATCACCTCTTATGGCAATCTTGGCCATGGGAAATTTTTGGACCGCATGTTGCAGGCGTCGAAACCAACCACTTGCCAAAATCACTCAAAATGCCAGGAATAAAGCGAAAATCTGCGAAGTCTACGTCTTCCGAAGCTGCAAGCCGAAGCAAAAAGCTCAAAATCGATAAGCCTTCAGCAAAGCCTTTCAAACATAATGACTCGGAGGACCTTGTGGAGGACAGCAGCGAGAAAGAAAGTAGGGCATCGGACGAAGATGGTGACTCGATCAGCGGAAAGAGTAAAGAGCAGAAGCCAAAAAAAGAAGTGAAGGCACCAAAGAAGAAGGGGCCAGAAAAGGAGTCAAAAGACAAGTCTAAGAAGAACGCAAAGGATTCGGCGGGCGCTCAGAACGATTCTGCTTTGGTTGCGCTCAATGGTATGCATTCATGCACATCTTTTCTGCATAACATCCTTCTAACGAGTACGCAGCATCCTCCTCGAAAGAGGCACATGCAAAGCAAAAAGCCCTTGCCAAAGAACGCAAAGCCGCGAAACCCAACGCCGATATAATCGAGCGGTCGAAGAAGCTCTGGGAGAAACTCCGCTTAAAATCACACGTGGAGAAAGAAGAGAGGAAGAAGCTCGTCAAAGAGCTCTTCGAGATTGTCACTGGCCGAGTCAAGGATTTTGTCTTCAAGCACGATTCCGTGAGGGTCATCCAGACCGCAATCAAATACTCCACTATCGAGCAGAGACGGATGATAGCTAGAGAGTTGAAAGGAGAGTTCAAGGTATTGGCGGAAGGGAAATACTCAAAGTTTTTGATTGCGAAGCTGCTGGAGAAAGGGTGAGGTTTCCACCCCGGAGGTATTTACCGGAATGCTGACAACATTTACAGAGACCCTGAGATACGCGATCTGATCATCTCTGAGTTTTACGGTCATGTCCGTCGACTAATCAACCACCCTGAAGCCGCATGGATCTTGGACGACACCTACAGAGCCGTTGCCACGCCTGAACAGAAGAGTCGTCTCCTTCGAGAGTGGTATGGTCCGGAGTTTGCTATAAAAGGTCTCAAAACAGAAGGAACAGACAGCGCAGAACTCCGCGTCATCCTGGAAGAATCACCCGAGAAGCGCAAGCCCATCATGGAGTACCTTGAGGCGCAAATAAATCAGCTTCTGCAGAAGAAGCTCAGCGGATTTACAATGCTACACGATGCGATGTTGCAGTACTTCCTCGCTTGCAAGCCGGGTAGCTCCGAAGCGAACGACTTCCTCGAGCAGTTCAGACCGGATCCTACTATCAAGGAGGGTCAAGAAGCGGATAACGTGGACCTGTTGAAGAATCTTGCTTTCACAAAGTCTGGATCTCGCCTCGTATCTTTGGCATTTGCGTACGGCAGCGCTAAAGACCGAAAGACGTTTCTGAGACCGTACAAGGATACAATCGAGATGATGGCCTACGACGCTAATGCGCATCACGTTCTTCTTGCCGCGCTGGCCGTCGTTGACGATACCAAGCTAACGTCCAAATCCATCTTCGGGGAACTTCTACCGTCCAACGACAGCCTTCCCGAGAAGGTGCTGAACTTGGCTAGCGATACGCGTGCCCGCACTGTTCTACTCTACCCTTTTGCTTCTGAAGCAAAGTGGCTCATTGATGATACAACAAGAGAGCGTCTGGCAGAGCTATATGCCATTCGTGCTACCACATCCAAGAAAGACCCTATCATCAGACAGCAAGAAATTGTGAAAGCGATTGAGCCGCAGTTGCTCACAGCTATTGCCGCTAGGACGACAGACTTTGCGTCCTTTGGTTTCGGCCTTCAGTTCATGGGAGAGGTTCTGGTTGGGGCACCGGATATTGAGCGGGAAAAGAGGCGGGAGGCACTCAAAGAGGTTGTGCAACTCTCTCAGCAGATTTTAGAACCCGCCGTTACCGGGGAATCTGCCTCCGAAGAAACTACAAACGGGAAAGGCAGACAGGATGTTGCAGCTCTTAGCAAAAACATGCTCAAGATGCTTGTGCAAGGGGGCAAGTTTGACCCGAAGTTGAAGAAGGTGGTGCCGGTGCAGCCCCCTCTGGGATTCGCTGATATGTTCTGGGAGCAGATTAAGGATGATGTTGTTCAGTGGGCCACTGGTCCGGGGTCTTTTGTTATCGTCGGGTTGGTCGAGTCTGAGGATTTTGGGAAGAGGGACGAGGTATTAGCCGCTTTGAAGAAGCAGCGGAAGAAGCTGGAAACTGCAGCTGGGCCTACGGCTGATGCAGACAAGTCGAAGAAGAGGAATAAGGGAGAGAAGGGCGAGAAGACTCCTGGAGGCAACGCAGGAGCGAGGATACTTTTGCAGAAGCTGTAATTGCTGTAATTTCGATTTGGCTTATACCATTCACAGCGCAATCCCGCGCATGTGCTCTGCCATCTTCAATTCATCCTCCCTATGGCTTGGGTCCTGCCGCGTGGCCACGTGTGACTATGACCTTGGTCGTCGACCTCTCTTCAACATGGCCATTTCATGTGCGCCTCGCGGCGCCATGCTTCAACCCATGCCCATGGCTATCTTGTTTTCCTCGACCCTGGAATGACGAACGTCCCCAAGCTGGGGGTACGCGTTCTCATCACACTGCCAAGCATCTCAATATCCAGAAACTCAATTCCCTCCTTCCCTCATTCCACCCTCCTCCTCACACTCCGGGCAGCCTCCTCCGCTCCCATTCCAGAAACTACCTCCGTTACCAACTCCCTTAACCGCCTCTGCCCCTCTTCTGTTTGAAAGTCGTCCCGCGCAGCCAACTCCTCTATCCGCCGCCGTATCTCAGGGTCTGGTGCATCGCCCACCTCGTCCTCGGCCATGGTGTCTATATTAATTTTCACGCCGCCTGGGAGACCGGAGAGGTCCGGGACATCAGCGCCGTTGGCGACATTGCCATTTGCACTACCGCTTCCCCCAGTTCGCAATCCGCGTAGATAGATAGCGACTTCATGATCCTCGCCCTCCTCTTCCGCGATCCTCTCCTCCGCCGTCTTCCCCTCTGAATTCTTCAACCTCCAATCTGCGCCGAAGTCCTCAACTAGGCTCTTCGCTATCGCGACGTTCTCCGCCGCGAATAACGGCGATTCTCCGTCTTCGTCCAGTAGGTTTACGTTGACTTTGTAGGTTTGGATGAGTTCGCGGAGGACTTGGGGCTGGTTGTAGGATACGGCGGCGTGGACAAGGGAGTAGCCGTGGGAGTCGGAGGCGGAGGCTAGGTGCGGGTGTTGGGAGAGGGAGGTGAGGATGGAGTTGGGGCGGGTGTCGATGAGGTTGAGGAGGAGGTCGATGGTCGGTGGCGGTGGGGGATTCATGATGGGTTCTCTCTGATTTATGGTGCTTAATGGAGCTGTCTTGGAGGTGAATGGTGGGCTGCTAGATGCTGGAGCGGTGGAGCTGAAAGTTTTGCGCCACTGTATGTGGCGGTGCTCGGAGGTGAGCCACACTTTCCCCGTAGAAGCGTGCTCCGTCATCCCAACAAGCATCGAAGTTATTGACAGAGGAGTACTCCTTACCATCTATAGTTCCGTGAGGTAAATCGGTTGCTTTGACATGATGCCATTGTTCACCGAACTTATGTCCAGTGCAGGAAGACCGTTCCACATCAGCCCATTTCTCCGTCTTGAATGCCTCCTGGCTCATGAATATTTCGATTTCAGTATTGAGACGAATCCTTTTCTGCGCGATCCCACTAAAAGTACACGGCAGGTTGTCGCTGGAGAACCAGGAGCCGTGGAGAGAGCTGGCAATCTGCCATTGAACGCTTCTCCTCAGTCTTATGGTTCGTTTTCAGTAGTTTCCTCGGGCATTGTGAAAACTACTATGGCCGCCTATACTTCGTGTAACCATCGCGCCATGACGTTGCCGCCGGAACACAACAAGCGCTGAAAGAAGCTGGAGGCCTCCAAACCTATTGTTGATCAGATTGATCTGCAGTGATCGGTCAACTTGTGGCGACTCGCTGCGCACAGCCCCTTTGGAGACGTCAGCGCTTGGCATGTTTTGTCGCGTGCCTCCTGGATTGACTTCATACTGCGTTCCCCATATCCTCAGGGCGCCTCCTACAATCTGCTCACACACTGTCTTTCCTTTTTGACTGGACCCTCAGACCCCGAGCATTTCGCGAAAATCGTGAACGTCCCCTTGTCAGCCGCTCACGATCCAAAATCCTAGGGGTTCCAGCTTTTCTTTCATCTTGTATAGCACTTCGCCGCTGGGCGCAAGTTACAAAACTGGATTCTCTCTCTTTTTCTCTTTCCATTCAAAAGAAAGCGTCCTGTGTACACTAGCCTCATCATGAGGTCCTTGAACTTCGCCCTTCCGTCGAAGCGGCTGATATTCTCATATATCTTTGATTGGATAGTAATAATGTAAGTCGCTCAATTTGGCCTTCACATCGCAGTCATTGTTGACTATCACAGTGCCATAGCAGCGGTTGGCGCGGCCTGGGATGGCATTACACCGTTCCACCGACCCTTCTCTCTCGTCGACCTCTCGATATCATACCCCTTCGAAACCAAAGAAACTATACCAACATGGTTGCTCGTGGTAGTATCCCTTGTCATCCCCGCCGCAATAACGTTCATCGTCTGCTTGGTCTTCGTTCCTGGCCCAACCGCCAGGAAGGGGACCCCCCTGTCTTTGATTTGGAGGAGGAAAGTGTGGGAATGGAATACTGCTTGGATGGGACTGGGGATGTCTCTTGCGACGGCCTTCATGGTTACACAGGGGATGAAACTTCTGTTCGGAAAACCTCGACCTGATCTCTTGTCTCGCTGCCAGGCTGATCGATCCCGCATTGCGCAGACCGATGTGGGCGGATATGCCGAGTCTTTCAATGCGCTCTGGGTCCTTGTGACATCTGACGTCTGCACCCAAACAAATGACGATATCCTGCAAGACGGGTTCAAGTCGTTTCCCAGTGGGCATGCAAGCTGTAAGTGAACATACCATGCAAAATCAGTCGCAAATCTGACAGCCATCGACAGTCTCTTGGGCCGGCCTCCTCTACCTGACTCTATTCCTGGCATCTAAGTTCGCCGTTGCGATCCCCTTCCTTCCTCCTCGTCCTTTCAGCACAAATCCGGATTACACCTCCGCCGTTGCACCATCCAATCTGAAACAAAAGGGCATCCTGCCCACCCACAACAAGGCACGTACTGAGTCCGGCCTCTCTTCTCCCGGTTATGCGGAAGACCATGTTGTACCTATCCGATATCAGGCGGCAGCACCTCCAGTCTGGACACTAGTGCTCGTTCTCGTGCCCATTGGCGCAGCAATCTACATTACGAGTACGCGATTCACGGACTACCGCCATCACGGCTGGGACCTCATTTTCGGTAGTTTGTTAGGAATTACGACGGCTTGGTTCAGCTTCCGATGGTACCATCTCCCCATCACTCGGGGCGCCGGGTGGGCCTGGGGACCTCGGTCCTACAAGCGTTCATGGGGCATTGGTGTCGGCGTGGGCTCGTATGTAGGAACGGAAGGCTGGAGCCACCGAGGTGAATCGAAGAAGGCGGAACGGGGCCCATTAGAAGGAAATGGCATCCCACAGGATGGGATCGCGGAGAATGAAGCGCATCCGCAGGAGTACAGGGCGCATGGAGCGAACGCAGTATAACACACCTATTCATTTATCCCACTTATAGGTGGGCACCGGAGTTTAGGATCCTTCTGTTTACGCATTTCATAGCGTCAAAAATCTTGTTTGGTTGTACTATGTAGATATACCCTCTAAACTTCTACAGAGCATTCTTTGGAGGTATATATTAGACTGAAAGGTTAACACTGTCTTTATGTTTCTATCAGGTACAGATTATCTGTGAGAGTTCTGACCAGGGAAGCTTCGTAGAGATCCAGAACCTGAGTGTTGAACATCACGGTACTCTACCCCAGTCTTGGCAGGAACGCCTCTCGATGAAGGCATCCATGCGCACTTACCTCATCACCACAATCTCCATCCTGCATCCCCAAACATGGCCGAATACTGGAAGTCAACGGTAAGTGTTCCCGTTCAAAATGCTGCATTCGGCCGTACTGATCCCACCGCACAGCCCAAATACTGGTGCAAATTCTGCTCCGTCTACGTCCGAGACACCAAATTCGAGCGCGCGAATCATGAAGCTACCGGTCGCCACCAGGGCAACATCCAACGCTCCCTGAGGGGTATACATCGGGAGCAAGAAGCGGAGCAGCGGAAGAAACAGCAGGCGAAGGATGAGGTTGCGAGGTTGAATGGGATTGTGTCCGGCGCATCTGGGGCGAGTGCTGCGGGTTCGTCGACTGCGAAGGCAAATGATGCGCGGGCAGGGGGGAAACCAACGTTTTCGAGGACGGGTGAGAGGCAAGCTACGCTGGAGGATCGGAAACGGCAGGCTGCGCAGTTGGCGGCTATGGGGATTGCGGTGCCGGATCAGGTGCGAGGGGAGTTGGCGCTGGCGGGGGAGTGGCAGGTTGTCAGTCAGAGGGTTGTAGACGAGGATGGGGAGGAGGTGAAGTCGGGGTTGAGTACTGGGGTGCGGAAGAGGAAGATTGATGAGGAGGAGCAGGAGCATCTTGCCGCGGCGGAGACGATCACAAGGAAGAAGGGATGGGGAAATACGTTTAAGAGGTTGCCGGGGAAGAGTGGGGAAGAGGATATTGAGGCGCTGTTTGGAGGGAATAAGGAGGACGTTAAGAAGGAGGAGGGTGGGGATGAGGGGATCAAGAAGGAGGGGGAGATTAAGGAAGAAGAGGGGGTGAAGACTGAGGAGACGCACAGTGGGCTGCAGGATATACCGACTGAAGAGGAGGCTGCGCAACGGACGAGAGAGGCGGCTGCTGAACCTGCTGCTCCTGCAGTGGTTTTCAAGAAACGGAAGAAGATCGCGAAATGAAAACGATTTACGGGGTCAACATCACGAATCATTCACACCATAAACCTTGGAAAGGTTCACGGCGGCGAGCCACACGCCTCATCCACTTGATTACGAGTAGGGCAGAGATATCGGTCGGCTTTGAAGGCGAGGATTTGAGGGCAACGAGAATTCACCCTGAGAGCTTGGAGGATGCCAGCTGGGTTGGTTGAACCAGCTTGCCTATGCACCAGCGTAGGACATGAACCGTCGGGTGGCAATCTTCAGGCGCAAACCTTGTGACTGCTATACTCAAGAATAAATGCATCATTCATACCATTAGCCCTAACCGGCTGGTATGACCTTTCACCTTGGAGTTCAATGTTTACTTTGCACAGCCACGTGAAAACCCCAGACCCGCCGATTGTGGCGTTCGTCCATGCATTGATCGACAGCTAAACCAAAAACAACCCAAACCAGGGCCAAGCGGCCCGCGACTTTCAGACCGCGTCTCGTATGCCAGACTGTCGCGAATGATCCACTTCTGCTGCTGGATGACGCCTCAACTACACACATTTCCCGGCCTACAACCCTAGCGTCGAGCATGCGTATCTTGGATAGGCACGCTTTGCGACAATGCATCTCGTGAAGCCGCTATGGTTAAACCATCCCGGTAAGTCAAACATCTGCTGGACAGCGGCATCGTGAGCTGCAATCCCTCAGCTTGACGCCAGGAACTAAATGCTAACCACCATTCTACATGTGCAGGCGAACTGAAAGACTTTGAAGTCTATAGTTGTCATGTTTCTCCCGATGGAAAGCGACTAGTAACTGCTGCCGGAGGTTTGTCGACCGCGACGGCGAAGCTCCCATTATGTGCGCCTTGCTCTGGACACAGCTAATATGCCCACCATAGATGGATACGTGCGTATATGGTCCACGGAAGCTATAGCGAACTCGAACAACCCCGAATATACGAAACCTAAACAACTTGCGGCCATCAGCCACCACTCCGGCACGATACACGCTGCGCGTTTCTCCGGAAACGGGAAATATCTGGCATCAGGGGCGGATGACAAGATAGTGTGTGTCTATACGCTCGATCCGAATGCGCCGGCTCATGTTTCTGCATTTGGTATGTTGCCGCGGGCATCACTGGAACGCTTTCTTAATGATTCTTTAGGATCAACTGAGCCTCCTCCGGTGGAAAACTGGAGAGTCCTACGGCGCCTCATCGGACACGATAACGATGTACAGGATTTAGGCTGGTCCTACGACTCCTCGATTCTGGTTTCGGTCGGATTGGATGCGAAAATAGTGGTATGGTCGGGGCATACGTTCGAGAAGCTGAAGACCCTATCACATCATCAAAGCCATGTCAAAGGTATCACATTCGATCCCGCAAACAAATATTTTGCAACCGCCAGCGACGACCGCAGCATCAAGATATTCAGATTTACTCCTCCGCCGCCGAATGCGACATCACAAGATCAAGTTAATAACTTTGTGCTCGAGACAACAATTTCGGAACCTTTCGCGGCGTCTCCGCTCACTACATATTTCCGCCGATGTTCGTGGGCACCCGATGGGAGCGCAATCGTCGCACCGAACGCGACAAATGGACCTATCAGCACAGTTGCCGCAATAGCACGAGGAAGCTGGTCTGCGGATACGAATTTGGTCGGTCATGAAGGACCTGTGGAGGTGTGCGCTTATTCTCCAAAGATATTTTTCAGGACGGGAATGCAGAAAGTTACTGGTCCGGAAGGGCGCGAAGTCGAAGTGGAAACGGCGCCGGTTTACTTTTCCGTGGTTGCGTGCGCAGGTCAAGACAAAACCCTTAGTGTCTGGACCTCGACAGATGCGCGTCCATTCGTCATTACACAAGAGGTGGCGGCGAAGTCAATAACAGACCTGGCTTGGGCACCCAGCGGAGAGACGTTGTATATGACTTCTTTAGATGGAAGCATCCTCACGGTTATTTTTGAGCCTGGGGAGCTAGGACAGATCGCACCTACCAATGAGATCGAACAGTCGTTGCAAAGGTACGGGGCCGGACGGAAGATCGGTATCGTGGAAGGTACTGATGCCCTGCGACTTGAGGAAAGCAGCAAAGCTGGTGCGCGGAAGGGAGTTGAGGGCCGAATGGGCGCCCTAATGGGAGATGGCGAGGCGGTGCAGGCTCAACCACCCACGAACGGTACATCGACAAGTGGCGCTGCAACCCCTCAACCTTCCGCCCCTCAAGCTCCCGCAAATCCGGCACCAGCAGAACCTCCGCCCGACCAGAGAGTGGAGAGGCTCAAACAACGGGTTACGGTCAGCAAAGATGGCAAGAAGCGTATAGCTCCACTGCTTGTATCTGCGTCCTCCGGCGTGGGAGAGTCATCATTACCCCAGACCCAGCTGCTCTCTTCAACAGCTGCGGCAACTGGGAGAAATGACAATCCGCACAATATCCTGGATCTTTCGAAACCGTACGACGGATTCCCCAAGGGAGGTTTGGCGACTCTGCTCATAGGCAACAAGAGAAAATTTGCCGAGATTGAGGGCGACCCCGAGCGGCAAGTGGAGAAGCGCCTTGCTAGCAGTGCAAGAGAAGGAGGAGCAGCGATTGTACTCAATGGCGAGAATGGCCTCATCCCGCCAGCTCTGGCCGAACCTAAACCGGCCACGGAGATTCCTGCAGTTTTACGACCTGCCATTGTGAGCCCGGCTCTCAGTGTGAGCCAAGTACGGCTTGCCGTACCGAAGTTAAGAAGTGTTATAGTGCGGACAATGGATGGGAGCGAGCCCCCTCAGGCCCACACAGTGGATTCCAATACTGGAAGCAGAGCTGATAGCGACACTGTGTTATTGGAGGCACGAAATGCAACAGGACCGTCTCGGACAGGTCGGCCACAGGATCATGACCCAGCTCGTTTGAGTTGCACAAAGAAAGGGCAGAGTTTATGGCAAGATTACCTCCCCAGATCAGTGCTGCTGGTCACCGGTAATCCAAACTTCTTTGCGGCAGCCTGCGAAGATGGATCTATATACGCATGGTCCCCAGCTGGCCGTCGCATACTCAACGCTCTTGTCCTGGAAGCACAACCTGTCATTATGGATTGCCGTGGCTGGTGGTTAATGTGTATCTCAGCAGTGGGCATGTGCTATGTGTGGAATCTCCGCGATATGTCGGCACCACACCCACCAGTCTCTCTCGCACCGGTATTGGACATTTGCGCCTATGCACAAGGTCCGCACCTGACCCGCTCGCCGGGAATCATCTTCGCCCGCTTGAACTCAGAGGGACGTATCATAGTGGCTATGTCCAACGGGGAGGGTTATACATATTCACCAATGATGTACACTTGGCAACGCATCTCGGAGGCATGGTGGGCAGTGGGCAGTCAGTACTGGAATACCGCCGACTCCTCCGTGGGGAACATCCAGTCGACCAGCGGTGCAGGCCCTTCGAAAGAAACGAATGACCAAGTATCTCCAGAGAATATATCTGCCGGCATCATACCCCTCCTGGAGCGCAACACAACGAATCAATTCTTGCTCCAAGGGCGTGCTTTCTACCTACAACGCCTGGTGAAAGCACTAATAGCAGCTGAGGGGTACGAGACCTTTGAGTCATGCGTGTCAGTAGCGCACCTCGAGAACCGACTGGCGGCCGCGCGGACGCTGGGTGCTCGAGAAGAATATAAGATCTACCTCTTGATGTATGTCAAGAGGCTTGGTGCTGAGGGGCTCAAAGGGAAGATCGAAGAGCTTCTCCGTAGTCTGAGTAGTGATCTACTCGTGAGCGAGGAGGGAGTGGACCAAACCAAGGAGAATCAGATATGTGGCTGGAGTAAGGAGGAGCTGCTCCGGGAGCTCATCCTTGTACTAGGTATGTCGTTGCCCGAATCCCGTGTGCATCGTATTCTAACTCTATAGGCAAACACCGAGACCTCCAGCGCATAACAGTTCCTTATGCACGCTTACTTGGCGTCCTGGACAACAATGAAAAGGATGCCGACATGCAGGAGTTATAGGGGAGCGTTCATGTATTTTGGAACCTGGGAAGATGGGTTTCGGTAATTGATATCTGGGTATTCGCGTTGGACGCTGAATGGGCGGGGTTCCTGGATGTCTTAGTGTATTCTTGTCGGGCCCCCTGGCGGGCGTTAGTATTCTACCTCACTGTGTCATAGTCCTTGTAGTTGTAGAGGTGTGCTTCTCCGGATGGTGCTCTGGATAGGGAGATGGCGTTTTCCGGAGTACAGCAGGATGGCAGGGCTCCGCTACATGCGCGTGTCGAGCTGAATTCTATTAATTTCAGTCTACAATGTAAATTCTCTGGAGCTGGATAGATGTAGCCCTGAATAGCTGTCAAGGAAAGGGTACGGTCACGTGATGTCGAATTCTTAAGGACTTGTTTTTGGGACAAACTGTCTCTCCTTTGTCTCAGATCCATATTATACCTTGATCAGTAGTTGTTGATACAGTGGCGCCTGGCACTCGCTACTTTCCGCGTTAAAAATTTCTTCAACAGGAAGATTTGCATCTTGAGTGGATACGGTAGTGTTTCACGTCTAAGCGCTCAGCCACAGGTTAATCTGCGTACAAAGCGACGAAGGCCGCTTATTGGACCTCACAATCAAACGTCCTTGTTTGCGATCTACCCGCCTCGACTGCGTACTCTTGAGGATATTTTTGGACGGTTGAGGACGTCATAAGAGGCGGTGCTGCAGAAAATGGTGAATGTGCGCGTTTTGGGATTGGCTTTTTTCTTCTTGTTGGTTTGGACTGTCGTTGTTCTTCTTTTGGGTCTGTCTTAACTCACATTTTGAGAGACAAGGGTTTTGTCTATGGTCGCAGTGACCAGCTTTGAAGGCGGATCGGCGAAGTGAGACTTGGATATTTTTCTCCACGATTCCTACCAATCTGCCTCGAAGCAAGAGTCTCACACATCATAATGGCTGAAGTATTCGGCGGGAAGAATTGCACCATCGTGCCCGACACAGTCCAACCCGACGCAGGCGTCGCAGGTCCAGGAGTAAGTTCTCTAGTTCCCCTTCTCTATATACGAAATCTGGAAGCCTTCCATTCACCAGTCGCATTCGCTAAACCAACAGCGCAGGTCCTCCTCTCCTTCATAATAACCAACTTCCTCTCCCTCGCCCTCAGCGCCACCATCATCCTCCTCAACCTCCGCTCCTCGACCTCGGCCCTCATCCCGCGCAAACTCCTCCTCTCCTTCTCCGACCAGCAAATCCTCACGGGAATCGGCATCCAGTGCGTCGCCCTGGCCAAAATGCACCACATGGTGCCCTACCACTTCTTCATCGTCTGGCTCCTCTCTCTACTATCCACCGCAACGAATCTGGCAACCTTGTTGGCGCTCGTGAATGATTTCCGCAGAGACTGGGTCCTCAGGTGGTTGAGGCAGGTCCTCATGATCGGGAACCTGGGGTTGCAGTGTTTGAGCGGGGTTTTTGTATTACAGAGCGTGATGCGCGATTTGGAGCCTAGGTTGCCGATTGCGTGTGTTTGGGACGTAGGGTCGAGGGGAGGGCCGAGGGGGAATGCGGCGATTAGTATTGCGGGCACGATTGCCGTTATTGTGGGGAATGTGGTTGTGTTTGTGCTGAGTACGTGGTATTTGCATACGAGGAAGAACCCCAGGTGGATGAAGAGTGTGCAGGTTGTGGGGCTGGTGATGTTGGTGGCTATGGGGATTGGGGCGACGGTGAGGGTTGTGAGGGAGAGTTCGGCGTTTGGGAAGCCGCCTGAGGGGGTGAGATTGGTGGGGGATGGGGAGAGGGAGTGGAGTTATGGGCAGTTGTTGCCGTTGCTGTTGTTGGTGTTGCCATTGGTGAGTGCGTTGGAAATTGTGAGGGGTGAAGTGGCTGTGCCGCGGAAGCAGGGGGAGGATGATGAGGAGGTGATGCCGCTTGTGGAGCAGTTGAAGAGGTAGGGTCACCGTGAGATTGGGGTGGAAAGTCAACGAAAGCGTGATGGGGTGGTTCGTAATGAATGTATGGTGTTTTGGGGTCGGTCAACCAAGATCCAATCGTCGGTATTTCCGTCCGTAGCTGCAACGGCCAATGGCTTATTAGCCTACTACGTTGTACAGCCAGTACTCATAATTAGCTTCTGTCTCCTGTAGCTGCTATGACTGCTAATTAGCTGGATCCGTAGTGTTGTAACTGCGGCTTGCAGTAACAGGTGCTACGTAACAGTGCTGCGTTTCTGAAAACTTCTAAGGAGACTTATCTTGTAACGAGGAGGAAGCGAAGGAGAAGGAACCTATACGTGTTCACTCGTCGTTTGTAGGTGCTATAGGAGCTTAGAATCTGCCTCTTGCTAAAACAGAAATAGTCCTATACTGTATCCACAGTATTGCCGCACCTACGCTAAATAACAGTTTCCATTCATAAAGCCAAATGCAGCTTCCGATCTCTCTGATTTCTTAGCTTAAACAACATTACAAGTAGGGTACAGCAGCTTGGGTTTAATGTAGATAAATAGTCTTAGCGTACTTCTACCGACAAACTAACGGTTGGAAGCCCCATATCTACTGCGTTGTGTATGTATTAATAGTGGGTATGATTGCATTCCCACAACCAGAATCCATCGCATTTACCGGTCAATCTTGAAGAAACTTCACCTGGCTGCTGCATCGGACTATTTCTGTTTTCTACACTTCCCGAGCTATTTGTCTCTCTAGCACATGTTCTTTTAAACTGCTTTACACTCTCTCTTCACTATGTCTTGTGCTCTATAGCAATTGCCATGATTTTGTATTTAACAGAGGAAGACACGTCTATGGGAATGTATCCGCTTGTTCTCTTCAAAACATTGAGTTCTCGTTTGGGTGTTTCGCCAGGCCCACATGCTTGTAGAAACGAACTAGCGGTTTGAATAATTCCTTTATTATTGTACAAAGCTATTAAGGTCACCGCTCCCAGAGATACATGTATATAGTAGACGGCAAGCGAAAACTTTTGGTTCCAGGCTTGCGATGCTCACGCCGTGAGTGGCGAGAACCAAAGGAAAAGGGGATATATCGACCAGTAGGGCAGCGTGTGGGCACCTCGCGATTGCCTATAAGACCTCCACGGGTACACAGTGAAAGCGACATCGGACAACGCTGGTGAACAACGCGTCATTTGTTTATATCAACAAACATATTTTTCACCTCGTTTGCCGCGACGCGCCGCGGCAAACGCTCCTTTCTTCTTTTTTGTATATCATACAGTCAAACTCAAATCCCTTCAGTCCACCCGTCCGCGCCTACATCCTCATTGTGAGCCGCCTGCACGCAACAAAAATGCCTGAATCAGCAGATGATCGCCACTTTTGGCTCAATTTATCCCTCGCAAGAGAACTGGGACTGAGTACTGATGGAGATTGGGCCGCCATCGGTCAAATCATATTCCCTGCAGCCACGGATGGAAACGGTTCACCGAAAGCCATCGAGGCGACTGTTTTGCACCCGACACAAACGAAACGTAATCGTTGGGACCTGGAACCAGACGACGCTCCCAGTGCGAGTGGTCGAACCAACGTGAGGCCGCCCATATTCAACGACGCCAGTCCAAGCGATGAGGTTTGGGGAAGAAGAATTCCAGGTATAGAGCCTGAGATTCGAAAGATTGACCCGAACCGTGGCCTCAAGAAATTGAAAAGGAAACTCTTCAGGGAAATGCATATCCAGGATGAACTCACCCGGGTCAGGATGAGATGTCTGGATGATGCAACGACCAAAACAGTAGTGATGAGCTCATATGCACGAGTGGTTCCCAAGCCCTCCAGTTTTGTGGGTCAAGTTAAAGTACATTTGAAGAGCACACAATCGAGCGACACGATCCCGAGCGATTGGTCTTATGGACGGATGGAGGTACCGTACCCGCAGCCGCCTCTGCCGTGATCTATCGATATGCTATGTGGAGCAAAGGCGTCTGGGGTCCTTGGAAGCTGTTCGGATTTAAGCTATTTGATGGAAGACAAGACGCAAGGACTGCCGAGTTCCTAGCCGTCCTCAAAGCCTTTGAGATTGCCTGTCAAGAAGTTACCAGACACCCAGGACGGTTCAAAAGTGTTACTATATACTCAGACTCTACTGATGTTCTACGCCAGATTGATCAGAACAAGCGGGACATAAGGCTTGGTTCACTTGTCTATCTGATAACAAAGAAGGCGAAGACATTATGTGTACAGGGTGTGGAAACGAGGCTATATTGGGTCCCAGGACATTCAAGGGTATGATTCTAGGTACATTTGGAAAGTCGCATGTTAATCATTGCAGGTCCCAGGTAACGAGCTAGCGGACAGACTCTGCGAGCATACTGCGAAATCAGCTAAGAACATCATCGACGTCTTGGATGACAACAGCGCCGAGGTGGGTACCATTGGGGATAACCATTCCAACCCTGTTTGCTAACCTTGGTTCTCTTATGCGAAGGAAGGTGAGGAGGAGTCTGATCCTTTCATACAGAATAGAATGGAAATGGTTGACTGATAAGCATGTATTGTGCGCTTGTGGATGGATTACATGCGAAGGCAATGTCAGTTGGGCCTAGGGGTTGTTCAGTGATTGACCACCGGTCGAGTAGGGAATAAGTGTTTTCCTAGTGCTTTTTCCCACTATAATTCATATGCATACTTCTGAAGCTTCTCGGAATATTGGCAGCTGAGCATACTTATTTCAGAAATACGATCCCCTGCCTGAATGGATGTCGGATCTGCAATAATGACTCGGCACAGCCAGCATGGATTGAATTGGGATCTTGCTAATAATTCCTAGGCTAGAAGATTACTGTGTACGGAGTAGGCTGCACGGCTTATTTACTTTAGCACATGCACTCTGCAGGCGATTAATACAGTGTGCTATGAGTGTAAGGCCGCTCGCTGTAAAGTGTAGAACAACAGCGATACGTTACAAGTAGACGCGGGAAATGAACGCATAGAAGCAAAACTCTTCTCAGCGTCCCACAGGAAATAATGTTGTTTATCGACAATGACTCATGTCCATGGAAGTGGAGAGGAAAAGGAGCATAGCTTTTATGTAGCACTGCATATAATAATAACACTGGAGTCTCGGCACCGGCTTGTGGACGCTGAAAGTGGCAATGGGCTATGGTTGGGGACGTCTCGGCCGGCCTCTGTATTTCCTCAGGCCACACGGGAAGCTTTATTGACAGTGTTGTTTTGTGGCGTCATGATTCTACTGAATGGGGAGACTGTTACTGTTGCATCGTATTTCCTTGGATCCAAGCTGGGGTACGAACTAAAACAGGAAACAGCGTAAGCTTCGACTACAATTGATGGCAGATTTTGAATTTCAGGAAAGTGTCGCCCAAGTCATATGTCACGGCCCGCTTTAACCATGCCAACGTAGTGATTTTTTCTGATGTGCTACTAACCAGATGCGCAGCGTTTGGACTTTCCTATATTGTTCAGACCGCTGTTGTATTCCTTGGTTTCAATAATGCGCTATACGGATACGAGCTGCATGAGGCCCCCTTGACTGGCCCTGACAGGAAATAGGTGAGCCCACCAGCACGTTAATCGGTACATTTATAGAAACAATACTTCCACACGTCATTGCCAGTAGAGAGTATATAAACCGTGGAAGTAGTACCAGTGAGCATTATTATAGTAATTGAGAACCACGGAATCCATACAGTTTCCTCCACACCAACCACAAAATGCTCTCCCTTAATTTCCTCAGCGTCGCGCTCCTCGCACTCATTCCGTCCACCTTTGCTGCACCTCATCCCCCTACTGCTGCCCCCTTCCAGGTCACAAATCTCAACACGTTCGAACCCACAGGTCGTCCGGGCTCGGTAAATCTCTACCGCGTCGGCTTCAACGTCACGGACCCTGCAGACTCATCGACTGCATTCTGCGAGACGCAGTGGGATTACGCGGATGCGACTACCGGATGGCCTTCTACCTATGTAAGTTCGAGCTCTAAGACTTCGCAATTTTGATAAGAACGGTGACTGATTGCATGCGTAGTTGGCGAACTGCACGAACCCATCATACGCTTTCAAATTTGTTGATTACCACAGCTATTATGACTTCACGCTCGATGTCAGACATAAGAGGTATGTACTCTTCCCATCGTCTCTGTGCTTTATCCTCTACCTTTTTGGAGCTCTATGAGTTTAGTCGACTAACAACCTTCCCACTCTACAGCAAGACACACGGACGGCCGACCACGCGTTTCGCAAAGGGGCAAGTGAACCTCGACATCCTTCAGTGCAGCCATGCGGCATCCGGGTTCTCTGTGTGTAATCAGAAGGAAGGAGTACAATTCCCATTGCAGGTGTACAAGACACTGGACTGAGGAGGATAAGGAGTACTTCCTATTGTCGAGATTGTATAATGGTGCAGCACGGCTTCTCAGATACAAGATTGTTCTCTTCACGGAAGACTTCTCTATACCGTTATAACTCTAATATGTCGCTGGGAAGACGCCAATTCTACCTCCATCTGTTATCTGCATTGTACCATTGATATATGCTCCCCCTTTGCCAACCAGGAACAATGCCAAACTAGATATATCATTGAGGTTGCCCATGCGACCCTGCGGTACCTGATCGGTGCCATATCTTCCCTCAATCCCAGCCGTCATCTCGCTTGGGTACGGCCCAGGACATATCACATTGCTGCGCACGCCCCACTCCGCCAGAATCGAGCTCAATATCTTGCCCAGCTGCGCGGCCGCTGCCTTCGTCGCATTGTACGCCAGACCTGCTATGCTATACCGCATAAACGAGGCGACAGATGCGACGGTGATGATGTGCGCCAGTCTATCGTCATCTTCATCGTACCCAAGCCTCTTCAGCGCGGATTTGTCTTGCTCCCTTGGTGTTCCCTTGCCAGTCACCCTCGGATCGCCGGGCCCGCCTCTGACTCTGCCAGCTTGCCAACCACGCCGCACATCGGCAGCCTCGAGAAGGGGAAGAAATGCCGCGCTGACACCGACAACGGATTGTGTGTTGATAGCAAAGGTCTGTGCCCAGCCATACCAGCCTTTCAGCATGCTGTCTCTCAACTGCTCGATGCTTTCCGTTTTGTACATGTCGGGTCCGTTCAAGGGACCAATGACACCCGCATTGTTTATCAAGACGTCGACATATCCTGTCTCAGATTTTATCCGCTCCACGGCTGCGGAGACGGACTCCTGGTTTGCGACATCGCATGTTATAGCGCCGAGAACTGGAATAGAGGATTTGGGTGCCGAGGGTGAGGCTTCGAGCTTCTTGATGGCATCCTCGAGGACGTTTTGCCGACGACCGAGGAGATAGATTTTTGAAGCGCCGTTCTGAAAGAGGGCGGACGCGATGGCGAGACCGAGACCTGTGTGGATTGAAACATGTCAACCATGGTGGTGAGATCTAGTGGTGGGAAAGTTGGCGTGCGGTACATGGTGGGGTACCAGTTAGAGAAAGGGTTCAGTTACCACTGCCGCCGCCTGTAATGACGACTAAAAGACCTTTGGCGGAGAAAAGATCGGATGGATTTATAGGTGCAGTGACGTCCATTTTCGTAGTACTTGGGGAGGTGGAGATGTGGGTTGAGAGCGTGGGTTTGTTTGTAACAGTGGTAGACATGACGTTGTCGGTACACCGTTGTACCGAGGGACGGCTTCCGCAGCGGTTCCTGGAGTTATGCCGTTATAGGCAAGTCCGTTTATATATAATAGCGAGCAACAAGGGTTCACATCGGATGTTGATAAACTCAGGGGTAGAGGACTAGCAAGATGAAGCAAATGATCCCGGCTTAAGAAAGATCCTTCGGTAGAATCGCGCGAACTGACATGAGAACTTATTAGGCCAGCTTGTTCGTCACTTCGACAAATGCCTCCCACTGCCTGTACGCCTCTCCGCTCGTTAGAGCCCACTTTGCTCTCCGTACGCCCTCTTTCCATCTGCCACCACCGGGACCTACCTCTTTGATGGCTTGGCCGTCATCGCTGTGGCCCATGTTGCTCTCGTCTGCATCACAGATACCCGAGACCACCAGAAGTGCTGCAGTATTGATCAAAACGAAGTGCAGAATGGGGTCATCAGGTGGAACATCCCCTCTCAATATCCTTATGAGAATCTCCGCATTCTTCTCGGGGCTTTGTCCGGGAGATACCTCGCTCAGCGGGTGAGTGGGCAGGCCAAAGTCGGCCGGTGATACTGTGAAGTATTTGATATCGACTTCCTTGGTGGTGGGGTTCTCTACCAGTCGCCAGCAGTGCGTTGGGCCTGCACACGAAAGCTCATCCAGCTCTTCATCACCACAGATAATCATGCCCTTCTTGCAACCAGACTGGCGCAGGGATTCTGCAAAGTCAGGTCCAATCTCTTTACGTGCAACTCCGAGCACTCGCGCTTCTATGAGCTCGTGGAGAGGGTTTGCCAGGGGTCCGAGCAGATTGAAAATGGTTCTCCAGCCAAGTTGCCTTCGGATACTTGCGGCATGACGAGCTCCCGGATGGAAGATTGGAGCGAAGAGGAAGGCATAATTGGTCGCGGAGTAGACCTCTTTGATAGTGGCGGGAGTGACGGCTGAGATGACTGGCGACTTCGGCACAACACAGGAAAGGAGGTCCGCGGATCCGGATCGGGATGTTGAAGCTTTGTTGCCGTGTTTGGCGATGAGCAGGAGAGATGAGGCCAGGATACTTGACGTGGTGGATATGTTGAACGTATTGTGAGAGTCACCCCCTGTACCAACGATATCACACTGAGACTGTCAGCTCCAATTTCTTGGTTTTGGCCGTATCCGACATACCAGCCCTCCATGGTAATTGCCTTCCTTCCTTCCTCTCTGCTCAATAACCTTGGACAAACCCTCAATGTCGACCTCCGTTGCGAAGTCTCGCATGGCCTGGGCGCACCTGGCCAGAATATCGGCTTGTCTGTCCAGGTCCGTAAAATGGAGACATGTTAACAGCGCTCCCGTCTGGACGTCTGATAGGCTATTGGTGAAGATGAGTCCCAGTGCAGCCGCTATCTCAGCCGCTGTGGGTTTGGTGGAGGGGGATTCATGCCAGAGCCTCTTAAGAAGTGGCGTGATGGAAATCTTCTCTTCAGGTGCAGTTTCCGTGGGTGCCATGGCAGGCAGAGTGTGTGGTATTTCTGATAGTATAATTCAGAATTCAGCTCCGATATAAGGAGGTTTTCCTATTGACAACGCCAAGACCTTTCGTTGTCTCTGAATATCGGTACGTGGAACCCGTGTGAATGATAATCCCTAGTCTTGAATCAATGGGATCAACTGGTTTTCCTCAAGGTAATTCTGGTAATTCGCCGTGCCCGGAAGACCCAATTCTTAACTGTCAACAGGTGGCATACAGTCTCAACCCGAAGTTGAGTCACTCCAACTTATTGTAGTCCGATCTTGCACTACGCCGATAACGGCAAGGCGCTCGGACCTTCGGAACATCTGTTCTTCCATAATCGCCACGAAATTTGCGACTACGCGGACGCGACTGTGAGAGGTCATGACTAGTCAGAGAATATTCTCTGACGGGCCTTGCTGCTATAGAACGACGTGTATCCTCGAAAGCAAATGGGACAGAAGCGGAGCCATGCCGAGACAAAAGATGGCTTTGCGAAGCCGTCGCGAAACAAGGATCGGATGAACGAAAAGAAGGGGAAACCGGACTCAAAGAAGCATGGCAATAATGGGAGCACTGGCTCTGGCTTGGTACGGCGTCCCGATTTCACACGAAGTATAACTTGGTTGCTGACCGGATCATAGTTGTTCAAGCCTCAGCCAGAATGGCACGCAGTCGAGCTCCCGGAGCTACCGATAATCGAGAATCCGACGATACCGGAACGACATGTAATCGACGCCCTGCACGAATACGCGGATAAGCTCCTGGAGGCGGAGGCGACCCAGTATAGCGAGTCGCATATGGCCAGAGATTCATCCCACAGGTTCATGTCCACGATCATGTCTTCCGGGACCATGGAGGATAAAGTCTCGGCTTTGACGTTGCTTGTTCAGGAATCGCCGCTGCATACTATGAAAGCATTTGAACAGCTGCTTGGTCTATCGAGAAAGAAGGGTAGAAGCTCCGCTCTGATGGCTCTTGCAGCTTTGAAGGATCTACTGGGTTCCGGGGTTGTGTTACCTCCGGACCGGAAGCTGAAGGTTTTCGCAAGACAGCCTGCTTTGATATCCGCACTGCAAGGAAAGTCTGCACATTGGAAACATGGCGACAAGTTACCTGGCGACATCCAAAAGGTTCATCTGATCGCGTGGGCGTATGAGGACTGGCTGAAGAGACAATATTTTGAGATGCTCAAGATCATCGAAGTATGGTGCGCTGATGAGGTGGAATTCTCTCGGAACCGGGCCTTGACCATGGTCTGGGAGTTGTTGAAAGAGAAGCCTGAACAGGAGGAAAATCTGTTACGGCTGCTTGTCAACAAACTTGGAGACCGGGAGAAGAAAGTTGCATCCAAATCGTCCTATCTCCTGCTTCAACTCCAGACGACGCATCCGCTGATGAAAGGGGTCATCATCAACGCGATTGAAACCGATCTCCTTTTTCGGCCGAATCAGAACGCCCACGCCAAATACTATGCTGTCATCACCCTCAATCAGACGGTTCTGAGTATGAAAGAGCACGAAGTTGCGAACAAACTGCTGGAAATTTACTTCGCTTTGTTCGTGGCGCTGTTGAAGAAAGAAAAGGAAAGGGAAAAGCAGGAAAAGAAGCTCAATAAGGACGGCCTCCCACAGGGTGGTGGAGGGAGACCTGGGAAGATGGCGAAAAGAAAAGCCCAGAAGCTAGCGACGCAAGCATACAAATCGGAGGAAGAGATGAGGGAGAAGTTGATCTCTGCAGTCTTGACCGGTGTCAATCGTGCTTTTCCCTTCGCAAAGACCGATGACGCAAAGTACGTACACGACCCATTTTGTGCTGTCCATGTACTAATTCTGTTTTCAGGTTTGAGGAGCAGCTCAACACCATCTTCGAAGTGACGCATTCGTCAAATTTCAATACCAGCATTCAAGCCATGATCCTCATTCAGCAAATCTCCGCTACCAAACACATCTCTGCCGACCGTTTCTACCGCACACTTTACGAATCCCTTCTTGACCCACGCCTTATTACGACCTCCAAACATATCCTCTATCTCAACCTCCTGTATCGGGCACTGAAGGCGGACCCCAGCATTCGACGTGTCCAAGCCTTTGTCAAACGCCTGCTACAGATCATTCATTTGCATGAGCCGCCCTTCATCTGTGGTGTGCTCTACCTCATCAAAGAACTGATAAACACATTCCCCAGCATCAAATCAATGCTGTCCACACCGGAGGACAACGACTCGGAAAGTGGAGACGAGCATTACGAGGATGTACCTGAGGACGGTGCGCCCGTCAATGCCCCAGAAACGGCCAAGCGGCCGCGCTACGATCCCCGAAAACGGGACCCTGATCACGCGCACGCTGATCTGTCGTGTCTTTGGGAGTTACTTCCTCTTCAAGCGCACTATCACCCTTCAGTGCATGTGCTTGCATCCAAACTGCTGAATCAGCAACCCATCACCGAGAAGCCGGATCCTACTATCTATACCCTCATGAACTTCTTGGACAAGTTCGCGTTCAGAAATGCAAAGTCCAAGGCACAAGCCACACATGGCCAGTCCATCATGCAGCCCATGTCGGGTACGTCGAAGGCTACCGACTACCTTATCACGGTGCGCGACGGAGATAGACTTCACAATCCTGTCAATTCCGAGGAGTTCTGGAAGAAGAAGGTCGAGGAGGTGCGCGAGGATGAAGTCTTCTTCCATACGTACTTTGAGAAGTCCGGCAAGGCGAAGCAGACCAAGATCAAGGAAAAGAAGAGGAAGAGAACAGAGGATGAAGACGAGGAAGAAAGCGGTGAAGATGAGATTTGGCAGGCTTTGGTCAATAGCAGGCCGGAGATCGAAGGCGAGGATGCTGACGAAGGATTCAGCGACCTCGATATGGACGACATGAGTGATGACATGGAGGAAGATGGTGGAATGGACGGCGGCGTTGAGCTTAACCTGGGCAGCGACGATGAAGAGGAAGGCGCACCTGCTGCGAAACAGGGAGAAGATGATGAGGATCTCGGCGACGACGGCTTTGACCTTGATGAAGAGGACGCTTTCGTCGACAGTGACGAAGATGTACCGATTGACATGGACATGAACGACGACACGGAAGTGGAAGAGTCGTTGCCATCCAAGTCCAAACAGGAGAAAGACAAGAAGGGACGGAAGAAGAGGAAGCTCAAGCATCTCCCAACCTTCGCGTCTGTGGAAGAGTATGCGAAGCTGATCGGGGATGATAGCGAGTAGAGCAGTCCGATCCTGTTTCTTCAGGGTATGGGTGGGCGTTTTACCAGCATAAATAGACGGTTACCTGGCTTCATGGGTGTGGGTTTGCCTGTAGCTATCCCTTAATTCTTGTAATGCTTCCTACAATGCCAACAATAACCACCCTCCCACCCGTCCTTTGTTTTCTCCGGTTGCCGTCTGGTTCATGTTAGATTACAGAGTAACTGGCGTAGAGCCTTCCAAAAGTAAAGATGCTGCAAAATACTTGGGGGGGGTATGACAAGGCGGCACCGCAGGCCACACAGACTGGATAGCCGTGCCAGCCCCTTCCCAGATTTATATGAATGGAATTCTGGCTCCGTCACTTGCACTTGAAGAGCAAAATCTAACTCGTCAAAATCTAACCACCTTCATTCCCAGCCAGCGGACCGAAACATTATAACTGCTGAATCTGACGAGATCCGTGCCCAGGATAACAGAAATCAGAACACCGGAAAAAGGATTCAATACGGTTAGCAATTCTCAATAGTAACTGCACAGCACGTAAAGAACTGTACAAACTACATTCTTTCTTCAAGCTTAATATCAAGGCAAGTTGAAAAACACCGTTTGATGTTATGGGAGTTGAAAAGCATATCAATACGCGGCCATATGGTAGCTCCAAATCAGTATAGTGCGTTTTGGCTATCTAGCCAATTCCATCCATCATCCCAGTGAATTTCCTCTTTCTGCATCGATTTGGATAGCTGGTGGGATCCCACTCCTTAACTCGCACCAAGACTGATTCTGATCGCGGTGTTTGGCAATAGACGAAAAACGGCTTCCTCTTATATTTCTTAAGGTAACTCTCCATAAACTCATATTCTTCAAGCTCTATAAGCAGCGGCAATTGTTGATGAGGCAGCTCAAGATATATATACCGCGTCAATTTGTCAATTTGCCATGACCGAAATGAAGGTCAGTCCTGGTTTTGTCTTCCCGTAGTGTTTCTTGTGGTATATAAGGGCGTCTAGATAAGCATGAATCATTGGACTTAGGATGGGATACTTGTTCGTTGCGCTTTTCCCTCGTGGCAACGTTTTGGGGAAGAGAATGACACGGTTGCCCTGGTTCGGCACTTTCGTACCTGGATGCAGACGAGGGCCATACCAGCACCCATCCTCGCGGTGAATAGCCGGATGCCAATTTTCTTCAACCAGTATGCTTGGCCAGGGATATACATCCGGAACTTCAACAGGGGGACACTCATCCATACTGAGGCGGTAGGTGGTTTCCGACCAAAGGAGTAGATGGCGATATTCACCCTGGGCATTTTCATCTTCAACATCTCGTCTTCGCAACACGAGAGCGGCATCGCATTTTGTGGGAGGCAACGGTCCTCCGTGTGGAAATCGCACTGGACTGTGGATTTCCTAGAGTCCCGTTTTGACGAGGTCTGAAGCGATTGCCAGCAGTTCGTTGTCTCGGACAAGCATGTCGCATTCGTCCGATGGCAAGCATCTGGTGCCCATCCATCGTGATGCGGAGGGGCCTATTAAAATAAACGGATGCTTGTGTGATGCCAGGACCTTAAGAATATGGTCTATACTGCCACTGTTGCATTCAGGACTCGCGGCTCTCAGTGCCAGAACGTGGGAATAGTCTGGTTTTCGGAATTATCCAGCTCATCCGAGTCCGCCATAAAGATCCAGGGCAATAAGATCGAATGTCAAGTGGGCAGACCAATATGGCAAGGTATGCTTTCAGCGGTTTAAGTATTTCGACCCTTATCTGCGAACTACCCAATCGGTTGGTATTGGCCGCAACACTCATGTGTCTTAGCGCCTGACTCGATTTAACAGCACTACGGGTCCGACGATGACGGATTATCGAAGGCCAATATCCCGTAACTGCGAGTAATAAACTAGTCACATGCAGCATTGTTCGCCAGGGGGTGAGGGCGGTGTAATTGAGTAACACGACGACATGTATAACAAGTACGAGAACGCCTTATCTGTGCACTACAGACACTGTAGAACGGCCCTATGGATTGGAAATTTTCCATCCTGCATCACAGTACCTATGTATCTAATCGTGGAAGCGACCAGGAGACCTGCCACGCCAATACCCATTCGGATCGAAATTCAGAATCTCGGCGGCCTCCGGATCCATGCCGGCCAATTGCGAGTTTGAGATGGGAATTGCAACGATAGATCCTGGCTGCCCCGTTGTGCCTTGAAAGCCTTTGACGTAGCAGTGTTGTCGCTGGTAAACACGCTCGGTGCGTCCATGTCCGCTCACCAGCCCACCACCGTGAGTTCCTAGCACAAGGTATTTTAGGTTGGGCTTTGTCTTGTGGCAACATTCGAAGAGCGCCGTGGCGAACTTGAGGTTATGCAAAGTTATGTAGCTGGCGTGCTGGGGCCCTTCGTAACGCACGGTGGTATACGAAAGATGGAGGATGCGTAAATCTGATGGAAGAGATTGGGATAGCTGGTGCTATGGGTCTTGTATTAGCGTGATAACGCCAATGACGGATTAGAAGCTTACGAGAAAAGAGGGGTCAGGCTCATCTAGGTTTTGCCTGGCGATGTTATATCCGAACTGAGTCAACCGCGGGAATCTTGCAAGTATCTCCATCACCATCTCATGGCCCAACACGTCGTTATCATCAACGCCATGGCGACCACCTCCTTGATGATACGATAGAGAGCATAGAGAGTCTCTGAGTTGAGGCAACTCAAGTAGGAACTTCGCCTCCGCACCCCGGACATCGCCATTCACAGACAAATGCAAGCTTTGCAGATTACCACACAGTTGGAGCAAGGAGTGCATTGGGCCTGAAGAACGTTCATCTCCTCTATCCGGCAAAACGGTGAGATGTCTCAACCTCAAACCAACCTCCGCAAAAGTGGTACTGAGCTGAGTGCAGAATTCGGGGAGTCCAATACATTTGGACAGAGTAAGTGAGGTGATGGAACCAAAATCTAATATCGAGATGAGCGAGGAAGTCGTGTTTTCTTCTGAAAGATTTGCCCCGTGCAAACTTAGTGTCGTGATCTGCTTTAAGTGATTTTTCGCCTTCGGAACGTTCGGGCTCGTCCATCGGGTCTCGGATTTCGTGGTGGCCAGACATAATCTTTCGAGCCTGGTAGGTTTGGCGGCCAGCAAAGTCGAGAGTATGGTTCCGGGCTGATCGGAGTTGAAATCCAGGGTTTTTAGCATGGGAGAGTTGTTTACAATACGTTCGAGGGTGTCGGGTGTCCCCGTGAGGTAGACATTCTGCAACTTATGCTGACGCTTTAAAGAAGGTCGAAGAAAGTATTATCCAAATTTTGACGTGCATAGTACCTGGAGAACACTCAGTTTTCAGGCATGCTCGTGACCGGCTGCTGATTTACAAAGTACGTAGCTTACCTGAACGTTACCAGTTGATCACGAGGTACTCTATGAAGAATTTGCCGTCGCGCATAGGCTAGTTGGAAGGCTACTTGCCATTCTCGTCCAACCAGACACGTGCAGTCGGTGGGCCAGATAGCGCGCGAACGCGAACCGAATGACGTTGGTTCATGGGTCCAAAATCTATCAGGAACGGAAGGGCTCTCATAGAAGAAAGTCAGAGCCTTGGTGTGCTTGAGATGGTTGGTAGGGGGAAACTCCGGATAGAAAGGCTTGCATCCAATAAGCGAATGAATACTCTTTCCATTTGCCTCGTTGACGGTAACGTGGGAGTATAAGCGGCGAACAGTAATACTGTGCCACTCTTTCGAAACCAAGCAGAGATTCTTAAGGTCTGACGATCTTGAAATCTAGATTCCTCTACGCGTTACGACAGGCATAACAGAGTTGCCCGGAAAATAGAAGACTTACGTGTCCAACAATACAGGCCTTCAATTCCAAGGGAAGACGGTCCACACTGAGTCTGGTATTCCGAGTGACCTCACGGAAGGGGATGAGAACGGAGCAGTTATACTGAGGAGGTTGGGCCAGCTGAGGCCTGGGAATCAAAATCAAAGTGTGTGTAACGAATGCAAACCACTAGGTTCCTAGGCTGCAGCATTCTGACTCTGCGCATCGAGACATGTATAAAACATCAGATCAATCATCTAGTGCGTTGTCGATCACTTTGGCCCAAGTGAGCTCCATCTCCTTCATTACTTCGTGCAGTTATGTCCGGCAGAAGCGCTCCATATGATCGGCATTCTTGACGAGTATGAGCACGTATCGACCGCTGCCCTAGGGTATGCAAACCGTAGGCCGCTTTTGGCGGGACGCGGTCGTGGAGGTGCCACTTTTGTGGCGTTTCTTTTGCAGAGTCCGACCTCTGCTCCCTTCCATATAGACATTTTGTGTAACAGTACAGCCTGGATGAATGCAAAAGCATGGAACAGGAACGCTGAAGCCTGGAGGTCGGCCGCGGGCCGGTTTGGGTTTAACGTAACCATAATGTAGAGAATGTGACGGATGGAAAGAAGGGCTTCGACATTGGGAATTCCGATACATAGGTTTTGGGGAGGCGAGCACTCAACAAGATGTAGTTCTTCATTATTCAGGCTATGCCCCATATAGATCTTGGCGTGAACAGATCTGCACCTGCCACGGTACCCGGGCATTCCACCGAAACAGCATCAACATCCTCTATTCAACTTCTTCCATTGAGAAGTCGCCATGTTCTTGATGCAATCAAGAAAGAAACTGCATGAGAATATGGTATACCTGACCGCGGACAGCTTCCGAACGCTGCAAATCTGGAAGGCCAACATCGAGGACAACACCTGAGTTGTACGGCGCAGTGCAGATGGGTGACTGCCAACGTTACCGTCCGTCAGGCCTCCCTTGATCCTCAATGCGACGGTTGGACCTCATCAAAAACGACGATTTCGCGGATCATTCAGTGTTCCGTCTTACGCCTCAGCCGCGCCTGGCACAGCTGCACCTTGCAGAGACAGACCTGGACATACGGGAGCTGCATGACAAGCATGACAGAATGAGAAACGACGTTGGCATAACCTCTTCCTAGCGACAGCAACCACAACTTCGCAAGAGCGATTTCGGAGCTCCGATATATGACCAGGGAGGGAGACCATAAGGTGCAGCACAGCCCCATGAGAGCGACGCCACAAGTCCCCTAGGATAAGGCGGTGAAGTCAAGACCCCACAACACCTCATGCCGTGCTTCTAATAAAACCATGGCTTTCGCATGATGGAACGGACGACGGTGTCCGGACTGAAGGACAAATTCCGAAGCAGAAAAATTGCGAAGGGGTGCAGATTTGAAGATATCACAATGGTGAATGTTCGACCTTCCAGCCGTCAAGCTGAACACAAGCGACGTCCGCCAATCCAGCCGAAAGGCTTGACAATGTGGCTTCCACGCGTGCTGGACACTGCTTTTCCACTGGTCCCCGATGTCTGAATCGTCTGCAGGGCTGGCGCCAGAGCTTGCGACTGGTGCTCTGTCCAGCAAAAGCCGCCCGCTTTACCAAGCCAACGCTTCCTATGATTTTTCTGGCTTTAGTTGCAGTCTTCGGCAGCGGTAATCCAGACTCCCATTCGCTGTCCCCAAGCGGTGGCCTATTATCATACGAGGAGGCGGAGACGTGTCAAGCCTCAAGTTTCCATTCAGAGACGCTGGGCCTGGGACCATGCCGTCCTGGAATGTGGCTGAGGATATTCCAGGGCCCACAAGAGGTGCATTTCCCATGGCCACGATGTTGTTGGTTTCACATCTCTGGAGCGTATATAAGTGCCTAACGTCCTGGGACATGCCTTCTGGATAGGCGTCAGACACCTCATCATCGCCTCTAGCTTGGACTGAACCGGCCGCTTGTCAGGAATGGGGAAAGCTGCTTCAGCTGTATAATTTGCTTCTTCGTATATCTCGGTAGCGGCCCTCAGCCTCATCGATCAACCCCGATCGAAGGCACCTCCAACAAATCTTCGAGGCTACAAATCTCAAGATTTCTCCTGATTCCACTCCTTACGCTCCTCCACGCCCTCAAAACCCACCATGGCACCCATCCCCTCGGACCCGGCACCCTCACCCACTCCCCCCGACCCCAAAACCAACCGCATGAGCACCGCCTCCATCGTCGGCCTCTCCGTCTTCGCCTTCTTCGCCGTCTCCTTGGCCATAACCCTCACAGCATACTTCCTCCACCGGCGCGCAGAGCGCAACAAACTGCCCCCGGAGAAACGCCCCGTATCGTACCACCCCTTCCGCACCGCCTCCTCCTCCTCCACCACCACGACAACCGCCCAAGCAAGCCTTCTCGCCAACGCAGCGCCCACCCCCGAGGACGACAAATCCAGCATGTTTTCCCGCGACCGCGACGCCAGCCTGAGTCTCTACGTCGACACGGAGATGCACGAGCGCAGCAAGCGCGCGAGCATCGATACCGTGTCGTTGATCCCGCTGCATGTCACGCCTGCGGATGATGAGGGGGTGAGTCCGCTGGAGAGGGCGGATAGTACGGGGAGTGGTGGGGCGAGGGGGAGGTCTAGTGTTCGGCTGAGTTTGGCGCCCGAGGAGATGGATGGAGGTGGTCGAGGTGGTGGCAGGAAGGCTAGGCCCAGGAGTACGAGTGCGGCGAGCGTGAGGTATTATGAGGTTAATGCTCCGAGTCCCGTGGTTGCTTCGCCGCAGGTTCCGACCATTGTGCATACGGTGTCGGATTAGGGGGATGTTGGAAGGAGGGATTGGGTAGAAAGAGGAGGTGGTGCAGGAGGGTGGTTGTTGGGCCGGTGACATGCGGGAGGCTTTGATGCTTTTGCTCCTTCATCTTTCCATCTTTGGAGGACACGTCGAGTCTGTTGCATTGATGGCTTTGGTTCAAGAAATACCTCCGCATATTCAGTGTCTTTTCCCCCGCCGCGATGTTCATTATGATTGTCTCACGTCTATACCCCTTCATACAAATCAAGAATCCTCATGATATTCTTACTGTATGGAATTACTCAAGTTACTCAATGGAACGTGATGCTCGAAACATGTGCGGCACAGCCAAAACCCGGGTCGTGCTGTGCCACCTAGGCCATGAGCGGGTTTCCCATATTAGACATTGGCTAAGGTTCTGTAATTGTCGGAAAGGATGGGATTCTGGCAAGGATATCAGGTTCATAACACTGAATGTGCAATTCACCGATTGCTCGTTTACGCTATGCAACCGTCAACACTGCAAATCCAATAAGCCAAGCGATGCCAAAGAACGACACTCATCCAAAACTGATCCCACACGCTTATATCCAGTCCCACTCATATCCACAATGCCTAACCAGGCGCCTATCCAGAGCGCCCATAACACCGTCCACCATCCCCCTTTTACCCAAAAGAGTTACCACGCCCTCCATGACATCCAACCCTCATCACCCACCTACATACCCAACACCTACTACACAGTTCCATTATACACATCCCTAAGCACGGGTCTCGAATCCAGAATCCCCCTCTTTCCAGCCCCGACGACCTTCTTCGGCGTCTTCAACTTCCTTTCCAACCCAGGACTCGACAAAGGCGTCTTATTTCCCTTCCCAACCCCCGCAACCTTCACCGCCATCTTATTGACGACGTCGCTCACAGACACCTCGCCGAGCGGTTTCCTAACCCTCTTCTTACCCGGCGACACCACCTTCTCAGGAGAACAAGAAGCTACCCTGCCTCTCCTCCCCAACCCCGCAGCACTCCACTGCGTCGTCATCGTCCCCTCGACCGCCTCCCCAAACGCATGCCCCTCCACCATCTCCATACTCAAATCCCACACCCACCCCCTCGCCCTACACATCTCGACAAGAGACCTCAACAGCTCATTCCCTCCCAACGTCCTCTCGCTCCCGACAAGCAAAAGCTTACTCCTCCCCCGCGTAAGCGCCACATTCACCCTGCGCCGATCCTTCAGCAAGTCCCCTACAACGCACGCCTCGTTGCTCCGCACGCAACTCACGAGCACGACTTCCTTATCCCTGCCCTGGAATTTATCCGCCGTGTGGAGTTCGACGGCGGCCGCCGACTCGGGGCCGACGGCTGCTGCTGGGTGGTGGGCCGCGAGGAGCTCCGACGATTGCGTCTGCGTGTGCGCGTGCGAGAGGGATTGCCGGAGCAGCGCGAGTTGGCTGCGGTAGAAGGCGATGATTCCGATTTCCGAGGGTGGGACGCCGAGGGAGAGGAGGGAGAGGGTGAGGTGCGTGATTACGCGCGCTTCGAGGCTGTTGGTGATGCGGGGCCCGGATTGCGTTTCTAGGGTTGGGGAGATGGGGTCCGTGTTTATGAACATGACGGGGTGGGAAGGGTCGAGGGTGCGGGAGAGCCAGCAGGTTGGTGAGGTCGGGGAGGGGCAGAGGGGTGTTTTGAGGGTTAGAGATGAGTGGCGCGGGTGGTGATGGTGGGCTTGGAGGCCGTCCGGGTGAGGGAAGGTGAGGCGGCGGGTTGCCACGCTAGGGGTGCCGCATTTGAGGCGTCCCGAGTAGATGAAGGTGTTGGAGAGGAGCATGATTTCGGCGCACATGCGGTACTGGTGTTCGAGACTGACGACGGCTTCCGGGTGCGCTTCGCAGAGGAGTTTGAAGAGTGAGACGTCGAGACCACCTTCAGAGGCTTCCTTGTTTTGCACCAGAGGTGGGAGTTGGTGGTGATCGCCAACCAAGATAAACGTCTTCGCCATGCGGATAGGCCCAAGACACACGGGAAGCGTGATCTGAGAAGCCTCGTCGACGATGCAGTAGTCGAACACTCGGCGGCCGAACAGAGGGTGATTGATTGACAGACAGGTCGTCGCTACAACCAGTGGATCCATCCAGGACTTTTCCAATTCCTTGAGAGACTCTTTCGGCTCCGCTGCCAAGGTCGCGAATTCGCGGACTTCCGGGTGCACTTTTGCAGCTGCTCCGATGCGCAGGATTCCAATGTTGTCGTTTCGAATCTTGAGAAGGATATTGTCCACGGCAGTGTGCGTATACGAGGTCAGCAAGACACTCTTGCCCTTTGCAACGAGTGTGCGAATGAGATGTGCAATCGTCGTCGTCTTTCCGGTGCCGGGCATGCCGAGTACAAGTGCGTAATCCGTCGCCGACATGACTTTGGCTACGGCAGCTTTCTGGTCGCTGTTCATGGCCATTTGTGAGGACTGCGGGGGCAATATAACCTCGCTTTCGGGCTTGAAGCCGGGTGCTCGAAGTTCAACGATGAGTGAACGAAGGTCACGAGCCTTGTAGACGCTGTCATCCATGATCTGGATCAGGTTGTTGCGTGCTGCCGCCATCCCATTGCTGAATTCGTCCTTGTCCAGGCGATACAGAACCGGCTCCTCATCCTCGACAGCCACCGGAGGGCCTTCGCCTTCTCTGAAAACCTCCATGACTCCAGCGAACGTCTGATTGGTTTTTGAGTCGAATCCAGGCAGTCTAGTGCGACTATTGTGTAGTCGTCTATCGACGGCTACCGTGATGCGGCGCTTCCGTACATTGGTGACATAGCCATTAGCGAGTGCAAAATGGCCTCTTTCGTCGGACACGATAACGGGCTCGCCAACGACCAACTGGGATTCTGTGAAAGAAAAGCCGGGTTTCGGATGTTGCTTGATGAAGGTGTAGCTGAATCGATTGATCTTCTGGCCATTCTTCTCTTCATGGCCGGATCCCGGTTCCAAGATTACGTTTGAAAAGCATCGTCCCAGCTCTTCTCGCTCGGTACTCAGCATTGTCCACAATTCCCGACGGAACCTCATCATGTCGGATTCTTCCTTAGTAAGCAAGGTGTCCCACTTCTTCATAAACTCCTGGTCCATTGGCTTCAGCGATTTAACCAGCTCGTCGTATCGTTCCTTGGCCTTTGCATTCAAGAGTTCGCCCTCTCCATCTTCAATGAGTTGGTTATACAAAAAGCACGATTCCTGGGCGTAGCATTTCTGGCATTTGAAGTCTTCTTTCAGCATCGGTGGCAGTTCGATGCGCTCGCGTACATAGCAAGCAAGTTCGTTGCGCTTGATGATCATATGCATGATGTCGTTGCGAATGGTAGGAATGCGGCTGATGTCGGATGTCTCCAAGTAGTACAAAATCCCATATGCAACTTCGACATCTGCCTCCGTCAGCATCAAATCGGTGAAGCGTGTCAAGTAGCTTACCATAGCGATTAGACAAAAGCAGATTATACAAAGCCGTTTGAGCTACATGAGCAGCGTTAGACGAGTTTTTGCCCGTCTTCACCTCGAATGGGACCATAAGAGTACGTTGTCCTTGGTCGTCTTGCATAACAACCTGGACTGTGGCATCGATGTTGCCTTTCAGGCCATACATTGGGGACCAGACGTGCTCCTCCACGTCGAGCAATTTGTTGATGCTCATGATCGCCTGTCGGCCATTTCGTTCTCGTACGACTGCATCAGCCTATGTATGTTAGCCAGATCCGAATGCCACGCGCAGTAACAACTCACCCTAGGCTCCGCTCGTACGAAGATCTCGGCCCAAGACTGGAGCTCCGGTAGTTTACTCAACAAATGCTCCTTGACCTGCTCACACGTCTGTTCGATCTCAAGGATTGTCTCGAATTTAGTTGGGAGAATCTTGTCAATGGCCTCAGAGAGAAACTGGGTGTCCCATCTGTTTTCTCTTAGAGCCGCCTGAAACAGCTCGTGAAGGAGTGTGCCATAGAGCATTGGCGGGTTTGCCTTGCTTGTCGCCTTAATACGGTCTTGGAGAACGGCGCGTCGCAAGCAACCGAAAGAATCAGCGACGACGGTGGCGGAAATCAGATGGTCAGGATGCAATATGATCATGTTGTGATGATCGTCGACGACGCATTGTCCTGTCCGGGAGAACTGGCCGATGAGATGCACGTACGAGTTCGGCGTGCACGGCGTGTCATACCAGGCTTGCCGTAGTGTGATGGCTTTGAAGAGCTTCGTTTTCTCCTCTTCTACTAACAGGACCTGCATAGGCGTCAGTGAGATCATGAAGATAGATGGTGGTATCATGAGGGCCAAGGCACCTTTTCGCGCATCTGATAGCCACGTTCAGTTGTATACGAACCCTCATCAACTCGTTTAATGAGGTAGCGTTGGATGGCCCTAGTATCTTGACTCTACAAGAGTCAGCATCTTTCATTGGCCATGATGATCTGGAGGTCTACATACAGTACTAGGTGCCTGTGTCGCCGCGACTTCAGCTGCGGCGAACTCATCAACATCAATGTCATCTCCAAAATCATCCGAATCATCGTCATCGATGAGGTTAACAACAGGTACATCCCCTTCAACTACCGAAGCCTCCTCAGGAGAGTCCCTGACTGCGGCCTCAGGTTGCACAGGCGTAGTCTCCGCCCTATTGTCATAGAGCGAGGCCACTTGTTCCAAATCCGCAGCAAATTCTAGCTCGTCATCCAAGCCGAATTCATCATCGCTGTCGTTATGCAAAACAGGCGGGGGAGCTGCGGACTCTGACTTGGAGGGTACGAAGGCTGGTGGCTCTTGAGGAACCGCTGGGACAGGGCCATCATTCGGAAGCTGCTCTGTCGCTCCCTGAGTTAACTCAAGTGCCTCCACCATCTCGGCATCAAAATCGACGTCACCAAAATCGTCCGAAGAACTTGATGATCTCCCGGATTGCACAGGACCTGGAGCTTCCTCTTCTATTGCTTCCATTTCCGCTCCCAGTGGAGCATCGTAGGATTGCTCACGGGCGTGCCGCTTCAGAGGCGAATCGGATGGATTCAGGTGACGACCAGTGATGTCTGGGAGAGGGGACGAGCTGGACGGAGCTTTAGGGGAACGTGGGGACTGGCCTTTGGGTATTGAGTCCCGCATCCGGTGCAGTAGGTCCGCAATTCTCGACGTCTCAGGCTGTCCCTGGACCGCACCGTCCGAGCTCGGCGCATCGAAAACATTACCTGCGTCAAGACCCAGACCAGACGCTACTCTGAAAGCTCCTTTCGTTCTCCGCCGCTTAGTTGCCGATGTAGGGAATTCGTCTCCGCAACTGGCCCATCGCCGCAAACCACTGACGCTCCCTGCGGTTGTGGCTGACCGAGGAGATATATCATTGATGAGGTGGGCAAATGCTTGCGTCTTGTTCATCGGGGGTGTGCCCTTATTACTCGTATAGCGGCTCCATAGCTCGGTAGCCGGATCGGCAACAGGTGTTTCGTGATTCCTTAGTGGTTCGAGCAGTGCCTCCTCCTGGGATGCGGCAATGGGCGATGAACTCCTAGCACGTTTCCTGTTCTTCCTAGGCAGTGGCGTGTTTATGGGCTGCGACCCGCGCCAACACAGTTGCTCCTCCGGGGAGACATTTGGCCTTGGGGTGTATCGACGGGAATCCTCCTCATTTCCCACCAACTCAGCCAAGGGCAACCTTGTCGCGGGAGTGGAGGGAGGGGGAATCGATTTCACTTGCGGAATCTTCGGTGTCGAAGAGGTCTTTTGATGAGGGGGTTCGGCTGCTCTGTTGATGGCTTTGATGGGTGTAGCAACAGGCGCATTCTCTTTGTTTTCCTCCCGCTTCTTCAAGGACTCCACGGATGGGGCACCATCGATGAATTGAAAGGCCTTCAGCTTGGTCCTCGTCTGCGAAGACGGCATGATAGGTGGTCCAACTGCTAGACACCGCTGAGGAGGGGCGTCCGGTCTGTTATGGTGGGGAGAGGGAGGACCTCTCCGGCGATTCCATTGACCTTTGTGATGCTAGAGAACAAGCACCTATATCAGCTGGGGAAGTGAAAGCAGAGCGGTTTGCAGGTATCCGTACCTTTGGCTTGGTGTCCTGCTCAAAGAAGGACTTCTGGCGGGTTGACATAAAGATGCTGTCGGTGATCCGCGCGTGGGTCGGCGGATGTCCGCAGCTGTGTTGGTTGAACGCGTCGGACGCGTCGTCCAATCAGAAACTCGCAACAGATCGCGCCTGTATCACGTGTCAAATCTCCCAAAGCGGCTAGCGCAGATCCCAGAGCGCGGCTCGAGATTCCCTGCGAACGCTTTACAATGGCTGCAGCTGCCTCGCATATGCATATCACACAGATGGTACTGATGGAGAGGTACATTCCCTCTCACAGTTGCTGAGATCCCTTCTCCTTTGGCCATTCAGATCTTCAAACGCTCCTCCACCGGCCTCAGTTCACCCACTCCATCCCGTGCTGGACCGGGCCATTTCTTTTGCCGGTGCTCGCCTCGCCAGCAATCGATTAGGAGGAAGCTTGGACCTCCACATCCCGCGGGTCGGGGAAATCCACTCGGGGCCCGCCAGTCACCCTGTTGAGGACGGTCGGGGTGTGCGATAATAACGACACTTCACACGACACTTCACACTCCTTCATTCCTCTTCACTACCTTCTATCCACCTCTCCCGTCCCAGGTTGTCATCATGACCACAAAGGCAGAGCCGAAGCCTCTCCCCTTCATCTACCAGTTCGCGGCTGGTGAGCTCCGATCACGGCAACAATTTCTGGCTGGTTGCTAATCAGACTGTAGGTGCCGTGGCCGGTGTGTCTGAAGTGAGTGGGCGTGGTTGCCGGAGCGGAATGGGCATATGGTGCTAATTGGGACCTCGTGCGCAGATTCTGGTCATGTAAGAGCACCGATGGAACGGCGCATCCACCCGCTGACACTTTCAGGTACCCGCTGGATGTTGTCAAGACCCGAGTGTAAGAGTTGCGCCATTCGCGGAATCGAGCAAATCCTAAAGTGTTTAGACAACTTCAGACTGGCAAGGGAACGGGCGAGGAGGCATACAGTGGCATGGTGGACTGCTTCAGAAAGATCATCAGGAATGAAGGGTACGCGACCCGCGCCTGTGTCCATTGAGTTCGAGTAATGACCTCTGGTAGCTTCTCGCGGTTATACCGTGGTATCTCGGCTCCTATATTAATGGAAGCCCCCAAGCGGTACGTCCCATTGTCGCATCTTCCTCTCGAACTCGGCCCTGACATGACTTTGGCAGGGCAACCAAGTTTGCAGCCAATGACTCCTGGGGCGCATTCTATCGCGACGTCTTCGGCCAGGCCAAGATGAACCAGTCCCTGTCTATCCTCACGGGCGCCACAGCTGGCGCAACCGAAGCCTTCGTCGTCGTGCCCTTTGAGCTCATCAAGATCCGGTTGCAGGACAAGGCCCAGGCGCACAAGTACAATGGCATGGTGGACTGCTTCATGAAGACCGTCAAGCAGGAGGGGCCTCTTACCTTGTACCAGGGTCTCGAGTCGACCATGTGGAGACACATTCTTTGGAACGCTGGTTACTTTGGATGCATCTTCCAGGTCCGCGCTCTGCTGCCCAAGGCGTCGGACAAGAAGGGTCAGATCACAAACGATCTGTTGTCGGGTGCGATTGGAGGAACCGTCGGCACCATTCTGAACACGCCCATGGACGTGGTCAAGTCGCGCATCCAAAATACGCCCAAGGTTCCCGGAGTTGTGCCCAAGTACAACTGGGCATGGCCGGCTCTCGGCACGGTCATGAAGGAGGAGGGATTCGGAGCGCTGTACAAAGGCTTCATCCCCAAGGTGCTCAGACTGGGCCCTGGTGGAGGCATCCTGCTCGTCGTCTTCACCGGTGTCATGGACTTCTTCCGGAAGGTGCGGGGCGACGCGTTGTAAGGAATCCCAGACGGGCGCATGGTCGGCGTTGGATGTTCTAGCCGGTGGGATCTTTGTTCGACTTCTAGCCCTTTCGTTTCGAGCATAGCATATGCATGGTTCAAAACGATATAGACTGTACGGACGTACCGTACGCACGTACATGCTCTAGGCCTACGCCCTTAGTGTACGGACAGCACGGATCCTCTCACATTTCAATCAGCTGGTACCATTGACTTCTGCAAGCCACGCGTCCCCAAGTCCTCTTCTCTTTTCAATGCTTCGGCAATCTCATTGTTGGACGCTGTTCAGCTCCGACCTGCCAGCCACAAGAGAGTCCAGAATCCCCGCCTAGCCAATTGGGAAGCTCCCTGATTCATGTTCATGTGTGATTCAATTCCTGAGGAACAACGGCTGGTTTATTTGAGTCTGCAGCTGGTCAATGTTGAGCGGTGAGAGAAGCTTCTCAATGTTTAGATGTCTGAGCTTTGCAATGTGGCAGCACAGGAGCTGTCATGCGCTGAGACGCATCAATGATATTGCAGGTGAGCGGTGCCCTGAAAGTTAGCAATGGCCAGACTAGGCTAATGCTCGCTTCTGTATTGAAAGGTTCCTGGTGTAGTGTAGAGGGAATCGTGGAAAGCGGAAAGGTGTAGCGAGAGTTATCTCTGATACCATACACACCTTAAGTACTCAGAACACCGAAGTCCGCTACATCAAAAGAAATAACTGTGTTCTGAACTGCAGCACCAAACTCCTCTCCCTAGAATGTTGCCATTCTGGCATTGTGTGTTTCTCGAAAGAGCGAGGGAAGCAAACCGTGTGGATCACCGCACAGTTTGCATCATGGTGGAACCCTTATTCCCCACCCATCTCGATCCTCCAATTAGTCCTGAGGTCCTCAAAGTTTCCAACAGTCGCAACCCCAGAACCCGCGGGGGTTTTTGTGCTCAGCAGGCTTGGTACTGTGTGGTTCCTGGCTACGTCACAGCTGGACCATGTGGGACCAATCAGAGCATGAGAGGGCGAGCTCACGTGGTGGTAGTCCACACTGGTATCAGGTATAAGATTTGGGTAAGGGATTTCAGCCGTTATTGTATTATACTTCAATTATTTCAAAAAAGTTCTCTATAATTGTGGAGAAGAGACTCAACGTGCTGGCGTCAGCTATAAAACCGTATCCCCATACCTCAGAGTCCTTCACTTCGGCAGTTCTGGCTTGTCAAAGTCAAGAGGTGGATTGAAAAGTGCATTCTCAGATTCTTTTTATTATTACATACTGAATGTGGGTTAAGGTCATTTCTCTACTCCCATGTCGACGGATTGCTGATGGATACAAGAAGAACGCTTTCACCTACGAGGAACCAACGAGGGATTGACTACCTGACGCACTGAAGACTACTCAACGACAAGTGCTATAACAGCCAGGGACTGTACACCATTTCAAATTCTTACCTACGGACCTACATCCCAGATCTGGACCATTCCTCTCTGGCCTCGAGCCACTACCTCGACCACCAGTTACCATGGACAACATCACCACACCTCCCAAATCCCCCCTCATCACCAACATAACCTCTCCCCCAACCTCCACCCTCCTCCCTTACATAAGCCTCAACACTCCCTCCACCCTCCTCCTCAACCTCTCCACCCTCCTCGCCGCCCTGCTCACAATCTACTACATCCACAACGACTACCTTCTCTTCCTCTCCCTCGGCCCCGGCGGCACCCCCTCCACACCCCTAGGCTACCTAAAAATCAAACTCCTCTCCCTAATCTCCCTCCGCGACCCTCTCCGCCCCCTCCCCATCCCCCCACACTTCCGCCCTCAAAAAGGGTACCTCACACCTACCTCCCTGCCCAAACGCCATGGTCCCAGACCAGTAATCAGGGGGATCGCGCCGCAACGACAAAAAACCGACATCTCCCCCCCACATATTTACCAAGCCTTCGTCCATGAACTCCAACTCCTGGCCGCGGATCCGGAAAACCTGCTCGTCGAGCGGACCAGTTGTTTTGAGAAGCACAGCTCGGGACTGTTTTCCACGGCGCCGATTACAAGGACCTGTGGCGGCGAGGTGTGTCATGTGCATCCTTCAGATGGCAGTTTGCACTTGACTTTGCATCCGGCGGATGCTAGGATCTTGATTGAAGCGGGGCGCGGGGAACGGCATCCGTTGGCGAAGGGCGGGTGGTTTAGACGGTTTGTGCCCAAGGAGTTTGTATTGGTGTATGCGCCGAGGGATGCGGAGGAGGTGAGGGTTGTGAGGGAGGTGGTGGCGGCGAGTGTGTGGTGGGTTAGTGGGTTGGATGTGCTTGGGCATGGGAGGGGGGATAGGATGGTGGCGAGGGGGTGGGATGGAGAGGAGGTGAGGGGGGAGAGGGAGAGGTGGTGTGCATGTAGGATGGGGAGTTTTGCCAAGGGAGAGGGGGAGAAGATGATGGGGAGGGCGTGATGGGACTTTAGGAGAGGAGGCGGAGTTACCAGCAGAGGATGAACGAGGGATATGATTCTAGCGGTTGTTAGGCCTTTGACATCTCTAGAGTTGACGCATTAGGGCATTGCGTATACCGCATTGCAAGATCACATCCATCACAAGGGCGCTCAAGACATGATGAATGATGAAAATTCACGGCAGCATCTGATTTTTCCCCAATAGATATATACACTAGTATCACGTTTTACAACTTCGTACTCCTTACCAACCCCGTCTTGATACCCGTCAACTCGCCCTGGTACCCGCCTCTCCCCTCCCCGCCCCCATACACCGGCTTCATGCTCTTCAACTTCTTCTTCTTGGCCTCAAACTTGAGCTTCTTCTTCACCCTGGGGTTCCGCACTTCCTTCTTCCGATGCGGCGTCAGGCCCTTGTTCTTCGCAATCGCATACGTGATCTTCCTCTTGCCGTCCTCGCCAATGACTTCCTCAGGCACCACAACCGCGTTCTGCTTGGCCGCGAGAACATAGGCGGCGGCGCGTTCAGCTTTCTCGGCCTTCTTGGCCGCGCTGCGAGCGGCGACCATGTCGTAGTAGTCATCGTCGTCGTCGCCGCCGTTGGCACCATTCTGCTGGGCACGGGCGTCGCCATCGTCGGAGCTGTCGTCCCCTTCACCCAGCGGCACACCAGGACCCTTGTCCTTGTTCTGGCCCCTCTTCTCTGCCTCTGCTTGCAGTCTCGCCTGGCGATCCTTGAGACGTTCCCGATGCGGGATATCCGCATCACCTCCCTGGTCCTTCCCTGCTGCCCCGCGCTTACTCGCCTTCTGCGTAATCTGCGACGTATAGAAGCGGAGCGACCTCTTCTTCCTCGCCTTCTCCGCAAGCTCGTGCGCCGTAAGCGTCGTCTCCTCGCCAAAGTCGGAGTCATCGGCGTTGAGCAGGTTGAGCAGCGGTTGCTGCGGAACCACCTTCTTCTGCTTGACACCGGCTTTCCGGAGAGCCGCCTTGTCGGTGAGGCTGGCGAGTTGGCCCAATTCCTGCTCTGTTTGGCGCAGTTTCTCCGCGCGGCGGGCGGCGGATTCGGCTTGTGCGGCTTCCTGGATGGCTTGCGCTTTGCTTTTCTTCTTTTGCTTCTTTTCTTCGCGCTTGCGGGCGATGGCTTCTTGGAGCTTGGCTTGTTGGTCTGCTTTCTTGTCTGGCTCGGGGCTCGGTTCCTCGATGGCGGAGACTTCGTCGGCTTCGGCGGCTTCTACCATGGGGTCGTCGATGGGCAGGCTCTCGACGCGCTTCCACAGCGTTTGGCATTTGAGCAGGGTCGCCATGACGGGATGTCGATGGAGTTCCTCTGGGTCGAGCGCAATACCGGCGGAGCCGTCGTCCTTTGCCGTGGATGTGAGAATCGCAAAGTACATGCACATCGCACCCAGGTACGATGCACACGCCCAGTACTTCAACACGGCCGTAGGTTTGGGCCGCAGAGCTCCATTCTCCTTGCCTTGTCTTCCCTTTGCAACGCGCTCGGCGGCTTCGGCGGCGGCCTTCAGCTGGGCATGCAGTGGCTGCAGCTCGAGATAGTCTTGACGGATAGGTTCAAACTCGGGGTATCTCGAATGCAGAATCTTCAGCTTCTCCTTCTCGCTCATGCTATCCGTGATCTGCAGCTGGGGCAGCACTTCTGTGACTACTTTTGTTGCAGGGCCCTTCTCGTTCTCTGTTTGGCCCAGCCATTCGTTCTCGTCGAACCCAAAGTCCGCCTCCGTCATCGCTTGTAATTGTTTCTGCTGTATGCGCCGCGCTTCTGCTTCTTCGTCGAGCGCGTCCTGCTCCGTCTGGATGGCGTCGGCATTGTAGTAATCTTTCTTCGACGGACCCCATCCTTCCTCATCTTCATCCTCATTCTTCTTTACAAGGCCGAAGTCGTCGTCGTCTTCGTCTCCTGACGGGCCTTCCACATCCTCATCACCATACTCTTCCTCCTCCTCATCCTCCGTCCCATCCTCCACCTCGAGAACCTCCTCATCCGACGACTGCAAAAACTCATCTAAAATCGTCAGCCATCCTCTTCACGCACGGAAGCTAATAGCAGCACCTACCCTGCTCCTTCCACTTCCTCAACCTCTTCGCCGCCGGCCCTTCCTCCAGCAGCACCTTATCCCGCTGTATATGGAACTCGTCCTCCGAGTCCGCCACATCTTCGAAAGTGGTGACGCGCATCTTGGTATTCTCTTCTTCTTCTCCCTTTGGGGCTTTGGAGTCGCCGAACGGGCGACCGTTCGCTTTTCTTTTCTTGCCCATTTTGCACGGCGAACTGGTTTATCGGAGGTCTGCGCTGTCGAGAAAGGATGGTTAAATGTATGCGCAGCGCGCAACTTTGAGGATACGGAGACTCTTTGCCGCTCTCGTGGCGTAACCACGCTCGACGTTCGCGATGTCGTTCAAGCTCCGACTTTCCAAATTTTTGGAAAAGCACGGACCCGCGGGGCGCGTCGGGCGATAAAACCAGCCCGCACGCTAGGCCCTCTGTGGAATATTTATCTGACTAACGAACGCAGGGGTAACTTAGCTCAACCCACCCTTCGACGACTTCATCGAATAATTTGTCGAGGGCCATTTGGACGTCGTCGGCTAACTACGCAGTCGAAACGGGGTCAAGGAGGTCTCACGTCAGACTGTACGGAGTAATCTTTTAAAATTGACTCCTGAAGCCCTCAGGCCCGAATCCAGAGCAACCAGGTCCTCCCTCCGTATGGCGGCATATCTCTCCTACGCAGCAATAGCACTGCTCCTCCTGGTGCTCTACCTCAGCCTCGACATCATGGGTATCCTCAGCCGGCGCAACAAATTCGACGTCGATGGGCGCGTATGTTCTCCCCAACTCCGTCCTCAACTCCACCTTCCTCCCTCCACTCTACTCAAACGAACCCCTACTAACACGCCCCAGACCGTCCTCCTCACCGGCGGCTCCTACGGCATGGGCCGCTCCCTCGCCGCCCTCCTCTCCTCACGCGGCGCCTCCCTCATCCTCGTCGCGCGCGACCCCGCAAAACTCGCCTCGGCCGTCGAGCACGCAAAATCGCACGCCAAACACCCCTCGACGCAGCGCTTCACCTACATCTCGGCGGACGTGAGCTCCGAGGCCGAGAACGAGCGGCTCCTCAAGGAAGCCACGGCCTGGAACAATGGCAAGACGCCCGAGGTCGTGTGGGCGCATGCCGGGTCCGCGTCGCCGATGCTGTTTGTCGAGAGCAGCATCGAGACGCAAAGGAGGCAGATGGATTTGAATTATTGGGCCGCGTGCTACTTGGCGCATAAGACGCTGAGGGCGTGGTTGTACCCGGAGACGCCTTACCCGGCCCAGACGAAGACGGATGGGGAAAAGAAGGCTCAGCCGGAACCACCGCGCTACTTCATCGTCACCTCCTCCGTCATCGCCTTCGTCAACATCGCGGGGTACGCGCCCTACGGCCCTGCGAAAACGGCCCTGCGCGCCCTGTGCGACGCGCTGAATATGGAGATCCTGCTGTATAATGGTGCGAGGAGGTCGAATAAGGACACGGGAACGTCGCCCGCGCCGTTCGATATCCACGTCCGCGCCATCTTCCCGGGGACCATCAAGTCGCCCGGTCTGGAGCAGGAGAATAAGACGAAACATGCTGTTACGCATTTGCTCGAGGAGTCGGACCCGGCGCAGACGGAGATGGAGGCGGCGGTGGCGGCGATCAAGGGGTTGGAGAGGGGGGATTTCATGACGGCGACGAATTGGCTCGGGGAGGTGTTGCGGATCTCGAGTTTGGGCGGGAGTAAGAGGAATGGTGTGGTGAGGGATACGTTGGGCCAGTGGTTGACGAGTTTGGTGTGGTTGGTCGCGGGGCCGGATATGGAGGGCAAGGTTTGGGGGTGGGGGAAGAAGGAGGGGATGCCGGAGTTCAGGCCGGAGGGGAGTCGGTGATTCATGGGTTGGTGGGGCTCGGCGTTCGAGGTGTGCGTTCCTGGTGAAAACGGTGTGAGGTTAGGAAATAGAAGGGGCTATAAGTATAGGGGTGGATTTCCAGGCGGAGATAATATTAGGGGGACGCTGTTAGCGTGGATTTCCAGGCGGACATAATATTAGGGGGACGCTGTTCGCATGGCTCTGTACAATATGTACGATATGTATGATACCAGCGAAGCCATCATGATAGTCGGCACCTCCACATCTCGAGGCGGAAGGCTTGCCCATCCATACACCGCGAACCTCCATATCATATCCCAGCCGCACAGCCAATGTTCACCACCTAACCCAAGGTCCACAGCTATCCCTCCGCAAAACCACCAGGGAACGCTCCAGTACCGTAACCCCTCGCAGCTCAACCCGGAAAGCCCCTCTGTCACGTATATTCACACCACAAACTCCCCAGCCTCAACCTCACGCCTTCCCCCCCCTCCTTAACCCACCCCAAAAACCTCTCCCTCGCCTCCCTCGGTCCCCAAAACCCCCTCCTCCCCTCCCTCCCCGCCTCCAACCCCAAATACGCATACGGATCCACATCGCCCAAGACCTCTTCCCCCTCCCTCGTCACGTACCCTTCCCTCGAGGGGCCCTCGCGCGATATCTTACCCGCCCAGTGCGACCATTGGATGGGTTTTAAAGGCGGGGAGGAGAGGACGATGCCGGTTGTTAGGAGGGCCAGGGAGAGGAGGAGTTCGAGGGGGATGTCCCGGGGGAGAGGGGAGAGGGGGTGCAGGGAGGTGTGTTCGTGGGTTGAGAAGATGCTGGGGGTGTTAGTGGTTTGGGGTTGAGAGTGGGGAAGGAGGGCATTGTTTAGACAGAGGGGAAAGGGAAAGAAGGAGACGTACGCGTGTGCGAGGAATATTGCGCCTACGACGTTTAGGGCGGCGGCTAGGAAAGGCATGGTTTCTGGAAGGAAGCTTGGATTCCTCTGGCGGAGCTGGTCGGTTGGCGAGATGATTCGAGCTAGGCGCTGCGCAGATGGCGTGATCACTTCTTCCGAATTGTTGGAGGGAACTCGAGTGTGCAAGGGAGGGATGGGAAGCAATTAATCTATAAGTACGGAGGTGCTCGCTGCCGTTGTCGTGAGAGAGAGCTGGGTGCTTGATGTCGGAGCTGAGGATTCTCCGCGCGAGGAAGATGCTCAGGTCGTGGAAATGGATGACTAAGCAAACCAGCAAGGGATGATTCGGTCTACAGTAGATAGTGCTTTTCTTGTCCATATTTTCAAATGTTTCAACACCACCTGCAGTTGAGGAAAGGTCTGACACTCTGCCATATATTGTACATTATCCCCGTATAGCTTGTCACAGTCTACTACTATTGCCTAGAGACAGGTCACCCTCTCAGTCGTCACATCGTAAGGAATCAAGACTGAAAAGGGACACGGCGTGCGGCGCGCCCAGTTCTCCCAATATTCCCGATCCACGCACTATCAACACCCAAAAATCTAAAACCAACCCATGACCAAAATCCTACCAAGAGCGAAAAAACAGTGGTATATAGCGTAACAGAACCCGCCAATGCCAAATCCCAAGATATACAAGTCCATCGTCCCTGGATGCTAATCAAGAAAGACCCATACCAGACTACGGGCGATGCGCCCAGTCAGCCAACTGCTGCGACGAGTCGACCGAATCGTGGTTCTTCTCGCGATGCTGGCCCATGGCCGAGGGATGGTTGTGGAGCGAGTGGGTCGACATGCCTTCGTCGACCTCGAGGTCCTCGTCTTCCGGGAGATTGACTTCGCGGGTGAGCTCGACGTAGTCGTACTGTTATCGCGAGTATTAGTCTTGATCTTGATTGACCGTATTTCCTTGCTGTCTTCTTCTCTTGATTTCGAATACGGGCATGGGAAGAGGAAAGGAGTGGAAACTTACAGCAAACTCCCCAATCTCCACATCATCAATGCCCAACACTTCTTCCTCCTCGCTCGCCCTGAGCTTCAACAGGGGAAGAAACTTGCCGATGCCGTCGATGGCACCGAGAATGAGGCAAGTGACGATGAAGGAGTAGGAGCCACCGGCGACGGAGTCGGCGATTTGGTAACCCAGCTGGATCCAGTGATGGTTCAGCCAGCCGCCAGAGATGACGGTGTAGCCGTCCAGGTGGGCGATGTAGTCGCTGTGATATATTCATTAGCTTGGGAGAGGAGATGGAAGTAAAAGGAGGACGTACGCTGCGAAGAAGGCAGTCAGGAGATTCCCCACAAGACCTCCCACGCCATGCACAGCAAAGATGTCCAGAGCATCGTCGCAACGCAGGAAGTACTTGAGCTTCGTCGCGTAGTTGCATGCAACTCCACCGCATACACCGAAAACAACGGCCGCCCATGGGGGAACATAGCCTGAGCCAGGGGTAATGGTGACCAAACCGGCGACCACGCCGGAGCAGAATCCGACAGTGGACCACTTGCGCTCGAGACGGTAGTCGACGAGACACCAAGTGATTCCGCCTACACCAGCGGCAAGATTCGTCACCACGGCCGCCATGATGGCGCGCAAGTTGGCCGACATGGCGGAGCCCGCATTGAAACCGAACCAGCCGACCCAGAGAAACACGGTTCCGATGACGATGTGTGTGACGTTGTGGGGGCGGTAGTTGAGCTCCTGGGTTCCGTGGCCCTTCCTCTTGCCCAGCATATAGGAGTAGGCGAGGGCGGCACAGCCAGAGGCAATGTGGACGGGCGTGCCGCCGGCAAAGTCGAGACCGCCGAGCTGGTACACCCAACCCGAGGAGTTCCAGGTCCAGCAGGCGAGGGCGTCGTAGACAATGGTCGTCCAGATGAACATGTAGATGATGCAAGGGAGGATGCGGCCCCTTTCGGCGACGGCTCCTACGCCAATCGCAACGCTGTTAACGTCAATATGACCGATCTCTTGTCTAGTTCGTAAGAAGGGCAAGCCTACGTGATGGCGGCGAACATGCCGTGGAAGACGCAGAAAAGCAAGTCGGGGACACGAGGGCTACCGATTGAGGGTGCACCCAGCACGCCCTTGAGGCCGAAGTTGTCCAGGTTGCCGATGTACTTGGTAGCGGAGTGTGAGAAGGCGAGAGAGTAGCCCCAGAAGAACCACTGGAAGGTGACGACGGCCGTAGCCATGACCGAGAGCCATAGTAGTGACAAGGCTGATTTTCTCCGTGCTAGGCCCGAGTAGAAGAAGCTGCAGAGAAGTCAGTGGTTTTTCTTATGAAAGGTTTTGGAGGTTTGGATATTGTGACATACCCAACACCGGGGATCATGAGAAGGACAAGGGCCGTAGCTGTGATCATCCAAGCGATATCACCGGGCTAGCGGGGTAGGTTAGCACTCTGGAATATAGAGAGGAAATTGGCAGTGCTTAAGACTTGCATTATAAAAGACGTTGAGATTGTACAGCCTCGAGTCGCCTCCATTGATGTCGGTGACGTTGTGGAAGGGCTCCAAAGGCGTGGTGGGATCCAGGCCGGAGGATACAGGGTCCATGTTGGCGATCTGATTTCCCACCTGGCCCTCCAAGGATGCAATACCAGCAGTGCGGGGCCGCGTGCGACGTCTCTTTCCAGGTCCTGCTCAGCAGACAACCCGGGAAGCAGAGGATGGGATAATGGAAAGGAAAAAGGACGAGTTGGTGAAGGTTGAAAAAGATGAAGGAGTGGACGGAGTGCTCCGAGGATCCGAGGGCTGAGATCCGCAGGTCACTCCCAGGGATCCAAAGTGCAGCGACTTGGCGTTGGGGTTTCGTTGTGATGGTGGATAGACAAGGCGAGGAGAGAGAAGTCGTGTGCCACCGTGGATCAATGGCTGATATTATACACAAAAGGGTCATCAGAAAGGTGGGAGTAGTCGAGTGTAGTCCCAAAATAAGGCCATCATTATCTCAGTCCCCCCCGGAACTGGATATACTGTTAAGAAAGATTATTGTTGCGCTCGACCGTTTCCTGCACCGGCCAAGCAAGCATGAAGGGTCCAGGTCAATCATCAGCCACGCCGTGGGGTGTCAGATAGGAGCATCTTGGGGCAGCCAATGGCCTTGCGTGGTTGGCCATCTGGGACGAGTTTCGCGTGTTTCTTCTTTCGGCTCCCGGCCACGAGCGAACCACACGAGTGGGATGCCAGGTCCTGGTGTTGATGCTGATTGCCTTTTTCTCTCTGCTGTGCTGTGAACTCGTCCTGCCATCTGACTCGATTTCGGATGGTAGGCGAACCTGGTGGAGAAACACAATCGCTTCGCGGTAAACGTCTTCGGACCCGGTTCCACGAGCCACGGCAGCATCTTCGAGAGGATGAATTATTATATCTCGTTTGGCCCATTTCATGAATTGTTATCAACCGCAGTTGAGCGTTGCCCATCTCGTTTTCTTATCAGTATCCCAGGAGCCAAGCCCTTCCCCGCTCAAAGAGGGAAGGCGCCGCACAGGGCCCAGACTTCCACCGGTGGACCGCAAGCCGTTCGCACCTCTCCCAACCTTCCCCAGGCTTCCCATCAGCACCAGCACCTTCATCACACGAATGGCGCCAGCCTCCCGCATTTCCCCACTCTTGTCGAGGCACTCGCTGGATCCTTCGAACCCTCTGCCTGCCTGGCCGAGATAAGTTTATCTTGATATCAGTTCTCTCCCGTAACCTCTCGAGTAAGACGAGTATGCCGCACTGCAGCATGGTCCACCACTGTGGCATAAAAAACGTTCGATGAATCCCAGAGAATAAGGTGATCTCCATCCCAGGACGCCGACGCCAGGCCGTTTGCATCTCCATGTGCAGGAGCCTTTGCCTTGGGGCATCTCCAGGAGTTTCTTTTTCCGGCCCGATCCCCGTGCGGCGTGCTCACGGCTCCTTGATATCTCTTCGAATAATCTCTATGACTGTTGTTCTGCTGATAAAAGAGTTATGTACTCCGTACGGTATCCAGCCTCGTCGCACGTCTACGGGGTGATTTCCTGTAGGTGTTCCTGGTCTTTGGATCCAGGGCTGTCATATATCCACCTCATGAATTTCAGTCGTCGTGTCTGACAAACGGGGGATGCTTGTATTCGCCTTCACAGATACGAAGTAATGGTTTCTCCGTGGCAGTAGGAGCTGTAATTGCTTCTGCGTGCATCGAGTCCGGAATGCAACATACGAAACACTCCCTCCTCAGGAGCTGCATGGTACCTGCATCCGCACGTATTGATAACTCAGCGCAGGCAAGTTGCCGTGGAAGGGAGGTGGAGGTGTACACCTGTTGGGAGTTTGGGAGGGTTGGTAAAAGCCAGCATATCCTGAACTTGTGCCGCTTTCATGGTTCGCGAATGAGGCATTTCTCATTTCACAGACGTTTGCAGTCTCCCAACCAGTTGCCCAACTCGATCAGGGATGCCGCTCATGATCGGTCTTGCTCTCAGTCGTCTCCCATTGCTGGTCCATCTTGACTTGTCTCAACTGTCAGGCATGTCTTCCCAAGGGCAGCATGACAGATGCTGCAAGAAGCACCATGATGTCAAAGGAAATGATCCTGTTCGGATATACATCGGACTTGGTGTGAAGATGCTAGGTTACTCCGTATGCAATCCGTGACTTCTCCATGGCTTCTCTCGGATGACGTTCGGAGGACTGGTTGACCTTGGATGCCAGCATCATTGATCCTCGGTCGAGGGAGCTTTGGCCATACGGGAGCTACTGTGTAGTCACAGCACCGTGGTGTCATCAGTGGAGGACGTTATTTTAGTAGGACATTGGCAAAGCGTAGCTGGGCCATGGGAAAGGTGCAATCCCCTGTCCGTGGCGAATAACATCTTTGGTTAATAATTCAACGGCTTGCGAGGCTGTCCGCAAATATCTCCCAGTCCCTTCACCGCCGTGCAAGCAGCCCAGCATTGAGAGGTTGCTGCAACCACCTACATACTGTAGTATTTCGTCCTCCCGTGCACCGCCACGGGCCAAGAATTTGCAGAGCGCCACCTCCACCCGCCGATCGCTACTGCAAAGCGCAAGGAACGGCAGCAGCCTTGTTTTGCTTACAAGTATCCGTACTTATTCCTGGACCCTCCGCAGAGTAACCTCTATGAACCACGACTCTGTGCGCGGCGTCCGCTTCAATGTAGGGCCACACAACGAGCTGCTTCCAGAATCCCCCAGAGCCGCCATGAGCAAGCCCATCGTCGTCAATGCGCCCGATGCCCAAAACGACTCGTCCGGCCCAGGCTCTTCCGGCGATTCCGATCATGACCAGCTACCCGCCCACCACGGTGTCCACGAAGAGGACCACGCAGATGGCCACTACCAGTTTGTGCCGCCCATTGTAACCAGCCCGGTGGATGAGGCTCCCCCTTTGACCTCCTCTGCCTCGTATGCTTGGAACAGCAACCAGCCACGCCCTCGCACCCTCCAAGCCGGGAGCCGAGCACCCTCTTCCGAGAACGCCCAGCCCACGCAAGCAAACGGTATGAGCTCAAACACCCGCAATCCAAGGCCCTGCGCCGTCAGGACCCCCTCGAATGCCTATGCGCCGCAGCGTAGACCGCAGCAATTCTCCATCGACACGAGCAACCGCAACCGCCATCCCTCCACCACGCGCTCCCGCCGTAACCCCAATGCCGACTATCGTGCACAAGAGAAGGCCTACGTACAGCGGATCCGGCAAGAGAATGATCAGGAGGACTTCTTCGACGACATGCGCACACCTAGCCTGGGGTACAGCACCGACTCGGACTCGGACGACGAGTCACCATCGACCGTTGAGCACGTAGGGGAGGATGCCTACGACCAGGAGACCTTACTCTACTACGGTAACAATGACATGCAACCGTCGGCAGAAGAGCTCAAGATACCCGAGAACCGCGAACGTTTAGAATGGCATTCCATGTTGTCCAATGTGCTGAGGGGAGACGTTGTCAAACAGGAGAAGAAGAGGCTGATTGGCAGTACCGATCACCCAGGAGATACTGCTTGGAGAGCGGAGATGTGGATGGGGATTCGTGCCAAGGTCTGTGGCCGGTCGCTCCAGGCCCAACGGCGATTGGTCGACGACGGACGCGCAAGCATCAAGACAACGCTTGAGAACATCATTGCTTTTGAAGTCCAGGGTGAAGCGGAAGCTGGCCAAAGTGCGGCTGCACAGGTTCAGGAGGTTGTCAAGGAGATTGAGAAGGTCGAGAGCCTCTACCCGAATAGACTTGCTCTGGAGGCGGCTCACCCTAGGGCGGCATCTGCTGCTTTCAAAGACGCATGCGATGCAGTTTTCGCCTGGCACAATACCACCGAGTTGATCAGCAGAGAAATGTCCATCCTGAGGAAGTGGGTCGGCAACGACGAGCTTGATTTCTCGAAGCCGCGGGCCCGGACCGTGCAAGATCACCATCTCACCGACGACTCCTCCTTCATCGACCGCATCCTGAAAGAAGACGGGTTGAAGTCGTTACAGGGCGAGACGAGCCTTCTGAATGCCCTGGAAAAGGTCATATACAAGGCCAAGGAGACCCTCATTGCAAATGCAGAGGCGTTTGCAAATCGCCATCTACCTCCTTACATCGAAGAGTTGCTAACACTCATCAATTTCCCTTCCCGCCTCGTCCAAGATATCATCAAGATGCGGTTGTCGTATGCCAAGAAGATCAAGGATCCCTCTCAACGGGGCCTCATGATGGCCGAGCAAATGATATCACAGTTTCAGATCCTGCTAACTCTAGCTGGGAAGATCAAGCAGAGCTACATCAAGATATCACGACCGGAGCCGGGGTGGGATCTTCCCGTGTGCATCGAGGAAAACTTTGATCAGACGGTCATGGATGCTTTGAAGTTCTACTTCAAAATGCTGAATTGGAAGCTCTCTGCCAACAAGAACAATTTCAAAGAGGCCGAGATTCTGGAGCAAGAGTGGGAATTCTGCAACAAGCTTGGCCGTAATTTCGAAGGGGGTGATGTGGAGGTGGCCGAGCACTTCAGTTCCTTGACATCAAAGTCGTTGTCGCGGTTGACTGCACATTTCGAGAAGGAGCTTCAGCGGCGGCCCGACGAAGTCATTGCTGCTGAATTGGAGAAACGTTATAAGCAGATACTGGACTCCGTCCGCGTTCGGCAAAGGAAGCTGTTCCGCTTCTCCAGGATTCTTACGCAGCGCTTTGAGAACTGCACCGAGTACAGCATCAAAAGCACCGACCTGGACCACGAACAGTTGAACGATCTCTATGACTCGCTCATCATGACCGACCATTTCCTCGTTGAAACAACCGAAAGTGGAAATCCTGGCGTGTTTATCATCGCTTCACCCGCTCTCCAGGATCGCCCCAAGGATATCCAGTCTCTCCTCACAACATGTTACCACGCAGAAGAAAACCCAGAGGACCCCTCCAATCCATATACCCTCATCCTGAAGCCAGAAGAGCCGCTGTACTGGCGTGGGAAGCGTATGACGGCCGACATTCGGGAACCTATCCTGGACTTGAAATACGGTAGCTTGCGTGTTGTCGCCGATGGGTCCCAGCAGCGCCTGACCAACGCGAATACCAATTTCCTCGAAGCAATCGGCACCGATCTCAGCAAACTCATCGATCAGAGAGCGAACCTACCCCGAGTGAATGTTGAGCTCCAGAAGATTCGCAAGACGGCATATAAGCTCTCAAACACCATCATGGACAGCGTCGAGATCATCCGCAAGCAGACTGCCGGACTTGGGTGCCAAGACCTCATCCAGAGTTGTTTTGCCTTCGCAGCGGAGTTTGGGCAACGTTCGATCATGTATCTGGACTACAACCGCCGCGCTATGAACAACATCAAGTTGACACGGCTGGCTTTGGACTGGGTCAGCTTCATCTGTGACGACTGCGTGGCATCGGATCGGAAGACGTTCCGTTGGGCTGTAGTGGCTCTGGAATTCGCCATGATGATGACCCGTGGACAGAATATACTATCAATCAGCGATGAGGAATATGCTACCCTCCGTCGGAAAGTGGCTGGTTGCATGTCGTTGCTCATCTCCCACTTCGATATCATGGGTGCCAGGTCCACCATCGCTGCCCAGGCAGAACGGCAGCGTCTGAACGCGTTGGCCGGGAAGTACATGATGGAAGAGATGAACTCGAAGGATGACGACGAATCGATAGCCTTGACACAAGCACAGTGGATGGCTCAGTTGGAGGAGATTGACGAGCTTCGGAAAGCCAAGGAAGCGGAACGACAGGCTCTAGGAAGAGTACTTGAAGACTCCAACGAAGCCGATCGCGCTCTCACCTACCTGTCCTCCTCGGCCACCAATGTTACTCTGCGATGGCAGCAAGGTCAGTTTGTGGGCGGTGGAACCTTCGGTTCCGTCTACGCTGCAATGAACCTGGATTCCGGCCATCTGATGGCCGTGAAGGAAATTCGGCTCCAGGATCCCCAGCTCATCCCCACCATTGTCTCGCAGATTCGGGATGAGATGGGTGTTTTGCAGGTCCTCGATCACCCGAACATCGTTTCGTATTATGGCATCGAGCCGCACCGGGACAAGGTCTACATCTTCATGGAGTACTGCTCTGGCGGTTCTCTGGCTGGGTTGCTTGAGCACGGTCGCATCGAGGATGAGACGGTCATCATGGTGTATGCCCTACAGATGCTGGAAGGTCTCGCCTACCTCCACGAGGCTGGTGTCGTTCACCGCGACATCAAGCCCGAAAGTAAGTATCTATTCCTGCCATCCAAGTGACACGAAACTAAGTACCACCCAGACATCCTCCTCGACCATAACGGCGTCATCAAATTCGTCGACTTCGGCGCCGCCAAAGTCATTGCGCGACAAGGCCGCACCCTCGCCGCCGAACACGCCGCCACGCGCCAAGGCCGCCAACGCTCCATGACGGGCACGCCAATGTACATGTCGCCCGAAGTCATCCGCGGCTCGAACCAAGGCCGCCACGGCGCCGTCGACATCTGGTCGCTGGGCTGCGTGATACTGGAAATGGCAACTGGGCGGCGGCCCTGGTCGTCGCTCGACAACGAGTGGGCCATCATGTACAACATTGCGCAGGGCAATCCACCGCAGCTCCCCACCAAGGACCAACTCAGCGACCTGGGCATCGATTTTTTGAAAAAGTGCTTCGAGCGCGATCCTGCAAAGCGCGCGTCGGCGGTCGAGCTGCTGCAGCATCCGTGGATCATGGCGCTGAGGGCGCAGTTGGCGCTCGAGCCGCAGACGCCCGGGTCGGATAGCACGGGTAGTGGGCCGAGTAGTGCGGGTACGTCGAGGCAGAATTCGGGGCTTTATTAGGGGGGTGTAATGCTTTTCCTTGTCCTTCTTCTTGCTCTTCTTCTTCTTTTTCTCTAGCTGGTTCGCGGGCTGGCCTTTGAGTCGCATCGTTTTGATGATTTGTTCGTCTTTCGGTTGGGGATGTATGGGGCATATATAAGGGAGAGGTATACTTCTTTTAGTCTGTTTCCCTTTTTTTCTTTCTCCCCCTTTCTTCTCCTTTTCGGTATCTGCATCAGCGATGGCGTTGATGGATCTTTTGTTCTTTGATATCTCGGCCGATTCTGGGCAAAGCACATATATATTGTTGTATCTTTAGCATTAGCACTATATCTATACGTTTTCCCCCCACTTTATCGGTGTATTCCTGGTATATTTTCCATTCCTATCCTGTTTCGATACAGCAACAACATACTTATACCCAATACCTACGTTTGATTTGCTCTCATCGTCTGTCCGACTATTGTGTACAATAGTACCTAGTATACTTGAGGGACAACGCAGCCAGCCGAACCTCTAGCCGAAAACCGCACCCTTGAATACAAAAAGTTTGCACGAGAGCCTTGAGGCCGCTTTTCACTAGTTACGCGTGATTGAAACAGAGTCTAAAGCAGGCTATCTATGTAGTAGTCTAATAGTTATCCGGTGTGCTCGAAAGTTTGTAGGCTGTGTGTTGATGGATATAGAGTTGCTGGGGAGTTGTAGTATTGCATGTAATAAAAAATCAAAAAACGCGGCGGCTAACTATTAGGTGCAAGATTAGCTCGGAGAAAGATTCCTCGGTAAGCTTACTTGCTACTCTAGCATCTATCAAGCTCTTCTTGTCTGAACCCTGAGCAAGGAACTGGAACCGCAGGTCAAGGCAACAGAGCACTTCCAGATCTTGGTCTCTTATATATATATATCCATATATATGCGTCCAAAACCTAACTCTTCCTAAGCTGAGCAATTTCACGTCTAGCGAAAAGTGCACAAGGGAGGGAGGCTCACGGGAAACGCCATCCCACCCACTGCACACCTCCCCACCTCCTATCCTCTAAATCCTCGCCCACCTCATCATCACACCCACCACAACGACCGGCAAAACGCTGACCAGCTCCCCAAGCCCCGCAAACCGCGGCGGAACGCGCGCACTTACAAACGCGCCGGCGGCGAGCAGGACGGCAAACACGTTGTACACTCCGCTCCAGGCGAAATTGAAGGCAATCCGGTGCATCGATTTCCGGCTGGCGGCCATGGCGACGAGGATGCCCGACACGCCGGGACGCATCAGGACGACGTCTGCGGCGGATTGGGCCACGTCGGTGCCTTGCTTCAGGTGCACACCGATGGTGGCCTGGGCCAGGGCGACGGCGTCGTTGGTTCCGTCGCCGCAGAAGATGAGGACGGGCTGTTTCATTTTCTTCTTCCGTGTACGCGGGTCGGAATTGGTGGCGAGAAGGTCCTTGACGTAGGCTTGCTTGTCTGCCGGAGTGCAGCGAGATCGGACGTTGGCGTCGGGGATCCCGAGTTGGGATGCGACCGCTCGGACGGCACCGTCGTCGTCGCCGGAGAGGACATGGACGGAGATGCCGTTTTGCTGCAGCTTGGTGATGGTGGGGAGAGTATCCTCTCGTACAGAGTCCTCAAGGCCGAACACGCCGGCGAGTGAGCCATCCACCGTGAAGCAAAAGGCTGTATAGCCCTGGGAAAGAATCGATTCAACAAGAGCATCGTCCGAAAGGCCCAGCCATCTGGAATTACCTGCACGGAGGGTGCGGCTTGCAAAAGTGCCCTCGAGACCTCTGCCGACTATGTTCTTAGGATCGGATACTGTGATGGCTGTGACACCGTTCGTTCTGAGGTGGGCGGCCACGGCAACGGATACTGGATGCTTACTGCTTCCGATTAGGCCCAAGAGGAGAGCCTTCGTGCTGGGAGAAGCGCTGGGGTACTCCTCTCGAGCGATGGTAAGCTTGCCCTGAGTCAAGGTCCCCGTCTTGTCAAAGACAACGTGGGCGGTCTTTTATGCGACCTCGATGGCCTCAGCAGATTTGAAAATGACGCCTCTCTCGGCGGCAACTCCGGTTGCGACGACAATGACCATTGGGACGGCGAGGCCGATGGCGCAAGGGCAGGACACGATCAGGACAGTGATGGCATATGTAATGGCCTGAATGGTGGCGTCGGATCCAGACTTGTTCTGAACGGCGATGCCAACTGCAATCCAGATGCAAAAGACAACGATGGTGATGGTGACGACAACGGGAACAAAGTAGCTTGCTACGCGATCGGCAATCCTCTGAATCTGGGGCTTAGACAGCTTTGCTTCGTCGACCATTCCGGCGATAGTACTAATTGTGTTGTCACCCGGAATTCGGGTGAGTCGAACGGTTAGTACTCCTGACCCATTGATTGATCCGGCAATGACAGGAGACCCCTTGAACTTTTCAACAGGCCTTGATTCTCCAGTAAGCATGGACTCGTCGATTTCAGAAGAGCCAGAGATAACGGTTCCATCGGTCGGGACCCTTGATTCGGGGGTTACCTTAAATACGTCGCCATACTGAAGTAGCCTTGCATCGAATTCCTTCTCAACGCCGTCCTTGTCCACGATTGTAGCACTAGAGGTTTGCAGCGACCGGATCGAAATGGATTCGACGGCTTTCTGTCGTGCCAATGCAGCGATATAGCGACCGATCATGATGAGCGTGACGAGCAACGTACTGGTTTCGAAGAATTCGCCGGTGGACAAGGGCTTGTGGGCAACAAGATGGCCGAACGCCACGACGGAGAAGATGTAGGCTGCGCTTGTACTCAGAACAATGAGCAAATCCATCTCAATCACTCTCGAGAAGATCAAAGCCTTCAGCGCCTTTGGATAAAATGGCCCGGCAATCACAAATTGGATGACAGTTGCGAAAGCAAGCGAGACAGAACTGATGGTGACCTCCTTCTTCTCTTTGTCCGGAAGTGGAGCCCATGCCAGCACGAGGACGGGAATGGTCAGCACAATCGACAGCAACGTCATGTATCCGACGCGGCGGACATGTCTAGCGCCGGCGTCTAGAGTAGGATCAGTACGAGGCGGAGCGAGTGTCATGGAATTGGGCCAGCCCTTTTCAACGAGGTCTCGCGCGCCGACGACCCTTGCGTCAAAGTCGACACGGATGGTCTTCTTGTCTACCATCTTCACTTCCAAGACGCCATCTGGCCAGTCGCCCTTGACAATGTCACTTGGATCGCCGTGACAAATGAGATCAAGGCTGGAGCCATGGTTCGTGACGCGTTCGCACTCGAATTCGGTGGTCCTCTCAAGATGTTTGATGACCTCAACCACAGAGGTGGTGCCGATATCGAGGTCAAACTCCGCCCGCGAGAGAACCAGGCTTGTTTTCAGTTTTGTGATTGCGGGAAGTGTTGTTAGTGTGCGGGATAGTTTAGTCTCACATCCAGTGCAAGTCATGCCCGAGATACTGAGGATTACATGTTCCTTCCCAGAAAGAGCTCTTTCAAGGTCGACATTGCGCGCCGTGCCAGCCTCGATTTTCTTGCGCTTCTGCGTCGCTACCTTCTCACTGTAGCAGGCGTCGGCGCATGAAGAGGGAGGGTTCCCTCCCGAAGCTTGCCCATCGCAACAAGCATCGGCGCAGGAGGCAGGCTGGGCAGTGGAGCATCCTTTGCTGGACCCCGGCTTCGGGGTAGATCCACATGCGCTCGCCTTCAGTGCACAGCAAGAGTCGGCAGACGCACGAGAGACAACCGAAGCACGAGAGCAGGAGCGTCTCCTCTCCAAAGACGATTGCCGCCGCGGCGTACAGCAGGATTCTTGACCCAGAGCGAGCAGCGCGCGGCAGATGCAACCTAGCGCTTCGAGCTTGAACTGATACTGCTCGCGGGCGCTGCGGGCGTGCTGCCGACACGGCCTTCCGCCCTTTCCACGGGTACACTCAGAGGGTACATGGATTGTCTTGTTGGCTATAGAATGCAGATGTCAGCAGTGGAATTGCAGAGCACGGAATGGAGACGTACACCCAGCGGCACACTCACGGAGAGCAAGTCGGTCGATGCAGGAGGAATCGCAGCAAGGAGACGGTCTCCCTTCGCAGCAGCTGGGAGGCTTGAGGGACTGGGACTCGTCGTTGGCAGGCTTGGACGAGCAACAGCCGTCTTTTTTGGGGGCGTCTTTGGCCGAGCCGGTACCGCGGTCGTCGTCCTGGAGTTCAGCTGTAGCTGTGAAGACTGGCAGCATTCGACTTGGCCATCAATAATCAAGCTGGTGGTAGAATCGCGGCCGGCTTTGTAACAACTGCCTGCATCACGGTTAACCGGCGGTGGGGCCGGCGCGCAAGAGACGGTGGGAGGAGCCGTGGGCGTGCCGCAACATCCAGAACCGCAGGCCATCTTCCAAAGATGAGTGTGGAGGAGGTACCAGGGAGTTCAGCACGAAAGAATCTAAGCAATGATCGATAAACGATACGGAGGTGTTGCCCTGGTGCTTAGTATTCCGCCCTCGGATTCTGCCAAGACAAGGAACACCACAATCTTCGCCTTCCTACTACCTTTCGTGCGCCCTGTACGGAGCACCTAGTTCAGTTGCGGTGAATTCTCAAAAGTTGTGCTGTTAAAAGCTAGAGAAGTTGAAGAATTGAGGGAACAAATTTGAGAGACAGAAAATAGCGTGGTTAAAGACGTCGAGTAGAGGTGCATAGTTTGGCTTGGTATTAGCTATAGCTATAGATTTAGCAGATTAAACCTCATGGTAACACCTTTGTACGGTGGAGAGACGTGAATGAAAATACCTAGGTAGAGGCGGAGGAGGTCCTCCCATGCAGGTGACGCCCACGTACGTATGGTGGGAACGTTTGGATTCGGGCAGTCGCTGCGCACTTGGTCAATCGCTGTGTATACTAACTTAACTCGCAGTCCCGTGGGTCACTAGACGTACCACATTACTGTGTAGACGTTAACAGTCCATTCTCAACATCAGCAAAACCCGACGAACCCTTCCCAACCGTGTCTCCTCTCATAATTTCCCACTCCCCTGATTCCTTTTTTTACAAGTACAGTACAACGGCTGCCGCTCCCCATACCCCCGTTCAAACCGCAAATCCGGCTTCCTTGGCTTCCCATTCTCCACTCTCGCTCAACTCCTCTCAAGTCAATGCCAGCCAATCACCTCGCCTTTGCAATGTCGATGCGGCCTTATCATGCCCTTCGCCATTTCACCATGGCAGTTCATCCATGGCCAACTTCAGAATTGCATGGCCCGGCGGGGAGGGGTAATACACTACCATGGTTCACACTACCATAGGAAACAGTAGGGTCCGGTTTCAGTAGCGTATTGTGGTAGTTCGAAGCCGCGGCACGGCAACGCGCTAGTAGGTAGTATCCACTAGCGGCAACTCAGCGGATGCGGGATGAAGGTGCGGACCTTGGTGGTTGAGGGAGAGTTGGCGGGAGGGTTGCGGGTATGACGTCGTTGACACGCAGTAGTGTCTCGCTGCTAAGAGCTGGGGAAAGGGTCCGAGAGGGGTTGCCGAAGGGCCGAAGGGTTGCCGACGGGGTATGTGTACTTTGTACGTACCTGTCTACAGTTTAACCTACCCAGGTACTGTGTAAGTGCCGCTGATGTACTGCGAGTGAGGGTACAGTACTGTGTTACAGTACATGGAAAGCAACCCCTTCTCCAGCCACTCTGTGGACCTAAAGAACCGATTGGGTACGGAGTTATTCCGAGACAGAGCGCACCAAGATATCCAAATATCCCCGAAACAAAGCGAATTCAGCACGCATGCAGATCCTCCATGGTCGCAATTTGGTCGCGAGAGCGAGAGGGGAAACTCGGTTCTGCAATCTCATTGGTCGGATGGGACTCCCAGCACCAAGGACTTGTCAACAGTCAACAAGGGATGCTGGGAACGAATGAGCTCTTTGTTTCTTGATGCTTTTGCTGACGATGGAACTCAATGGCGGAAGCGGGGGAAGGAGTTGGGGGGTTATTAGAGTTCGCGGCTATTGGGGCGGAGTGGAACTGGAACTGGAACTGGGCCGTTCAGAATATTGAGGCGGGAGGGGATATTGCTGGGTGAAGGTTTAGTTGCATATTGTGGTATTGTGAGTGTGAGCTTTACGACTGCTCACGTCGGGAATAAAGCTTTGGAAGGAGGAATCAGCGTTGCCACTTGATACTATGTACAAGAAATACCACGGCATATATTCCGAGAAGTCCAGTTTATTACTGTCGATAAATCAGGTTCAGGGAAGGATGACAGGTCTTGATGGCGGTGTTTTTGCTGACGGTTGGACCAGTCATGGCGGTTTACTCGGTGTTGACGGCTTTCCTAGAAGGGCTAGCCAGGGTCTGGAGAAGGAGAATGATTACGACGAGCCTAGTCCGAAAAGGGTCCGGGTGGGAATGTTTGACCCTGCATGCGAGGAAATGAATTGGACTGCTCATCGCTTTTTTCTTCTTTGTTCCATGGCGGGCACCATACACGGCAACATGGCATCCATTATTGTCGACTCGGAAGCATGATAGTCAAAGTTCCGAAGTCTGACCCTGAGTGAACTTTAACAGTCCGAGGTTATCATCCCTCTCTCGTGAGGAATCACCAAACCCGACCGTCCGCTCGATCGGATCGCAAGGAGGCATGGCAGGGCGGAGTGGCCTACGTCATCACGGAAAAGGGAGTTGATGGGTGAAATGCCTGAAAGGGTTCCATACCGCAAGAGGAAAGAAATGCTTGGCAGATCGCGATCCACTCTGGATTCCGTGATGGAGAGGGGTGGTCGTGGCTTGTGCGTGGCTTCTGGACCGGGCGATGACAGCGGGTGGATGCAAGACGGTGACATCATGGGCAAAGGTGCATTGGCGGGAGATCGAAGCGCTGGCGGTGGATCGAGAAGTCGAGTGTGCGCGAGGGTCGGCGCTTGCCTGCTTGTGGGATAGCGCCGCCAAGGAGTCCCTGCAGCTTCCAGGGCTCCCAGGGCCAACTCCTCCACCACCGGATGGCTGAGGGAAATGCTCAGACGACGGGCGACCCGCCATGGTGCCCGTTATTTGCCCATACTGGTATTTATTTGCCCAGGGCGAAGATGCTAGAAAGTCTGACTGCTTCCAAGATGTTCTCTCGGACACGCACGCGGTGCGGACCCTGAACTCGGGTTTGACTCGAGAGAGGTGTGCAGCCCCGTGTCGTTGCACCACGGCTGCGACGGAACACGGCAGCAAATGTCGTTCGAGGGCAGTACAGAGGTGACGTTGGAACTTTTGCGCCACTGCGGGAGCGTGCCTGAGACGGACGAGACTGCTGTGCTGCTGTGTATACCATAGTATGTGTATCACCGTATATCGCCCTCCGGCACCGGGAGCCCGCCGAGTAAGGGTCTCTCTTTTCCCTTCTTCCTCCTGCAAGCGGGGCTTGGAGCAAATACGGATACCCTGCTGATCAATTCGACTGCGAGAGATCAGCAGAACCCCGGCTCGTGTTGTGCTGGACTGGGAGTCAAAAGACTGCCAGAGATCGGAGATTCACCAGAGAAATCGCCCAGGATCCGACAAGTCAGACGGCAAAAGTGTGCCGTACGTATCTCCAGGTCTGTTCTGAGGATTTCTCTACCCTGTCTCCCCGTTCATTCGGGCGTGGAACACAACGTGGGAGTCGTCGCGCAGTACCACTCATCCGTACTCTCTGTAACAGTAGATAGACGCAGCTCTCTCGTCGCAAGTGTCAAAAGACACTTCAGCGCGCGAGATAGAGCTTTTTCTGGACGCAGGGTTGCAGGGGTTTGCGCGTGGTGGACTTCTTGGAAGTGCAGGGGTGCAGGGGTACAGGGGTACAGGGGTAGGGGAGCCGTGAGGAGGATGGCATTTCCAAGTTGACCATCCCTCAACGCCCTGCCCGTTGTGCCCAGTAAGTGCCCGCCCTGGGAGGATCCAGCAGAGCTCTCCCGCCCGCCCGCTCCTCAGATAATAAGGCCGCTACTTATCTTCGCGCGCTCGTCCACTGCTTCCCTCACCCCCCCTCTCCCCCATATTCTCTCTTTGTGCCTTCGCTGTGACTTCTTCCAACGGCCCGGATACAAACGACTAGCTAGCTCGCGCCCGCCAGCTGCAGTGCCTCACCATCCCACACCCTACCTACGTACCTAGCTCCTCAACTCGCACACTTTTGTTGCGCTCGCTTCCTTCGGACGATCGCTTTTCGTCGTATCAGCCATATCATTCGCGTTCACTCAGTGGACTGCGATCGATTTTATCTTCAGATTTGAATGTACGTAGTCCAATGCCATGCCCTGCACATGTTCGTGTGCTCACTTTCTTGATAGCGACCACTCTTCATCCAGAGCCATGGTCGAGGCATTACGCAGGGCAGGAGCTCCTCCCATGATCCGGGCCGCAAGCGGAAGAGAGATCCATATTGTCAACTCGCCCGAGCCAGAGCCTTCTTGTCTGCCTTCTCCCCCAGAGCTGTCGCGTACGAGCTCGGTCGCTTCCAGCAACCCAGCCCGCACACCGCCCGATGTTCGCTACGACCAACTCCTCTCTCCAAAGGACCGGACCGTGACGCTGGCTCCCATCATTGCGAACCACTCTCCCGCTGTCTCTTATCAGCAGCTGCCTTGGCCCACCCACCCGCCAGATTCCCGTCTGTACCGAACCAACTCCTTTGGCTCAACCTCCTCCGAAGACAATCCCTATGCCCTCTCCGGACGGTACGAGTATCCGCCCACTCTCTCCCAGCACTGGGCCACTCGAGCACCTCCTCCGGCTGCCTTGGACAGCAGGGCCCAACGCGTCGAAGGCGAGAGGAAGCAGTACCCATGCCCTGAGGCCGTGAAATTCAAGTGCAACGAACTATTCACCACATCCGGTCACGCCTCCCGGCATTGGAAGAGCGTTCATCTGAAGAAGAAGGACGCAAAATGCCCCCATTGCTCCAAGATGTTCGGCCGCGTCGACAATATGAAGCAACATATGCGCACCCACGAAAACGAAGGTCACCGGAGGTCCTCGTCCCGCGCTACACGGCCGTCGGCCGACACTAGGGCGGCGACATCCAGTTCGAAGAAACGTCGCAGCACAGCACTCCAGATCGATACGGAAGGAGCCGCGCCATCCTTCCTTCCGTCGCCCTCTTCTCTTCGCTCTACATCCTCCCTTCCATCGACCCCTCCAACGCCCATGGATCACTCGTTCGGTGCTGGCTCCGGCATGATCAGTCCTCTGGCACTGCAGCCTCCAGAGCAGCAACAGTGCGGTACACATTTCTTGATGCGTCCCGAGCTGCGTCGTGGCGTTCCCTACGGGCTCGAGCCTGCAGTAGCTCCTCGCATCCCGCTCCGCCCGATGAATGCGCCAAACGCTCGCACTGATGAGGGGCTGCACGTCCTTGCCAGCGCAGCTGGTGCCGTATACTGAAACCCGAAGGCGAACCACCAGACGGCGGATGCGGCAATCGTAGGTCCATCTCTCTGAGATTGGTACCAAGCAGTCCAATTCCCCGCTCACGTGACCATGCCTTCGTTATCCACTACTACGCCACTACTACCCCTTAATGTCTTTTTAATCCCCTCGGTACGACTCCGTCTACACGGTTAGAAAGACTACGCTGTCATGGCGCTATTTCTATTATTCTTTTCCCCAATATCTTGGACGCTCGTCACGACAGTCCTTTGCGTACGAGCGAACCAATTTGCAAAAATATTTTCACCATATATAGTTCCTAACTTCTTCCTTCTGTCCTTACGGCCTTGTATGATTTCAGAAACTTTTGGTACGCTTCTTTTCATGGGATATTGGTATTCGGCTCCGGATTCCGCGTTACTGGCGTTCAGCGGATCACTTTTGCGGGTTGAGTACGTGGTGTCATAAACATCCTATGTGCAAGAGGCGGACTGGCTCCTCTCATCTGGGCTGGACTATGGCATATACCGCAGAAAGACTGCTTGGTTTTCGGTATATGGTGCATTGGATGGCGTTTTGGGTATACCCGGGAATACATGATTTGGTATACTGGTATTTGGTAGAAAAAGATTGGGACTGGGCGGCTTGCGTTGTCTGTTTAGCGCGCGTCACCGTAGCCGGTGTGATGCTTGTTGGAAGAAATATGGATTCCGTTTTTGGAGTTTTTCATCTATACATTTTGTGATATGCGCTCAGTGATGTGAGGGACTAGTACGGCATTCCTGTGCTCCTTCCCTTTCCGCACCTTCCTGCTATGCTTTCTTCCCCGTCCTCCAATGGATAGTGCACCGTTCCCCGAATGCCTCTCCTTCACTCCTCCATTAAACTTGACACTTCAGATATCTACTCGCCTTACCTCTCTCCGTATACTCCATCACCGTAGTTCAGGCTAGATTAGCATCGCAGATCGAATTCCATATCATACTCCTACATTCGTTTTCCCATGCACGTCTGCACGTGTGCCCAGGTATGGGCCCACCTTGTCTCTGTCTCTCTCCCTCCTCCTTCTGCATGCGGTTATCTCCGACGGCATGTCTCTCCTACCTACCTACGGAAGAACTCTGTTTCTAACATTTTCGCGGCTTCCGTGCACCTCGAGGCCCTCAGTCTCCGATCTTCGCTGATACCTGCTCCACACGGGTTGGAACGGGTAACGCAGACGTCTCAAGCGGAACTAAAAGAGATTTCCCCTGCATAACTGCGCCCTTACACAACGGCCACGCCACCAGATCGCACAGGTACGACCGTCATGAGCGTCGAGTGTCACGGTATCGTGGTGTGCCAGAATTAGCGAGACCCGACGGCCTCTCGGGCTTCGTTCCTTCGTCCCCGGTTCCGACTCCCCAGCTCGCGGTCAGATCTCTGGTGACTTGCACGCCGTTGAGGGCACGCGCGGTTATGCCAGGCTAAGCTTTAGGCCCAAGGCTAATAGCGGACAGCCGTTGGTCTAGAGGACGGTGGGGGAGTGCGGTAGCCGGTAGGTATGTACCTTGGCGATCGTGGACACGAGGTCGAGAATGAAAGAAGGCACTGAACTTGGGCTCACCTTGTTGGTAGGTACGGAGTTGATGACATACTTCCAAAGTGCAACAAGATCTACGGCGCGCAACATGGTCGTCGCATCCTTGGGCATGTACGTATTTTCGAGCTCCCACTCCGCTTCTCGCAATGTCGAAAAAAGTTCCGGTACCCCTACGCGTACAGAGGAATCGCTACGATCCAAAACAGTGACACCGGGATCCACTTTTCCATCCCGATGCATCGTGGCGTATGTTGTACATGTTTGCGTGCGACCTGCAGCGGACAAATTCTCAAGTTCGTCGTCCCTTGTGGGACAGTGGCGGGCACGACGTTGCACCCCACCCTGTGCCATTCGAATCGAGACACCGTCGAGGGCCGCACATGGCGCTCTTGGTGGAACTGAGGCTTGTAGTCCTGGGGGTCCGGTTGCGGACAGGAAAAGATATGGTGATTACAACTCACCCGCACTGGCTCCAAGAAGGGGCTAAGTTGAGACGGCTTGTTCATTGGGGATGTCTACAACCATGGAACGACTACGCCGGTCAAGTTTCTGACCTCGAAGTCGCCATTTCACGGAAGCCAGGGAAAGGAGATTCGTCCCATCTGGCCGCATCCCTTCTCGAGTACCTCTCCTCCACCTCCCTCCAAAAATACCTCACCCTGCAGTGCTCCGCGGGGAACCGCGAAACCCTTCTCGGTCCAGCTCTCTGAAACAATGACCTGTGTGTTCCAACCACTTCAGCGGTCCTGATTCCGGCCCATAGAGGAGTCCCCCTCCCAGGATGCCGGGAAGCAACAGATGCCGTAGCACTGCCTGCTGCCGATCGAACCATGCTCGCCACTACGACCAACAGCATGGAGTCACGAAGATGGACGGGTAGGCAAGCGACAGGGACCAACTGGTTTGACGACATACGCAGTGTGCCTATGTCCCTTGAGTGAGTGTTTCCAAGCTCCGGGGATGCGGATGAGCACAAGGAAGATGGGTCTTGACATGCAGGTAGAGTTGCACCGTGGCTGGACCCGGCATATTCCCCGCTCGAGGAGGTGGTTTTCCGTAAACATTCCAGGTTTGTACTGCACTTTGTCATATGCCTCTTCCTGTTCGCTCGTCAAGGAGTGTGGATGATGGATGCAGTCTCGGTTTCGTCAAGCTTACATTTCTTCTTCTATATCAGAGACTCGGACGCTACTCCAATGCAGACAAAATGCCCGGCTAAGGGACGCTACTCCACCATATAATCCCTAATATCGCTGCAAGGCTGTCCTACATTCATAGATCGCAGTCATCTTCCTCAAATTCCGCAGCGATCGTGCCGGTCTCACCAAAACCATGCCGTTAGAGCTCGACCGGCAACTCTCAAGAGATCCGCAGCTGCAGCGCCTTCTCAGCGGTAGGGCCGCGGGAGGTCGACGATCAGTCTAGGCGCTCTACACAAGCCCGCATCGTATGACCCTTTTGCCCCTCAACCAAGACTGCTCTTGTGCATGTACCTTGCAAAACTGAAGTCCTGATCCGACGGCCCCTCTCCGCCTCCCCGGCTGTCCTGTAGCGCCTGCTGATACCTGCTCTCCAACCCCGCGTCCTGAGTCTCGCCGTCGTCGTAGTCATCTTCCGAATCAAACTCTTCCTCCACGGCCATGACCTCCTGATCTTCGTCTTCCACATCGCTGACCGTCTCGGGCTCGACCTTCTTCTTCTTGGGGGAGGGTTTCTTGCCGCCCGGTCCACCACCACCCATCTTCATGTCCCTCATCAACTTATCCAACTCCCTCTCTCGCGCAGCTACCTTCTCCCTCTCCCGCTCGGCCCTGCGCCGCTCGAGCTCGGGCCTGTAGTCGCGCTCAAACTCGTCCTTCTTCTCCTGCACGCCCCGGAAAAACTCGTCCATGCCCTCGCCCGTCATGGCGCTGACGCCCACGACACTGAGGTGTTTGTAAAACTCGTCGAGGACGAGCGACATGCTATTGAGCAGACTGCCCATGTACCCGCTTCCCGCCGTCAAACCTTCGCCGCCAAACTGGCCGCCCTCCTCCTCATCCCTCAATGCAGCCTGGAACGCCTCAAAGTCTGTCATCCACTGCTTGGCGAACTCGGCGTCCTGGACGTCCGTCTTGTTGAAGACGAGGATCATGGGCAGTTTGGTCTTGTAGAGGATGGAGCAGGCGTAGAGCATGTTGGACATGAAGGTCGAGGTGCTGGAGGTGCGGGGCGTGTCGATGATGTAGGCGATGACGGTGGGGAAGGTGCTGGCGAGGCTGGACAGGAGGATCTCGCCCGAGGCGGACCAGACGAAGACTTCGATTTGGCCGGGCGTGTCGATGAGGATGTGTTTGACCTGTTGAGGGGGTTTGGGCGCAGTAGTGGTGCAGGGGGGTTTGCCTTCGCTGGTTAGGTATTCGAGGGTGCTTTGTGCAGGAGTAGAGGTAGAGGAAGAGGAGGAGGAGGGTTCTGCTGCAGGAGCGGCATGCGGTGCTGGCGGCGGCGGCGCCGTCCTCTTCTCCAACAACCCAATTACCTGATCGATCTTCGTACTAAACAGATTCAAGCTCGTCAGGATGCCGCCGTTGGGGCCCAGGTTGAACTGCCGCATCACCTCCTTGTAGTTGACCGAGTCGCGGATGTCAATGTTGGGCGTGAAGGGGATGTGGTGCACGGCCGGGTCGAGGTTGAGTATGTAGGGCGGTGGAGGCGTCTGCGAGGCCGGTCTTATGGGGTGCGTGGGTTGGGGCGAGCATGGGTCTGGGTGCGTGTATAGGTGCGAGATGAGGCGTTGCATGAAGGTGGTTTTGCCGGAGCCGGCCATGCCGATGCAGACGATTGCGACGGGGGAGGTGGAGGAGGAGGAGGGCGCGGGATCGGGCATGGTGGTTAGGCAGTCGTGTAGTTTAGGAGTTTAGGACGGAGTCGGTTTGGATTTGGGAGGAGGTGGAATCGCGACGTAGGAGGGAGAAATGAATGAGGTTGAGGTTCCGTTCGCGTTCGCGGTCGGGCTCGCGGTTTGCGGTCGCAGTTGTGAGAGTCGCAACCTTGTGGGAAGTGTGATTAAGCGGGGTTGAATCTCCTACTTCCTCGTTTTCAAATCTCGGAGATACTCCAGCGATGAGAAGGAATGCGCCGCCCGTGTTGATTCGTCGAGGAGGTTTGTCGTCTCGAAGATCAGATGGTTCGCGAGGTCTTTGGGAAATTCTTTGGCGGGGCGGAAGTTTGTCTGCGCGAATAAATGCACGGATTCTAAGACGATCAGAGCGTTTGCAGGCGGGATGATGTCAAAAGTTCCGCGAGCATGGGGCTTGGCGCTGGGAACTTCACTCCATCGTTTACGCAGCTAAGTGAAGCTTCACTCACCACAGAATTGTGAATTCTTTTCGTAAATAATTGGCCCCTGGAGTAGACATGGGTCTCGAGGATTTTGAGAGGGAGCTCGCAGCCAACAAGGCGAAGGAGGCCAAAGAGGCGGAGAGGAAAGAGAGGAAGAAGCGGGAGAGGAGTCGAAGTCGCGAGAGGGAGCATCGGCATCGACACCGACATGGGGATCGGGATCGCGAGCATCGGGATAGGGATAGGGATAGGGATAGGGGAAAAGACAGAGAGAAAGACAGAGAAAGGGAACGAGATAGGGAGCATCGATCCTCGCGGCATCACAGGGAAAGGGACGACGAAGGCCGCGACGACGGACACTCGCATAAGCGATCGCGTTCGCACCGCGAGACGTCGGAGGAACGCGCGCGCCGCAAAAGACGGGAGCGCGAGCACGAGCGGGAGCACGAAGACGACGACGACAAACGCCGCTGGAACCACCATAGGCGGAGTCGATCGCCGTCCAGCGATGCTCAAGAGCGATTAAGCAGGAAGCACCGGCCTCGACGCGGCAGTGCAGAAGTCGAAGAAGGCGAAGGCGACGACGACGTCAACGAGACACCTACCGGCGACGAGGAGCTTCCAGACCGCGACTTCGTGCCCCCGGATGACGATTTCCTCGACCATCAGCTCCAGGAGGCGGCGGACGCGAATCTGCAGCGCGATGCGTGGATGCAGGCGCCGTCGTCGCTGGACGTGGATTATGTGCGGCGCAGGAAGAAGGAGGATAAGAGTACGTATGTGCCTGCGTCTGCGGATGCGGAGACGGCGCATAGGCTTAGGATTCATGAGGCGGAGTTGAATCGGCATTTGGCGGATCTCAAGGAGGATAATGAGGAAGGGGAAGAACAACGGGAACAGAGTAAACCGGAAGAGGCTTCGCAGAGAGATGTCGATTATACGTTTGGGGATTCTGGGTCTGCGTGGCGAATGATGAAATTGAAGGGGATTTATCGGACGGCGAAGGAGACGGGAAGGACGGTCGAGGAGGTGGCATTGGAGAAGTATGGGAATTTGAGGGATTTTGATGATGCGAGGGAGGAGGAGATTGAGTTGGAGAGGCGGCAGTTGTATGGGAGGGAGTATGTGGGGAAGGAGAAGCCATCTGGCGAGTTGTATGAGGAGAGGAGATTGAATGCGGGGATTCGAAGGCCCTCCAGGGGACAGCATGAGGAGGTTGAGTTGCCGCAAGGGGAGGTTGTGGAGAGTGCGGAACCGACGACTTCGACGAGAATATTGAGTCAGACCGAGTTGAATAAGTTGAAGGCGCAGATGATGAAGGCGAAGATGAAGAAGGCTTCCAACGCCGAACAGCTCGAGGCGGAGTATAATGCTGCTGCGGCGGCTGCGGCGGGTCGAAAGGAGTCGGATGTCGTCGTTCTGGGTGCCATGGATAACCGCGCGCTGGCTGGTGGACGCAAAGGCGAGGTTGTAGCTCTTACCAACAAGCGTGGCAGAGAGCGCGGGTTGGTCAAGGAAAATGAAGACATGTCTATCGAGGACATGGTACGTCAGGAGAGACGGACAAAGGGGCAACCTGGAGGTGAAGGGCTTCTGTTGGCTGAGAAGATTGCCAAAGACGCCAAATTTGAGGTGAGTTTACACAACACTGCGCCAAACTTCAAGATGAAACTGACAGCCGTAGGATGACCTCGACTACATGGACGATAACGCAGAGAAAATCGCAGCTCGGGCACCAAAATCCACCATCAACGTCCGCAACGCCGCCATCCAAGACTACCAGCGCACCAACCGCATCCTGGAATCCTGCCCCCTCTGCCACCACGAAGACAAGTCCCCGCCCCAACCACCCATCGCCCCCATCGTCTCCCTCGCGACCCGCGTCTACCTCACTCTCCCCACCGAACCCGAGATCAGCGACGGCGGCGCCGTCATCGTCCCCATCCAGCACCACACCAACCTCCTCGAATGCGACGACGACGAGTGGGACGAGATCCGCAACTTCATGAAGTGTCTGACGCGCATGTACCACGACCAAGGGCGGGACGTCGTCTTCTACGAGAACGCAGCGGCGCCTCACCGCAAACTGCACGCCGCCATGCAGGTCGTTCCCATCCCGTTCTCCCTGGGCGAAACAGCGCCCGCCTTCTTTCGCGAAGCAATCCTCGCGTCGGATGAGGAGTGGACGCAGCACAAGCCGCTCATTGACACGCTCAAGGCTGCGAGGAATGGGTTGGGGAAATCGGCGTTTCGGAAGAGCTTGGCAAAGGAGATGCCGTACTTTCATGTGTGGTTCGAGTTGGATGGGGGGCTGGGGCATGTTGTCGAGGATGAGCGGAGGTGGCCGAGGGGGGACCTCTTTGCGAGAGAGGTGCTGGGCGGCATGTTGGATGTGGATGTTGAGGTGGTGAAGAGGCAGGGGAAATGGGGCAAGGGGGACCAGAGGAGGGTGGAGAGGTGGAGGAAGGGGTGGAGGAAGTTTGATTGGACGAGGGTTTTGACGGAGGGACAGTGAGGGTCGCGGGAGAGGGAGTTATATGTGTGCATGGGACGGTTACTGGTATTTTGAGCCATTGTTTTAAGTGGGAAACACGAGGTTTTGAGTGTTCATGGACTGGACACTCAGGTAAAGTAGGGATTTCCCAAGGTTTTTGCACCGCTTCTCTCAGTCTGCATTTCACCTATCCACCAAGCGAATACATATGCATTTTCGACGTTCAATCTCGGATCAACTACCTAGGTATTTTCCTCTCTTTCGGCACCAATTGCCCTCAAACAGTGTGATCGCCAGGGTCCAGGTCCCCAGTTCCCGTAGCTCTTGCAGAATGGTACAATGACGTCACCATCTATGAACGTCACCGGTTCACCTTCACCATTCATATACAATTGTTCTCCTGGTATTCACTCACCGCGTCTCCACGACTATTTGCAAAACAAAGCATTCCTAAACGGATCGCATACCAAGCCGACAGAAAAGCAACATCCGCACCTAAATAATTTACATAACCAATCCTCAACCAACATGTCCTCCAACCAAAACCCTCACAACCAACCCAGCCTCGTAGCCGGGCACGCGCATTACGTCAAAGGTGCCGCCGAGGTACGCATTAGTCTGCCTTCAGCTTTTCATCCCTTGCACACACACACACAACTAACATTGGTTTTGTAGGAAACAATCGGCAATCTAACGCACAGCACTGCATGGAAGGAGTCGGGCGCACACGACAAAGCGGCCGCCGTGGACGCGCTGAGGGCTGCGGGGGACAAGAGGGATCCGCATAGGCAGGGTTTTGGCGGCGTCGAGGAGACGGCGGGGAAGCTCGTGAGGTGCGAGGGGATGAGGAGGGAGGGCGAGGAGAGTAAGAGGCAGTGAAAAGCTGGGAGGGACGCAGGGAATCGGTGAGTCGGGCTTGGTTGTTACGAGTAATGAGGAGCATTTCAAGAGGGTAAGAGTCAGAGATGTCGGATGTAGGAATTTGAGGTACGTTTGGATACGGCGAGATGCGCATATTTCACATTTTACTTTGAAGGAACAATGCACTGGTATGCACGTTAGGGAACTCGAGCAACTGAAACGATCGTGCTGGATTCGTATTGTGCGATACGACCTTTCAGTCCCGTCTCTAATCACATAGCTAGTCAGCTCTCTGACAATAAAAAGGGTATCAAAAGTGAACGAAACACCTAGGACTCCGCCTCACTACCAGTGCCGAGCGACCACCAACCAGCCCGCTTCCCGCACCCCACTGACCAACGCGGCAACCCTCTTTCTCTTGATCCCTTCCCTCGCATAGATGTCCTCCATCGCATGTTTCCCGTCCAAGTGCTTCAGCAGCATGGGCCAGTATTCGCGCAATTCCGCGTCTTGGAAGCTTTGTCCGATCTTCTCGAGCCAGCGGGCTTCAAGAGCGTTTGCCTTTTGCGGACAGAGCACGATTGATGGGGTGAACGTATGTGATGGAGGAAGAGGGGGAGGGGATGTTGGGCCGCCGGGATTGCCGCTGATGCTTTGGGATCGGGATGCTGAGGGTGATGTTGGGGAAAATTTATGTGTGGTTGGGCCTCGAGAAGGCGACGTGCCTTTCAACTGCAAAGGCAAGGGTCGATGAAGCTTGGTCTGCGCGTGTGCTGTGTGTGCGGGTGATGCAGGATGACCAGAAGTCGAAGAGAGAGGAACGGTCGTACGGATGCTGCTTGTGCTTCCTGCATCGGAGGCGGGCCGGGCTGGAGATCCACGATATGCCGACCGAGGAGAGAGGATCCTCCCACCTTCCATATCTTCATCCTCTTCTCTTCTTGGCGGTCGCCTCATGGGTGTGGAGGGTCGCCCAGCTGAAAGCAGGCTGGCGCGTTTATCTGAGTATATGGATCCGGTCATTGAATCGGCATCCGCCTCCCGTCGGGCATCCTCTGCTTTCTTAAGTTGGGCTTCTCGCTCCATATCCTGTGCAACAAGGGCTTTAATCTCTGGACTCACCCGTACCCAGGCATATGTTCGAAGCTGCGTCACCCATCCACCGCGCATGAGCCAAGCTAAGATCTCCATGTAGGCTTCTCGATGTTCATTGGTAGGTATAAAGGTCCGGTACGGCCGCGGTGTACCGGAGAGCAGATTTAGGATTTTGGGAAGAGATGGTAAAGTCGGGAAGCGTGCTGAGTACGCCGGAATTGCGGCAGGGAGGGCGCTCAGGTCTGCATTCGGAGATACGATGTACGTATCTCGAGGATGAAGCGGATTGATCAACCTTGCTCGCCTCCAATAGACTAGATGGCTGGCGATGTACTCCATCTCGTGCGCACGGATGTTATGCTTCACGGAAAGCTTCTGCAGACTCTTAGTCGGCACGATATTCCGGATGTAGGACCCGGCGCGTTCCTTTGCATCTGCTTCCAGATCTTTCACGAGGGTTTCCGGGTCCTGGAGAAGAAGTAATGCGGCGTGCTGTGTCATTGGCGCATTATCCTCATCAACCGCAACGTTAGACGTCGTAAGCCAAAGACCAGGCATTTGAGGTTCCATGGCACTTGGGAGGAAAGGAGTCGAGTCAGGCTGAGGTATTTGAAAGGAAGTGTTGAATTTTTCATCAAAGTAGATATGCGCAATCTTGTCGTTGGAGATAGCATCGAACAGGGCTGCGACTGACTTTGCTAGAGGGGAGGAATTGATAATCTCCCGCCAGGTAGTCGAAAGTGTTTCACCATTGTCCTTGGCTCTCTGCTTGATGTGGATGATCTTCTTAGATTCTTTCCACACGTACTGGCAACGGGCCTGTTCAAATTTGAGTGCTTTGGCGAATTTCCTGGTAACATTATCATACATCTCCTTCACCCGGTACTGGTACTCCAGGGCTGGAGGGTTCAAGACAAAGACGACGTTGAACATTGTCATATCGTCGCGCGCATGGTCGGTTGTTGAGGAGCTGTGAGCGTCCGAACCTGCCTCCGAAGCAGCTCCAGACATGAGACCGTGACCGTAGCCAGGTTCATAACCTTCGGGATACACAAAGGGCTCCGTATGATGGCCTCCTTCTTGCGTTGACCCCTCATCTGTCTCGGCGGTTTTCAGGTTAGCCAGAAGATTGGCATCCTCTATGCTACCTTTCGTGGACCGTTTCTTCTCTTTTTTCCGTCGTCTTTTCTTCCATAGCCCGTCGTCTCTCACGAACATAGGTGCTCCGAGGAGGACAATGCTCTCTACACCCAATTCGAACCGTCTCTTGTTGAATGCCTTGGGCGGACAAAGCATCTTTTCCAAAGCATCAACTTTGAACCCCAGGACGGTCTCCCAGTCATGGTCTCCGCCAATTTCCTTCCCATCTCCTCTAAGGTTGCCATACTCATCCAGTCCAGCATCATCCTCATCTATAGTCTCCTGCCGTCCCCATATCCCGCCTCCACTAGCCTTGTGCTTATCGCGATCTCGGAAACTCGTGCGTCCTGAGCCACGTCCGCTGGTTCGACTTCCGACCTCAGCATCCTCGTCTCCGCCATCGTTGTCTGTGCTACTGTCCCAATCGCTACCGGAACTGTTCGAATCGACGCTCGCGGTTGTTGCTTCGTTGCCGAACCATGCCGGCACTTTGTTCGCTGCTAGAGCAGCGGCGGAGGGGGACAATGGCGGATAATGGAATACGAGGCGTGGACCCAGAGATCGCGACTGCGTCACCAGCAGGATCGCTTTGAGGTGGGATGCCGGCGGGAGAGGCAGAGACATGGCCGAAGCGATCTTTTACTGAATAATAGAACGCATCATAAGTTCCACCGCCATCAGGCTACCGTAATACCCGCCTGATTTACCCTGACGCCTGGTGCATATCAGGTAATGGAAGGAGAAGGTTGCGGCTTGCTCTTGTAACGCGAGGGCAGAAACGCGATTTCCCAATGCGCTTCCACATCACGTGATACATTACCAAACTATGGGAGCAATTAAGGATCTACTCTGAAAATAAATATGCGAACTTTCATTGAAGGACTCGTTCTTACAGAGGCACTTAAAACTCGGGTCAAAATACGATGCTGCGTTTTGAAGCACAGATGTGAATGCCTAGTGTAACACGCGACTTGCATTTAGAACACAACTCTGTGTATAAAAAACTCTCTCTTGCCATTCCAGTTGCACCAAGGTAAGCTTATATAGAGCATACTTGAAGGCATTGCTGTACTGTACTTACCAGGGCATCAACAACTGATCCACAGTGAGCGCTTGCTGGCCGATATTCATCCACAGCACGAATGATGCCCAGATAAGTTGGCTTCCCTGGAATTCGCCATATATCGAGAGCCCACGATCGTTCAAAAGTGTGTATTCGTTTCCCGTCCATATCCCAAAGGCATTCTCCATTTCCTTTACCACAAAGGCCTCAAATGTGAACCACGCCCGAGTCCAGAAATTATCATACCTGTGAAGACGGGGGAGGGCCGCACTTCTGAGCCTCGCTCTGGTCCACCGTTCCAATGAGCTTCGCTTGGTCGTCGCAGTACTTCGCCATGAACGTGTCCTTTGAAGAAAGGCCACGGGGATTGTGCGTTGTCCAGAACACGGTGAGAGATCCGAACTCCTGCACTTATGTAAGCATCAATGGAGACGGGGACATTGTCAGCCAAACTCGAGACTGACGGTAATCATTCTAGAATGGTGGTTTTTCGATTTGCTCCCTATCCCGATACATGTATGAAGATCCTGAAATGTTAGATGCGCCTTAACAGTGAAGTGAATCAATCATTTACTAGGACCTTGGTGTAGGTTTTGAAATAGTACGTCTTCTCGAGTTGTATTTGTTCTTCGTTTAATTTCCAACCGTTTGCGAGCAATCCTTGCAACTCGGCCTCTATCTTTCCTTCGTCTTCTCCTTTGGAAATCTTTGCTTGCATGATTGCGCTCCTCGAAAGCTGCCTGGCTGTAGTGAAGTTCGCCAAAGTGTGACGTGTTTGAATCTGGAGGAGTGGGGTAAGGGGTAAGGGAGCGATTAGTACGAAGCGACCAAGCAGCACGGGTCGCCGTGACATAATCGATAGGAACATTGTACGGTAGCTCCCCTCTTTAAGTGACTGTGTGGCACAATAATGGGACGTTGCTGGCAAAACATACTGTAACTGATCTTGAGCTGAAACAAGAAATTCTATCTATTCTTGGCACGGCTCGTCCCGGGTACCGGTAATCTCTTAGCGTTTCCATATACAATTCTGTGTGACTATATGTAGCTAGACCTCCATAACAGAGTTCAGACACTCATTTTGATGAGTTTAGAACCTGTAATTTAGAACCTGTAATTTAGAACCTGTAATTTATCCATTTAAGAGTGCAAGTCCTCCCTTTCTCGAGACGGTACTCCCGTGCGTTTATCCGACCTCATCTTTCTGGTAAGTGGTCGTTGGAGCAGTTTGTGGATTTATAGAAATCTCAAATCCATCCAGTGATTGATTGTAAGTATCTCCTGGAGGGCCTGAAGATGTCAAAGAGTCGAAAGTGCCAAATGGATAACTCGCAATCCCCTCAATTTTGAGGGTTCAGAACATAACATAAGAGGCAAGAGTGGTATATTATGTCAGCTAAAGGGCTCACAGAGCGGTGTCGAGGCAGAGTAGAGTATGCCTGGTCCCAAATATCCCCCATTCACACCTTATCTCTACATCCTTTTTAGGGAATACCATGGTAGACTGTCATGATATCCACCTATTCCTTCAGTACGCCATGCAATGTAACGCTGATAAGTCCCAATCGCTCTGGAAGCTCCCTCTTTGGTCCATTCCTGACTTCAAATCCTTTGTCCCTGCAGGGGCATGTGGCTAGTAGGCCTTGACCATCCTGGACGTTCCTCTCATTCCGTTGAACTTCGCTGGTCGCTTCGAGCTCTCCTAGAGCCTTCCGAAAACGCCTCTCACACTCCCGTCAAGCACCACATGCCCCTTGACAATCTCCTCATGAATCCCGTTCTCCTCATTCGCTCCTTCATTCAGCCACTTCTGCAGAAGATCATTACTCTCCTTCGGCTTGATGTTCGGATTCGCCGTCCCCACCGTAATGTGCGCTACAAGATTCACCGTTTCGAACACCAGCTCCTCCGAGTCCGCCTCGTTGTCAAGTTGCAGATTAGCCGAACCGTCCAAGCGAACGACAAAGCACATCAGCCTGTCGTCCCAGATCACCCGTTCGAGGTGGACACCACACTTGCCAAGCTCGGGCTCCGTGGAGCTCTTGGCGGGATCATCGGCCTGATAGACAGCGGAGTGCAACCTGAGTAGCTTATCCCAGTAAGCCTGGTTCTGAGGAGCGGAAGCACGATGCACAAGCGTAACGTGGAATTCCTGCTGCAGTCGGCGAGACTGTTTGAGTTGCCGATAAGTCTTTGCCGTCTGGGCATCCTTGTCGCTGAATATGGCCTCGAGAATGGACTTGATACGTTGGCTGTCCACGCGGACAGAGAAGTATTCCATTTTTGGCTGTTTCTTGGGACGTGGTTCGTCTTGCTGAGACTGGTCCTGATTCTGGCGCTTGTTTGAGGCCTGTCTCTGTCCCTGCTTGCCCCCGCCGCGGGAGAGGTCCATTTTGAAGTCGGGATTGTATTCGTTCATGGCCCAGTCGATGGCAGCGTCGAGCTCCATATCGTTGGGCATCTCTCTGTCCTTGAAGAGAGCTGGGTACTTCTCGTACAGGTTTGTGATGACCACCTCGAGGTTCTCCCGAGACGAAACCGTTGGATCGATGTTGATCACGAAGTCGAATTGGTCATCGGGAGCTTCCGAGGTGTCTACGGGCTGAAATCGGTGCATAAAACCTTCCATGATTTCGATGATTTCTCCAGGGTTCTTGGAAGCTGCTTGAATTGTTTGATGGTTATCTCCACGAGCAAGCACTCGATCGCGTGTCGCATTCCGAATATCGTCGTAATTTTCACGGTCATGCACATAGTGGAGCGCAACGAAGCGAGCATCCGGAGCGGCTTTGGAGACATCGGTGATGAGTTGCTCGCGCTCACGTTTCTGGTGGTTGTTCCTATCCGCGATGACAACCGGGTTCGATACGAGCATAGTGGCAACGGTATCCGCGAAAATCTGGGCCCTTCCTTTCTTTGCCTTCACATTGTCATTCTGGAAATGACCCCAGCCAAAGAGCTTCACCAAGGCCAGTGCCACCGTTGTCTTGCCGCAGCCGATGGTGGCAACAGGAACTAGGACCACGTTCTTTGTAACGTCCTTTGACTGCACAGCTCCTTGGGCTATCTCTTGCTGAATGATCTCAGCTCCGGTCGTTCCGCGGGCCTTCAAGAAGTCGTCTCTGAGTTTGATGATGCCGTGGTTCTTCATATACATCTTCCCTATAATGGGCTCTTGCTGGATCCTCCGACGTGCATAGTCCAAGTACTCCTTTGTGATGGCCTCATGCTTCTTGTACCTCGGAGGCTTTCCGCTGATCATGGCTTTGGTGCACTCGCGCCACTGGCGATACATAAGATATGGCTCTTCGAACTTGTACTTGAAGAACCAATCAACCCAAGGAGAATCTTCGGTCTCCCGCGCCTGGCAACGGATGACAAAACCTTCGGTGTCGCGTCCATTGTAGCTTCCAGTCTCAGCCACTTCCTCGAGGAATGTCTTAACTCTGCGGATATCGTCTTCCATGACATACATGACCTTCTTCATTCCCCATTCATCAGCAAACTTGTCAACCAGCGGGCCGGGGTAAGTCGCGAATTCGGGAAGATTGAGATTGATGCCATGGACGTAAAGACCAGCGTTCTCGGGGGTGTACGCGAGAACGTGCTCCTCGAACGAGTCGTCGCACAGTTCAGCAACGAGTGTAGCGTTCATCTCCCTTAGTTTCCTGGCCAGATCCTGCTTCGTCTTGCCCACGGCGGCGATATGCTTCTCCACCCACCGCTCCCCTGCCACGGCGTGGCTAAGATCTGCATCTGCTCGCGCTCCAGTCGAATGCTTGCTGCAAACCAGCAAGGTGTCGTCATCCAAGCCCGAAATGAAGATAATGCAGCCATTCTCCTTCACGCTCAACTCATACGGCCCTCGTGTGTGTTTCTCGACGTTCCGCCACTCCGTTTTCCTTACTTCGCCATGATTGAAGAATTTGTCGTAACCCCGCACCGCGATCTCGTAGTCGCCTTTCATATTCCTGTACGTGAACAGACCCCGAGCGTATGTGGGCAAGTTCTCCTTCTTGTAGTCCCAATCGTTCATCTTCCAAGAATCCACCGTGCGTCCATTGGGTAACGGGAAGGTGTGCTTCTTGACTGAAAAGCCTCCAGCGCCTTTCTTCTTGCCCTTATGTGACTCGAGGGCCTGGACAAGTCGTCTGATCTCTGCGGGGTCCTGGGGCGCATAAGGCGCTTTATCGGGGTGTGACATGATGGCCGAGGAGTGGAAGGACGAGACAAATGAGAGGTTCGGCAGCTTAAAAAGTGTTGTCTTTGGTAGCCCTACTGTCTGGACTAGGCAGGGTAAGCAAGTGGGCGTTGTGGAGAAAGCATGGAGGAGCGGAGAGAGCTGTCGAAATATGGCCCGCATTTATTTACAAGGGCAAGAACGAGCATGACAAGCGAACGTAGTGTAATGACTCAGAGAAGACGAAGGCGCACCTTTACATGGAAGGAGCCAACTAGGCACCTAATACGAAGGAGAAGGGCGGGAGCGCGTGAGTCAAATGGAAGTTTGTTGCGGAATTGGGGATCATCTTTATGATCTTTATGAGCCAGAGTGAGATCATTTGTGGCGCAGCTACGCGGCGGCGTAGCGGGGGTTCAGCCACAACAACCTTCGCGTAGACGTCTCTCTACAGATGAGTGTAGTCATACGTATTGAATGTAGCTTTTACTGCTTCAGTGGATCAGGTACGTGTCCTCGTTCCATAGGACCATGAGCACCTTTTCTGACTAGTCAATCTGTTGAAACTCTTCTTCGAGCCGAGAAATGGTACGTCAAGAGGGGGAATTTGTAAATTGTTGCATCCCGCCATTGGCATCGCGTATCCCACATAGTGGACTATCCAACATTCATAGAATGCAAATTTCAATTCTGTTATTGTAGAACACAATCAGCTGATCGGAAGTTCCTGAGCCATAAGGAAACGGGTATCATGGTCGTCGCAACCCAAAGAATCCCAAAAGACATTGAACAACCGCCGAAGCGCCGCATCTACCCAGAGAAAAGAGACCAAAAGCCAATACCAAGACTCAATTCATAGCCCCAACTATCTTCAAGCCTTCCTTGTCGGCCGAATAGGCGAGGGCGTATCGGAACGGGTGCCAGGCCACCTGCGGCGCGGGCTGCGTAAGATCAATGCTGTGGACAATCTCGCCGCTCTCTACATGCGCAATCTGCAGCTTCTTTTCTTCGTCCGCGCCGGCTACGATGTAGCTACCATCGAAGGCGAAATCGACGCTCTTCACCGGCCCTTCTACTAGGTCGAGCGTCCGGACACATATCCAATCCTGCGTGTCCCATAAGGAAACAAGTGCATCGCCTCCGCCGATGGCCAAGTACTCTCCACTAGGCGACATAGACAGTGTGAAGCAGGAGGATGTGTGTGCATTCAATGTATGCTTGGCTTGAAACGACGGGTAGTCTAGGATTTTTACACAACCATCTCCGTTTGTGACGAAAAGGTACTTCCCGGCCCAGTCGAAGACGCATTGGTTGGTCTGTACTGGCTGCTGGTATTCGACGATTGGCCTCATTGCTGTCCGGTCGACGCGAATGAGATTGTTCTCCTACACACAGTTAGGTTCCGGCCTGAGAAGGCTGTTCAGCACTCACCTTCGTGCCAACAACAAACTCGGTTCCGTCAGGCTTCCAAGCTAACGTGAATGGTGTTCCCGCAACCTTAATCTCCCCAACACCGGCCTTCGTCCGGACATCCCACAGCTTTACAGTCCCGTCTTGGGCACAGGTCGCAAGCTCAGCTTCATTGAATGGGTGGAACTGAACGCGCTCCACCGCACCACCGAGTCCCTTGAGCTCTGTTGAGTTCCTAACATTTGTTCTCTCAGGGTTCCAGACTCGTAACGTCCGATCTACAGCGCCCGTGGCTATGAAGGTGCCGGATGCATTCCAGGACAGTGTTCGTATAAAATGCGACGGTGATAACGAGACGGAGGGGCGAGGGTTGTCGATATAAGTCGAGGTTTTGAGCTTCGAGAATGCGGGCCCGAATGAAGCTTTACCCAGCGAGCGGGCTCGCACCGAAGGGGCCATGCGAAGTCAATGTTGCAATGGGATTCAAGATAACAACGCTGGAATTCTCCCGAAAACTGGAGCTCAGGTTATAGGACGAGAGTCGCGGTCAACGGCATCTGAAAGCTGATGAGTCGGAAGAGCCGTGGACGTCGAACTGAATCATGGGCTAACCGTAAGCGGCCTAGCCGTCGATCATACCAAACGTCTCTCAACTCGACAATGCCTACCTGTACATACTCAAATCATCAGCAATATAGAAGTATAGACGAGCTCAGCTTGTGCTTATACTCCTCATCTATGGCTTCATTGTGATAACCACTGAAGCGTTTGAAATTGCTACCCAGTTCGAAACCCTACCCTCGTTCCCCACCCGCGACGAACGGCACAAAATCCAGCAACATTAATTATGCATATTATGCGTAAGCAAAAGGCTTTATCCTATCCTAGCCAGGTGTCCAAGTGCAGCCCACAGATACAGGAATCTCCTATCACATCGAGGTAATATGCTATTGTGGGCTTGCACGGGTGGTGCGGGGAGAAGTTGAAATGCGTAGAAGGATCTCATGATTTTGTCCCATGTACGGTTAGTGAATTGAGGTGACCTAGCAGTGGGCTTCCGCCCTGGCAGCATATGTGCCAGGGATCGCGATTTCTCGTGCTCATTCCGGAGACATCTGCCTTCAGTTCAATCATCCTAGTAGCACTTTGTAAGAGGTCCCATGAAATAGGGACTAAAGTCCACTGTTTGGCGATGGGACTCAGGGTCATATGCGGACCAGTGACCTCCTCAAACTGCTAATTGAGGCATGATATATGTAGTTTGCCGCGCCCGTGTGAAAACCATGTTGTGAAATATGCGGGAGGAGCAAAAGAAAACCCGGATAAACCAATTGTAATCCACGAGCCGAGCAAAGCCTACGGGGAGGTCGCACTCATAACTAACTCCTTTCGGTAGTTCACGATGAACGCATGGTGTTGAAGCTCACCCAACACGTCATTGGCAGGGGTAATCATCAAGGCGCACGGGCCGCCTTCGGACCAAGCGCAATTCTTGATTCAACCTCATGCCATAACATCGCCCACCTCACCATCCGTCATTGAAGTCACAGCTCTGCTGGAGCTCCTCATTTCCCCTTCAGTTCCTCGATTTTCATTGCGTAACGACTATGAGCACCTTCGGCCAGCCCGGCGGAGGGCAGAAAGTCAGCAAACCCACACCGTAAGTCTATCCTCCGTACACGGACCAGATCCCTTGAGAGACTAAGAAATAGCAATTCATAGGCCGGAACGTGGCTCCTTTCCTCTGGACCACGATGGTAAACTCTTTCCTGGCCCCACTTATCACAGACTCTCTCGAAACTAACTCATGTTCATAGGAGAATGCAAGTCCGTCATGCTATCGTACCTTCAATGCATCCGATCCCATCGCGGGACCAACGACCCTGAATGTCGCAATCGAGCAAAAGCATACCTGAGCTGCCGGATGGAACAGTATGTACCATCTCTCGTCTTTCTCATACCTCTTCGCCATCCGCTCTCCTCAATGTCTCATAAGCCATCGCCTATTCTGGTTAGGGGGGACCTAATCTTGTGACACCGCTCTGTCAAATTCGAATGAACCGGGTAATTGGGAAGCCAAACGCTTGCAGAAAGCAAGGGATAGACCTCCTCACGCCTCATTCCTTGCTGCTGTCGATGTGCCGCAGATGCAGATGGCTGGCTTCCCCACCTCCGCGGCAACAGCGTGTCTCTTCCTTATCCACTTTATTCCGCCTCACACGCTCGGTCCCTTCCGAGCGAAGAGCGGATCGACGTGCTCATCTGGAAATGGAAAGTTCGCGGTGCTGACTCTGTCTGCTGATAGCAACCTCATGGCCCCTGACTCATTCAAAAACCTGGGCTTTGGTGACGACAACGGAACCTCCGATGCTGCCTCGCCAACAGCAGCCGCCACCAGCCTATCTGCTACTACTACTGCAACCCCATCGCAACAGCAACCCTCCTCCTCAGCTTAAATCCAAGATAAGGCTGGCAGAGTAGAGGCGCAGCGCTTGATGTACCATTGGAATGAAGCGTCCCTGGGCACGCCCTGGTCAACGGTTCGGCAGCATCCGAGGGGTCCGAGCGTCCCCCTGACTTGGACCTATCATGCTCGTGCTCTTGCACACACAGCATCGTCCCTTGAGGAGCAGCAACACCAGCGGTAGTAGCAGCCGAGTAGTCCTGCAGGACATGTGGAAGAGGACGGTATTGAAGACGCGCAGGGCTGCAGATTTGACAGGTTACATTACATGATGCCCTGCAGGCGTGCATCTGTTGTTCGGTCTCAGTATAAGACAGCGGACATGGGGGGAGACGGGGAGTTGGAATGGAAGGGGTTCGTTGTGTGGAGAAGGGATGACGCAGGAGAGTCAAATGGGAATGACAGGTCGGACTGACAGGTTCGGTGAGGCGGACGGCTGTCATGGCCAGAGTAGCGGCAGTGGTGAATGCAGCGCTGGTGCGGTTACGCCACGTACGGCATTCTGTGGTATGGGGCAGTGCAAGCACAGCGGTTGCGTCTGACGCGTAAGGAGCTGGAAGTATGGCGGGAGGGAACGAGGGACGGGCCCAGTTGTTGGGGTTTTCACACGGCTCTCAACAGAATCGATACCCCGCTGGGAGAGCAGGAAAATGCAGACACTAGGATATCTATAGCAGGATGGGTTATTGCATCGCCCGTACTATAGTCGCTACTAGCAGGAGGGTCTTCATTGGTCTCACGCTCTCTCTCTCTCACTCACACTCTCTCTCTGTGTGTCCCCCCCTCCCCGCTCTTTTCTTCGAGACACATGCACAACAGCATATCCAATGTGTTGCCAATGAATCGGACACAAAAACGGTCTGCTGCACCACCACCATCACCGCCACCCCTCCCTCTCTGTCCATCCCCCTCCGCCTGCCCCACCCTCCGTTGAGTGTAACGTAGCACTCACTCACTAGTCGTTCGTTCCGGCTATCGTGTCCTGCTAGCTTGCCAAGTAGATTGAGGGTAGGTCGACAGGCGGAGGCCGTGAGTTACGCTGGCGGAGTGAAACACAAGGCTGGCGTTGAAACGACGGGTTGGTTTGCCGGGAGGGGAGTGGGTGGCGGATGATCGATGACGTTCGTTGGGGCCTGTGGATGGCGGTGGGTAGAGGGAAGGGAGGGAGGGATGAGTGTATTGAAGGTACCCTAGGGCTAAGAGTTGGAGTCTACTTCCAAGGTGGAGGAGAGAGAAGATATGCGTGTGGGACTTGTTCGACCGGTTGGTTAAGAGAAAGGAGCGAAAACGAGCGCGTGGGGCATGCGTCTCAGTAAGTAAAAGCTCGATACACATGAGGAATTCCTTTCAAATTCGAGGTTAAGTGTCATTAAGCCGACATGTCCTCCGTTAGTAGTATCCACAGATACTGCACAGTACCCTATCTTAGATCCCACTAGTAGCCACTCTCCTGCGTCTTTCTCTACGGTTTAGGCAAGGGTTCACACTCTATAACGGTTCATGCTATATAGCCCCTTGTGCAATACACACCGCCCCCTCTGCCACTGTCATCGCCCAATAGCTTCCGCTAACCTCCTATATCACTCTTTGATATAGCTACTACTAAGTTAGTAGCTGTCGCTCGCTCCTCCAACGGTTAATGCTTCCTTCCCCGCATTGGAAACCCACCCACGGTTCAATGTTCCGCCGCATGAGGCGTGCGCAGTGCGCAGTTCGCGGCTGGACACCCTAGTCAAGGTAGGGCACCGCGCCGATTGGTGTCTTTTCTGGAGTGACACTTTGCGGTGCTGTAGTGGTTCGTGTGCAGGCTGTCAGTGTTTTCGTGTTGGTATCGATATTGATGCTGGGGTTGGGATGGGGTGTGGAGTCGTGAAGAAAGTTGCAGCAGTGAGAGAGAATAAAAATAGGAATGGGACGGAAATGAGAAACCAGCAGTGAATGCCGGCTGTGAAAAAAAGGATTGGTATTTCCTCCCCGAATTCGGCGCCGTCTATCAGTTATATGAGTGAACGAAGTCGTTCGTACTCGAAATTTGTCCCGTCTGCAAATGAGAGCCCTACAATCAATCCCTCAGTTGGGCCTTTATACACTCCATAGAATATCATTATCGTCCCCGGTATTTTCCTCTGTCCAAAAGACAAAACATCTCCCAACCGCGCCGCTTGAGCCCGCCCGCAGGTATCTTCCGTTTCCACCGCACAGCAAGTACCTCATCTAACGCCCAAAAGCCCACTTACACAACTCACCCACCCTTCCCGACGCCGGCACATTCGGCAACTCTTATTACACTCGACCTCCCATTCCTGCCGTGAGACCCTAGACTGTAGTGTCTCAGACCGACATATGCACACGGGGCATACACTTACAGTTGTACACCGCGCTTTTCCTCCTCGCATTCTCACCTTTAGCTAGCGTACACTCGCACTGCACCGCACCGCTTTACTCCTTTCGACTTGGTGGAGGGAGGGAGGGAGGGAGCGAGGGAGGGGGGCATGTCGTGTGACCACATCCCCATACCTTCTGACGTAGTGGAGCCCATCTAGCTCTATACAGCAGCACTGTGCCAGTGTCACGGTTCCGCAGGCCCGGAGGTAGTGTACCAGTGTAGTATAGTGTAGCGTAGTGTAGTTCGCCTCAACGCTATGTGTGTACGCCCGTGGTTTTAGACTCTACCCTAGGTAGATAGAGCGATTAAGAGTAAGGAAGGGTAGTGCCCCAGGGTGGGCGGGGAGTTTGAGTGGCGGATGCGGGATTATGGATTGGTTTGGCGGGCCCCGAGAATTGGCGAGGGAGGAGGAGAAGGAGGCAGACAGAGTACCCTTAGTCGGTGGTGGTAATAGATGTGTAGGAGTAGAAGGAAGATAATAAGATACGTTCAACGTTGTAAGCAAAGGGGAGTGTGAAAGGGTAAGAGGTATAGGATGCGGAATAAGGGGCCAGTGAGGGCTGATCAAAAGGGAGTACGGAACTGGGGCGGAGTTGTAATTAGTGCGGTGCGGTGCATACCCTAAGGTAAATAAAGTAGGCATGTCAAGCCTAGTGAGTAGTTAAACTACACAAAACAATAAGCTTAAGTATAAGTATATAAGCATAATAAATACACACTCCAGGGCTGCTATACACAAGCGTAATACACAAAATCCCACGAAAGCCCCAATCACCCAACGCAGGAGCTACCGTAGTAGAGACAGAAATGATTCCAACATTCCGCGTTGAAAACTCCACTAAACCCTACCGCCAACCCTTCGCCCCGTAACCTATCCCTACGGAACCCTCCCCCCTTCCGTGATGGCACCCACATACCACTACGCACCTTTCCTTCCCAGCCCCTCATACAGGACTCTAGCTACACACCACTCACGACCATTCACACCATTCGCACATGCCATCGAGGTGAAGTCGTAGAGTCTTCCCCTTCCCCTCCCCTCCCCTCCCCTTTCCCTAACTAACTACTTTGCCCACCACCACCCATCACACTAACCTACCACAACCACCCACCACACTAAACCCTCGAACAACCCAACCCTACTAGACAGCAACAACAATTGACGCCGTTGCTCAAAAGGAAGATGAAGAAAAGTGCGACAGATGAGGCATGCGCCCCCCACGCTTACACATACGCACACATGTATGAATGTTATTAGTTGCCTAGTGGAGGCCGGACACAAAACCTCCATCTACCCTACCTCCCGCGGTCCCTAGGCTGCAGCGATGAAGCAAGCAGACACATGTACACATCACCCCCATCAACAAGCACAAGTGTTTGATTCAATAGTAGTATCAAAGGAGTTCCATCATGATGATAATTAGTGCCTAGGTAGTGGTCCTAAGACCGAATCCGTGTCCCATCAGATCCCATATCGCCCGTAGATAAGAAGAGGAAATCAAGCGCAAAGAAACAAGAGCAAATAAAATATGAGTAGCTAAATAGCAATGAAATGCATCAAACAGTTCGACAGAGTGGAGACTGCTAACCCATCCCATTTCCCCTTGGGAGGATTTCCTCAAGTGGAAATGCATCAAAAACGCCGCACGCTCCGTAGATTAATATGCTCGCGGCGCTGATGGAATAGAAATTCGGGATAATCGTGGAGAGGAGAAGAGCAATAGCCCAAACAGCGACACCCAAAACTACCCAGGAGTATGCGGGAAAGAAAGATGGAGAAAACCATATCAAGGACTGACGCGAAAAGATACGCGTAGATAAACACAAACCATATCGAAAAACAGCAACACGGCAAACACACAAAATCGAAAGCCATTCTGGTGATCGCGAGATAAGACAGCCGTCTTCTCTCGAGGTGAGCAATCCGGGTGAGGGGTATGTCCGATGACGCCAGCGAAGAATGTCTCGAAACATGGTATGCAATGAGACGGGTATGTGAAAAGATGCGAGAGGGAAGCGTGCGTTCCGTCTTGTGGCCAGCCAAGACGGCATATGCTTGAGTAACACCGGGAACGAAGTAAGGCAAGTGCCTGGCTGACCTGAACGCCTCGAAGTGGCTTGCAAGCAAGCCATCGCTGCGTAGGGGTCCGTATCGGGCGGCTGCATGATTCGACTGGCTCGTGTTCCGGCCTAACAATGCATGTGGCGAACGCAGGAGCGTGCGGGATGGGTATCGAAAGCGAAGTCCAAGGCGGCGGGGCGACATAGGATCAGAGAGACATTCCTATGCCTGAAGATACGAAGATTGTGCGATATGGAGGCTGCGGCAAAGCATCCGCTAATGTATGTAATGTAGAGGAAGGCTTCAGCCCATATCCATCGAATTGTATTCATCCTCTTCCTTCAGCGTGAATGGGTTGTTGTCGGTTTGTTGGCTCATCCAGAATTGCTGATTCGCGTTTGCATTGTCGCCAGCGTTGACGTTGGAGCTGCTTCCGTTACTTTGCATACCGGGACTAAGGCTCTGTGGGGATATCTGCCCAATGGGTTCCCCGGCGAGATTGGTATGCTTGGGAACCCGCAAACCGGAGCCCGGTCCTCTTGAATACTTGAAGCTATCGACACCGTTCTTCTCGACAGCTTCCACGAGTTCTGTACGCATGCGGCGCTCTTCCTCCGTCTCTTCGCTGACCCATCCTTGTTGGCCGAGGCGAGCTTTCAGAGCATCGTTCTCCTTTATCTGTCTGTACAGCATCCACATGAGATCGCGTGTCCAGCTCACGGCACCATTCAGAATGTCACCCTTGTTGGGGCCCTTGTCTTTCTCTTCAATCGGCAGGCCGGTGGTGATGTTGCCGGCAGCCCGTTTGCCGGTGCCGCCAGCCAAGAGAGATGTGGCCTGGGGAGGGGACATGCCACTTGTGAGTGCTGGCGAGAGTGGCCCGTTGTTATTGATGTGCTTCCTGATCTTCTCGTCCTCCAGTCGATGCTGGGGAACAAGGCGAGAGAGGTCCTGGATGCGCTCGTTGATGTTGTCACGACGCCGACGTTCGACAAGATTATGCGACTCGCGACGACGCCGCTTCTTGGCATCTTGTGACTGGCCCAGATCCACCTTCGCAGGCAGGGAAGCGTGCTTCGCCGAGTGCATCACTTCGGAGATTTGCTGATGCGGCAAGGTAGCGGTATGAGGAGAGTGGGCGGGTGACTCTATCCAAGAGTGGGAACTGCCCGGGGTGCCATCCCAGGTACCGCCTACGCTCTTCTGACGGCGATGCATAGTCGTCATGATAGGTTGCGAACCAAAGTTGCCCGAGTCAGGGGTGCCGAACTGTCCTGCACCGATAGTATGACCCTTGGGTGACATGGGGCTGCGACTGTCGGATCCATTGCGGCTCATGGCGGCAGCCATTCTCTGGCGGGAGATGGCGCCGTTGGGCATACTATGTGCGAAGCCTAACCGTTGGGAAGGCGACTGATACTGGGAAAAGTCGAAGGCCTGGGGCTGGGTGAAGGGACTCTGGATCGGCAAGTCGTCCGGGGTATTCGAGTACAACTGATGCATAGCGGCGTGGTTGCGGGGGACCTGGGCACCAGCAGGTTGAGCATGGAGATAATTCTCCTCCTGGTTGAAGCCACCGAAATTCTGCTGGTGATCGAAGTTGCCCAAGGAGTCGGCCAGTTCGTCGTCGGCGATGCCAGCACCACCGGGCATGTAACCTGTGCCAAACTGATTGTTGTTTAGGAAATTTCCGGATACAGAGAGATCGGAGGGATTGATGGCTCCCATGTTGTCTTGAGCACCACTGAACTCTTGATTCCCAAACTGCTGCGTCATGCCCAACCCGCTGTGGCCCATGAATCGGTTGGGATTGAAATGCATGTCGTCCAGTTCCTCCTTGATATAAGGGGATGGGGAACCAGTGCCAGCCATGGTATTCATGTTGAAGATGTCACCGTCTAGACTATCGTCAGAGTTGGAGTCAAACCGGAGGTCCAGCCTCGCGAGGGTCTTCTGGGGGGAGTAGGAAGAAGGGGGGGTGAAGAGTGCGTCCGCTTCGGGGACAGTCAGTAGTGCTTCACGAAGCATCGTGGGAGCTGCCAGCGAAGAGGAAGACAGGATAGGACAAGGAATAGAGGGGGAGTGCAGTGCGGAGCAAGCAAAAGGAGAGGTCGAGTGTAATATAGAGGGGTTGGACAGTGAGGGTGGGGGACATGTCTTTGACTGGGGTCTGGTGACAAGGGGGGTAGGGATGTTACAAGAGGCACACTTACTGGGAGCTGGCATCACTAAAGGTTGCAGTGACGCCCGGAATGTGGGAAGGGTGAAGCCGAGGACCGATGCTGGACCCCGGTTTCAAGGATCTGAAACGATCGGGTATTGGGTCCAGTCGATGTGGCTAAAGAATGCAGGCTCGCGAGCTTGCAGGATGATTGCAGCACGAGACGGTTCGTGACCATATAAAGGACTGCGGCGGGCGATTGCTCTGGTCGAAGCACAAGGACAGTCTGGGCAAGCTGAATGCCTTGCTTGACCGGCCTGACTGGTTGGCAATCTGCAAGAGAAGGCCGCTGTTTGTTCTGCATAAGAGGCATTAGAGGTGCATCCTGCTGGATTGGTGCAGCAACAGCCATCTACTCACCGAGGACAGACGTTATCGCAGGCTGTCGTGCTCGTACGCTCGTGTTAGGGACTAAGCCTCGGTGAAGCTAATGAGGACGTGTAGAGGGAGGGCCGAAGGGCACAGGGTGTCGCCTCAAAGCACCGAATGAGTGTGAAGGGCCGTTCTCGGGGAAGCAGGAGGACGGCGACGCAAGCTACTCGTGGCTGCGGTCCACGGAGTGCACCTGGAGGCGCAACTGTCAGCGGTAGGTCCCCGGAAGAGAGTCAGGCTAGGCAATGGAGGGACTCGGCGGACAATGAGGTAACCAGCGAGGCGGATGCGGGTGGATGACAGCCGCAACGCAGACCACAGCAGCGGGGGACGGTGGCACAGGCACCAGACGCAGAGACACAGTACAGAGTGCCAGGTCGCACAGTACTGAAGCGTCTGTTGGGGAGGATTTGTGTAGAGGCGGGGAGCGGGTCGGTGGTGGAAGGAGGGAAGTCGCGACGGGGGCGGTTGACTCACCACAGCGAGGATTGTGCACTGCAGGCGCAGTTGCAGATAACAAAATGCGAAGTTCCTCGAAAAGAAGGATGGTTGCTCGGGGCCACTGCTTTGCGCAGGGACGATGCAGCAAACGGAGGTTCGTGTGGGGTTGAGGGTTGGAGGGATGAAGGGTTCGGTGGAGGGCGTGGCGGGTCGGAGGTGACACGGGTTTGTTCTCCTTTGAAGGCGCGCAGGCGGGTTGAGTGGGATCGAGGGGTGCGGCGAGGACGAGGCAGAGGGGTCGTGTCTGCGGCGATGGAATCGGAGAGCAGCGGTGTGCAGCGGTCGCTGGAGTGGAGAAGAAAAAGCTGAAAGTGGGAAGACGAAGACTGGAGCCCGGTCCAAGGTTTGGGCGATAGATGGCGGGGGATCTTCAAGCGGGATAGCCCCTGGTGCGGTGGGTTGGTGGACAATGGGCGAGGCAAGCGGGCTTGTTGGACAAGCAATAATGACAATTCGCTCTTTCAGTCAGCGCAAGGCAGGCGGCGCTGCTGTTGTCGGTACTGTAAGGAAGGGCGCAGTGTTGTGTAGTCGGGCTGCGGCGGAGGAGGAGGAGAAGGAGGAGGAGGCGGAGAGGCAAGGAGGGTGAGGAGGTGTTCAGGTTGGAGAAGGCGGTCAGCGCCGCCAAAAAGAGACCGGCGCGGGCGCGATCTATGGGGTCGCTTGAGGGGTGGCCGCCAAGGAGACGCAGCGAATCGTTATTCAAAGAGGTCGAGACGATCTGGCAAGGCTGGGGCCGCGCCGTATACCCTTTGCGCGTGCAGTGAGGCCAGAGGGCAGGACAGAAGAGTAACTCCGTAAGAGTAGCAGGATGCAGGAGATGCACTACTGCCGTTGCTGGTGTGCGAGCTGTCGTCTGCTGTGGCGCCCTCCGTCTGGGGCACCAGTGACGTCGCCTGTGGCACCGAGTAGTTTGTAAAGAAGTGGTATATGTCAACGACGGCGCATGGATATCGGAATATACACAGCACCTCAAGAAGCTGCACACAGTAGGGGAACAAGAGGCAGGATTGGCTCCAGCACAGGTGCGGACGTCGCCGACATAATATACTGACTGCGGATACTCTTGTTGACTGCTTGCCCGGCCTGCTTTCTCAGCGTCGCTGCTCCAGGCACTTCTGCTTCCCACTGCCCGTGTGGCTCATCTTCCACCCTTTACCACTCTACTTCCCGGTTTGATCGATCCCTCCAGGGCTCCAAGGGCTCCAGGGCTGCCCGAAGTGCAACTTGTAGGACCTGCCACCCTCCTTTGACAACCCCCCTTCACCCCCCAGCCCACCCCATGTCCCTGGCGCGCTTCCGCACACGACCCGCCGCATACGGTCATCCGCTGTAGCCCAAGACCGATGTGAACGTCTCTGGTCTCAGCTTCGCAGATTCCCAGAAACGCGTGCGAGGCGCGAGTGACTCAAGAGTCCCACCATCGCTATCGCATCGCGATATCAGTTCCCTTTTCAGACCATGAACCCCAAGCCACACCCAACTTCCTACAATTCCCAGGTGAAGGCAAAGCGGCGAACGTCAGTTCCACCGATCGTGCTGTCGCTGGTTGCGCCGCAAGAGGGTGCAACCTCAACCAGGTTGGGACGCAGCTTTGCCATCCGGTGGGAGAGTGGGCCCGATGTGTGTGTCTGTGTGGCAGTATGTACTCCGTACTTGTATTGGAGAGTCGTCGGAGAGTCGTCGTCGTCGACCCAAGCGGAGAGAAAGGTTAGCAAGGGCCATATGCCACTAAGCCTTCCTCGGTATAGCTCCGCCAAGCCATCCGTTCACGCAACCCCCCAGTTGCCCGTATGCGTAAGCTAATGGACCGTCCACGAGTCGATTCACTACACTCGATACTACACCCACCCCTCCGCAGCCCGCAGCCCTCCGCCGTCCTGAGCCCCTCGCTCTAGCACATTACCGTCCTCGCGGCCGCCCACACTCCCAGATCCAGCCTGCTTGCTCTCCAATCAGACCTTCCGCGGCCTCCACGACCGCCTGCTCCCCAACACCTCTCGGCGCCGCAAGTCCTCTCCGCTGCAACACTCGATCCGTCCCTATCACAAGCCGCGAGCACAGGTCCACTTGTCTGAGACTCTGTCTGACATTCTGCTATTGGCCGGTCCGTCCAAACTGCAGACGGCGCTTCGGAGATCATCTGCACAAAATCCTCCGTCTCCATCAACACTGGCGCATCCTCGCCCCGCCTCTCCTACACCTCTACAAGCCACACCTCGCCAACTCTGCCAACTGCAAACTGGGACAAACGCTGCCTAGCCAAGCCTCAGTTACCGTCATCCGCCACAATCATCCCGCTATACATCCGGACCACGCGTTTCTGTGTCGCCTGCTGCGGTTCCTGGGAATAGCTCCTCTGCCCTCTCTGCCATAGAGTCATTCCTCAACATCCATCGCACATTCCGCCGTATTTCCCGGGAAAGGTAGCACTCTGTGCCTTGCTTGCAAGCCTTCGTTCAAACGCCTCGTGCACCCCTACGGCGGAGGACCGCTCTCAGCAAGTAAACATGGCGTCCGCCTCGCTCCGGGATTCCTTAAACTCGCTGGGTTGGAGCCGAAGGGACGCCGATGTTCCCGTGAACACATCTTCTCCCTCCTTGATTGGGAGGCTCCAAAACCTCAATCCGTTTGGTTCCGGTGGCTATGTTAGGCTGCCGACTACTGAGAATCCGGGAGCTCCGCTGCCAGCACCCACCCGGAGGGAAGAGGAAGAAGGCTGGTTTGCGCGTAAGTGCCCCTTTCTGTTTCAACCACCGCCGTAGAAAGGCTTGGATTGCCTACGGAGCGTCTGCCTTCAGCCGCCACCTTGCTGAGCAATGCGCGTCGAACGCCATGGCAGCCGGGGCTGCTTTCCCTACACCTCTACGTATCCCCATGCCGGCCTTGTGACTGTGCCGCGGCGACCTCTTGCAGAGCTAGCAGGGGATGCTTCGCGCAGTCAGAGATTTCGCAAAATCGCATCAGAGGACAGATTTTGCCATGTTCTTTCAATCTGCTATCTCCGCTCCCGGCTCAGGCTCAACCAACATGTCACCTGGACTCAGTATGCAGTGATCGCCCTGGCATCGGCAGCGGAAGGGAGTTCCTGCGTAAATCACCCGGGTCGCAGATGGCTGCATATACGCAACCTCCATTGTTACATTTGATCACTGCTAACCGTTGTGTCCCTAGTGAGTCGCTGGGATCGGCTGCTCGTCTTCGGCGGTCTCATGGTTGCCTCCCTGGCCATGTTTGCCCTTTGTTTCGCATTGATGTTCACTGGTGTACTGCTTGTTAAACCCCGCAAGTTTGCCATTCTGTGAGTTCTTCATCTTCTATGTATCCTTATCCCCTCCAAACCGATACGCATAGCCTTCTCTGTCACCTTCCTCGTTTTGAGGGTGGCACATCGCTTGTCGCGATCCCCAGCAGCAGGACGCGGCCAGTCGCAACTGGGATGCCTTCTGCACAGATTTGTTGAATGTTTGTCTGAGCGAATCTTGGAAGGCATCATGGAGGTGGTGCCGCCATGACCGTTTAAACTGCTTCAAAGTTGGCATCTTGCACTATTCTGCGATCATGCGGAGGTTCGCCTTTAGCGCGCAGAAGTGCCTGCCCAGTTCACATTTCCCAGTTCAGGCACATTCATCAGCGGCTCAAGAGCTAATGGTCGTCGGCACTCAGGTGGTCTATGGGCAGTCTTCTATTTCTGGTATCTTGGGGTGTTTTGATGGGCCCCACAGCATACAGTACGTGCCCCTCAACACTGTCCAAGGCGATGTGCTAACTGCAGACTTCCTCTCCCAGTTCATCACCTCATTTCTGGGCCCAGACTTCCTTTCAGCGCAGCGTACTTTGGTAGCATTGGGCTCACTCTGTGGTTTTCGCTCGGGGTAAGTTCCACGCTCCTGCCCCATCCCCGTCCTGAAGCACATGCACATCCCGCATGAACCCTGCTGCCCTTAATCCCATACCCCACGCTAGTCTTATCGATTGCGGATTGCTCGGGTTTACTGTACTAACTGCATGTGCGCGTGATGGTATAGTTACACAGCACCCTTCTCACCTTCATCGCCTCGCTCCTGCAGCTGGTCTGCCTCATCTGGTACCTGGTCTCCTACTTCCCCATGGGCTCACAAGGCCTGCGGTTTGCTGCGAGATTCGGAGGGAGCCGCGTCGCAGCCTGGATGAATGACTGAGGCAGACTCCCGAGGATCTTGTACGAGTACTGGCGGTTGTTCTGGTTTCTGCGGCTGTAACACGATAATACTTATTAGGACTCGAAAAGCTGGGCGGCGCGCACCGTCCGCGCGTCAAACAAACAATCAGATCAAGCGGGCGGGCACACATCTGTTTCTGATGTGCCCCCCGAAAGCAAGCAAGCAAACCGTTCATGTTTCGTCCAGGGTGCCAACCGGCTTGCATCCGTCACGCCCACACCCACAGGCATCCATACACCCTCACACACTTGCGCCTGGTGCTCCTTCGACACCCTGCCAGTAGTAGTCCTAACCCCTTGACCGCTGATTATTGATCGTCGCCCGAAGTCGCTGCCCCGAACTGCGCTCACATGCAAGTCGTCCTACCTTATTAGACTAGCCTAGTTGTGGCCCTGGTAGGTAGATGTGTGGCACATTACCATGCGGCCATGTGCATATGCATCTCTCTGGGCCCCTGAACCCTGCACTACATACATAATAGCCTTGTTGCTCTGATGCTTGAGATACAGAGGTATCACGCTTTCAGAATCCCCTCCCTTTCATGCTGTTTGATGATTGTGCTGCTTTTGCCTGAGTCGATTCTTTGTTTTCGACTCGGGGGAAGCAGAGTGCCGAGGAGAGTATTGGGGGATAATGCTGATATAATGTGGTATGAAGAGGGAGAAATAAGACGGAGTAGATCAGATGGATGATCTCTATGTCTGCGCACGCAGGGTCCGCCGCTCTCCCGCTTTATCGATACATATGCCGTCGACCTGCTTACCTGCTTATCATCTGCAGATGCCGGCAGGCGGTGACGACTGGCGATCTTTACTTTGTTTGACGGCAAACGGTATGCTCCGGTTAGTGTGCGGGTGAGTGAGTGGGACGTTGAGTTGGAGGGTTGGGATGGGTGATGGCGGGGGATGTGTCTGTGGGAAAGAGAGAGCGCCGGATGCGAGGGTGCCGTATCTGCGAGGGATGCATTATAGAGCTGGAGATGGAGGATGGGATATTGGAGGGGGAAGAAGGGAGAAGGGAGAAGCGAAATTTGGAGGGAGGAGAGGGGAGATGGGAAATGGGCGATGCTACTGTGTAGATTCCCATGCTCATGTCCATGCCCCGCCGTTCCTACCCGGTCGCTCCACGTCGACATTGACTTCGCATGTTCACAGTCCTTGCGCAGTCGTTCATGCAAGATGCGACCCGTGACACAGATCCATCGCCTCTACCCACCCAGGGAGACAACCGTCGTGCGTCCTGAGCTGCCAGGTGCCCCGGCGCACGCATCATGCATCCAAGGGAACTATCCTAGGCAGGGAGAAAGATGGGCAGATGGGCAGATGGCCGATGCCAATAACGTCTGCTCGTGGCCGCTATGAGGAGAGGGTGTAGTGGTGGACGGGAGAGGGGTGTCGAGCACGGGTGTTTTGGAGGGGTTGGAGGGGTGGGGAGGGATCAGCCACAGCCACAGTGGTTCGCCCCGCATTCGCGTTCATGTACTTGTGGAGCTGGATTGGGTATAGCGGGTTTAGCGCCGTTTTAGCCACAGGACCTCATGCGGGTTGAGGGGGGTACTTATACGGAGTACGGAGTACATGCAGGTGGATTGTGATGAGGGGTAGGTGATTGGGAAGGAATGCTTTTTTCGCGGGAGGAAGGGTGTTGCTGGAGAGGAAGAGAGGAGTAGGAGAGCAAGGTCGCAAGGTACTGACTACATAGGTAGTATTGTCCCTATTATGAAACCCTCCCTAGGCTTTTGCAGTTGGAGATTAGCGGATGGAGAAAGAGTTCGCTGATGCCCCAAGGTGGATGTGACTGGTGGGTGTGTTTGGAGTTCCGAGGGATGGATAAATGGTGGTTCACACAGGCTTGAAGGTGGTTTTGGTTGATCTAGCGAAGGCAGTGGATTAGGTTAGGTATTGTAGAGGCGATATTGTAGTATCCTTTTTTGGAGTAACGAAGGCTGACCTTACCTTAAGCTAGAGTCGGCTATATATTGATATTTGAGATTCAATATTTGGAGAACACGACTCTAGCGTGGGGTGTATAGTGGCTCTGGACGGATATCGATAGCCCTGGAGTGAACCCAGCGGCAGGTTGACTCTCGGATCCAAGAATCTAGAGCAATTTGACGTCTACCTAGGCATCGGTTTCGAGCCCTTCTTAGCTTAAAACCAAGAAGAAATCTAAACGAAGAACGTGGAGAGCGTTTCTGCGATGTTTTCTTCTCGGAGAGGTATATATTTGACGATTACAGGTCCGGGGCGCCGTCCGATGGATATTGCAACGGAGTACAAACACGACTGGACTGTGACGAAAATAGCAACCGGACTAGCAATCTAACTATCGTCAAGACAGGTCTTGGGAAACAGCTGCGAATCCAATAGATTAGAAACAGGAACCTGCGCCGGCTGCAACACATCTGCTTTTCTAGCTCGAGTAGCTCGAGTAGACTACTAGTCTCGTTCCTACAGCCGCTGCTGTGCATGAACGACCGAGATGTCAATATTAGTGTTGGTGTCAGTGGATGACGAATTGGACCCAGCAAGGTTCCAGCGCTGGACTGCAGCCAGTCTCTGCCGTCAGAGACATTCACCGGACGCAACATCGCCCTTGGCGGCATCTAGGATTCGCTGCAGGAATCACACAATATCCAGCAGGACGAAGATGACGGACAAGTCGGACTCCGCCATTTGCCTTCGCCCTGCGCTAACCGATCGCACATATATTCACAGCCAATGAACCATCCCATACCTAACCTCCCAACACCAGGCCTGCAGACGCGCGACATGCGCGCGCCGGATACGCTCCGCTCCTGCTGCATACTGTAGCCATCGGCATGGAATTGCGCATGCACCGTGGATACGATCGCAAAGCCTGTCATCCAACACTCCATCCACGGCGTCCCAAGGTAAACTTTCTTTGTTTCATAATGGAAATATGACCTTGGAAGCCATGGAGTGGCTGAGAGTGCACATGCGAGGAGAGGTAGGACTCACGGATGAGGGAAGGCGCATGCGCGTGCGATGATGGGGGGAGTCACATTGACGGTGAGTCGGCGAGGTCCGAGGATTGGCGGTTCGATGGCTGTGGAGGGGGTCGTACAGGATGAGAGATGCATATCAATGTATGGACTGGCCGTTAGGGCTGAGGGATCCGGAAGTGCGAGAAGGTCTGATCGGTGGGTGTTGGGGATGATGATGGGTTGATTGGGAGTCGGGATTGCAGAGGTGGGAATTTGTAGGGCGCGCAAGTGAGGCGTGGCGGATTACGCGTATTCCGAAGGTTATTGGCTTGAGCAAGATATTGTGAATGTACCCATAATAGCACAGTGTATTATCAAGTGGCTCCCAAAGCAAACGGACGCCCTGACATGTGGAAGTCTGTTCTGACTTCTTGGAAAGCCCGTAGATATTAGATATGCTTCCCCGCTGACTCATGTCTGACAAAGACATTCACTTCCCCGCGCTCACGCTAGCTGCACGTGTTATACCCCGCCGTCGCCCCTCGGCCCGACGATTCACCCGCTGCAAACCCCACCACCTCTCCACCCCCGAGTTCCATGCCCGCTACCCCTCCGAGGCGCTCATCGGCAGTTGGGGCTGCCAATGGGAATGGGCCTTTTTCGAGGAATCCCGATGGTTGGCGCGAGTTAGTGCCATGAAGGTGGATGTCTATGCTGTTTAGAGAAAGCACAAGCTTTGGTGGAACTGGAGCTGGACCAGGAGGATTGTGGGATCGGAAGAGAGATGGGGAGGAAAGATCGCGAGGCTGGAGTGAGAGCAAATCACCCTATGCATGCCCCACTGCTTGCAATTGCTTGTGTGCTGTGCTGAGCTGGGTTGCTGACGGCAGGAGAATGTGGGGTCGGGGTTACTTCGCCGATGGGGGAACTGTTTTCTTTCTCCCTTCTTCCTTCCTTCTTCTTCTCCTTCATTCTGTCCTACACTCGAGCATCAATCTATTTTACCCTTGCCTACCTCGAATCAATCCCTGTCCTCAACCCATTGACAATCACTAACCCCCTCGACCAACTGTTACAATCCGTTGATTCAAAAGCCTTTCCAGCATAACAGCGGATTGAGTACGCAAGATGACGTCGCAGCTCGAGAATCCCAAGGAGTACCAGAAGATCTTCCACTGGGCGGAAACGCAGAAGGATGGTGTAGTACCATCTTTTGCCACGAGGAAGAACGATCCTTATGAAGTGAGTGCAATGCCTGCCTCGTGCTGGGACCATGGTGAAGAAATGGGAAGCTGACAGATTTCTGCGTTGTAGTATCAGTGTGGCTTTGGCAATAGGTGAGTCTGGTCCGACCTTCCGTGAGAGATGGGTCATAAAAGAGGGGAGTATCTGTGGAGAAGATTGGCTGACGTGTGCGGTTAAAGTTTCGAATCCGAGGCTGTACCTGGTGAGTGCTTCCTTTAGTGGTCTCGTAACTAGAGATGCTGATTTGATTGTCTGCAAGGCACAATTCCCAGGGGCCAGAACAGTCCCAGATGCGTGAGATTCGGACTGTATGCGGAGCAGATGACTGCTACTGCATTCGTGGCGCCGAGGCATTTGAACAAAAAGGTTCGCACGACCGGGAATGCGACGTTTACGAATCACTGAATTTGCGCTGACGCGTTACAGGCATGGCTGTACAGAGCTCGCCCAGCAGTAGCCCACCAAGGATTTGTAAGAGCTCCAAGCTTCCCGTCAGCATCCTCTACACCATCACAGAAGGCCGCATGACACGAATCACAAGAACCATCAAACCGCGCCATCCACCCTTACTTCACTCCCAAGCCCCATGCTGACCACAACCATCAGACCGACCTGCCCGAGAATCCCGACACTGAGTCCAACTTCCTCCCAGTGAACCCCCGCGTCCACGTTTCCCCCACGCAGCTCGCCTGGTTCCCTTTTGAAATTCCCAAGGATGGCGAAGTCGACTTTATCAGCGGTCTGAAGACCATCGCTGGTTCCGGTGACCCTACACTACGTGAAGGCCTCGCCGTGCATACGTATCTCGCGAATACGAGCATGGGCCGCAGAGCAGCCGTGAATTCGGATGGTGACTGGCTTATTGTGCCGCAGCAGGGAGCGTTGGATATCCAGACGGAGTTTGGCAAATTGTTTGTGCAGCCGGGCGAGATTTGCGTGATTCAGAGGGGTCAGAGGTTCAAGGTGGGATTGCCGGATGGGCAGACTAGGGGGTATATCCTTGGTACGTGCATTTTATTGTTGGGATTACGGGAAGATGAAGAAAGCAGAGGAGATACTAACGGGTATCAGAAATCTGGGGCTCAAATTTCCAACTCCCCGAACTCGGTCCCCTCGGTGCGAATGGTCTTGCCAACGCCCGGGACTTCCTGCACCCCGTTGCTCACTATGAAATTGAGCAAGCTCCTTGGGAGATTATCTACAAGCTCAGCGGCAAGTTCTTCAAGAGCACGCAGAACCACTCCCCCTTCGACGTCGTTGCTTGGCATGGCAATTACGTGCCGTACAAGTACGACCTAACCAAGTTTGTCAATGTCGGCAGTATCAGCGTCGACCATATTGATCCGAGCATTTTCTGCGTGTTGACGGCGCCATCGAGGGATCCAAGTTCGCCACTGGCGGACTTCTTGATCTTTTCGCCGAGGTGGGATGTTGCTAGGTATGTCCCCATGCATCTCTCTTTCCTATATCATTTCCAAGCCTCTATGCATTGCAAACCTGACGTTTCTTGGCAAATCACTAACTGTGACGTTTTCCCAGCCACACCTACCGTCCCCCCTACTACCACCGCAACGCGGCCTCTGAACTCATGGGCCTCATCTACGGTGAATACGCCGGCCGCAGCGACTCCTTCCAACCGGGAGGCGTGAGCTACGAATGCGGTTTCGTGCCCCACGGTGTCGCTTACGAGGAGTTCAAGGCAGCCAGCGCACAGCCTCCCCCCGAGATGAGGATCTCTGAGGGCGCGGTCGCGTTCATGTTTGAGAGCTCTAGGATGTTTACGATTACGGATTGGGCGTGGAAGAGCGAGAAGAGACATGAGCACGAGCCGTCGATGTGGTGAGTAACTGATCTCATTTCTGTAATTCGGAGGACAGACGGACGATCGCTGGAACTGAGAAGGGGAACAAAAGATGCTGACTTTATCACAGGGACAACCTCGTCGATAACTTCTCTCAGCATAAAGACGAAGTCGACAGCATCCTGGCGGAAGGAGTGAAGAAATTGAATGTATGAGATGCCGGGGAGTACTTCGGTGACCAGGCAGACCCAAACCGATTGAAGCATGAAGGAGATCGAAGCCTGTATGAGAGAGAAGAATAAACCTTAGAATCAGTTATACTTTCAAGGAGCGCACATATATATCTCTTGAGGCCATACGTTCCTGTCCCGTCCACTTCCTTCTCAGTCGAGGACCTCTGTTTCCACGTCACCTGTTTCGACCTTAATTCGCATGTTGCGAACAAAATCTCAAGAGGTACCTTCGTCTTGACTTTGCATTGTGGGGCATTCCATGTTCACGAGCTGCCGTCTGATCAGCCTCGCCCTGCCGCGCCTACGCTAAACACCGCTAAACCACTAACACCCAAGCAGGTATCCACTTAAACCACTAGTCCACTCTTGAATTAAAGCGGCATAGAAGTGAGGGAGTCGGAGGATTGATGGGCGCAGACTACGACATCGTAAGATTAATCAGCGTTTCGCGTTTGATGCGTTTCAAGGGATGTCTTCTCAACAACACTGTCAATCTTTGTTGAACTGGATACGACAAATCCTCACGAGTGTCAGTAAAGAGGCGGTAACAGTCAATCGCACCCGCCGCGGTTATTTACCATTGCCAGAGACGGCTCGAAAAAAAAATTCTAGGTTGTCGCAATTGGATTTGTAACCAACCCTCATTTCCGACATAGACAACTGATCCTCAGTCCTCAAATCCCACCCTCAAACTCTTCACTTCGCATTCCACTCCTCTCACCGAAATCCTCCATCACTAACCCAATGCCTTCCCCCACTCCCTACCCTCCCGACCACAACCCAGGTGTCCCCAACATCCCCTTCTTCACGCCCCAGCACGCCGTCTCGCCCGGTGCTCCCGTTTCGAATCCGAAGAATGACGCGGCAGCGGCAAAGAAGGTACCGGTGCTCTTCACGCCGCTCACGATTCGCGGGGTGACGCTCAGGAATCGCATCTTGGTGGCGCCCATGTGTCAGTACAGTTGTGCGGCGGAGGGGCCGACGGTTGGTGCTTTGACGGTGAGTTTTTGGTTTTGTTGATCCCTATTTTATTTTCGTTGTCGATGAGGTGTCTGGTTTCTGGTCTTTGTCGCTTTTGCACGTTATACTGGCTTGGAACTTGTGCTGGAGGGATAGGAAGAGGATTCTTATGAAAGAGTTATTACTGGGGTTTCCTGGAGAGGGAGGGGCTTTTGTCCGGAGAGCAGATAGACATTCGGACATGTTAGGATGCCATGATGGTTTTCCTTGTTTGATTCCACCGAAAGGATCCTTTCCTTCGGCTGAGATCTTCCGATCTGAATTGCCCAAGGGCTCCAGTATTCTCCATGCGGCACTCCCTCAAAATAGACACACTCACTAACACCCACTCCAGGACTACCACCTCGCAACCTTAGGCCACTACGCCCTCAAAGGCGCCGCCCTCACCATGATCGAAGCCACGGGCGTCCAGTCCTGCGGCCGCATCTCCCCCAACTGCCCGGGCCTCTGGACCGACGCGCAAATCCCCGCCCTCCGCCGCATCTCCGACTTCATCAAATCCCAAGGCTCCATCAGCGCCATCCAACTCGCCCACGCAGGCCGCAAAGCCTCCACCGCAGCTCCCTGGCTGACGAGCACTCTCCCCGGGGCGCCCAAGGTCTCGCTGCGCGCGACCAAGGACGCAGGTGGCTGGCCCGAGGACGTCGTGGGTCCCATGGGTGGCGACGAGTGGACGTGGGACGGGCGCAGCTCGACGGATCCCGAGGGAGGTTTCTGGGCGCCGCGTGCTCTGACCGTGGACGAGATTCAGCAGCTAGTCAGGGACTGGGCGAGCGCGGCCAAGCGCGCTGTTCAGGCTGGGATCCAGGTCATCGAGATTCACGCCGCGCATGGGTATTTGATCAGCGAGTTTCTGTCGCTTGTGACGAATCGCCGGACGGATGCTTATGGGGGGTATTTCGAGGGGAGGACGAGGTTGCTGGTTGAGGTTGTCAGGGCGGTGAGGGAGGTCATTCCGGAGGATATGCCGTTGTTTGTGAGGATCAGTGCGACGGAGTGGCTTGAGGGGGCGGAGGTGGGGAGGGAGAATGGATCGTGGGATGTGGAGAGTTCGATACGGTTGGCGAAAATGTTGCCGGCGTTGGGAGTGGATTTGCTGGACGTGAGTACTGGGGGGAATCACCTGGCACAGACGGTGAAGGCGTTTGCGACGAAGGATTATCAGACGAGAATTGCGAGCCGTATTCGAAAGGAGCTGAAGAAGGAGGGTTTGAGTATGTTTATTGGCGCCGTGGGGTTGATCACGGAGGCCGAGCAGGCGAGGGATATTGTCGAGGGAGGTGTTGGCAATCCTGCGGAGAGGAAAGTGGATGCGGAAATTGAGGAAGAGGCGAGGGCGGCCTTGAAGATGACAGAATCAAGCGATGGGGAGGATCTCAAGGCAGATGTTATTCTTGTGGCAAGGCAGTTTATGCGCGAGCCGGAGTGGGTGTTGAAAGTGGCGTGGAAGTTGGGTGTCGAAGTCGCGTGGCCGAGCCAGATTCTGAGGGTGAAGTTTCCGAGGTTATAGGACGGTGGTAGAGGAAACTTTGGTATCAAATAACAGTTAGATATAGAAAGCCTTCGCAAAGTTGACAAACGCCTATCCCGACAATATCTCCCTTTCCATTCGTGAGCACCTTAGACATGCCCTTGACACTGTGCTATATTCGTCCAATACGAAGAAGTACACTTAATTCATCCATTCTTTTTTCTTTTGAGCTTAACCTACGTGTTATCCTGGGCGTCTTATGTTAACTTGCTGACGAGAATTCATCAGACGTCCCGAAATGGCCTCCATCTCCAATATAGCGCACATGGCAAGCAGCAGTCGTTGGATATCGATCCTAAACCCAGTTCTGCAAATCAGAGCTCCTATTGGTGCAAACCAGTGACCATGGCCCGGATATATCTACCGGCAATGATCTCATCCACCGCAAATCCTATAGTAATGAAGAACTACGCGAGTTTCTAGCCAGATCAACAATGCTTTTAAGCGTATATGGCCGCGGGCTTGGGCCTGTTGGGAAGAATGTTGGGTCCAGCCCCGCGTGCCGACTTTCCTGGTGTTTATAAGTTAGTATGGAGACGCAAATCCCCTGGTACGTGGGATTTTTCAACCCTCAAAATTTTGAGGAGTCAAGATGCGCATTCCGGTATCTGTTCTGGTGTTATCAATCCTGTCGAAGTTCTGCACGGCACTGCTCGAAGAGAAATTCGTGGCATTCGAACATGAGGGCGCTTTGGATATCACCCATGCCCCTGTCCTCTATGCTGCGGATGACTTCATCGGAGTTGGAATTGCAGCCGAAAGTCTCGCGAGCGATTTTGCTGAAATAACAGGCTCCAAGCCAGATATCCGTAACCTTACACAAGAACAGCTCGGCCGGTTTGGCGGCATCGGGCGAGCTGAGAGCGCCATCATTGTGGGCTCACTGAAGTCCCCGCTGATTCAACGCCTGTCCCGCAATGGCACAAACTCGACGTTGAATGTCCAAGACATCGCGGGAAAATGGGAGGGTTTCAAGACGTCAATTGTGCGGAATCCGCTGCCTGGAATTCAGGCCGCGCTGGTTATTGCGGGGAGTGACAAGCGCGGCGCGATTTTCGGGATTCATACGCTTGCTGAGCAGTCGGGACAGTCGCCGTATGAATTTCTTTACATTCCATTCTTTGCTAAAAAGACATTTTGCGAAGCTAACCTCTATGTAGATATCACTGGTTTGCCGATGTCCCTGCTAAGAAGCACGAGAAGATTTATGCCCTTCCAAAGACAACTGTGCATGGAGAGCCGAGCGTGAAGTATCGCGGGCTTTTCATCAATGACGAGGAGCCGGCAACTACACTGTGAGCCCTTTTGCTGAATAAGTGGAGTCGAACGAGAAGCTGATGTGGTGCAGATGGTGGGCTCGGAAACACAATGCTTCACACTACCGTCTGGACGTACGTATTACACAAAAAAAGTTGATTATCGCTGATTTGGATAGACTGAATACTACCGCCACGTCTTCGATATGATGCTCCGCCTCAAAGCAAACTACATTTGGCCCGCAATGTGGCGCTCTTACACCCCTCCACCAGGCCAAATCTTCTTCACCGATGACCCCGGAAATACGCAGCTTGCAAACGACATGGGGATTGTCGTGTCCACGAGCCACCACGAGCCTATGCAACGCGCAACTAATGAGTGGAATGTCACTGAAACGGGACCCTGGGATTGGCGACGCAACAAGGAGAATGTCACAAGCTTTATGGAAGAGGGGATTAGGAGGATTGAGGGAAAAGAGGTATATATCACAATGGGAATGAGGGGACCGAATGATGGGCCAATTGTAGGCGACGATGCGTTGGACATATTGAAGGATGTGTTCGAGACAGAGAGAGCAATATTCAAAAAGTATTACGGCTCTGAAGATGGTGTAAATCGTAAGTATTCCATTGAATTGAGAACTCTAGGGCATGTAAGAGCTAACTTCGAGCAGAGATGTGGACGCTGTATAAAGAGGTGCAGACCTACTATGCTGCTGGCCTTGATCCACCAGAGGATGTTACGCTAATATTTCCCGATGACAATGCGGGCAATGTGCAGCGCCTGCCTACTGCAAATGAGAGTGCAAGAGCGGGTGGTATCGGAGTAAGTCGATATCCTTCTCGTATCCTGCTGCGATACTGATCCAGGAAGCTGTACTACCACTTCGAATATGTCGGATCTCCCGTCTCGTACAAATGGCAGAATATAGCAAACTTGGTATGTATTGAACTCTCTGCAACTAACCACGGCACTTAACATCCCCAGCCCAAGGTTTACAAAGAACTATCCCAAGCCAAATTGCGCGGGGCCGATCGCATTTGGATCATGAACGTCGGCGATATCAAACCCATGGAACTCCCTCTTTCCTTCTCCATGGACCTGGCTTGGAACACATCTAGTATCACTTTCGAAAGCATTCCCGAATATCTTACGCTCTGGCTCACGCGCGAGATTGGCACCGAGTACGCGGAAACACTTACTCCTCTGCTGATGGAATGGGGCCACCTCATCGGTATGCGCAGATACGAAGCCGTGTGGCCAAGCACGTACTCCAGTTTCTATTTCCGTGAAACCGAGAGGATTCTGGGTCGCTGGCAAACGCTGCAAGACCGAATTACCGCGCTGCATGAGCAAATGCCTACCGACATTGCGCCGGCGTTCTATCAACTGGTATATTATCCAATCGTTTCTGGAGCAACATTTTATCGCGTCCAGCTCGGTGTTGCTTTGAACAGAAAGTACGCGCATGAGCGGAGGAACTCTGCAAACGGCGTGGCAGAACATGTCCGAGAACTGTTCGAGTCAGACTACGACCTCACACATGGTTTCAACACTCTCCTCAATGGAAAATGGTCTGGAATCCTGGAGCAAGCAAAATATGACGACCTGGAAGGATACGAGCCATATGGTGGATTTAGAGATTGGCCAAATCCCTCTCGAGATATGCTATCTAACCTTTCATACGTCCAACTGCGCCAGGATATGCAGTATACCCTAGGGAACATGGGCATCTATGCAGAAGAATCAGTCAATGCTGCCATACAAGGTCGCTGGGCGGAATCTATCGACGCGAGTTTACCCAGCAGCCAGTTAGGGAACCCCGAGAGAGAGTGGACGCCAACCCTACTTGTTATGGATCCTTATGGCCCTCCAGTACGTTTTGTCGAGCTTTTTATGCGGGGCGATTATCGTGTGCCGATTAACTGGACCATAGGAGAACCTCCTGTGGACTGGCTCAGAATCACTCCCAGATCAGGAATGCTTCATCAAGACCACTATGATCAGAGAGTGAACATCAGCATCGATTGGGATCGGGTACCTGTTGGCTTTAATGCCACGGTGATTGTGCCAGTGACATCGACGCCATCCCACTACCCCTATCAGGATTATCTGTACATTCCGGTGTCAAATCATAGAGCCCCCGATGGCTTCGTCGGCTTTCCAGAGACGGAGTTGAAATTCATATCTATAGAAGCGCCCCACTTCCAGCGCTCATCATTCTCACCAAACACTCGCAATGGTACTACCGGAAACGACACCACCGTGCATTTCGAGCATATTCCGTACTTGGGAACACGCACTGAATCTGGTTCTTTGGCACTGCGACCTTACACACTGGCGCGTACCACAGACTCTACGAGCGCATTCGTGGAATACAACATCTACCTCTTCAACAGCACGTCCGCCCTCAACGCCACCGTCTACATAAATGGCTGCCTGGACACAGATCCCAACCTGCTCTTGCAATTCTCCCTGACACTGGACGATCAACCGGCGAACTTTACCCGCGTCCTGGGGCAGCCAACGAATGCGGGAGATTTGCCGCCCGAGTGGAATCCGACAGTCATGGATAATGTGTGGAAGAAGAAGGTAAGCCTTGGTCCAGCCGCTGCAGGAGCACATAAGCTGGTCTGGAGAGCGAATAATCCGGAGCTGTATCTGGAGAAGATTGTGCTGTTTACAAGGGGAAGAGAAGGAGAGCGGGAGACCTATCTTGGCCCACCAGAGACCAAGTTTGTTGGAGGAAAATTGTGGACATATCGATAATGTTCTTGAACCGTTAGAGTTCATGAACTTCTAAGAATCTTCTTTGCTACTCGCAAGTCCTCAGTGATGTCCGCATCCCACAGCCACGCCATCCGCTTTCTGACATTGTTCTCAATTGCCTCCATATCGTCGCCTTCCGGCCCTTCGAACTCATACAACATACCTGCTTCTTTACTCGTCTTGACCAGTTTGAGTGATCGAAGGCGTCTCACGTCTTCATATGCTTGAAAGGCCTTGTCGATCTCGTGAGCGTCGGTAATTTCACCAAGCAGTTCGCCCAAGATGTAGCAATCCTCGACACACATGCCCGCTCCGGCGCCCTGATGCGGCGTGGAAGCGTGAGCAGCGTCACCCACTAGACAGATCCGTGGACTCGATTGGATATATGTCCGCGCAGAGGGGTGGTTAAACAACGCCCAAATATCAGTCTTCTCAATACTGGACAAGAGGGCCTTAACATCGGGACTCCAGGTCGCGAAGTCAGCGAGGATGTCTTCTTTGGAGCTATTAACAATCCAATCCGGGTTTGTCCAACTTTCACGAGACGTAAATGCAACGACTTGTCCAACCATTAGTTTGGATTCCGATCCTAGAACAGATACATACTCACTGTTTAGCATCGTACCCTTCGCAATTGGAAATGTCAGAACATGTCCGTGATGCCCACAAAACATTTGTGCAGTCTTGGGGGTCTCCTCTCCCAGAATCTCCGCCGCCTTCTCCATTGATATCAGGCCTCTGTAAGCACATTTCCCAGAGAACACGGCCTTTGCCTCCTCTTTTCCCAAGACTATCTCCCGTGTCCGCGACTTGATCCCATCACATCCCAGCACAGCATCGTGCCTCGCTGTTGTACCGTCTGCAAAGTGCAGTACAGCATCCCCTGTACCATCATCCGCTTCCTCGATGTCAACCAATCTCTTGCGGAACTTGGGTACATGATCAGGAATCAATTTCACAAGCTCGTCAAGGAGATGTGCGCGATGCACGCCACCTCCAGGTCCCCGACGCGCAGGCCAGTCAAACACCTTCTCGCCAACCCTGATTTCCCGACCATCTCTCCTCGCCACTACAGCTCTCTCATTCTTGTTTTTACAATCTCCCACACGGACTGTGAAATATATGGGATCTTCCTCCATGTAAGGCGCTTCCGCACACCGCAGAAACGCGTCTTTGATTTCTGGGGAAATCAGCTCCATGGTTCGGACGAACGTAGGCTGGAACCCGACGCCGGCGCCGATTTCGCCAAATTGAGCGGCGGATTCATATAGTGTGTGTTGGATGCCGTGTTTGGTGAGGGATATGGAGAGAATAGTGCCTGCGATGCCGCCACCGATTATGGCAAGGTTCAAAGGTTTTGGAGATACAGACTCAGTTGCTGATGTCGCCATTTGGAGGGATTGAAGTCAGGATTGCTCGAATACCTGTTAGGCAAGGATGCGCTGCGACAATTCAGTGGAACCATCGAGGACAGAATATGTGGAGGGGAGGCGTTCAACCGAGGTGCAAGGCGTAACTGCCCCACGTTGTACCGCCTCGATGGGGAATCGGGCGACTGCTTGTTGTGTCTTAACGGATTACTATGTCCAAAAAGACCCTTGGCTACACAGTGTGAGCCCTCCAAGCTTGACGATGCGGCGTCCCGTTAGTGCCGTCTACGGTGATAGAGAATAACATTCTACCTAGGGTTTCATCGCTGACTAGGAAGATTGCGGTCGTCAAGCACAACTCCATCAGTGACCATGCGCAATTATGTCTGCACCTGTATGCCCATCTGATAAACCAACAGTCACGGCAGCAGGTTCTTTCTTATCTCAACCGCTGAAAATCGCTAACCTACATCATCCCGACAAACAGCTGAGGTCTGGTAGGGGGCTGTCACGAACTTCCGCAAATAGACGCAGCGCGTGCCTCACATACATAGATCATAGATGTCTTCCAAAAAGACGGTAGTGATTCTGGAACACTTCTACGGAGGCTGAGGACGACGGCAGTTATACCACTTCATCCTTTGGCTGTATGGTAACAGATTTGCCTCATGCTACGCACAGAAGTACAACAATCTAAAAGATCATATACAGCGTCTTATCACAACTGACTGAACTCCCTTCTGCACTGCCTTGGTACTACAGTTTTCCAAGTCCGATTGAGCAGTCAGAAGGCGCAGCGATATAACAGGTCTTACAACTGGATTTGCAGTGTCTCTACGTATAATATGCCTAAAACGAAACATTACCTATAGAATTATCAAGTAGTTGCCAATATATTTGCGCTGACTAGATGATCTAACTCACGGAGGAAGTGGAAGGAGTATTCACTCCGATGTCAGAAGCCGTTGTATAGCTGTACAAATGCAAGTCAATCAATCACTGTGGGGCACGCAGATTTGAATAAATAATGCGGCTATTCCACGTCGGACTGAACAACTCCCTGCGCTTCCTCTGTGCTGCCACTCTCCACACCCGATTGGACAGCGATAAAAGCGATAGCAGCGCCGGTGGCAATCAGCTTTGCATCGCCTCTCTGTGTAGGTGTAACCAGCCAGCACAGGCTCAATACATAAGTCTATTTGACCTCACCAGAGGATCCTCGGGAATTAGACCGCCAGCTTGATGAACTTGCACGATCAAAGCAAAATGATCTGGTCCGACAGGTACACGCGGGAGCTCAGTCGGACGTGGACAGCCACAGTACCGCACATAGCCCTATTCAGTGGTATCCAGTTGAGTTGTACTGACTAGGTAATCAAATGTACTGAGGAACAGCAGGCTAGTGTTAATAGGGTGTAGGCTGCTGCATCCTTTGTGCTGCTACTTGCCAAATCCGACTGAGCAGCTAGGAGGCGCAGCATATAGCGGACATTGGTATTTACTTTCCATCCAGGTATAATAAGCTTTGAAACGAGGAGCCAGTCATGGCCACATTGGGTAGTAGCCAATCGAGTTGTGCGGACGAGGTTATGATCAAAGACACGGAGCCGCTGCACGAAATGTCTAGTCGGCCGTGAAAAGAAGCAGTATACCAATGAATAGATTACAAACGAACTGGATATCTCTATGCACAAGTAACAGCAAGACCCCAGCAGGACCTGCAGATACCCCTACAGCAACCGGGCGTGGTCCATCTTCCTATCTCTACTATCTGCCATGAAGAGATATCGACGCGGAAACGACAGTAGACTTTGGTGCCTGCATACTTTTACGCAAGAAAATCGAAAAAGGAAACAAGACGGCTCAAAAAAGTGTAAACTGGCTACTATTGAGTCAGTGCTTTGCTTTGGGTGTGCAGCACGCTTGCACACCTTGAGATGAGCCAGTTTAACGTCTCTCACCGCCACGTTCTCTCACCCCCAATGAATTTCGCTGGAAGGCTTGCCCAGCGAGAAATCTGGAGGTGTTTGCGCTTGCTCAGTCCTTTTTCCCCAATGAATTTCGGAGGAAGGGGGCGTCAGCTCGATCTGGTCATCTGCTGCTGCGGGCTGATCGTCCCTCTTGTTCCACGTGACGACGGTTTTCGGTTTTCCAATAATTTGAAAGCTGTCTTTCGGTTTCTCGGGAGAAGCATCACGGCCCCAAATTATTTCCGTCGAAGGGGGTGTAATTTCCACCGAATCGGCCGGTTGATCGTCCCTCTTGCCCCAAGTTACGATTGTCTTCGGTTTCCCGATGATCTCGAAGCTGTCCTTGGGTTTCTCATCCCTCTTAGACCAGGTAGTTTCGCTGTCTGGTTTTCCGATCACGATGATGTCCGGGAGATCGAGCTGATGACTGTAAGTATCGACCTATTATTCAGAAGCAATAGTACATACATCGGCGCTGGGAACGGGGGCAGCACTGACGCTGGCGACAAGGACGCCAGCGGCCAGTAATGATGCAAGCCTGTACTGCATGGTATCTCGCTGATAATGCTGTAAGCGAAGAGCGGATATAGTGATTGAAGTTTTTGTGGGTCGAGGTGCAGAGCTAATGGCAAGATATAGGGAGTTGAGCTGGTGACAGTCCATCAGGCGACCGTGGGCTGCTTCATATACTTTTTCCCATGTAAACTGCCACTGTTGCCACCTCTGGCCGGAACGATGAACGCCATACCTAAAAACGGTTACGAGGATGCCTTAGTGCGGTGCTCGGCGGCAATCAGGATCCCCGTATAGCTAATTTGCCAATCTGGATAAAGAATGATGCATCATCCGTCATGGCATGGGCCCTTTGCGCCAGAAGTTGGTCCAGAAGTTGGTCACCTCACCAGGACGAGAAATTGGATGGTGTGAACGGTAACCTCCCAGTGGGTGCGTATCGGAGGCCTGTGCCACCACATCTTCCGCACTGCATGTGGAGAGACAACTGGGCTCCTGTGTGAAGATGCTTACGGATTGGTGGCGAGCCCTTGTCTCGTGGACAGCCAAGGAACGAGCTTGTCGAGGCGATCTGTATGGAAGCTGCGAGGAACGGCTGGTTCGATCGCTCAATGCATGGGCATTAGCGTGTCGTTGGGCTAGACTTTGAAGTTGGGCCGGAGAGCGCTATCAGTGCGTTGCCAAATATCCATGAGCGAGAAGGGTCACACAGGCACAGCAGGACGGAAAGAGGATCGTCTCTAGGGTCTGCATGATGTACAACGATATATGCGGGGTTGGCCGGCACATGCAAAGCCGTTGTGGTCGTCCGTTCTAGCACTCATAACAGCGTTGCACCGGGTTCTCAAGCTCTGGCCAGAATGTCGCTGCAGGGCTTCAGATTGAGGGCGGTAGCAGAGGCGTCGAGTTGCCGTATGGAGATAGTGGTTGAAAACCCGTTTCACGGAAGAGGAAACTTAATTTCTTGCAGATGTAGCTCGCCGGAACGAATGGAGTATGCGGAATTGCTTGGCGGCTCGAGTCACTTATGGCGATGCGGATGTGAGGGAATCAATATCCTCCTCATATCAAAGGTAGCTATTTTCAGCATCAGCAGCTGGATTCGTACCAGGGACCCGACAACTGGCCTTTGCATATTGAATTCTGGCCCGTGTTGAGGTATCTAAACAGCAGGACCGTGAAGTAGGAAGGCCCAGGACCTGGACTGGCTATTATTAGGAATCCCATTGAGCCGTCAGCAGCAGTCGAGAATCAAAAGACAAATGACACTGAATAAACATGAAGCGAAAGCCGGGGTAACACTTAATGCACAGTTAAACGCAATCTAACAGTGAAAATGGTTACATTCCGACTCTTCGAGATTCTGAACGGACAGTTGGCCGAAACGAAAGCAGAAATTACCCCCGAAGGCACTGAAAGGTGTTACTCAACTCTCGTACTTCGACTTTGTTCTGCCTATGAGGCGAGGACCAAACAGACGCAAGTTGAGGCGGTCGACAATCAGGAAGCGAGAAGAATAGATTGTGGTCGTACCGGTTAATCTAAATAGAGAGCACTCAACGAGCTTGGCGATTTCTCTGTCATCTGGTGCCCGCGCTATCTCCAACAAGGACAGCTGTGCAATATACGTTCAGCCATATCTAACTTGGCACGGCATCATATTTGGCGCAGACCTTGTCAGAATCATTAGTCGTGATAAACACGTGACCGATGCCTTCTTCGTGCGCCGTCAGGCAGGTGGAGGAGCCCTGGAGGCCATTGGGACAAAGACGTCGGCAACTCTCTGGTGGTATCAGAGCAGAATAGCAGGAAATCAAGAGTATGCTGACCAGTATCGTCGTAGTAATTCGCCACTCTTGATACCTGGTGTTGTCGTTATCATGATCAGCTGGAGAGAATGCATTGCCTCCTCATCATCGATAAGCAGTCAATCATTAGATCATCGGAGGCCCCGTCTTCGATCCTCCCGCCCAAGACCCATGAAAGCTGCCATCCCCTCTCAAGTGAATTGGTGGGAAGTCCATTCTGCTCTATCAGGTCTTCGCAGTGGCATGCTGATCACAACGCTGACATCCCACTGGAGTCAATATAACGCTGTCCTCGGTACCAGATTCTGCGGCGACCGTGTGGCTGCAGCTCTCGCGTATTAGTCGTTGTTGTCGGCCCTGAGGACGTACAACGTCCTGGCTGACCGCGAAGACGTCACAACGCGTCCAGCTGACTGGTTCGTCGACGGCTGTGGACCGACCAACAAAGTATGATCTCATGATCCATGAGCAAGCCGTAAGAAGCAGGCCATATGGTGAAGGTGGGTGATTACAAGCGTTGGGATCCCGCGACAACATCGGTCGTCGCCGAGAGGCGAACAGTGGGCACCAAGCGCATGCGTGAGCGCAACTTAAGTCATGCAATCGTTCCATATGACAAGATAAGAAGCCGAGGTGACGTTGTCCTGGCCGGCACGTCGCGAGGAAATAGCGTTTAGGTCCGTCTAGAACTGCGTAGGCTCTCCGCCGTGCGTGGTGAAGGGTACTGAACATCCACATTACACGTCTTCTCTTGCGGAGGCTGCAATCGTGCTAGAACCATTCTGTGACCACCTCTTGCCTTACACACATATCGGAAAGTACGAAGTGTCTCCAGCTGGATTTTTGCATCGACCACCATTGGAAGTCAGCGATCTCCAAGCAAGAATTCCTGTCCATAACCAGTAGTGAACGCAATACATAGGAACAAATTAATATCTTGTACTGAGAACAGAAGACCTGCGGCCTCGGCGTAAACGGTGAATCCCCGAAGAGTTCACTCATCAGTCATTCAGCCATGGTAGTACGCGTTCCCAGAATGGTGTGCGCTCCAGCTGCCTTCCTTGGTGTGCACACCATTGCCAACGGAAATGGGGTAATGAGATTACAGCCAAATGGGGGAGAGTGGTGACCTGGTTCGGACGGAAAAGAAGATATCGAATCCAGATGAAAGGGCACTCGAATGTCCAGATGAAGCCCGATGTGAGAATTGCCAAGACATCGGCCAAACCTTTCACCGACGACTTTCCTCTTTCATAACATACAGCATCGACAACAGCATACGCACCAGCTCCGTCTTGACAGGCCTCCAGAGTTACAATAACGCACCTCTTTCAGGTGTGAGCCGCAATCATGGCTGTAAGTTGCCTGTAACTTTTACATACGCTTGCAACTGACCAGAATCCAGGCCGTCGCACCCTTCAATCCGCGCCCGCTGCTCCAGAGCTTGTACGTTCCGCTCCACATCGCGCCTATCGACTCCTTCACCCTTCCACCATACAGACGGCAATACTGATTGCTCTGCAGAATTGACAAGGACATCATCGTGCGCCTCAAGTGGGGAGACACCGAATATAAGGGCCGCCTGGTTTCCATGGATTTGTACATGAACATCCAGCTCGCGAACACGGAGGAATTTGTGAATGGCGTCAGCTCAGGCACATTAGGACAGGTCCTGATAAGGTGCGTGTGGATAAAAGATGAATCTGCGAGAGCGGAGTGCTGACATTGCGCGTAGATGCAATAACGTTCTTTGGATTGGTCAGGCAGACAAGGTGGAACCAAAGCCTACGAGAGATACGAATATGTCTGGTTGAGCGGTGTGGAATTGTCACGTTTGGTTAAAGAGGACGGTACGTTGAGCATGTTCGACACGACATGCTAGGCCCTCACGTTTGGGTTGGCCATGGCTCAAGAGACTCGACCGTGAAGGTCAAGTTTGGTACTACGTTTAGCGAGAAAACGGAAGGCGTGGGTGTTTGGCGCGACACTAAATAATGATGATTCAGGCGGAGAAGGGGTCTAAGGACAAGCTACAGGCATGGTCTGCTGTGGCAGCGGGACTCCGAATCTTCGATTCAAACAACGCATGGCCGACGCTACAAAGCAGTCGGCAACCAGAGAAATCTACTCAATCTCCTCCACGACAAGCCGCTTCCGTCCCTTTTCGCCCGATCGTGAGCTGGGATTGACGTCCAAACCTTGTAGTTGGCCCTCCAATCCTAGATCCGCGCTGAGCCTGAACTTCTCCTCGTCAAGTTTGAACAGTTTCTTCATCTTCCAAGTTTCCAAACCTTCAAGAACATTTTCCGCATGGCCTCTCACAAGATCATCTCTGTCTTCGTCCTTGACCCAAGAGACTACCCTCTCCACTTCTTCCGTGCTTCTCATTGTTAGACCGGATGCACTTTCTTTCCCCCGCTCAAGCAAAGCGTCCATGCCTCTCAACAACCCCATCACTACCAGAACGGCTGCGCGTCTTAAAATAGCCTTCTCACTCCCCGTTTCAATAGCCAAAATCTGAAGCGCCATCTGCAGCCCGGCATCCACAGCAACCTGGTTCAGCAACTCGAGTCTCTTCTCCAAGATCACCGATAGGATACTCAACGCCGAAGCCCTCATTCTCACATCTTCTTCAATCCCCGTGTCCTCCCACCCTTGCACAATCTTGAGTAATGCATCGCGCTCCTGCTGTTCATCAGGATTCTCGCCTTCAGGATCTAGCAGGTTAGGTATCGGACCACCCCACGCAGCCTCCGCTTCTTCCTGTTGCTTCCTCTCCTGCTCAGCGATGAGGTCGCGTTGTGAAAGCGTCTGTTTCCGCTGACCGCGACGACTGGAAACGGATAGTGCTGCATCAAGGATCATCTTCAGGCTGGAAAATCTGAGACCCATAGTCGGCGCCCTGATCCAGAACTCATCTTCCATCACGAGGTTATTCAGGATCTCGCCCACACGGAGCCGGAAGTCTAGCGCTTGTTGAATATCCTTCTCCTTCGTAAGGCGCAACGAGCGCTCCTCGACGTCGATGATTGCGTCGACTAGAATGCGTACCGTAGGGTTTGGTACCCGGGTTGCGAGATCGACGAGGACGGGGATTGCGGCGAAGTGGACGTAGGTTTCGGGATCGGCGACAGATGCAGAGAGAAGGAGGTGCGTGGTTGATGGAACGTCGATAACTGGTAATGCGGTGGGGTCTTGGATGAGTTTGCGAATAATCGAGAGGGCCCAAGTACGGTTTGGAGGCTCGGGGGATGTGAGTTCCGTGATTGCTGACTTGAGGGTCGCGCGATGTTTGGATTGGATATCGTCTTCTTGAGGTGTAGTGGATGACGGTTGCAGCATTTGTAGAAGATTTGAAGATGCATTGGTGATGAGAGACGAGAGAGATGGATCGCTTTGAGGTTGCGAGAGATATTGAAGACTGGGGATGATGGAATCGAGCAGTTCCGAGTTCGCATTGGCCTGGAAGTTTGGAGAAGTGACGAGGTTGTTGAGTACACTTATCGCAAACGAAGTGAGCTCCTCCGATTCCGCATCGGTGGCCACTTCTGCTGTATGTGCATTCCTTTTCACAAGATGCCGTAGAGCTGCGCGACTTGGTTGTGATGTGTCGACTGTTCTCCCCAACTTGGCCTTGTGCCCGTCCACAAAGTTCTGCAAGAGCTGGCCCATGAGCTCAATGATGTGCTTTGGGCTCCTGACAAAATTCTGTTGCAAGGCCGAAATCATTGCCTCTAGGAGCTTCGCATTCGCAAGAGCAGCCAGCGGGTCAACGTCTGGTTCATGTGTGAGAGACGGTTTTGATGATCCTGCAGTTCTATTGACAGACAACCACCTCTTGGTGATGCTCACGAAGAGCGTACCAGCATGCTCATCGTCCACATTGGCGTCCTTCAGGATTGAAACAAACGAAGCGACGTGGCCGTCCAAGAGTCCAATATTTGCAATCATGTCGCCCACGCCATGTTGTTCGCTCTGATCATTCCTTCTTCGACGGAGCTCCACTCCACCAAAGGAGCCAGGGGCGTATTCCCAGAACCCATCTCCGTTATAAAAAAGATTCGTTGTGATCAGTTCAACTTGTTTGGGATCGCAGGCCACGGCCATGTACTTTGTCAAGATGTTGCGGGTTGTCCGGGTCCAAAAGGAATCCAAAGCTGGACGAGCGCGGCCATACTCCAGTAAGCCCCAAAGTTGCAGAAGGGGTATGCCTACCATTTTTCTCATCGGGCCGGGACGTGTCAGGACGGAAGCCAACACTGACAGCCTTTGAAGGGCAAGCCGTAGGTCTCGCTCGTCGACAAGAACATGATCGGGTGTGTCGTCACGTCTGACTGTTGCGGACGCCTCCAGGGGTTTGAGAGGTCGAAGTATCGGTAGGACGAAAAGATTCCAGCCTACGGTTCCGGGCGCACCGGTGGCCTTGTGCAGCAGAAATTCGACGATAATATGTGCTGCTGCCCGGCTCAGCTCAACACCGGCTGCACCATCAAGGAGAGACCACAGCTGCGGTTCGAGTCGTCCGAACCATTCTTCTTCAGCCATTCCCGTCAGCGGATGCACCAGAAGTCTAGCTACGTGAGGCATGGCCTCAAGTGAGATCGGAGCTTGCGAGCGCGGTACATTCCCAGCATCCTGCGGCATCTTCGAATTTTTAGAGAGATAAGCCATCGATATGAACTCTATAATGTGGCGGATTCCGTCAGGCCGGAGCGGGATCATTGCCACCTCCTTCTTGAGCCTCTGTTTGAGCCATGCTGGGATGTTTTCTTCCGCCCATGGGGTGAGGAGCGGGAGCAGTCGGTAGATTGGGGTCAAATCCATGATCTTTGCAAATTGTGCTTTATATGTTGCGTGATACTCTTCGCTTGATCTTGGTGAGTAGGCCAGTTCGGCAGTGGCAGCGAGAAGATCTGGGAGTATACGCTCAGCAAGTAGCGGGTGAACTCCTGTAACCCCTTCCTGTTCCCATATGGGAATTAGAATCTGCAGGACATGAGATAAACGATCATCATCGTGCACCGGCGGCACTGAGAGCGATGATACGAGGACGGAGCCTGGACGTTGGCCGTACGCTACACCGGAAGAAAGAAACGGCAGTATGCCTAGTGATGTGATGAGATCCAGAAGCCCATAGACTATTCCTACCAAAGATGCATCGTATGGAGCGTTTGGATCCTGTGCCAGTTCTTCCTTGTTGATAGCTTGGAGATGGGCGAGGGCTCGCTCTAATAGCTCATCCGCATCGGAAACTCCTCGTCCATCTGATGAAGCTTTGAATCTTGCTTCGCTTCTCCCCTTCTTCAAATAGGGCCCGATGAACTGTGAAGCAGCATCTACAGCATCTTCCACGCCACCCATCTTTTAAGACGAAGGAGGTTGTCGTAGGAGGGGCCACTGTCAACGCAGCGAATGTTTGGGTTTCGAAAGACGATGGGGTTCGCCACCAGCAGCGGTACACGGGATGCGCTACCACGGTCACTTGCAATCCCCGAAAGTTACTCTTGGATCGCCGAGAGGTGCAGCTGCTTCACCCGTTGCATTCTACGCCGACTAATGCCTAGGAGTTCATCACTGTGTCATTGATACCCTAGGGTAGTGAAAGGGTCATTATTCTTTGAAAACACGAACTTTCTAGACTTTGTTAGCTGCGCATTCACTAACATTACCAATATAATACTCACTATAGAGCATCTTTATCTCACCTGTACGCCTTATAGAGCCATTTTTGAAGCGCTATATCTTCCCTTGTGAGGGTGAAATACAGTGTCGCCACACTGCAAGCAGTGTGTGTATAGGAAAACGCAGCCGGCGACGAGCGGGGTGCAGCTTACGGTGACTAATCACTCAACGCCCGGGCCCACTCAACGCCCGTTTTTGCTGACAAAACTATCAGCCCTCTACAACCTGTAGCACGGCAAATGTATCGTAAAATCACCAGATTTTTTGCAGGAGCACTCCTAGGAGCATGAAAAACCATGCCACAACCATAAATTACTAGCGATAACGCTGTGGGAGCTGTACTGTACGGGTGCACGTAGCTCGGGTGGGTGAGAGCACCCTCTCCTCAGTGGACTTCTGATCAACAACAATAGTCTCAGGTCTCTCAGGAGCTCATTTTTGTGGTGTACGAGGATTAAGGCTCTGTCGGTTACCCCTTTTAGATAATTGTATATCAATTTTAAGTTGCTTTTCAAGCTGCTTTTGGAGCTGCTTCTCAGCTCGCTCAAAGGCCTTGGCCTCCCTTGCTTGCACCTTCAGTTCCCACGCTGGTAACCTCTCGTGCACTCTTTCTTCTTTAAGAGCTTGTTTCTTCTACTTTTTGATGAGCCTCTGGTGTTGTGCCTCTGTGAGTTGTTGTTGTAGAAGCTTTTTATTAGCCCCTATTTGCTCCTGCCTCTCGTGGACCATCTGTACCTTGGTAGGAGAGTAAAAAACAGCACCACCATGCCAATCCTCAGGTTTCTCAAGTAGGAAAGGCTTGCCACGTTGATGGCACTTCTTCTCATTGATAAAAGCTTCCTCAAGCTTGTTGTATTGGTGTTGAAGGATTTGGTATTTAATCTCAAGCTTGTGATAACTTTGCGACAGCTGTTTACGCTCTTTGGCATAGTCCTCTGCAACAACCTCCTTCAGTATTTGCCGTACTCTACACCAATCAGAATCAGAGAGATTT